TCCACCCCCATCGCTCACTGAGGTCCAGCTCTGAGGGCCTTCTGGCAGTTCCCTCCCTGCAAGAAGTGAGGTTACAGGGAACCAGACAGAGGGCCTTCTCGGTGGTGGCACTCTCCCTGTGGAACATCCTCCCATCAGATGTCAAGTAAATAAACTACTATCTGAATTTTTGAAGGCATCTGAAGGCAGTCCTGTTTAGAGAAGTTTTTGGTGTTTGATGTTTGATCATGTTTTTAATATTCTGTTGGGAGCCGCCCAGAGTGGCTGGGTAACCCAAAAGGTGGGCAGGGTATAAATAAATTATTGTTATTATTATTACTACTACTACTACTACCTATGTATGTAGAAGCCTGCCTAAGATCTTTAGGGGATGATGCTCCTCTCTCCTCACTTGTGAGAGTGGTGGCCGTGAGAGCAGTGTTGGTTAAAAGCAACAAAACCAAGCATTTGTTTTGTCTTCCTTCGTATTGGATGTGGTTAGGATGTCGGAGGGAGCCTTGCCTGTGTCTGTCCTGTGGAACTCCCAGCCACAAGAGGTTTGTTTTCAGGACCAGCCCTGTCTCACCATCTTTCTTCTCTTTTCTCTCTCCATTTCCATTTTGGAAGCGTTGAAATCTGAGCAGGAAAACACGGAAGAAGCAAATTCTGAGTATGTTGAAATGTTCAGCGCCACTAGGAAGCCTCAGAGGTAACGGCAACTAATGCTGGTATAACACTGATGTGATGTGTGTGTTATCTTCATGATTTCTTATTTATTTAAAGCATTTCTTCCAAAAAGTGTTCCTAGACTAGCCGACCAAAATAACAATGGTCGTGGCACACAAGGAGGAAGGGAGGAGCCAAAGAGCCAGCTCAGGCAGCAGTTCAGTTCTTAACGTTTTGAACACAGTTGGAGGCGAAGAGCACCCACAAACCATGCAATTGTGGGATGTAAACACAGGAGCAGTCAATGACAACATTCCTAGAGGGTACATGTTAGAACATGGGGAGGGATGTCAGTCCAGCAAGCAGGTAAACTTCCTGGGGACGGACTTCCTCTGCATGTGACCAGAGGTGGGTGTGGCCTCACCTGTGCAGGTAATGACAAAAGCACAGGGCAGGCAGCCACTCTCTCTCTCTGCCATTTTCTTTCAATGAGGAAACATCTAAGGATGCCCTCTTGGCTCTCAGCCAAGAGAGGAGATAAGGACTATCTTGCTATAAGATAGATTCTGAATGTATGTAACCTTTTTAAGCTGTCTGCCTTCTGGGATCATATTGTGAACAGAACGTGAGTAAACTCTTTTATACTTTTATAAAGACTGTGTCGTGTCTTGTATTTTAAGAGGGAACAAAAGGGGAAATTACCAGAGTAATTATTATAGAGGTTCTAGCGAACCTGTGCACACGTTACCGTTGCGAACTTAAAGGGGAATGTTTATAAACTCTGCTGATATTTTGGGAACTTGTTAGCACAAGTTGGATAAGGATATAATTAGTCAATATATCCTCTCCTGCACCCCAGAACATTCCCACAGCAATGAGTTTCCAGAGGGGAGGAAAACTTGAACCCAGAACCTGGCAACCTGGAAATGCAGGAGAGACTTATCAGTCAAGAGAGGGACAACGTCTTGTTGGCTGGGAGATAAAAGGATGAAAGGCGACTGGAGGAACAGGCAGCGGGGCGTGTCCCAGGCAGAAAAAGGAGCAAAGAGACCCCACAGGAAGAATCATAGAATTGTAGAATTGGAAGGGGCCCGGTAGTCTAGTCCAACCCCCCTGCAATGCAGGGAAATGCAGCGGCCCCATACGGTGATCGAACCTGCAACCTTGGCATAATCTGCACCACGCTCTAGCCAACTGAGCTATTCAGGAAGAAGGACCGATAGGACAAGATTGGGGATGGCAGATAAGGAGGGGGAAATGATTGGCATGTTGGAGAGAAGGGAAGATGTCTGAAAGAGATGGGGTGGCTGGGACTGGGACAGAGCGATGGGGCAGGGAAAGGTGGAGGCAGAAGGGGAGAAGGGAGCAGATTCGTTGAGTTGCTTGACCATTCACCTTTGCCATGAGCTGCTGTGTGTATTCTCTGTGTAAAAAAACTGGGACAGAAATTGTGGAACCATTTAAAAACGAACCTTTGATAATACAATAACTGGCTCCCTCCCCCACAATCTCTATTTAAGGAAATAGAAACTGAGCTATGGAATTGGCTGCTACAGGATGTGGTTTAGATGCCCTTTGAAAAGAGGTACATTCGTGAAGAATATTCTGCCAAAACATTTTAGTCATGACAGCTTAGTAGATCTTCATTGTGCAGAAGCAGTCTACCTCTGAATTGCTGTGCACTGGAGATAAGCAAAAGAGGAGGGTGGCCTGTTTGTGAGTTGCCCAGGAGTGTCCAGCTGGTTGCTGTCAAAACTGGATGATGCGAACCTTCAATTTGCTCCCCAAAGCCTTGGGGGGGGATCATCATTCTTTGAACATGTCCCTCAATTTCCTTCTCCTTTTCAGGACTCAGACGCCTTTTACTGCCTTGCCACCCCCTGCTCTGCCTCAGCCCCCAATATCGCAATCATGGATGGAGAGCGGAGCCAAACCTGAGGAAGACCAGGAGGAAGGTCTCTACAACTCCATTCCCCTTCAGGGCAGGAAGAGAGCAGAACGATAGAGAGATTCTTCTTGCGGGGAGATTAAGATATTCAGATGGGGATTTACGACCAGGGAGATGGGGTGGAAGGGGTCAGGGAAGAGGGCAGTGTTATGCCTTCCCCTGCCTATTCCAGCATACGACTTGGCTCCCTTTCTGCAGCACTTTCCTCAAGAGTTTGTCTGTCTAAAATACTTTGCCCTGTTGCCCAAGGGTGCCTGTAAGCAGCAGGATTTGCCCAGTTAGCTGCTGTTCCTCTCCCTAGATCAGGGATGGGGAACTTGTGGCTCCCTCGATGATCTTGGGATCCAGCTCCCATCAGCCCCAGCCAACATGGTCTGTGCTCGAGGGATGATAGGAATGGTTGAAGTTGTTGTCTATGCTCTTGTATCCTCAAGGTTAGATTACTGCAATGCATTATATGTAGGGCTGCCTTTGAAGACGGTTTGGAAACTTCAGCTGGTGCAGAATTCAGTGGCCAGGTTGCTCACTGGAACAAGAGGGTTTGAACATATTGCCTCAATCCTGGTCTGATTGCAGCAGATTCTGATTACAGGGAATGGCAAGACAAACTGTTAGAGTATATTGAACAGGCTAGATTAACAGAAGCAATTCGAGATCACAGTTTCAAAAAGCATGGGGAAAATGCAGAGAATACTTCACAAAACAGTGCCCTAAAAGACATACCTGGACTTGTTTCGATTAATGTCTGCAGGAGACTTTGTGGATATTTAAGTTACAATTAGAAAATCTTAATAATTATTCATAAAGGAAACAGCTTATAAGAAGTAAATAAGGAGGCCAGATACAAGATAAAGGAAGTCTTTTATTTGTATTGTTGTATGTTATGCTTATTGTATGTTATGTTATGGTCATGTTTAATGAGGATGGATTTCTGTATTGGGGGGGCAGGGGGTTTATGTTATGTTGTAAATAAAATTCCCAATAAAAATAAAAAAAATAGTAAAAATAAAGCATGCCCAGTGCACATCACTTCTCCCAAAGTCCGTCAACATGGACAGATTCTCCCCTCGCTGTGTGTGAGGTTTGGTTTAAACTGGAGAGAACAGCAGGCCTTGAAGCTGTGTGGCTGTGCAGAAAAAAAACCAGCACTTCCTCACTTGGTAGACCACACTGGCCATGTCCCCAGATTCCTCTCTTCTCAGAAGAACAAAACAAAACCACGGCTCCCTCCGCAGCTCCCTGCTAGTAATATCAGACTGCTGCGCGCCCTGCCTCTTGCATCAACTTTCAAAGGAACAATCGGGGTTTTGCCCATCGGCTACGGAGAAGAGGCTGCTTCTGGGCAGCCTGCCTTGGCAGTGACACCCGATATACACAGTACAGTGGTACCTCAGGTTACAGACGCTTCAGGTTACGTACGCTTCAGGTTACAGACTCCGCTAACCCAGAAATAGTGCTTCAGGTTAAGAACTTTGCTTCAGGATGAGAACAGAAATCATGCTCTGGCGGCATGACAGCACGTCATCATTCAAAGGAATTCCTGTCTTTTTTATATACAGTGGTACCTCAGGTTAAGTACTTAATTCATTCCGGAGGTCCGTACTTAACCTGAAACTGTTCTTAACCTGAAGCACCACTTTAGCTAAAGGGGCCTGCTGCTGCTGCCGCGCCGCCGGAACACGATTTCTGTTCTCATCCTGAAGCAAAGTTCCTAACCTGAAGCACTATTTCTAGGTTAGCGGAGTCTGTAACCTGAAGTCTATGTAACCCAAGGTACCACTGTATAATAATTTTTATTTGTTTACAATTACAATCCAATAATAGCCTCATTATAACAACACCCAATTTATAATACAGTTACTAATACCAATCGTTCAAATACCGAATTATATACTTTAGATAAGGTGGGGGCCGCAGTGGCGTAGGAAGGGGGGCGAGGGCCGCCCCGCGTGCCATCGTCGAGGGGGGTGACAAAATGGCAAAAATATGTGTTTTAAAATCGCAGCTGGGCGCAAACAGGCACCCCCACCGCAGACTCCTTTATTGGAGCGTGGCTATAGCGCTTGCGCCTGGCGCAGCTCTGCCCTAAACCAGGAGAGAAGAGCAGGCAAGTGGACGGCAGCGCTGCTGCCCACCTTCCTCGGCTGCAGTACATATAGAGTAAAGTGTGCATATATTGGTGAAAATAGCATGCAGGGACACATTATGATCAGGGGAATTGCTTTGCAAGGATGTGCAGAAAAAGCAAAATTGCACAGGCAAGTATGTCTGCTAGGAGATATTCCTTCTAAGGTGCTGCGGAGTTTTTATGAGAATGAAAAATAAATAAATCACAAACTGATGTGTCAGTGTGGAGAACTGAGAGTGGGAAAAGGAGAGGTTGAAAGGGACAAATCCACCCATTGCTTCACACGGGACCTGCCTTCTCCACTTCTGGACCATCTCTTTCCTGCACAGCCTCGTGGTGGCGTTGTTGAGGATGGAAGAGAAGATGGCTGTAGAGGACCTCTTCGTCTTTTGCCGAGATGGGATCGTCCTTCAGCGTTGGTTCGGAGGGAGTCACAGCCGGTGGGGAGGCAATGGTGGCATAGGTGACGTCTGAGCTCTGAGGACGGAGAGGGAAACTGAGGGTGACCCACGGCTTTGACTGGACATAACCGTCCAGGGGTCCTTGACTTTTTTTTCTTTTTTTTTTTTGCCTTACCTTAGTTTGTGGGGTGGGGGATAAGGGCTGTAGCTGAGTGGCAAGGTATCTGCACTGCATGCAACATCTCCCAGGTTTGATCCCTGATGGTATCGTCAGGTAGACTCCAGTCTGAAACCCTCAAGAGTCATTACCAATCAATGCAGATAATACTGAGCTAGGCTGACCAATCGCCTGACTCGGTATAAAGGAGCTTCTTGTGTTCCTTTGTCCATGAATGGGCAATTTAGCAGCTATAGCCACAAGAGGTTCATGAGTTCTTTTTGGTTTTGGTTTCCATTCAAGTGGCTATCCCCACTCCTGGCGGTAGCCAATTCTGTAAGGACAGCTACACACTTGTTTACTTTGTCACCTGGACGGAAAACCAATCATTACAATTCCTAAGCTTCTTTGAAAGCGATCCTGACCCATAAAACTGGTTTCAGTAAGAGGAGGGACTCATTTCCCGGGCTCAAATGGAAGCAAAATGCCAACCTAAACCTTTCTACTTACTTTGACCTGAAAGTCTGTCGTTTGGGGTACCGACAACCCAAACATGTCTTGACTTGTTTCCTCCTTGCTTTCCTTTGGCACAGATGCTCGCTGATATTCTGATGTGCCCAGGGCAAAAAGAACTAGAGAGAGAGAGAAAGGGAGTGAAAAGTTAAAAGTATGGTTCTGCACCATCCTAATCTCTGATCTGTGAGAGACTCCACAAATTCCTGCACTGATCCAGGACTCAGTTTCCTTGGAACGAAGGTCAGAACACTGTGGTGTCTCTAGGGTATATGCTTTTATTTACACACATAAACAACCAGAGCATAGGATGGAAGGTATCATAGCATTGACATCCCAGTAGATCTTGCTTCCCCATTAGCTTTCCAGGACAGCCCCCAAACTGAGAGCAAACATGTCTCTCTCTTAGAGATGGGAAGGCCTGGAAAAAACCCAGAAAAATTGGGAAGAAACTTGTCCCCCCCCCCCATTCCCCCCCCCAGCCTTTCTCCACTCTTTCTCCAGCTTCCAGCTCTCACAGAACTCTGCCTATTGTTCTCCTATGTAGGTAGGTGAGGAGCTGGAAGAAAAGCCAACCCATCTATTCTATGACACAGAGCATCTTTTTTCGTTATGCTAAATTGTGGTACTTAACTAGCCAGCCCAAGTCATTAACTTAACAAAGTGGGCTGGTTTCCACTTACAGATTGTATTATTATGGGATTATATAATAGCAGTGCATGGTTAATCAATGGAACTAGGCCCAACAAGAGGCAGGCTCTTCTTCTGGGGATTAAGCTAGATGGTCCCAAGTTCCCATCACTTACTGCCTTTCTTTCTCCAACAACAGTAAGCGAACAGGACCGCCGGGATCAGAAGCAGACTAGCCCACCATGCATGCCCCATTGATGGAGCAGATGAATCTGGCAACTGAGCTGTGAAGATAAAAAAAGGAGCGGGGATGTCCTTAAAAACACACTAACAGGCTTCCTCTTGTAAATTCAAGACAAGTACATAACACAATGTTGAAAGCAAGTCTTTAAAGAAATAAATTATTTATACATACATACATACATACATAAATACATACATACACTCTGGGCGGCTCACAATATAATATTATAAACATGATAACACATCAAATATTAAAAAAATTCTTAAGGAAGGCACCTTCAGGTGTCTTCTAGAAGTCAGGTAGTTGTTTATTTCCTAGTGGGTGCCACTACCAAGAAGGCCCTCTGCCTTCTGATGATATGAACTAGCCAAACTTAACTCACCTATAATGGAAACCTCAATGCAGTTACTCCGTTCAGACAGTTGTCCTGCACTGTTTTCTTCCAAGTAGGCACAGACAAATGTTTTCTTTATTTCCTGAAATCCTGCAGTGATTTCCAGGGTATTATTTAACTGTTCTTGGGGTCTAGTGTAATTACCACCTGCTTTAATTTCATAAAAGAAGAACTTGGCTGTCAGCTGCCCTTCCGGGTGGGAGCATTTCAACGTGATCCGTTGTCCCTGGAGAAAGGTCTGTCTTGGAGGGATGATGGACAGCTCTGGAGCTGGTGGAGGCAGAACTGCATTGGGGAAAGGGAAGAAGTGCAAGGGGGAAATGCCATTCAGAGAATTCCCCATATATGAGATTAGGGCTACAACATGAGACTGTGCAACTTCCAGACCAATCCCCCCAGCACCTCTCCTTAACATTCAGCTATATTCAAAACATGAAGCAATGTTATAGCAATTGTGCTCTCTTGCCTTCCCTAAGGAACCAGGAGGATGTCGACTTTGTGACTACATTCAGGGACCTTGCTTTGTGTTCCTTGCACTCTGGAGCCAAGTGAGGATTCCCAGGTAAGATACTCCCTCTATTGTGTGGGCAGGTAATCCCTCCCCTACCTGGCCTGATCTCCTTGGCAACGCTTCCCCAGGTGGGATTGGACAACTGACTGAGGTAGGCGGAGACCTCCAGGTATCCCACCTGAGGGAAGGCAAAGCCAAGCCTATGCTGATGGAGCCGCTCCAGATCTAGGGGCTGCACGCGTCCACGCAAAGGGAGCCCCCCGTTTTAAGCGGGGAGCGGTCATTGTGACTATATTCAGGGACCTTGCTTTGTGTTCCTTGTACCTGGCAAAAACAGCAGAATGGCTGTTTTTGATGGTGGCAGTTTTGTGACTATGCTGAGAGATCTTGGCCAGAGCTCCTTTGAGCTCTCTCACAGTTACAACTACCAAAATGGCTCAACTTCGATTACTGCTTGGGATTGACTATCCCATTCCATCCTTTACTCCAATGCCTCTTAAACTCAGAATCAGATTTTGAAAATCTCTCTCTCCTCCCTTCACCCCTTCCCCAACAATGTGATGTCACAGCACTAAAAAATTCCCTAAACAGGGTTGCCTTCAGATGTCTTCTAAAAGTCAGATAGTTGTTTATTTCCTTGACATCTGATGGGAGGGCGTTCCACAGGGCGGGCGCCACCACTGAGAAGGCCCTCTGCCTGGTTCCCTGTAACCTCACTCCTCACACGGAGGGAACTGCCAGAAGGCCCTCAGAGCTGGACCTCTGTGTCTGGGCTGAATGATGGAGGTGGAGACACTCCTTCAGATATACTGGACCGAGACCGTTTAGGGCTTTAAAGGTCAGCACCAACACTTTGAATTGTGCGCGGAAACGTACTGGGAGCCAATGTAGGTCTTTCAAGACCAGTGTTTTTGTTTTGGTGGCCGCTCCCAGTCACCAGTCTAGCTGCCGCATTCTGGATTAGTTGTAGTTTCCAGGTCACCTTCAAAGTTAGCCCCATGTAGAACACATTGCAGTAGTCCAATATGTAATATTTTACATATTTCCAATAATGAAATACGTTTTTAAAAACGGCAAAGGGTATTTAAGGAGATAACAGAAATCAGTGGGTTAAAGCTGACCAAAATTCCAGAGGTAGCATTATTATCAATTTATGGTGGGGTGGAAGGTTCACAGGCTAGGAAGGACTTGCTCTCAAATTTATTGACAGCTGCACAAATTATTATAGCTAGGAAGTGGAAGGGGCAAGAAGAATATAAAATGGAAGAATGGGATAAAGAGGTGTGGGATATAGCTATGAATGATAAATTAACATGTGCTATTAAGGTAAGACGGGGAATATGCAGGAGAAATGATTTTGAGGAGATATGGAGGGTGTTTGTAGAATTTGTACTGTTAAAACGGAAAGGGGTCAAACCATCGCAAGTGGCACTGGAATTTTGGGAGATTTAATAGTTGCAATGGAATGGTCACAGTGGAGGGGTGCACATTTTGTTCTTATTTATCTATGATTATTACTTTGTCAAAATCTAAGAAAGAAAGAAAGAAAGAAAGAAAGAAAGGAAGGAAGGAAGGAAGGAAGGAAGGAAGGAGAAGGAGGAGGCTGGTAGTCGCATCAAAGAACGGCATTGTTCCCACCCCTTGCTCTTTCCCCTCCATCCTTGAGTCTTGGAGTTCAAACACAAAACCCACAAGAGGACTGTCCCACTTCTAATGTGGGCTCTGTGTTCCCAGTGGGGCATGGCTCACCTGTGACATTCACCGTTTGGCTCCAGGGAGACATGATCCATCGGCTGCTCAGTTTCTGCTCATACCTGCAAGCAAATTCCCCAGTGTGGATGCTGGCTGTGACTTGGACCAGGATGTCTGCAGAGGCGTTTGATAAGGCATTCCTGGGTTCTCCAGAATCCGCCAGAGACTCTTCACTCCTGGAGGAAATCTTGACCCCATCCTTGTAGAAATGGAACCTTTGCTCTGCGTCGCTGCCAATGGCCGAGCAAGTGAGGCGCAGGAATCCCCTTTCCTTCACCACTCCAGGCGGAGGGTCCACTGTCAGCACCGGGGCAGGAGGAGGATCTGGAGGAGCCAGCCACAAAGGAGAGGGGGTTAGGAGGGACCGCAAGATGAGGAAAAGCTGTTGCTCAATGTCAGAGCATCTATCTGCTTGTCCTAAATTCAAACCCTGGCAGGGAGATTCAATCCCTGGCAGGAGGAGGAGGAAGAAGAAGAGTTTGGATTTGATATCCCACTTTATCAATACCCGAAGGAGTCTCAAAGCAGCTAACATTCTCCTTTCCCTTCCTTCCCCACAACAAACACTCTGTGAGGTGAGTGGGGCTGAGAGACTTCAGAGAAGTGTGACTAGCCAAGGTCACCCAGCAGCTGCATGTGGAGGAGCGGAGATGCGAACCTGGTTCACCAGATTACGAGTCTACCACTCTTAACCACTACACCACATTGGCTACAGGAGCTACAGGAGCTGTCCTTAAAAGAAAATGAATACAATGGCTAAGTGATTTGGAGTCTGTGGCTCACTGAGGTTTTAAGGGGCAAGCCATAACTAAATCGGGTTCATCCAGGCAGGGTTGTCAACAGAGAGTCGTGGGTTCATGAATTCCCCACTTGGACTTCAGGAGGGGAGTGGAGAGGAGAAGATCAGGAGCATGTGTTGCATAATATTCAGGGGAAATGTGCAGTGTCCGGGAAGGTAAATGTTAGCTGGCTAAACTCTTGATCACAGTTTGGGGATCTGTACTACTCATGTCATGTGTAAGCCATCACATCCCCTAAATTGCCCTAGGAGTCTCCACTTGTACAATAGAGGGGTCTCCCCACTTCAGACCTTCACCATCTGTCAATGGTATGAGGGTGGTGACCCCTTCGGCAGCACATGTACTAAAATTGGAATGATACAGAGAAGATTAGCATGGCTCCAGCTCAAGGATGACATGCAAATTTGTGAAGCGTTCCATATTTTTTCTGGGCAATAATTTTTTTAATAAGGACTGGGAAACATTTGTAATATATTTGACAGAACCCTGTAAACAGTTAAAAACATTATCAAGATTGAAATAACACTTGCAATGTGAAAAGAACTACAAGAGAAAATATTCTGGATAAATGGAGGATAATATGATTTGCAGTGAAAAGGGTTATTTGTGGACTCCGCAAAAGCGGGGATGGGAGTCCGAGAATTCTCTATATTTTTTATTGGATTTGTTCTGTGAATGTAAAACCAAATTGTAAAACCAATAAAAATTATTATAAAAGAAGTAACTGGTATGAGGGTGATGTGTCAGATCTTTGCAGCATGCCCCCAGGCCCCTTGTATGGTTTCTTACTCATGAGTAGTATTAATGCTTGACTATGGGTTACAGCGCTATCGTCCAAGAAACAAAGACAGGCCCACATTGCAGTCTGAGCAGATATCAACAAGGTTCCCACCTCTGAGGTAACCCTGGCATCTGAGAACATCACCCGCTGCCTTATAACCACGCCAGACCAGTGGTCCTGCTAGCATTGTCTACACTGACTGGAAGCATCTCTCTCCAGGTCCTCAGGCAGGAGAGTTTCCCAGACCCACCAGGAGACAACAGGGATTGAACCTGGGACATTCTAGGGTAGCCTTCCCCTTCGTCTTCCAAGAGAACTACATATTTTTTTAAGGCCTCACCCATCACTGAAATCCTGATGCTGTTGCTTTCTGGGGATGAGATATTCTGGCTTGATTCTGCAGCTTGGTACGTGCAAAGATGCTCCCCGCTGTCTCGAGGAGACAAGCGCCTCGTGTACGTAAAGGAGGCCAGAGGAGAAGGGGGCCTGTAGACATGCGACAGCCTTTGGTCCTTCTTAAAGAGAACCCTTGACATGAGAAGGTTTTCAGGAGCAGAGCATGTGAGGTTCACAATCTCCCCACTGCTGTAGGTGTCAAGCTTCGGGGACACAGAGAAGAACGGAGGACGAAGATGGCCTGAGAAGCAAATAAACAGATAAGGAATAAGAAGCGAGCCTTGTTTGGCGATGCCCCATTTCCCTTCAAACTGCAAAATGTAAGACCGCCCAAGTTTGGTAGGGCAGGAGACCAGGGTGACCTGCAACAAAATGTTGCAGTGTATGTCTAGCAGTTAATAGTTGTGTTCTTCTTGCAACAGGAGCCTCCTCGTCCTGTTCAGGATTTGTAGAGAAGGGGGGAGTTTCAGGGTGGGGGAAAGGATAAAACGTCCCCCCGACCTTCTCCTTCTCCTATAGTGCTAGGAGACAAGGGGCAGCCAGCCTAGTGGTGTGTTCAGGGGCCCATGTGTTCAGGGGCCCCCTGAAGCAGCTCCAGGTTCATTTCAAGGGGTGATTTCAAAATAAATTCACCTCCCCTGCAGGAGAAGCTTTGGAACAGTATACATGAGATATGGATTGATTGATTTTTCTCCTGAAACTGCAGCTCACCAGGGTTACTGCTGCTACGATGCCTATAGGAAGTCTCTCCAGGGACCATAATGTGGGTCTGAAATTGTCCTCTTAATCCAGCCCAAAGCATCCCCATAGTTCATGCCAGTGCCTCTTTCTCACAGGGGGTACTGTTGTACACTTTGCCACAGTTAAGGGATATTATTATTATTATTATTATTAATTATTATTAATTATCATCTATACCCCGCCCATCTGGCTGGGTCTCCCCAGCCACTCTGGGCGGCTCACAATATAATATTATAAACATGATAAGACATCAAATATTTAAAAAATTCTTAAGGAAGGCGCCTTCAGGTGTCTTCTAGAAGTCAGGTAGTTGTTTATTTCCTAGTGGGTGCCACTACCAAGAAGGCCCTCTGCCTTCTGATGATATGAACTAGCCAAACTTAACTCACCTCTAATGGAAACCTCAATGCGGTTACTCCGTTCAGACAGTTGTCCTGCACTGTTTTCTTCCAAGTAGGCACAGACAAATGATTTCTTTGTTTCCTGAAATCCTGCAGTAATTTCCAGGGTATTATCAAACTGTTCTTGGGGTCTAGTGTAATTACCATCTGCTTTAATTTCATAAAATAAGAACTTGGCTGCCAGCTGCCCTTCCGGAGGGGAGCATTTCAACGTGATCCGTTGTCCCTGGAGAAAGGTCTGTCTTGGAGGGATGATGGACAGCTCTGGAGCTGGTGGAGGCAGAACTGCATTGGGGAAAGGGAAGAAGTGCAAGGGGAAAATGCCCTTCAGCCCCTTTCTTAAGCTATTCTCCTTTGGTTCCTCATCCACAAATTCTTTAAATGAGTTGTTGGTTCAAGGTATGCTTGTTCAGCCCCAAGAATGCCTTGGTCCTTCTTAGTCCTGCATTAAACAAATGCTACACACAGATTTCCACAATCTACTTCCTTGGGGTCACTATCAAAACAGCATTCTAATAATTCCATGTCATTAACTGGAGGAACTTTTCAACAAAACCTTTTGATTTATGACAAACATAATTTCACGAGATAAGCTCATCTAAATAAGCATGTTTGAACCATGGGTTGCCACATGTTGTTGGATTGCAACTCCCATCAAGCTGCTTGGTGGATGACTGATGGGAGTTGTAGACCAATAATCTCTCTCCCCCTCAGTAAGCAAGCAGATTAATGAGAAAAGGAAATAGGACTTTGGGAGGACTACAGAATTTCTGATGATATTTGAATTTTGTACATACTCTAATTCTATTAATAAAATTCCCCTCCTGTTCCTTTGACCAGCCAAACTCCTCAGTTTCAATCCAGCTTCCCACTTCAACTTTCAAGAGATCCATATTGCAAAGAAAGGCCTCCTCACCCGAAATCCTGATGGAGTTGCTCTCTCTGGATGCGATCTCTCGTCCAGATTCCACAATGTTTCCAGCCACGTAAGCAAAGGCTTACACAGTTCTTCAACCTTGGGCCCCCAGATGTTGTTGAACTACAACTTCTGCTAAGTTGGCAGGGGATGATGGGAGTTGTAGAGCAGCAACAATATCTGTGCCCCCCAAGACTGAAGAACTGCTTAAAATAACCCTGCCCCTTTGCTACATCACATTAAAGCTCATCTTCACGACAGACTTGAATCTTCAGTATTGTACTCTGTTGGCTTCCCCTAGGAACTATGATGGTGGCAGTTTTGTGACTATGCTGAGAGATCTTGGCCAGAGGTCCTTTGTTCTCTCTCACAGTTACAGCTACCAAAATGGCTCAACTTTGATTACTGCTTGGGATTGACTATCCCATTCCATCCTTTACTTCAATGCCTCTTAAACTCAAAATCAGATTTTGAAAATCTCTCTCTCCTCCCTTCTCCCCTTCCCCACCAATGTGATGTCACAGCACTAAAAAAATTCCCTAAACACGGCTGCCTTCAGATGTCTTCTAAAAGTCAGATAGTTGTTTATTTCCTTGACATCTGATGGGAGGGCATTCCACAGGGTGGGCGCCACCACTGAGAAGGCCCTCTGCCTGGTTCCCTGTAACCTCACTTCTCGCAGGGAGGGAACTGCCAGAGGGCCCTCAGAGCTGGACCCCAGTGTCCGGGCTGAATGGTGGGGGTGGAGACACTCCTTCAGGTATACTGGGCAGAGGCCGTTTAGGGCTTTCAAGGTCAGCACCAATACTTTGAATTGTGCTCGGAAATGTACTGGGAGCCAATGTAGGTCTTTTGGGACCAGTGTTACATGGTCTCAGTGGCCACTCCCAGTGACCAGTCTGGCTGCCGCATTCTGGATTAGTTTTAGTTTCCAGGTCACCTTCAAAGGTAGCCCCACGTAGAGTGCATTGCAGTAGTCTAAGCGGGAGATAACCAGAGCATGCACCACTTTGGCGAGACAGTCTGCGGGCAGGGAGGGTCTCATCCTGCATACCAGATGGAGCTGGTAGAAAGCTGCCCTGGACACAGAATTGACCTGCGCCTCCAGGACAGCGGTGAGTCCAAAATGACTCCCAGGCTGCACACCTGGTCCTTCAGGGACACAGTTGCCCCATTCAGGACCAGGGAGTCCTCCACATCTGCCCGCCCTCTGTCCCCCAAAACAGTACTTCTGTCTTGTCAGGATTCGGCCTCAATCTGCTAGCCGCCATCCACCCAATCATGCAAAATGTGACACTCCTACATCCCATAGAGCTTCTGTCTCCTATCACAAAAGTTGAAAGAAGAACGGAAATCCGCTTTACCTGCCTGGACCGATCTCCCGAGGAGAATCTGGAGACAGACTGGAAGTGAAGAGCAAAGGAGAGATGCAGTGTGAATGTGAGATAGATGGCAAATTTCCAATCTGAGTTGAGCAGAGAGGTCACCAACCTGTCACCAAAGCAGCAGACTTCATGCTCAGCCAGTATCCCTGGAAGAACAACCACGGCTGGAGCCCCAAATCCACCTTCTCTCTGATTTCTGTCCCAAGAGAAACAATGAACCGGCCTTGCCGAAGCCTGTCTTCTCAAAGCAAAGACTAAAGACAGGAAGCACAACATCACACCCTCGACTCCTGAACATTGTGTAGACACACACCCTGAGCTGTGTGCAGAACTCGGCCTATAGGCTTTAGCCATAACCACAAGCTTTATCCAGCTCCATCTAGGAACTGCTAATCACATCTGATCTTGCTGTTCCATCACCTGTTTTTCTCTGCGGTCAAACTTCTTGAAGCAACCCAAATGGAACAATGTGCAGCAGGATGGGAGAAGGGAAGAGCAGAAGTCAACTTTACCTGCATAGACGGATCGCCAAAGGATGACAGGGAGATTGGAAGGAAAGAAGAGAGGAGTGAGACAGACAGACAGACAGACAGACAGACAGACAGAGAAATTGGGATTTTCCCATTCTAGTACATAGAAAAGGAAAATGATATATAATGAAATGAACAGGGTGTTTAAAATAACCTTTGTTTAAAAAAAAACAGAGGCTTTTCTTTTGGGAATTATAGAGACAGAATTACCTAACCTGACTATATTTTGAAGGAAAAAATATGAACGAATTCCTATGTCCCACAAATAACCCAGAGATGCATTTTAAATTAAAGCACACATTCTACTCATGTAAAAACACGCTGATTACCGGACCGTCCACGGGCCGGGTTTAGAAGGCGATTGGGCTGGATCAGGCCCCCGGGCCTTAGTTAGACTACCCATGGTTTAAAGGGTTTCTGGGACTGTAATTGAGAGTGCACTGCTTGTGATGATTTCAGTTCACAAAGCAATGATTCATTGCCTATAATTGTCCATTGGAGGGTTTGGGTGGGGGGTATTCATTATCAGTTTTTCCTTTTATCATTACGCTTTCCTTTTCAGTTTGCAAGTCCTTACTGCCTTTTACTTTAGCTTTCATTTTTATCGAGTGAACAATACTGTTCACTGTGCAAAGGACTGTTCCTGAATGGAACTTAGTTCTGCATTAAGATCTTGCATGATCTTCTGAACGGATCAAGACAAAGCTGGGTGATAACAGAGCTATTTAATGAACTGTTTGGAACCCGATCAGGTAAAACAATAGAAATACCTATCTAACTGACCAATCACATTCGTTCTGCCCCCCCAACATAGTCCCTCCCCACTCCTAACAAAAATCCTGGCTACGCCCATGTGTGCATGTTGTCTTTCTGTCTCGCGAGGGAATACCTTCAGGGGGAAAGCTTAGTTTCAGGGATGCATCAGTTTTCATCTTACCTCCAAAGGATACCATACAGGAAAGAAGAGAAAATGAGACTGGAAAAAAAAAGTTTTGATTTACTTATTTATTTGAAATATTTCTTTAATTACAAAGAAAATACCCAAACAGGTCACATTATATAAATTTTTTATTTGATTTTTAAAAATATAAACATACAACAAAAAACAATCCAAGATCAAAATATTGAGATTGGACAACACGGCAAAGTATTTTAGACTGACAAACTCTTGAGCATGGGCAGGCAAACTAAGGCCCGGGGGCCGGATCCGGCTCAATTGCCTTCTAATCCCGGGCCACGGATGGTCCAGGAATCAGCATGTTTTACATGAGTAGAATGTGTGCTTTTATTTAAAATGCATCTCTGGGTTATTTGTGGGGCATAGGAATTTGTTCATATTTTTTCCTTCAAAATATAGTCCGGCCCCCCAACAAGGTCTGAGGGACAGTGGACCGGCCCCCTGCTGAAAGAGTGTGCTGACCCCTGCTCTTGAGGAAAGTGCTGCAGAAAGTGAGCCAAGCCATATGCTGGAATAGGCAGGGGAAGGCATAACACTGCCCTCTTCCCTGACCCCTTCCACCCCATCTCCCTGGTCGTAAATCCCCATCTGAATATTTTAATCTCCCCGATGGCTCATTCGTCTTCAGAATCTCTGTATCATTCTGCTCTCTTCTTGCCCTGAAGGGGAATGTTGTTGTAGAGACCTTCCTCCTGGTCTTCGGCCGGTTTCGCTCTGCTCTCCATCCATAATTGCGATATTGGGGGCTGAGGCAGAGTAGGGGGCAGCAAGGAAGAAAAAGGCGCCTGAGTTCTGAAAAGGAGAAGGAAATAGAGGGACATGTTCAAAGAATGATGATCCCCCAAGGCTGTTGGGAGCAAATTGAGGGTTTGCATCATCCAGTTTTGGCGGCAGCCAGCTGGACACTCCTGGGCAACTCACAAACAGGCCACCCTCCTCTTTTGCTTATCTCCAGTGCACAGCAGTTCAGAGGTAGACTGCTTCTGCACAATGAAGATCTACTAAGCTGTCATGACTAAAATGTTTTGGCAGAATATTCTTCACGAATGTACCTCTTTTCAAAAGGCATCTAAACCACATCCTGTAGCAGCCAATCCCATAGCTCAGTTTCTATTTCCTTAAATAGAAATTGGGGGGAGGCAGTTATTGTATTGTCAAAGGTTTCATGGAGGAAGTTGTGATGGTTTCAATATGAAAGACAGAAAGAATCTCCCAATCCCAGCCATGAATGGAGGGGGAAATAACCTCGCTAAACTATTTTATTTTATTTTTAAATGTTTCCACAGTTTCCGTCCCAGTTTCTTACACAGAGAATACACACAGCAGCTCATAGCAAAGGTGAACGGCCAAGTAACTCCATGAATCCCCCTCTTGTGAGAAGTCCAAACGGCCATCAAAGCATCTGTCTGAGGACAGAAGCATGTAGCAGGAGCTGCCTGGCCTACTGGGTCCAGAATAGACATTAGAATCAGGTCTCCTCTGAGTAGGACTTATCTGGTTGCAATACATCATCAGGTCTGAATGTTTTTTCCGGGGGGGGGGGTTGAAATTTGTGGGGAAATTGTTCTCTGCTGAATGCCAGATTCGTAACACAATCTTCTGTGGGTGTCATAGTTGGCCACAGAGCTGAATGAATGGATCTTTATTTGCGTCAGCCATCGGCCATAGCAATAAAACAACAATATAATATACAAAGAATAGAAATAAAAAGTCAATTATTGTCAGGGGTTCAGGGACAGAGGCACAGGGTAGGCAGGAGATGGAGAGCGATGGGGATGAATCCCAGGACAGCGAGGAAGAGGATGACAATGACTCAAGAGATTCCATGAGTCTTTCCAGCGAATCAGAGGATTCCCAGAAGGGGGCGCCGGTGGTCAAGGCCAGGGAGCCCCAGGGGACGTGTCAGGAGCAGGGGCCAGCGGGGATCCCAAAGTGGCAGCTGGGCGTCAGGACCAGCCTCCCCGCCAGAGTGCAGCGAAGGGCGTGGAGGTTCCATTGTATCAGGGGACGCAGATCCGGCAGCAGAGAAGGGAGGGAGGACGGAGCAACCCACCCTCCCGGAAGGGGAGGGAGTAGTGAAGGGAGTAGTGTAACTGTCAAAAGGAAGGTTAGAGGTTGGGCGAGCGCGCCAAGTTCAAATGTGGAGGCGCGCGGAAGTACAGGGAGCCCGGAGGAGGAGCCAGGTCCCAAAGCCCGCAGGAGGGGGGAAGAGCAATCTGGGGATTCCGCGTCAGGGGAATCCAGGAGGGGCGAAACCCCAGCGGGCAGGAAGACACTGAGGAAAAGGAAAGAGAGGAAGAGGTGGAGCAGCGCAAGCCTCTTAAACTGGTGCAGGGGAGGGACTGACTCAGAGGGGACTTCAACGGTCTAAGCGTAACAGACGTGGGGCTGCGCGCCTCGGATGTGAAGCAAACAATGAACTCCAATAAACACTTTTGTATATAAGAAGGACTTGGCGTTGGTCTTTTGTGAGCTGAGACCTGAGGCAGCCCTGACAATTATATAAAATACATTTTAGGGTTTTGAATCAATAGTCAAATAGTGGATCTTATTCTGATTGCCCCAGCTAAAAACCTTGCAACCTTTGCTGTCACCTGCTCATCTTGATCTGCCAAGAGAAAGGGTACCGTGGCAGTGGTTGGATGACCCGGAATGGACAATAAAAGAGAGGTGATAATCTCATTCCTCAAGTCTTTATAAAGAATGAAAGCCAGAAGGGCATGCGCCACCGATTCAGGACTACCATCTCCACAGGGACATAAGCGTTTTTCATGTGGAATCTGTTGGAATCGTCCCTCAAGTACAGCCAAGGGCAATACATGCAATCTCGCGAGATTAAAAATTCTATATTTTAGAATTGCTAGGTTATGCAGATAGGGTGCCAGAGAGTCGAAATGGGAAGGTGGAAAGTAGTCATACCATCAGCAAAAGTTTCTTATTGTGGCCAAGTTGTTCTGACGCTCAGTCTCATTTAAGGTAAAGGTAAAGGGACCCCTGACCATTAGGTCCAGTCGTGGCCGACTCTGGGGTTGCGGTGCTCATCTCGCTTTATTGGCCGAGGGAGCCGGCGTACAGCTTCCGGGTCATGTGGCCAGCATGACTAAGCCACTTCTGGCGAACCAGAGCAGCGCACAGAAACTCCGTTTACCTTCCTGCCGGAGCGGTACCTATTTATCTACTTGCACTTCATGCTTTCGAACTGCTAGGTTGGCAGGAGCAGGGACCGAGCAACGGGAGCTCACCCCATTACGGGGATTCGAACCGCCAACCTTCTGATCGGCAAGTCCGAGGCTCTGTGGTTTAACCCACAGCGCCACCCGGGTCCCGTGTCAGTCTCATTCAGGCGCTGACAAATTAGACCGCTTTCTTTACTATAGCCCAAAGTGAGTAGCTGTTGTGGTGATAAACCACAAGAGTGAAGTTTTTGGTAGACAATTTTAATCCAGGCGCTCTTGTGACCATCTTGCAGCCACAGAGCTGGCAATCGACGAAGCAGAATGCCAGCGTCAGAGCCCTGACTTTTCATAGAGCTGTCCAGCCAAAATACATGCCTTCGCTCTAAAAGCCAAGTGGACCACAGTCTCTTAACCACTGAGCCAAGTCATTGTCCTCAGCTGATTGCTTCTACTTTGTGGATCACTCCAGATCACCCTCCCTCTCCGACGCTGATAGTGGATCCTCCACCTGGAGCGGTGAATGAAGGAGACTCGCTAAACATCACTTGCCTGGCCAGCGAGGAGAGACTGAGAAAAGATTCGCTTTCTACAGGGATGGACTTGCGATAACCTTCAGCGACTGAAGGATCTGTGTGGAGCTTCAGAGAACCTGGAACTAACTTCTCAAATGCCTCTGTTAGCATCTTGAAAGCCAAGCTCAACCATAGTGGAGAATTTGCTTGCAGCTATGAGGAAGAGGTTGGTGGCCGGTGGGTGACCTCTTCCTGGAGCCAGACGGTGAAAATCATGGTGAAAGTCCCAGGCGAGTCATTTGGGGAAAGTTAGAGCTCAATTTAGCAGAAGGATATTCCATTTTTCTGTGTTGATTGAAGTATTAAGGGGCGCCACTGGATGGGCCAGAAAAAGGGGGGAGATTGAGCAAAATGTCTGTCATTCCCTGTAACCTGTAAATGTCATCTATTTTATTTCCTATGCCTTTTGTTGTTGTTTAGTCGTTTAGTCGTGTCCGACTCTTCGTGACCCCATGGACCAGAGCACGCCAGGCACTCCTGTCTTCCACTGCCTCCCGCAGTTTGGTCAAACTCATGCTGGTAGCTTCGAGAACACTGTGCCACCATCTCGTCCTCCGTCGTCCCCTTCTCCTTGTGCCCTCCATCTTTCCCAACATCAGGGTCTTTTCCAGGGAGTCTTCTCTTCTCATGTGGCGGCCAAAGTCTTGGAGCCTCTGCTTCAGGATCTGTCCTTCCAGTGAGCACTCAGGGCTGATTTCCTTCAGAATGGAGAGGTTTGTTCTTCTTGCAGTCCATGGGACTCTCCAGAGTCTCCTCCAGCACCAGAATTCAAAAGCATCCATTCTTTGGCGATCAGCCTTCTTTATGGTCCAGCTCTCACTTCCATACATCACCTCAGCCTTATTGTTGAGTAAGAGTGAGCAGTTCATATTTGAAAGGATTGAAAGGAGAGAGAGAGAGAGAGAGGTAGAGGTAGAGAGAGAGGTGTTATTTGCAGGGCTCAAACCTTTTTCCCTCTTCAACTTGTCTAGAAAAGTCTGGCACTAGTTACTTGTCCTGAAAGTTACTTTTCAGAACTTGAGTATTTATTTTGCATGACATTTGCTGCCTGTCTCGCATCCAAGGACAAGGAAGCCTTATTAAAAACGCAATAACCTAACCATTTTTCCTTTCTTTTCTCAGATCCTTCACCATCAACAGGTCCATCGCTGGCATTTGCATATCTGGCAGTCCCGTTTGTGACTCTGATGATTCTCCTCATTCTCTACTTTGGACAGAAAAAGACTGGTAGTTATGTGATGGGTTTTGAGGATACTGTGATGCTTATGTGAATAATATTGTGTGTACCTTTTCCACCTTTGTCTCTCTTTCTCTCCTTTTTGGAAGCAGTGAAATGCCAGCAGGATTCTGAGCCAGAAGAACAGCAGGAGGAGGAGGAGGAGGAACTGGGTGATCTTGAAACAGGGGAGCCCCAAACAGCAGTTTTGCAGGAACACGACCAAGTAAGCACAGAGATTCGTGTGTAATATTAGTTACATCCATGAAAAACTGCCCAACTACCTTTATGGAATGTGGTGCTACTGCAAGATGCAATGATAGCCTACAAATGACCAAGCTCACGGACAGAGATCTCTATTGTGTACTGCCTTTAGATATCTTCCAAAATTCAGATAGTTGTTTATTTCCTTGACATCTGCTGGGAGGGCGTTCCACAGGGCGGGCGCCACCACAGAGTAGGCCCTCTACCTGGTTCCCTGTAACTTTGCTTCTCGCAGGGAGGGAACCGCCAGAAGGCCCTCGGAGCGGGACCTCAGTGTCCGGACTGAACGATGGGAGTGGAGACGCTCCTTCAGGCCTACTGGGCCTTTGAGGCCATTTAGGGATTTCAAGGTCAGCACCAACACTTTGAATTGTGCTCGGAAACATACTGGGAGCCAATGATCAAGCACTAGGAAGTGGGAGAAAAGCTTCCTTCTCTGAGCTCCGGCTATGTAGGGTTGTAGGCCAACAGTAGGACATATGCTCTGCATGTAGAAGGTCTGAGGATCAATCCCACTGGCCTCTTCAGGTAAGGCTGTGAAGGACTTAGAAAGCTGCTGCCAACCAGTGTCCACAATACCAGATAAGATACCCAGGGAAGTTATTTGCCAGGCCCCTCCTGCTTTCATTGCTGACCAATGGCACCCTCACATTCCTTCTGTTCCCACAGGGCTCAACCATCACCTACGCCACCATCAAATTCTGCTCTGCTAAGTCTTGCTTAGGAAATGGGCTCCGACTGGTGGAAGAGGAGAAGGTGATGTACAGCGAGGTTCTATTTCCACCTACTAACAGAGGAAGAAAGTGAAGAGATTGTGGAAAGGAAAGAGATTATGGAGTTTTGAGTGGCTGCCAAAGGATTCTACATCGCCTGCCAGTTGGTTTATTGCTCTCAGCCAGGGCATGGCTGAAGGCACAGGAGGTGCCCATCTTGCGGAAGCTAAGCAGGTCCGGGTCTGGTCAGTGTCTGGGTGGGTGACTAGCTGGGAACCACAGATGTGCTGCTGTGATGGTGTCCAGTGATGGAAGAAAGGATGGGATGTAAATTTAAGAAAAGAAAACAAACAAATACGTGTTGGTTGAGGTCCTCTGCACGTCCCACAGAAATCAACGCAGCTTCTATTCAATAAAGACAATTCGATTCTTACAAGTTGAATTCTGATGTGATTAAAGATTTACAGTGTCATTTACAAACATGGTTGGGAAAGAGAAGAGGGCAGAAACATCTCAAAATGACAACTAATCCAGAATGCAGCTGCCAGACTGGTGATTGGGAGTGGCCAACGGGACCATATAACACGAGTCCTGCATTGGCTCCCAGTATGTTTCTGGGCAGAATTCAAAGTGTTGGTGCTGACCTTGAAAGCCCTAAACGGCCTCAAAGGCCCAGTATACCTGATGGAGTGTCTCCACCCCCATCGTCCAGCCCGGACATTGAGGTCCAGTGCCGAGGGCCTTCTGGCAGTTCCCTCCCTGCGAGAAGCCAAGTTACAGGGAACCAGGCAGAGGACCTTCTCGGTAGTGGCACCCACCCTATGGAACGTCCTCTTTTCAGATGTTGAGAAAATAAAGAACTATATTACTCTTAGAAGACATCTGAAGGCAGCCCTGTTCAGGGAAGTTTTTAATGTTTGATGTTTCATTATGCTTTTATAGTTGTTGGAAGCCGCCCAGAGTGGCTGGGGCAAGCCAGTCAGATGGGCAGGGTACAAATAATAAAATTATTATTATTATTGTGCTTCCTGCATAGTAATATGGTTCTCATGAATATTTATTTTTTAATTTAATTTAATTTGTATGCTACCCCTCAACCGAAGTTCTGAGCATGGTTCACAGAATAAAACCGCAAAGGTCATAATAAGAACAAGAACAAGCAAAACAATAACCCCCCTCCCAAAAACACATTTAAATAATTGCCTGGCACCTAAAAATGTATAATGAAGGCGCCAGAAGGAGCCTCCGTGGGGAGAGCATCTCACAAACAGGGAGCCACTGCAGAAAATGTTGCAGATATAAAATTTTGTGCTGTTTGAAGCAAGTGGTAGCTTAAGAACTGACTCCTTTGGAAATGAAACTTTGTCCAGACCCATGAAAATATTGCTTAAACTTTTACTGGCAGAACTTTATTCAAAACAATTAAAACACCCATACAATATCTTGTGTTGACCAGCACAGGCTCAGTATCTTACAAAATAAGAAATAGTCCAAATAGACCTATAAACAGAGCTCGCTCTCTCTCTCTCTCTCTCTCTCTCTCTCTCTCTCTCTCTCTCTCCCACCTTCTTTCCAACTCTTGGAGTCTCAGCTTCAGGATCTGTCCTTCCAGTGAGCACTCAGGGCTGATTTCCTTCCGAATGGATAGGTTTGATCTTCTTCTTGAGGCCCCTTTTTGAGTCGACCACCTGTGATTGCTGCGTCCTTCCGCTTTCTCATTTCTAGCCTCGTTCTACCGCCTTCTCAAGCGTTTTGGTTACAAAGGAGGCTGGAGCATAGGCGGTGCAAGGAGAGATGTGGTCAGCTGGTTGGAACATCGGTTGTTCCACCCAGCAGCTTTGGTGTCCTCAAGGCCTATTAGCTGAGCTGTGTGCTGCACTGGGGGCCCAGGTACAATGCTTTGTGGTGGCTGGGAGGAAAGGAGGCGATGACTGTTCAGTTCCTGCTCTTGTCTTTGCATCTGACAGTCTGGTTGAGTCAGGGAGAGACAGCCCATCCTCTCTTTGAAAGCAGAGAGACAGTGGTGAAGAAGAGGACCCCGCCATTGGCCTTCGAGGGACGCCGGCTGAGCATGAAATTTGCTGCCTTGATAACAGGTTTGGGGCCTCTCTCTTGTTATAGACAAAATAGGGGGGTTGGCTTTTGCTGCCCTACTTGCCAAGGTCGCCTAAGCCCATGATTGGTCATAGATGAATGGATGGAGGCAACACCTCGGTAACCAAAAACTCACTCCTTATCCTTATCCTTCTGGCGGTTCCCTCGCTGCGAGAAGCCAAGTTACAGGGAACCAGGCAAAGGATCTTCTTGGTGGTGGCACCCACCCTGTGGAACGCCCTCCCACCAGATGTCAAAGAGAAAAACAGCTACCAGACTTTTAGAAGACATCTGAAGGTAGCCCTGTTTAGGGAAGCTGTTAATGTTTAATAGTGGGACGCGGGTGGCGCTGTGGGTTAAACCACAGAGCCTAGGACTTGCCGATCAGAAGGTCGGCAGTTCGAATCCCCGCGACGGGGTGAGCTCCCGTTGCTCGGTCCCTGCTCCTGCCAACCTAGCAGTTCAAAAGCACGTCAAAGTGCAAGTAGATAAAGAGGTACCACACCGGTGGGAAGGTAAACGGCGTTTCCGTGCGTTGCTCTGGTTCACCAGAAGCGGCTTAGTCATGCTGGCCACATGACCCGGAAGCTGTACGCTGGCTCCGTCGGCCAATAAGCAAGATGAGCGCCGCAACCCCAGAGTCGGCCACGACTGGACATATTGGTCAGGGGTCCCTTTACCTTTACCTAATGTTGAATAGGTTATTGTATTTTAATATTTTGTTGGAAGCCGCCCAGAGTGGCTGGGGAGACCCAGCCAGATGGGCGGGGTATAAATAAATAAATTATTATTATTATTATTATTATTATTATTATTATTATCATCATCATCATCTGCATCTTACGACTGACAGGCTTGGACTCAGCCACATTGGCAAAGGCCAAGAGCAAGGAGACCAAGCCTGAGAGAGCCACGGATTCCAGCCACCCTGAAGTAAGACGTCAAAAGCAAGGGAAATCTGCCCCTGGGTGCTCGTTCCTGTCAATCTGACACGGAGGAATCTGAGCTCTACCCACTTTTCTGATTTCCGGGTCAGCTGCCACAAGTCTGCCCTAACCACTAGGCAGTCTTGATATTCTTTTTCTTTGGCGATCACTTGTAGCTGAAAACATTGGCAGCATTAAGATAAATTCAACAGTGTAAATAAGTTTTGACAGATGCAATAACGGAATGCTGAATGGTACAGTTTTTGTAAAATATGCAGGGATTTATGATATGCAAAATGAACCATAGAAAGTTTGCAGATGATACAAGGGTGGTTGGTTTAATCACAGCTGGAGAGGGGGAGGCGGCCTATAGGAAGGAAGTTGAGCAGTTGGGGGAGTGGTGCAGGAAAAACAACTTACTTCTTAACTTAAAGAAAACAAAAGAGATCATTGTGGACTTTAGGAAATGTAAATTGAATATTCAGCCACTTATTATTGAGGGGAAGTGCGTGCAACAGGTCTCGGTGTTTCGATTTCTGGGAATGGAGTTGAGAGACGACCCAACCTGGGGAGAAAACAGCAAAGACCTGGTGAAGAGAGCACAGCAGAGGTTATATTTTCTGAGAATCCTCCGGAAAAACAATCTCTCAAAGGACCTGTTGATGGCATTTTACCATTGCACTGTGGAGAGTGTCTTAACTTATGGTCTGTGTGTCTGGTTTGGGAGCTGCACGGCCAGGGAAAAAACAATGCTGTCCAGGGTTGTGAAGACTGCGGAGAGAATAACTGGGTGCACTCTTCCCACCTTGGATCAAATCTATGCTTCCAGGTGCCATAAGAAAGCTGCAGAGATAGCGCAGGATAGTACACACCCCGGAAATGATCTCTTTCAGCTTCTGCCTTCTGGAAGAAGGGACAGGGTTATAAAGGCCAGGACTAGCCGCCTGAGAAACAGTTTCTATGCAAATGCAATTCTGGTTCTAAACGCAGCATAAGGAGTCTCTATAGTATATTGTATTTTAAAATGGGGTTTCAGAGTTTTTAGGGGTTTTGAATGTTTTATGTAGTTCAATTTCATTGTTCTGCATGGGACAATGACAATAAAGATATCATATATGGAAAGGGAAGAAGGGAAGTCACTGATATTTTAATGAGTATTTTAAATTGTAAAACAGAAAATTTAATAATGGTGTGATTGTGAGAGAGAGGGTGAGTTTATATAAACTCACCCTCTATCTCATAAACCACATCATTTCTCATGACATCTCTCCTTTGCTGTTCACTTCCAGCCTGTCTGCGGATCCTCCTTTGGAGATCAGTCCATGCAGGTAAAGTTGGTTTCCATTTTTGTTTAATTGTTACTGATTTTAGTAAGCAGTTGCAAGGGATGGCCGGGTGTCAATTTTGTATATGATTAAATTCACAGCTCAGGTTGTTGTAAACAAAAATTGCCCTTTTCTCTTCTGGGGTATCCAAGAGCCCATATAGAGTCCTTGCATAGGTTCCCTATTGGTAGGAGAGAATAACTGAGGCCAACCAGAGAATATTGAGAAGCAAAGCAGCTAGTAAGCCTGATCTTTATTGATCTGTTGCAACAGGGTGCTCCCCTCACACGCAGGAGAGGAGGAGGAACCCAGACAAATGGCGTGCAAGGCCTTATAAAGACTTTTGAAATTGCCACCCTGTAGATCAAGACCAACCCCAGAAACACCATACATACATCACAGAAGGGGTGTAACCTAAGACCACCCCTCAGATACATCATACCTACATCACAGAAAAGGCAGTCTTAAAACAGAAATTTGAATGTTGTTTATCTCCTGTCTGGCAGATTACTTGATTGGATTGCTTGGGGAGCCCGGCCATTCTTTTGTAGTGATAAATACTTAGTTCCTGGGCCAGGTCACAGGCTCACACCTTATTCAAACAGAGACATACCCTTAAGACAGGATTTGTGAAGGAAAAGACAATGGGGAGGCTTTTCCATTTTCCTTTGACCTTGCAGAGAAAACATTTGGTCAGTTTGGGAATCAAAATGGTTCCAGGTCGGTCTTCCTGTGCTGATCTATGTATGTGCTTGGTTGGTACACTTATGAACATTTAACATATATCTAAGACCTCAAAATTCCTATCACAAGGTACAGCAAAAGGCAGAAATCCAGAAGGTCAAATTTACCACAGTGGAAGATGTGGCGATAAGGAAGGTATCACCTGTTGGATTTTTGTTGCTGCCGAGTGTGTCGAACCAAACGTTCCGGAAGTCCGGCAAAAGCCACCTTGGTAGTCAAGAAAACCCCAAAACTAAATGGTAGTCGTTGCAAGAATGAACACATATGTGTTTATATTCATTTGCTTCAATCTTTCCCCAAATAAGATACCCTCTTTATTCTGTGCTCCTTCGCTTCTCAGAGCATCTTCGTCCTCTGGGTTTCATGCGTTTATTTCCTGACTGGCTGGGTTTCCTCTCCTTCTCCAGAGATCCCACCTGCAGCAATTCTTTCCTTGGATCACCAGCACCATGTCTACATCAGAGATGAAAAGGTGATTCTCACTTGTTCGGCTCCTGATAGTTTGAAGGTGGCAGGATATACGTTCTTCAAAGAACAGCAAGATCAGACCTTCAAGGAGTTGCCCAATAGTGGAATGGGGCCTTATGAGATGTTCCGTGTCAATGAAGATACTGTTGGGAATTACAGCTGTGTTTACTGGATCATGCCCTCAGGACAGGAAATCTTTTCCTCACAGAGCAACCTTGTCTCTGTAGCCATGGCAGGTGAGCATCTTTGCATTTTGCTGTTTGGCGTTGTCTCTTTCATTCGCAACACAAGAGAGAGAGGAGCACTGTGTTCTGAAAGAAGGATTTCAATTTTTATATATATAAATTTATTTATTTGGTTTTTCAGATTAAAATTTTACAGTCACATCCAACATAGAAACAAGATTCCAAAGAATCTTTTGGACTTCCCTCTTCCCTTTTTGTTAATCCTATTGTTAATCATTTCCTCCTGCATCTTTTATGATGATCCAAATCTTTTACCTCTCCACTGTGTCCAAAATTCACCATTAAACTATAAGCGTTATTCCAAGCCTACTAACGATTTTAACTGTTTGCAATGGTTTTTAAGATAAATTATAATTTCCCCCCATTTCTTATTAAAATTTTGGTCTTCCTGGTTTCTGATTGTTCCGGTCATTTTAGTCATTTTGGAGTAATCCATCAACCGGATCTGCCATTTTTCTCTGTTAGGGACTTTATCTTCTTTCCATCTCAGGGCCAATAACATCCGTGCAGTCATGGTCGCATACATAAATAGTATTTTCTGCTCCCTTTGGATTTTGGCACCTAGAATTCCTAAAAGGAAGGCTTCGGGGGTTTTTTAAAAAGAAAAGGTTATTTGAAACATTTTTTTCAACTCACTATATATCATTTCCCAAAATTCTTTTACTACCTTACATTTCCTCCACATATGATAAAAGGTGCCCTGAAAGAAGGATTTCAGACTGCCTGGAAGGTTTATAAGGTGAGCGGCCACTGATAAGGAAAGGATCAGCGTTGATTTACTGAATGCAACTTCCTTCCGAGTAATCATAGTGTGGGAACTTGCATGTATGAATGTTCCTTGTTGAGTTATTAAATGTCAGGCGGCTCTAACTTAAGCCCATTAATTTCACTGAGTCTGTTCTGAGTAGGACTTACTGGCCAGCAACCCATTCTCAGGTCTCAAGGTACAGATCTTTTTGGGAGAGTGGCAGTGGTGTAATCTGGGTGAAGAGTCTTCCTTGCCAAATTTGCATGTGGCACAATGGGTCAGTGCTTCTTCTTTCGTCTTCTTTGGCGATCCCTCGCAGCCGAGTAAGATTGTCTTCCATAAACATGGTTTTAACAGTGAGTCCGTAAGTGACTGTGGAGGCCAGTTCTGGATCCACACGTCCTTCCTCAATGCGGACATAGGTTTCCGGGCAGGAGTTGATCACAGTGAGGGTTTGCCAAGTGTGCCTTCCTCTTAGCATGTTTCTCCCTTGCGTCCTGAGTTCGAGCGTCTTCAAAGCCCAGGACACCTTTGGTAAAGGCTGTTCTCCAACTGGAGTGCTTGCAAGCCAGTGTTTCCCAATTTTCATTGTTTATACTACGATTTTTTAGATTTGCCTTGAGAGAGTCTTCAAACCTCTTTTATTGACCACCAGCATTACACTTTCCATTTTTAAGTTCGGAATAGAGCACAGTGGTACCTCGGGCTACAGATGCTTCAGGTTACAGGCACTTCAGGTTACAGACTCCACTAACCCAGAAATAGTACCTCGGGTTAAGAACTTTGCTTCAGGATGAGAACAGAAATTACGCTGCGACGGCGCAGCAGCAGCGTAAGGCCCCATTAGCTAAAGTGGTACCTCAGGTTAAGAACAGTTTCAGGTTAAGAACGGACCTCCGGAACAAATTAAGTTGTTAACCCGAGGTACCACTGTAGTTGCTTTGGAAGATGATAATCAGGCATCCGCACAACATGACCAGTCCAACAAAGTTGATGTTGAAGAATCATTGCTTCGACACTAGTGATCTTTTCTTCTTCAAGTACATGGGCATTAGTTCACCTGTCTTCCCAAGTGATGTGTACAATTTTTCAGAGACACAGCTGATGGAATCTTTTGAGGAGTAGACAAAGTGGGTCAGTGCTGTTGAAATGGAACACTCAAGATGAAATGGTGAAATCAGCTATGATTAAATGGGCACAAGATGTTGGACATAATATAATGATGGCAGACTGGGAACAGTTATGGACCACAGGTATGAAATTCATGGCATGTAATGCCCTAAGAGAAAATTTAATGAAAATGATTTATAGGTGGTATATGACACCAGTCAAGCTTGCAAAAATTTACCATTTGCCCGATAATAAATGTTGGAAATGTAATGAGACTGAAGGTACATTCTTTCACCTTTGGTGGACATGCCCAAGGATTAAGACATTCTGGGAGATGATTTATAATGAAATGAAAAAGGTATTCAAATATACCTTTCTGAAGAAACCAGAGGCCTTTCTCCTGGGCATGGTCGGCCAATTGGTGCCAAAGAAGGATAGGACTCTCTTTATGTATGCAACAACAGCAGCAAGAATACTCATCGCGAAGTATTGGAAGACACAAGATTTACCCACCCGGGAAGAATGGCAGATGAAGTTGATGGACTATATGGAACTGGCGGAAATGACTGGCAGAATCCGAGACCAGGGAGAAGAGTCAGTGGAAGAAGACTGGAAAAAGTTTAAAGACTATTTACAGAAATACTGTAAAATTAATGAATGTTAGAACAATGTTGGAATGAAGTTATATGGCTTTAGCTGAAATGTTATAAGGAATTAAGTATAAATAGATTAATAGAGTGTTAAAGGAAAAAATAAGGTTAGAATGTGTTAAGATAATTATAGGATAGAAAACAGAGGAAGATGGAAAGGAATTGCTGAAACAATTAACAAAAGTGGAATACAAAAAGGGAGGTGTGAGGAGGTCGTTGGAATAAGTGAATGGAAGATAAGATATTGAAATTATTTGATGTGTTTTAAACTGTTTTTGTTTTGTTTTGTTAGTTTAATGTGTTAGTGTTATGTGTTAGTGTTATGTAGTGTCTTTGCATTGTATTGTATTGTCCTTTTTTATTGTTTAAATTGTTGGAAAAGCAATAAATATTATTAAAAAAAAAAGAAAAGACAAAGTGGGTCAGTGCATCTAGCTATTATCCAGAAGGTTGGTGGTTCAAGCCCACCAAAGGGCAGTTGTGAGCAGGATTCCTGCATTCTATGGACTCGATGACTCTTGGGATCCCTTCCAACTCAACAATTCTATGATTCTAAATTCAGAAAATAAACTTCTTCAAGCACATGCCCAGTAATCAACAAAACAATATACTAGCCTTAGACCCCTGAGTTCCCATAGAACTGTCTGACCTTCGTTGAACGGTAACAGAAACTGGATAGCGAGAAATATTTGTACGACTGGCATTGGAAACCCACAAAATGCTCACAATTGTGTACGGAGACGAAGCCGTAACTCAAAAGACAGTGTATGAGTGGTTTAAGCGTTTCCGTGAAGGGCGGCAAATGTTGACAGACTCCGTGAGTTATTGATGTGGGATCGGCGTTTGTGTGTCCAAATGATGGCGGAAGAATTGCATATTCCGCATGAAATCGTTACTGAGGTTACTGAGTTGTCCCACACTCCATATTCTCCCATCTGGCCCCAACGGATTTATTTCTTTTTCCAAAACTGAAATCTGCACTGAAAGGGCACAGATTTCCCAACATTTCACACATCCAAGCTGCTGTGATGAGGGAACTGAAAGCAGTACGAATATCCAGACTTCTCCAGAAGTTTCCAACAGTTCTACGAACGTTGTCAACGCTGCATTGTATCAGAGGAGGCCTACTTTGAAGGCCTGTAAGGCATGTATGTTTGAATATTTCTCGCTGTCCTATTTCTGTGACCATTCACCGAATTTTCCGGTCACACCTTGTAGTGGTGCATGCTCTAGTTATCTCTTGCTTGGACTACTGCCATGCACTCTACGTGGGGCTACCTTTGAAGGTGACCCGGAAGCTACAACTAATCCAGAATGCGGCAGCCAGACTGGTGACTGGGGGCAGCCGCCGAGACCACATAACACCAGTCTTGAAAGACCTACACTGACTCCCAGTACATTTCTGAGCACAATTCAAAGTGTTGGTGTTGACCTTTAAAGCCCTAAACGGCCTCGGCCCAGTAGACCTGAAGGAGCGTCTCCACCCCCATCATTCTGCCCAGACACTGAGGTCCAGCGCCGAGGGCCTTCTGGCGGTTCCCTCACTGCGAGAAGCAAAGCTACAGGGAACCAGGCAGAGGGCCTTCTCGGTGGTGGCGCCCGCCCTGTGGAACACCCTCCCATCAGATGTCAAAGAGATAAACAACTACCTGACATTCAGAAGACATCTTAAGGCAGCCCTGTTCAGGGAAGTTTTTAATGTGTATTTTTGGTTTTTGTGGAAGCCGCCCAGAGTGGCTGGGGAAACCCAGCCAGATGGGCAGGGTACAAATAATAAATTATTATTATTATTATTATTATTATTATTATTATTATTATTATTATAGATTCCTTTACAGGCCAAGTGGACCACAGGCTCTTAACTACTAAGCCATGTCTAGGTCACCTGCTCATAACTTCTCCTTTGCGGATGATTCCTGCAGATCCCCCTCCTTTTCCGGTGCTGAAAGTGGATCCACCGTCTGGAGTGGTGAACGAAGGGGACTCCCTGCGCCTCACTTGCTTGGCCAATGGGACCATAACTGAGAAGAGATTCCATTTCTTCAAGGATGGTGCTGAGATGGACACCAGTCATGAAGGATCCAGAGAACCTGTGAATACCTCACCAAACGCCTCTGTGAGCATCTTACAAGCCACGGTCAACCACAGTGGAGAATTTGCTTGCAGTTATGAGGAAGCGATTGGTGGCCGATGGGTTATGTCTCCATGGAGCAAGACAGGGAAAGTCATGGTGAATGTCCCAGGTGAGTCATTTTGGGGAAGTGAGAGCCATCTTTAGCAGTAGCACAATCCATTTTAATGTGTTGTGTGAAATGAGGCTATCAATATGTCTGGTCTTCCGCACGAGACACAATGAATGTCACCTTCCTTATTTCATATGCTGCGTCTCAACCTTCATGCTTGGGGGGAATGGAGGGGGAGGGATGGAGATGGAGAGGTCTGCTCACATTTTATCCTATGTTTAGAGAAGTTTTTAATATTTAATGCTGTACAGTGGTACCTTGGGTTACATACGCTTCAAGTTACAGACACTTCAGGTTACAGACTCCGCTAATCCAGAAAAATTACCTCGGGTTAAGAACTTTGCTTCAGGGTGAGAACAGAAATCGCGCGGCGGTAGCGGGAGGCCCCATTAGCTAAAGTGGTGCTTCAGGTTAAGAACAGTTTCAGGTTAAGAACGGACCTCTGGAACGAATTAAGTACTTAACCCGAGGTACCACTGTATTGTTTTTAACAATTGATTGGGAGCCACCCAGAGTGGCTGGGGAAACCCAGCCAGATGGGTGGGGTATAAATAATAAATTATTATTATTATTATTATTAATAATAATAATAATAATAATAATGTTCTGCTCATGTTGTGAATGGGTTTCCGGAACGGATCCCGGTCGCTACCAGAGGTACCACTGTGCCGTCATTAAAGAGATAAAAATCAACATTCAGAATTCTTGGGACCTTTTTCAAATGACATCACGCCTTCAGGACGAAAGACCCAAGCGAAACACAACAAACAAATAAATGAAGTGGAGACTCCTAGGGCAATTTAGGGGATGTGATGGCTTACACATGACATGAGTAGTAAGGTAAAGGTAAAGGGACCCCTGACCATTAGGTCCAGTCGTGACTGACTCTGGGGTTGCGGCGCTCATCTCGCTTTATTGGCCGAGGGAGTCGGCGTACAGCTTCCGGGTCATGTGGCCAGCATGACTAAGCCGCCTCTGGCGAACCAGAGCAGTGCATGGAAACGCCGTTTACCTTCCCACCAGAGCGGTACCCATTTATCTACTTGCACTTTGACGTGTTTTCGAACTGCTAGGTTGGCAGGAGCAGGGACTAAGCAACAGGAGCTCACCCCGTCGCGGGGATTCGAACCGCCGACCTTCTCATCAGCAAGTCCTAGGCTCTGTGGTTTAACCCACAGCGCCACCCGCGTCCCTTGACATGAGTAGTACAGATCCCCAAACTGTGATCAAGAGTTTAGCCAGCTAACATTTACCTTCCCGGACACTGCACATTTCCCCTGAATATTATGCAACACATGCTCCTGATCTTCTCCTCTCCACTCCTCCTGAAGTCCAAGTGGGGAATTCATGAACCCACGACTCTCTGTTGACAACCCTGCCTGGATGAACCCGATTTAGTTATGGCTTGCCCCTTAAAACCTCAGTGAGCCACAGACTCCAAATCACTTAGCCATTGTATTCATTTTCTTTTACGGACAGCTCCTGTAGCTCATGTAGCCAATGTGGTGTAGTGGTTAAGAGTGGTAGACTCGTAATCTGGTGAACCGGGTTCACTTCCCTGTTCCTCCACATGCAGCTGCTGGGTGACCTTGGGCCAGTCACACTTCTCTGAAGTCTCTCAGCCCCACTCACCTCACAGAGTGTTTGTTGTGGGGAAGGAAGGGAAAGGAGAATGTTAGCTGCTTTGAGACCATTGGCAGCGACGCAGAGCAAAGGTTCCATTTCTACAAGGATGGGGTCAAGATTTCCTCCAGCAGTGAAGAGTCTCTGGCGGATTCTGGAGAACCCAGGAATGCCTTCTCGAACGCCTCTGCAGACATCCTGGTCCAAGTCACAGCCAGCATCCACACTGGGGGATTTGCTTGCAGGTATGAGCAGAAACTGAGCAGCCGATGGATCATGTCTCCCTGGAGCCAAACGGTGAATGTCACAGGTGAGCCATGCCCTAATATTTTACAAATATTAATTCATAACAATCCAAATTACATACCCATAATTAGAGATTTCTCCAAATTTCTGGACTTTCCACCTTCCCCTCCATGGGTCCTTTTGTATACCCTCTTAACTGCATATTTTTCCACAATCTGTATTTTATATCTTCCCATCTTGTCCATAATATTAGTTAAATTGCAAGTGTTATTACAATCCTGCTAGGGTTTTCACCTGTTTACAGTGATCACCTAGATAAATTATAAATTTCCCCCTTTCTTTATTGAAGTTTAGTTCTCCTTGGTTCCTGAGTCTTCCAGTCAGTTTTGCCATTTCGGCATAGTCCAACAGTTTTATTTGCCTTTATTCTCTGGTAGGGACATAATTTTCTTTCCATCTCTAGGCTAGCAGCATCCACGTGGCTGTTGTCGCATACATATAATGTCTTTTCTGTTCCTTTGGTATATCGGTATACCAATATACTGATATGTTTTTAACTTCACTGAATTACTGTTACTGTGTCTTCAACAACAATGGCTGCAATGGAGTCTCTCCTCCCTTTATTCATGTTGTTGTTGTTGTTGTTGAGTCGTTTAGTCATGTCCGACTCTTTGTGACCCCCTGGACCAGAGCACACAAGGCACTCCTGTCTTCCACTGCCTCCCACAGTTTGGTCAGACTCATGCTGGTCGCTTCGAGAACACTGTCCCACCATCTCGTCCTCCGTCGTCCCCTTCTCCTTGTGCCCTCCATCTTTCCCAACATCAGGGTCTTTACCAGGGAGTCTTCTCTTCTCATGAGGTGGCCAAAATATTGGAGTCTCAGCTTCAGGATCTGTCCTTCCAGTGAGCACTCAGGGCTGAATTCCTTCAGAATGGAGAGGTTTGATCTTGTTGCAGTCCATGGGACTCTCAAGAGTCTCCTCCAGCACCATAATTCAAAAGCATCAATTCTTTGGCGATCAGCCTTCTTTATGGTCCAGCTGTCACTTCCATACATCACTACTGGGAAAATTATAGCATTAACTATACGGACCTTTGTTGGCAAGGTGATGTCTCTGCTTTTTAAGATGCTGTCTAGGTTTGCCATCGCCTTTCTCCCAAGGAGCAGGCGTCTTTTAATTTTGTGACTGCTGTCACCATCTGCAGTGATCATGGAGCCCAAGAAAGTAAAATCTCTCACTGCCTCCATTTCTTCCCCTTCTTCCCCTTATATTTGCCAGGACCCCTTATTCATACCAACAGCCAAATCCCCTTCTTTCCTCTCTGCAGTTTGGGCACCAAATTCCTCTTCGTCACCCCTGCTATATGCACGCTGGGCAATTCCACTGGTGATCCTGATGGTCCCTCTTGCTTTTTACTGCACGAGAAGGAAGAGAGGTAGGTGATGCTGGAGACTGTGGGCCTCTCATATCATTGGCCCAGTAGACCTGAAGGAGCATCTCCACCCCCATCGCTCAGCCCGGACACTGAGGTCCAGCTCTGAGGGCCTTCTGGCAGTTCCCTCCCTGCAAGAAGTGAGGTTACAGGGAACCAGACAGAGGGCCTTCTCGCTGGTGGCACTCTCCCTGTGGAACATCCTCCCATCAGATGTCAAGGAAATAAACTACTATCTGAATTTTAGAAGACATCTGAAGGCAGTCCTGTTTAGGGAAGTTTTTGATGTTTGATGTTTGATCATGTTTTTAATATTCTGTTGGGAGCTGCCCAGAGTGGCTGGGTAACCCAAAAGGTGGGCAGGGTATAAATAAATTATTGTTATTACTACTACTACTACTACTACTACTACTACTACTACCTATGTATGTAGAAGCCTGCCTAAGATCTTTAGGGGATGATGCTCCTCTCTGTGTCGTGAGAGTGGTGGCCGTGAGAGCAGTGTTGGTTAAAAGCAACAAAACCAAGCATTTGTTTTGTCTTCCTTCGTATTGGATGTGGTTAGGATGTCGGAGGGAGCCTTGCCTGTGTCTGTCCTGTGGAACTCCCAGCCACAAGAGGTTTGTTTTCAGGACCAGCCCTGTCTCACCATCTTTCTTCTCTTTTCTCTCTCCATTTCCATTTTGGAAGCGTTGAAATCTGAGCAGGAAAACAAGGAAGAAGCAAATTCTGAGTATGTTGAAATGTTCAGCGCCACTAGGAAGCCTCAGAGGTAACGGCAACTAATGCTGGTATAACACTGATGTGCTGTGTGTGTTATCTTCATGATTTCTTATTTATTTAAAGCATTTCTTCCAAAAAGTGTTCCTAGACTAGCCGACCAAAATAACAATGGTCGTGGCACACAAGGAGGAAGGGAGGAGCCAAAGAGCCAGCTCAGGCAGCAGTTCAGTTCTTAACGTTTTGAACACAGTTGGAGGCGAAGAGCACCCACAAACCATGCAATTGTGGGATGTAAACACAGGAGCAGTCAATGACAACATTCCTAGAGGGTACATGTTAGAACATGGGGAGGGATGTCAGTCCAGCAAGCAGGTAAACTTCCTGGGGACGGACTTCCTCCGCATGTGACCAGAGGTGGGTGTGGCCTCACCTGTGCAGGTAATGACAAAGGCACAGGGCAGGCAGCCACTCTCTCTCTCTGCCATTTTCTTTCAATGAGGAAACATCTAAGGATGCCCTCTTGGCTCTCAGCCAAGAGAGGAGATAAGGACTATCTTGCTATAAGATAGATTCTGAATGTATGTAACCTTTTTAAGCTGTCTGCCTTCTGGGATCATATTGTGAACAGAACGTGAGTAAACTCTTTTATACTTTTATAAAGACTGTGTCGTGTCTTGTATTTTAAGAGGGAACACAAACGGGAAAGTACCAGAGTAATTATTATAGAGGTTCTAGCGAACCTGTGCACACGTTACCGTTGCGAACTTAAAGGGGAATGTTTATAAACTCTGCTGATATTTTGGGAACTTGTTAGCACAAGTTGGATAAGGATATAATTAGTCAATATATCCTCTCCTGCACCCCAGAACATTCCCACAGCAATGAGTTTCCAGAGGGGAGGAAAACTTGAACCCAGAACCTGGCAACCTGGAAATGCAGGAGAGACTTCTCAGTCAAGAGAGGGACAACGTCTTGTTGGCTGGGAGATAAAAGGATGAAAGGCGACTGAAGGAACAGGCAGCGGGGGGGTGTCCCAGGCAGAAAAAGGAGCAAAGAGACCCCACAGAAAGAATCATAGAATTGTAGAATTGGAAGGGACCCGGTGGATCATCTAGTCTAGTCCAACCCCCCTGCAATGCAGGGAAATGCAGCTGCCCCATACGGTGATCGAACCTGCAACCTTGGCATAATCAGCACCACGCTCTAGCCAACTGAGCTGTTCAGGAAGAAGGACCGATAGGACAAGATTGGGGATGGCAGATAAGGAGGGGGAAATGATTGGCATGTTGGAGAGAAGGGAAGATGTCTGAAAGAGATGGGGTGGCTGGGACAGAGATAGAGCGATGGGGCAGGGAAAGGTGGCGGCAGAAGGGGAGAAGGGAGCAGATTCGTTGAGTTGCTTGACCATTCACCTTTGCCATGAGCTGCTGTGTGTATTCTCTGTGTAAAAAAACTGGGACAGAAATTGTGGCACCATTTAAAAACGAACCTTTGATAATACAATAACTGGCTCCCTCCCCCACAATCTCTATTTAAGGAAATAGAAACTGAGCTATGGAATTGGCTGCTACAGGATGTGGTTTAGATGCCCTTTGAAAAGAGGTACATTCGTGAAGAATATTCTGCCAAAACATTTTAGTCATGACAGCTTAGTAGATCTTCATTGTGCAGAAGCAGTCTACCTCTGAATTGCTGTGCACTGGAGATAAGCAAAAGAGGAGGGTGGCCTGTTTGTGAGTTGCCCAGGAGTGTCCAGCTGGTTGCTGTCAAAACTGAATGAAGCGAACCCTCAATTTGCTCCCAACAGGCTTGGGGGGCTCATCATTCTTTGAACATGTCCCTCAATTTCCTTCTCCTTTTCAGGACTCAGACGCCTTTTACTGCCTTGCCACCCCCTGCTCTGCCTCAGCCCCCAATATCGCAATCATGGATGGAGAGCGGAGCCAAACCTGAGGAAGACCAGTAGGAAGGTCTCTACAACTCCATTCCCCTTCAGGGCAGGAAGAGAGCAGAACGATAGAGAGATTCTTCTTGCGGGGAGATTAAGATATTCAGATGGGGATTTACGACCAGGGAAATGGGGTGGAAGGGGTCAGGGAAGAGGGCAGTGTTATGCCTTCCCCTGCCTATTCCAGCATACGGCTTGGCTCACTTTCTGCAGCACTTTCCTCAAGAGTTTGTCTGTCTAAAATACTTTGCCCTGTTGCCCAAGGGTGCCTGTAAGCAGCAGGATTTGCCCAGTTAGCTGCTGTTCCTCTCCCTAGATCAGGGATGGGGAACTTGTGGCTCCCTCGATGATCTTGGGATCCAGCTCCCATCAGCCCCAGCCAACATGGTCTGTGCTCGAGGGATGATAGGAATGGTTGAAGTTGTTGTCTATGCTCTTGTATCCTCAAGGTTAGATTACTGCAATGCATTATATGTAGGGCTGCCTTTGAAGACGGTTTGGAAACTTCAGCTGGTGCAGAATTCAGTGGCCAGGTTGCTCACTGGAACAAGAGGGTTTGAACATATTGCCTCAATCCTGGTCTGATTGCAGCAGATTCTGATTACAGGGAATGGCAAGACAAACTGTTAGAGTATATTGAACAGGCTAGATTAACAGAGGCAATTAGAGATCACAGTTTCAAAAAGCATGGGGGAAATGCAGAGAATACTTCACAAAACAGTGCCCTAAAAGACATACCTGGACTTGCTTCGATTAATGTCTGCAGGAGACTTTGTGGATATTTAAGTTACAATTAGAAAAATCTTAATAATTATTCATAAAGGAAACAGCTTATAAGAAGTAAATAAGGAGGCAAGATACAGGATAAAGGAAGTCTTTTATTTGTATTGTTGTATGTTATGCTTATTGTATGTTATGTTATGTTATGTTCATGTTTAATGAGGGTGGATTTCTGTATTGGGGGGCAGGGGGTTTATGTTATGTTGTAAATAAAATTCCCAATAAAAATAAAAAAAAAATAGAAAAAATAAAGCATGCCCAACGCACATCACTTCTCCCAAAGTCCGTCAACATGGACAGATTCTCCCCTCGCTGTGTGTGAGGTTTGGTTTAAACTGGAGAGAACAGCAGGCCTTGAAGCTGTGTGGCTGTGCAGTAAAAAAAACAGCACTTCCTCACTTGGTAGACCACACTGGCCATGTCCCCAGATTCCTCTCTTCTCAGAAGAACAAAACAAAACCACGGCTCCCTCCGCAGCTCCCTGCTAGTAATATCAGACTGCTGCGCACCCTGCCTCTTGCATCAACTTTCAAAGGAACAATCGGGGTTTTGCCCATCGGCTACGGAGAAGAGGCTGCTTCTGGGCAGCCTGCCTTGGCAGTGACACCCGATATACACAGTACAGTGGTACCTCAGGTTACAGACGCTTCAGGTTACGTACGCTTCAGGTTACAGACTCCGCTAACCCAGAAATAGTGCTTCAGGTTAAGAACTTTGCTTCAGGATGAGAACAGAAATCATGCTCTGGCGGCATGACAGCACGTCATCATTCAAAGGAATTCCTGTCTTTTTAATATACAGTGGTACCTCAGGTTAAGTACTTAATTCATTCCGGAGGTCCGTACTTAACCTGAAACTGTTCTTAACCTGGAGCACCACTTTAGCTAAAGGGGCCTGCTGCTGCTGCCGCGCCGCCGGAGCACGATTTCTGTTCTCATCCTGAAGCAAAGTTCCTAACCTGAAGCACTATTTCTAGGTTAGCGGAGTCTGTAACCTGAAGTCTATGTAACCCAAGGTACCACTGTATAATAATTTTTATTTGTTTACAATTACAATCCAATAATAGCCTCATTATAACAACACCCAATTTATAATACAGTTACTAATACCAATCGTTCAAATACCGAATTATATACTTTAGATAAGGTGGGGGCCGCAGTGGCGTAGGAAGGGGGGCGAGGGCCGCCCCGCGTGCCATCGTCGAGGGGGGTGACAAAATGGCAAAAATATGTGTTTTAAAATCGCAGCTGGGCGCAAACAGGCACCCCCACCGCAGACTCCTTTATTGGAGCGTGGCTATAGCGCTTGCGCCTGGCGCAGCTCTGCCCTAAACCAGGAGAGAAGAGCAGGCAAGTGGACGGCAGCGCTGCTGCCCACCTTCCTCGGCTGCAGTACATATAGAGTAAAGTGTGCATATATTGGTGAAAATAGCATGCAGGGACACATTATGATCAGGGGAAATTGCTTTGCAAGGATGTGCAGAAAAAGCAAAATTGCACAGGCAAGTATGTCTGCTAGGAGATATTCCTTCTAAGGTGCTGCGGAGTTTTTATGAGAATGAAAAAATAAATAAATCACAAACTGATGTGTCAGTGTGGAGAACTGAGAGTGGGAAAAGGAGAGGTTGAAAGGGACAAATCCACCCATTGCTTCACACGGGACCTGCCTTCTCCACTTCTGGACCATCTCTTTCCTGCACAGCCTCGTGGTGGCGTTGTTGAGGATGGAAGAGAAGATGGCTGTAGAGGACCTCTTCGTCTTTTGCCGAGATGGGATCGTCCTTCAGCGTTGGTTCGGAGGGAGTCACAGCCGGTGGGGAGGCAATGGTGGCATAGGTGACGTCTGAGCTCTGAGGACGGAGAGGGAAACTGAGGGTGACCCACGGCTTTGACTGGACATAACCGTCCAGGGGTCCTTGCCTTTTTTCTTTCTTTTTTTTTGCCTTACCTTAGTTTGTGGGGTGGGGGATAAGGGCTGTAGCTGAGTGGCAAGGTATCTGCACTGCATGCAACATCTCCCAGGTTTGATCCCTGATGGTATCGTCAGGTAGACTCCAGTCTGAAACCCTCAAGAGTCATTACCAATCAATGCAGATAATACTGAGCTAGGCTGACCAATCGCCTGACTCGGTATAAAGGAGCTTCTTGTGTTCCTTTGTCCATGAATGGGCAATTTAGCAGCTATAGCCACAAGAGGTTCATGAGTTCTTTTTTTGGTTTTGGTTTCCATTCAAGTGGCTATCCCCACTCCTGGCGGTAGCCAATTCTGTAAGGACAGCTACACACTTGTTTACTTTGTCACCTGGACGGAAAACCAATCATTACAATTCCTAAGCTTCTTTGAAAGCGATCCTGACCCATAAAACTGGTTTCAGTAAGAGGAGGGACTCATTTCCCGGGCTCAAATGGAAGCAAAATGCCAACCTAAACCTTTCTACTTACTTTGACCTGAAAGTCTGTCGTTTGGGGTACCGACAACCCAAACATGTCTTGACTTGTTTCCTCCTTGCTTTCCTTTGGCACAGATGCTCGCTGATATTCTGATGTGCCCAGGGCAAAAAGAACTAGAGAGAGAGAGAAAGGGAGTGAAAAGTTAAAAGTATGGTTCTGCACCATCCTAATCTCTGATCTGTGAGAGACTCCACAAATTCCTGCACTGATCCAGGACTCAGTTTCCTTGGAACGAAGGTCAGAACACTGTGGTGTCTCTAGGGTATATGCTTTTATTTACACACATAAACAACCAGAGCATAGGATGGAAGGTATCATAGCATTGACATCCCAGTAGATCTTGCTTCCCCATTAGCTTTCCAGGACAGCCCCCAAACTGAGAGCAAACATGTCTCTCTCTTAGAGATGGGAAGGCCTGGAAAAAACCCAGAAAAATTGGGAAGAAACTTGTCCCCCCCCCCCCATTTTTTCTGCTCCCCCCCCCCCAGCCTTTCTCCACTCTTTCTCCAGCTTCCAGCTCTCACAGAACTCTGCCTATTGTTCTCCTATGTAGGTAGGTGAGGAGCTGGAAGAAAAGCCAACCCATCTATTCTATGACACAGAGCATCTTTTTTCGTTATGCTAAATTGTGGTACTTAACTAGCCAGCCCAAGTCATTAACTTAACAAAGTGGGCTGGTTTCCACTTACAGATTGTATTATTATGGGATTATATAATAGCAGTGCATGGTTAATCAATGGAACTAGGCCCAACAAGAGGCAGGCTCTTCTTCTGGGGATTAAGCTAGATGGTCCCAAGTTCCCATCACTTACTGCCTTTCTTTCTCCAACAACAGTAAGCGAACAGGACCGCCGGGATCAGAAGCAGACTAGCCCACCATGCATGCCCCATTGATGGAGCAGATGAATCTGGCAACTGAGCTGTGAAGATAAAAAATAAAGGAGCGGGGATGTCCTTAAAAACACACTAACAGGCTTCCTCTTGTAAATTCAAGACAAGTACATAACACAATGTTGAAAGCAAGTCTTTAAAGAAATAAATTATTTATACATACATACATACATACATACATACATAAATACATACATACACTCTGGGCGGCTCACAATATAATATTATACACATGATAACACATCAAATATTAAAAAAATTCTCAAGGAAGGCACCTTCAGGTGTCTTCTAGAAGTCAGGTAGTTGTTTATTTCCTAGTGGGTGCCACTACCAAGAAGGCCCTCTGCCTTCTGATGATATGAACTAGCCAAACTTAACTCACCTATAATGGAAACCTCAATGCAGTTACTCCGTTCAGACAGTTGTCCTGCACTGTTTTCTTCCAAGTAGGCACAGACAAATGTTTTCTTTATTTCCTGAAATCCTGCAGTGATTTCCAGGGTATTATTTAACTGTTCTTGGGGTCTAGTGTAATTACCACCTGCTTTAATTTCATAAAAGAAGAACTTGGCTGTCAGCTGCCGTTCCGGGTGGGAGCATTTCAACGTGATCCGTTGTCCCTGGAGAAAGGTCTGTCTTGGAGGGATGATGGACAGCTCTGGAGCTGGTGGAGGCAGAACTGCATTGGGGAAAGGGAAGAAGTGCAAGGGGGAAATGCCATTCAGAGAATTCCCCATATATGAGATTTAGGGCTACAACATGAGACTGTGCAACTTCCAGACCAATCCCCCCAGCACCTCTCCTTAACATTCAGCTATATTCAAAACATGAATCAATGTTATAGCAATTGTGCTCTCTTGCCTTCCCTAAGGAACCAGGAGGATGTCGACTTTGTGACTATATTCAGGGACCTTGCTTTGTGTTCCTTGCACTCTGGAGCCAAGTGAGGATTCCCAGGTAAGATACTCCCTCTATTGTGTGGGCAGGTAATCCCTCCCCTACCTGGCCTGATCTCCTTGGCAACGCTTCCCCAGGTGGGATTGGACAACTGACTGAGGTAGGCGGAGACCTCCAGGTATCCCACCTGAGGAAAGGCAAAGCCAAGCCTATGCTGATGGAGCCGCTCCAGATCTAGGGGCTGCGCGCGTCCACGCAAAGGGAGCCCCCCGTTTTAAGCGGGGAGCGGTCATTGTGACTATATTCAGGGACCTTGCTTTGTGTTCCTTGTACCTGGCAAAAACAGCAGAATGGCTGTTTTTGATGGTGGCAGTTTTGTGACTATGCTGAGAGATCTTGGCCAGAGCTCCTTTGAGCTCTCTCACAGTTACAACTACCAAAATGGCTCAACTTCGATTACTGCTTGGGATTGACTATCCCATTCCATCCTTTACTCCAATGCCTCTTAAACTCAGAATCAGATTTTGAAAATCTCTCTCTCCTCCCTTCACTCCTTCCCCAACAATGTGATGTCACAGCACTAAAAAATTCCCTAAACAGGGTTGCCTTCAGATGTCTTCTAAAAGTCAGATAGTTGTTTATTTCCTTGACATCTGATGGGAGGGCGTTCCACAGGGCAGGCGCCACCACTGAGAAGGCCCTCTGCCTGGTTCCCTGTAACCTCACTCCTCACACGGAGGGAACTGCCAGAAGGCCCTCAAAGCTGGACCTCTGTGTCTGGGCTGAATGATGGAGGTGGAGACGCTCCTTCAGATATACTGGACCGAGACCGTTTAGGGCTTTAAAGGTCAGCACCAACACTTTGAATTGTGCGCGGAAACGTACTGGGAGCCAATGTAGGTCTTTCAAGACCAGTGTTTTTGTTTTGGTGGCCGCTCCCAGTCACCAGTCTAGCTGCCGCATTCTGGATTAGTTGTAGTTTCCAGGTCACCTTCAAAGTTAGCCCCATGTAGAACACATTGCAGTAGTCCAATATGTAATATTTTACATATTTCCAATAATGAAATACGTTTTTAAAAACGGCAAAGGGTATTTAAGGAGATAACAGAAATCAGTGGGTTAAAGCTGACCAAAATTCCAGAGGTAGCATTATTATCAATTTATGGTGGGGTGGAAGGTTCACAGGCTAGGAAGGACTTGCTCTCAAATTTATTGACAGCTGCACAAATTATTATAGCTAGGAAGTGGAAGGGGCAAGAAGAATATAAAATGGAAGAATGGGATAAAGAGGTGTGGGATATAGCTATGAATGATAAATTAACATGTGCTATTAAGGTAAGACGGGGAATATGCAGGAGAAATGATTTTGAGGAGATATGGAGGGTGTTTGTAGAATTTGTACTGTTAAAACGGAAAGGGGTCAAACCATCGCAAGTGGCACTGGAATTTTGGGAGATTTAATAGTTGCAATGGAATGGTCACAGTGGAGGGGTGCACATTTTGTTCTTATTTATCTATGATTATTACTTTGTCAAAATCTAAGAAAGAAAGAAAGAAAGAAAGGAAGGAAGGAAGGAAGGAAGGAAGGAAGGAGAAGGAGGAGGCTGGTAGTCGCATCAAAGAACGGCATTGTTCCCACCCCTTGCTCTTTCCCCTCCATCCTTGAGTCTTGGAGTTCAAACACAAAACCCACAAGAGGACTGTCCCACTTCTAATGTGGGCTCTGTGTTCCCAGTGGGGCATGGCTCACCTGTGACATTCACCGTTTGGCTCCAGGGAGACATGATCCATCGGCTGCTCAGTTTCTGCTCATACCTGCAAGCAAATCCCCCAGTGTGGATGCTGGCTGTGACTTGGACCAGGATGTCTGCAGAGGCGTTCGAGAAGGCATTCCTGGGTTCTCCAGAATCCGCCAGAGACTCTTCACTGCTGGAGGAAATCTTGACCCCATCCTTGTAGAAATGGAACCTTTGCTCTGCGTTGCTGCCAAAGGCCGAGCAAGTGAGGCGCAGGAATCCCCCTTCCTTCACCACTCCAGACGGAGGGTCCACTGTCAGCACCGGGGCAGGAGGAGGATCTGGAGGAGCCAGCCACAAAGGAGAGGGGGTTAGGAGGGACCGCAAGATGAGGAAAAGCTGTTGCTCAATGTCAGAGCATCTATCTGCTTGTCCTAAATTCAAACCCTGGCAGGGAGATTCAATCCCTGGCAGGAGGAGGAAGGAAGAAGAAGAGTTTGGATTTGATATTCCACTTTATCAATACCCGAAGGAGTCTCAAAGCAGCTAACATTCTCCTTTCCCTTCCTTCCCCACAACAAACACTCTGTGAGGTGAGTGGGGCTGAGAGACTTCAGAGAAGTGTGACTAGCCAAGGTCACCCAGCAGCTGCATGTGGAGGAGCGGAGATGCGAACCTGGTTCACCAGATTACGAGTCTACCACTCTTAACCACTACACCACATTGGCTACATGAGCTACAGGAGCTGTCCTTAAAAGAAAATGAATACAATGGCTAAGTGATTTGGAGTCTGTGGCTCACTGAGGTTTTAAGGGGCAAGCCATAACTAAATCAGGTTCATCCAGGCAGGGTTGTCAACAGAGAGTCGTGGGTTCATGAATTCCCCACTTGGACTTCAGGAGGGGAGTGGAGAGGAGAAGATCAGGAGCATGTGTTGCATAATATTCAGGGGAATGTGCAGTGTCCGGGAAGGTAAATGTTAGCTGGCTAAACTCTTGATCACAGTTTGGGGATCTGTACCACTCATGTCATGTGTAAGCCATCACATCCCCTAAATTGCCCTAGGAGTCTCCACTTGTACAATAGAGGGGTCTCCCCACTTCAGACCTTCACCATCTGTCAATGGTATGAGGGTGGTGACCCCTTCGGCAGCACATGTACTAAAATTGGAATGATACAGAGAAGATTAGCATGGCTCCAGCTCAAGGATGACATGCAAATTTGTGAAGCGTTCCATATTTTTTCTGGGCAATAATTTTTTTAATAAGGACTGGGAAACATTTGTAATATATTTGACAGAACCCTGTAAACAGTTAAAAACATTATCAAGATTGAAATAACACTTGCAATGTGAAAAGAACTACAAGAGAAAATATTCTGGATAAATGGAGGATAATATAATTTGCAGTGAAAAGGGTTATTTGTGGACTCCACAAAAGGGAGGATGGGAGTCCGAGAATTCTGTATTTTTTTATTGGATTTTATCTGTGAATGTCAAACCAAATTGTAAAACCAATAAAAATTATTATAAAAGAAGTAACTGGTATGAGGGTGATGTGTCAGATCTTTGCAGCATGCCCCCAGGCCCCTTGTATGGTTTCTTACTCATGAGTAGTATTAATGCTTGACTATGGGTTACAGCGCTATCGTCCAAGAAACAAAGACAGGCCCACATTGCAGTCTGAGCAGATATCAACAAGGTTCCCACCTCTGAGGTAACCCTGGCATCTGAGAACATCACCCGCTGCCTTATAACCACGCCAGACCAGTGGTCCTGCTAGCATTGTCTACACTGACTGGAAGCATCTCTCTCCAGGTCCTCAGGCAGGAGAGTTTCCCAGACCCACCAGGAGACAACGGGGATTGAACCTGGAACATTCTAGGGCAGCCTTCCCCTTCGTCTTCCAAGAGAACTACGTGTTTTTTTAAGGCCTCACCCATCACTGAAATCCTGATGCTGTTGCTTTCTGGGGATGAGATTTTCTGGCTTGATTCTGCAGCTCGGTACGTGCAAAGATGCTCCCCGCTGTCTTGAGGAGACAAGCGCCTCGTGTACGTAAAGGAGGCCAGAGGAGAAGGGGGCCTGTAGACATGCAACAGCCATTGGTCCTTCTTAAAGAGAACCCTTGACATGAGAAGGTTTTCAGGAGCAGAGCATGTGAGGTTCACAATCTCCCCACTGCTGTAGGTGTCAAGCTTTGGGGACACAGAGAAGAACGGAGGACGAAGATGGCCTGAGAAGCAAATAAACAGATAAGGAATAAGAAGCGAGCCTTGTTTGGCAATGCCCCATTTCCCTTCAAACTGCAAAATGTAAGACTGCCCAAGTTTGGCAGGGCAGGAGACCAGGGTGACCTGCAACAAAATGTTGCAGTGTATGTCTAGCAGTTAATAGTTGTGTTCTTCTTGCAACAGGAGCCTCCTCGTCCTGTTCAGGATTTGTAGAGAAGGGGGGAGTTTCAGGGTGGGGGAAAGGATAAAACGTCCCCCCGACCTTCTCCTTCTCCTATAGTGCTAGGAGACAAGGGGCAGCCAGCCTAGTGGTGTGTTCAGGGGCCCATGTGTTCAGCGGCCCCCTGAAGCAGCTCCAGGTTCATTTCAAGGGGTGATTTCAAAATAAATTCACCTCCCCTGCAGGAGAAGGTTTGGAACAGTATACATGAGATATGGATTGTTTTATTTTTCTTCCGAAACTGCAGCTCACCAGGGTTACTGCTGCTACGATGCCTATAAGAAGTCTCTCCAGGGACCATAATGTGGGTCTGAAATTGTCCTCTTACTCCAGCCCAAAGCATCCCCATAGTTCATGCCAGTGCCTCTTTCTCACAGGGGGTACTGTTGTACACTTTGCCACAGTTAAGGGATATTATTATTATTATTATTATTAATTATTATTAATTATCATCTATACCCCGCCCATCTGGCTGGGTCTCCCCAGCCACTCTGGGCGGCTCACAATATAATATTATAAACATGATAAGACATCAAATATTTAAAAAATTCTTAAGGAAGGCGCCTTCAGGTGTCTTCTAGAAGTCAGGTAGTTGTTTATTTCCTAGTGGGTGCCACTACCAAGAAGGCCCTCTGCCTTCTGATGATATGAACTAGCCAAACTTAACTCACCTCTAATGGAAACCTCAATGCGGTTACTCCGTTCAGACAGTTGTCCTGCACTGTTTTCTTCCAAGTAGGCACAGACAAATGATTTCTTTGTTTCCTGAAATCCTGCAGTAATTTCCAGGGTATTATCAAACTGTTCTTGGGGTCTAGTGTAATTACCATCTGCTTTAATTTCATAAAATAAGAACTTGGCTGCCAGCTGCCCTTCCGGAGGGGAGCATTTCAACGTGATCCGTTGTCCCTGGAGAAAGGTCTGTCTTGGAGGGATGATGGACAGCTCCGGAGCTGGTGGAGGCAGAACTGCATTGGGGAAAGGGAAGAAGTGCAAGGGGAAAATGCCATTCAGCCCCTTTCTTAAGCTATTCTCCTTTGGTTCCTCATCGACAAATTCTTTAAATGACTTGTTGGTTCAAGGTATGCTTGTTCAGCCCCAAGAATGTCTTGGTCCTTCTTAGTCCTGCATTAAACAAATGCTACACACAGATTTCCACAATCTACTTCCTTGGGGTCACTATCAAAACAGCATTCTAATAATTCCATGTCATTAACTGGAGGAACTTTTCAACAAAACCTTTCGATTTTTGACAAACATAATTTCTTGAGGAAAGCTCACCTAAACAAGCATGTTTGAACCTTGGGTTGCCAGATGTTGTTGGACTGCAACTCCCATCAAGCTGTTTGGTGGATGACTGATGGGAGTTGTAGACCAATAATCTCTCTCCCCCTCAGTAAGCAAGCAGATTAATGAGAAAAGGAAATAGGACTTTGGGAGGACTACAGAATTTCTGATGATATTTGAATTTTGTACATACTCTAATTCTATTAATAAAATTCCCCTCCTGTTCCTTTGACCAGCCAAACTCCTCAGTTTCAATCCAGCTTCCCACTTCAACTTTCAAGAGATCCATATTGCAAAGAAAGGCCTCCTCACCCGAAATCCTGATGGAGTTGCTCTCTCTGGATGCGATCTCTCGTCCAGATTCCACAATGTTTCCAGCCACGTAAGCAAAGGCTTACACAGTTCTTCAACCTTGGGCCCCCAGATGTTGTTGAACTACAACTTCTGCTAAGTTGGCAGGGGATGATGGGAGTTGTAGAGCAGCAACAATATCTGTGCCCCCCAAGACTGAAGAACTGCTTAAAATAACCCTGCCCCTTTGCTACATCACATTAAAGCTCATCTTCACGACAGACTTGAATCTTCAGTATTGTACTCTGTTGGCTTCCCCTAGGAACTATGATGGTGGCAGTTTTGTGACTATGCTGAGAGATCTTGGCCAGAGGTCCTTTGTTCTCTCTCACAGTTACAGCTACCAAAATGGCTCAACTTTGATTACTGCTTGGGATTGACTATCCCATTCCATCCTTTACTTCAATGCCTCTTAAACTCAAAATCAGATTTTGAAAATCTCTCTCTCCTCCCTTCTCCCCTTCCCCACCAATGTGATGTCACAGCACTAAAAAAATTCCCTAAACACGGCTGCCTTCAGATGTCTTCTAAAAGTCAGATAGTTGTTTATTTCCTTGACATCTGATGGGAGGGCATTCCACAGGGTGGGCGCCACCACTGAGAAGGCCCTCTGCCTGGTTCCCTGTAACCTCACTTCTCGCAGGGAGGGAACTGCCAGAGGGCCCTCAGAGCTGGACCACAGTGTCCGGGCTGAATGGTGGGGGTGGAGACACTCCTTCAGGTATACTGGGCAGAGGCCGTTTAGGGCTTTCAAGGTCAGCACCAATACTTTGAATTGTGCTCGGAAATGTACTGGGAGCCAATGTAGGTCTTTTGGGACCAGTGTTACATGGTCTCAGTGGCCACTCCCAGTGACCAGTCTGGCTGCCGCATTCTGGATTAGTTTTAGTTTCCAGGTCACCTTCAAAGGTAGCCCCACGTAGAGTGCATTGCAGTAGTCTAAGCGGGAGATAACCAGAGCATGCACCACTTTGGCGAGACAGTCTGCGGGCAGGGAGGGTCTCATCCTGCATACCAGATGGAGCTGGTAGAAAGCTGCCCTGGACACAGAATTGACCTGCGCCTCCAGGACAGCGGTGAGTCCAAAATGACTCCCAGGCTGCACACCTGGTCCTTCAGGGACACAGTTGCCCCATTCAGGACCAGGGAGTCCTCCACATCTGCCCGCCCTCTGTCCCCCAAAACAGTACTTCTGTCTTGTCAGGATTCGGCCTCAATCTGCTAGCCGCCATCCACCCAATCATGCAAAATGTGACACTCCTGCATCCCATAGAGCTTCTGTCTCCTATCACAAAAGTTGAAAGAAGAACGGAAATCCGCTTTACCTGCCTGGACTGATCTCCCGAGGAGAATCTGGAGACAGACTGGAAGTGAAGAGCAAAGGAGAGATGCAGTGTGAATGTGAGATAGATGGCAAATTTCCAATCTGAGTTGAGCAGAGAGGTCACCAACCTGTCACCAAAGCAGCAGACTTCATGCTCAGCCAGTATCCCTGGAAGAACAACCACGGCTGGAGCCCCAAATCCACCTTCTCTCTGATTTCTGTCCCAAGAGAGACAATGAACCGGCCTTGCCGAAGCCTGTCTTCTCAAAGCAAAGACTAAAGACAGGAAGCACAACATCACACCCTCGACTCCTGAACATTGTGTAGACACACACCCTGAGCTGTGTGCAGAACTCGGCCTATAGGCTTTAGCCATAACCACAAGCTTTATCCAGCTCCATCTAGGAACTGCTAATCACATCTGATCTTGCTGTTCCATCACCTGTTTTTCTCTGCGGTCAAACTTCTTGAAGCAACCCAAATGGAACAATGTGCAGCAGGATGGGAGAAGGGAAGAGCAGAAGTCAACTTCACCTGCATAGACGGATCGCCAAAGGATGACAGGGAGATTGGAAGGAAAGAAGAGAGGAGTGAGACAGACAGACAGACAGACAGACAGACAGAGAAATTGGGATTTTCCCATTCTAGTACATAGAAAAGGAAAATGATATATAATGAAATGAACAGGGTGTTTAAAATAACCTTTGTTTAAAAAAAACAGAGGCTTTTCTTTTGGGAATTATAGAGACAGAATTACCTAACCTGACTATATTTTGAAGGAAAAAATATGAACGAATTCCTATGCCCCACAAATAACCCAGAGATGCATTTTAAATTAAAGCACACATTCTACTCATGTAAAAACACGCTGATTACCGGACCGTCCACGGGCCAGATTTAGAAGGCGATTGGGCTGGATCAGGCCCCCGGGCCTTAGTTAGCCTACCCATGGTTTAAAGGGTTTCTGGGACTGTAATTGAGAGTGTACTGCTTGTGATGATTTCAGTTCACAAAGCAATGATTCATTGCCTATAATTGTCCATTGGAGGGTTTGGGTGGGGGGTATTCATTATCAGTTTTTCCTTTTATCATTACGCTTTCCTTTTCAGTTTGCAAGTCCTTACTGCCTTTTACTTTAGCTTTCATTTTTATCGAGTGAACAATACTGTTCACTGTGCAAAGGACTGTTCCTGAATGGAACTTAGTTCTGCATTAAGATCTTGCATGATCTTCTGAACGGATCAAGACAAAGCTGGGTGATAACAGAGCTATTTAATGAACTGTTTGGAACCCGATCAGGTAAAACAATAGAAATACCTATCTAACTGACCAATCGCATTCGTTCTGCCCCCCCCCAACATAGTCCCTCCCCACTCCTAACAAAAATCTTGGCTACGCCCATGTGTGCATGTTGTCTTTCTGTCTCGCGAGGGAATACCTTCAGGGGGAAAGCTTAGTTTCAGGGATGCATCAGTTTTCATCTTACCTCCAAAGGATACCATACAGGAAAGAAGAGAAAATGAGACTGGAAAAAAAAAGTTTTGATTTACTTATTTATTTGAAATATTTCTTTAATTACAAAGAAAATACCCAAACAGGTCACATTATATAAATTTTTTATTTGATTTTTAAAAATATAAACATACAACAAAAAACAATCCAAGATCAAAATATTGAGATTGGACAACACGGCAAAGTATTTTAGACTGACAAACTCTTGAGCATGGGCAGGCAAACTAAGGCCCGGGGGCCGGATCCGGCTCAATTGCCTTCTAATCCCGGGCCACGGATGGTCCAGGAATCAGCATGTTTTACATGAGTAGAATGTGTGCTTTTATTTAAAATGCATCTCTGGGTTATTTGTGGGGCATAGGAATTTGTTCATATTTTTTCCTTCAAAATATAGTCCGGCCCCCCAACAAGGTCTGAGGGACAGTGGACCGGCCCCCTGCTGAAAGAGTGTGCTGACCCCTGCTCTTGAGGAAAGTGCTGCAGAAAGTGAGCCAAGCCATATGCTGGAATAGGCAGGGGAAGGCATAACACTGCCCTCTTCCCTGACCCCTTCCACCCCATCTCCCTGGTCGTAAATCCCCATCTGAATATTTTAATCTCCCCGATGGCTCATTCGTCTTCAGAATCTCTGTATCATTCTGCTCTCTTCTTGCCCTGAAGGGGAATGTTGTTGTAGAGACCTTCCTCCTGGTCTTCGGCCGGTTTCGCTCTGCTCTCCATCCATAATTGCGATATTGGGGGCTGAGGCAGAGTAGGGGGCAGCAAGGAAGAAAAAGGCGCCTGAGTTCTGAAAAGGAGAAGGAAATAGAGGGACATGTTCAAAGAATGATGATCCCCCAAGGCTGTTGGGAGCAAATTGAGGGTTTGCATCATCCAGTTTTGGCGGCAGCCAGCTGGACACTCCTGGGCAACTCACAAACAGGCCACCATCCTCTTTTGCTTATCTCCAGTGCACAGCAGTTCAGAGGTAGACTGCTTCTGCACAATGAAGATCTACTAAGCTGTCATGACTAAAATGTTTTGGCAGAATATTCTTCACGAATGTACCTCTTTTCAAAAGGCATCTAAACCACATCCTGTAGCAGCCAATCCCATAGCTCAGTTTCTATTTCCTTAAATAGAAATTGGGGGGAGGCAGTTATTGTATTGTCAAAGGTTTCATGGAGGAAGTTGTGATGGTTTCAATATGAAAGACAGAAAGAATCTCCCAACCCCAGCCATGAATGGAGGGGGAAATAACCTCGCTAAACTATTTTATTTTATTTTATTTGTAAATGTTTCCACAGTTTCCGTCCCAGTTTCTTACACAGAGAATACACACAGCAGCTCATAGCAAAGGTGAACGGCCAAGTAACTCAATGAATCCCCCTCTTGTGAGAAGTCCAAACGGCCATCAAAGCATCTGTCTGAGGACAGAAGCATGTAGCAGGAGCTGCCTGGCCTACTGGGTCCAGAATAGACATTAGAATCATAGAATCATAGAGTTGGAAGGGACCGCCAAGGGTCATCTAGCCCAGCCTCCGGCAACCTGGAATCCTGCTCTGCTCCCTTCGCCCCTTCTGCCCCCAACTTTCCCTGTCCACTGGCTCTGTCCCTGTCCCAGCCACCCCATCCCTTACAGACATCTTTCCTTCTCTCCAATATGCCAGTCATTTCCCCCTCCTGAATCAGGTAGGTAGCGGTGTTGGTCTGACGCAGTAGAAATATATATATAAAAATTAAAAAATTGTCCAGTAGCACCTTGGAGACCAACTAAGTTTGTTCTTGGTATGAGCTTTCGTGAGCATGCACACTTCTTCAGATACACTGAAACAGAAGTCACCAGACCCTTATATGTAGTGAGACAGGGAGGGGTATTACTCAGAAGGGTGGTGGGAATGGGTGATTGGCTGATAGGTGTGGTAAAGAGTCGTCAATAGGTTTACCACGGTGTTATGTACTGAGTTGAATAGGATCCAAAATGCAGCAGTCTGATTGGTCCTAGAACAATAGGATCCAAAATGCAGCAGTCTGATTGGTCCTAGAACAATAGGATTCAGAATGCAGCAGACTGATTGGTCCTAGAACAATGCAGCAGTATGACTGGTCCGCAGGAGCCACCCAATCCAGCTCCAGGTGGAAGTGAATCCGCAACCTGATTGGCCTACAGGAGAATCCCAGAATTAGCCAATCATGTGGGGCCCATTGTGTAAATAATGTATATAAAGCAGATATTGTGGAGGAAATTCCATTCTTCCTCACCATTATGAGCTGAATAAAGAGCATGAAATCCACTCTCGACTCTGAGTATATTTCACACACCTACCAGCCAATCACCCATTCCCACCACCCTTCTGAGTAATACCCCTCCCTGTCTCACTACATATAAGGGTCTGGTGACTTCTGTTTCAGTGTATCTGAAGAAATGTGCGTGCACACAAAAGCTCATACCAAGAACAAACTTAGTTGGTCTCTAAGGTGCTACTGGACAATTTTTATTATTTTTTTAATGTATTTCCCCCTCCTTATCTGCAACCCCCAAACTTGTCCTTTTGGTCCTTCTTCCTGGGTAGCTCAGTTGGTTAGAGCGTGGTGCTGATGATGCCAAAGTTGCAGGTTTGATCCCCGTATGGGGCAGCTGCATATTCCTGCATTGCAGGGGATTGGACTACATCAGGCACCCCCAAACTCAGCTCTCCAGATGTTTTGGGACTACAATTCCCATCATCCCTGACCACTGGTCCTGTTAGCTAGGGATGATGGGAGCTGTAGTCCCAAAACATCGGGAGGGCCGAGTTTGGGGATGCCTGAACTAGATGATCCTCAGGGTCCCTTCCAACTCTAGAATTCTATGATTCTATCTCTGAAAACCAGGGGAGCAGGAATTAGGAATGGCCTTCTGGTGGGCTTCCCAGAGGCATCTGGCTGGCTACAGTTGGAAAATGGAGGCTGGCCGAAATGAATCCCCTTTGCCTTGTGCTAAAGAGCTCTTTTTATCTTCTTGAAAAGAGGTGGCTTTTTTTAAGCAGCCACGCCCTTCCAGCCTCTTGTCACTCCTGACTGCATGTCCCTGCTTCTGTTTTTAAGCACACAGCAGCCCCAACTCCTCCGATGACGGGGGGGGGGGGGAGCCACACAAACCGCAGCGTCATGTCTAACAGCCTGGAGGAAGCTGCTTCTGACAGCTGCCCCAAGTTTTCGTACTCACTCACCTTGCTGTGATCACTCTCTTATCTGAGAAAAGAAAAGAAAAAGTTTGTGAATGCGTGTGACTCTTAAGCGAAGAAGGAGACACAAAGACAGGGCACCAGGGGTTCCCACATTTAGAGCACGTAAGGCGCAATATCCTCTAGAATGCTGCACTTTACATTGCTTGGCTGGGGAACAGTGCTGCAACACTCAGAGAAGTGGGTGAAATTTCAAGGATGGAAGGCAGCTATGCTCACGTATTATTTTGGGACACGATATATGAAGAATTGAAGAAAATGTTAAAATATACATTTCCTTAAAAAACAGAATTATTTTTATTAGGTATTTTTACAACAAACATCCCAAAAGAGTTTTTCTTTATGCTACTACGGCTGCCAGGATTCTTATAGCAAAGTACTGGAAAAGTAATGTAATACCGACAAAAGAAGAATGGCACCTAAAGATATGTGAATATCTTGAATTACCGAAATTAACAGAATTCATAAGAAACTATTCAGGAGATAGGATTAAAAAAAAGAATGGGATGTTTTTAAAAATTACATGATGCAACACGGTTCCAGTGATGACACTTGGCTGAGAATAGACTAAATTCCACAGAGATAAGAGAATAGTTCTCCACTGAGTTAAAATGGATGCAGAAATTTTAAGATATGAGAAATTAGAAACCGCATAGTGGTAGAAGGAAGTCATCAAATAAATCAAGGAATAAAACCAGAGATCAGGTATAGATAAGAAAGTAAGAATGGCAAGGAGAAATCGATAAGCTGAAGATAAAAGGATTTCTTACTGGAAATATATGTTTATAATAATGTCGATGATGGTTTGCATTTCTTGTACGTTTTTCATAAGATTTTTTGTTTAATTTTTTCTTTATTCTTTCTTTTCTCTTCTTTTTCTTTTTTCTCCTTTTCTAGCCTCTTATTGTGAAGATTTTTTCTTTTACAACAGAACAATGTAGTTCATTGTGTGTAATTCTTAATGGGTAAATAAAGGGGGGAATTAAAGGATGGTTGTTGTTTAAGGCTTTGAGGGCCAAGAGGCCATCATTTTGAATCTGAAACAAACGGAGAGTCTGCAAAGGTTTTACAAATGCTGACAGGATGTGCTCTTTATAAGCCGCTGTCTTTTAAAACCACAGAAGGTTCGAACAGTTTTCAATGGCATCTCCATGAAGAGGGCATTGCAAACATTTTCAGATCTCTGTCCTGGACAAATAGATGGGGCTGCTCCCTTTTATAACCTTGCTGCTGTGCTTCTAACTGCAACCTGACACACAGAAATAGAACAGGCGAGGTTTCTCCTGATAAAAAATACTGATGGAAATAGCTTCTCCTGCAAATGCAGGTTTTGGTGTGTCTGGCTGTTGTTGAAGAGATGAGGACAAACACGAAGAAGGCAGAAGCAAAGAACAAATAAGAGGAGCTCTAACAGGAAGTAAAATAACTTGGTTTAACTGTATACAACTGGAGCAACGGACAAAGAAGTGGTTAAGGGAAAACAAGAACTGTAAAGAATATACAAAAAAATTGGGGGGGAGATTATAAAAAGAAGAGATAGAGAAGAAAATACAGTTATAAAAGGGGAAACCAGTGAAATTTATAAAATATTAGTAGAAATGGAGGATGAAGAAGATCAATTAAAAGAGGTGTGGGAAAAGGAGACAACATGGCAGATAGTCACAGCTGGGGGGGGGATATGGGAGAAACATTGAAAATGTTGTCATAAGAATAAAAGAAAATTATTATAAATTAGTTTGGAGATGGTATTTAGCACCAGTCAGATTAAATCAAATAAACAAGGAATATTCGGTGCTATGTTGGAGGGGATGCCAAGAAACCGGGAATTATGTTCACATGTGGTGGGGATATAAATATGTTCAATTTTTCTGGCAAAGGGCATTTAAGGAGATAACAGAAATCACTGGGTTAAAGCTGATCGAAAGTCCAGAGGTAGCATTATTATCAATTTACGATGGGGTGGAAGGTTTGAAGGCTAGGAAGAACTTGCTCACAAATTTATTGACAGCTACACGATTATTATAGCTAGGAAATGCAAGGGAAAACAGAATATAAAATGGAAGAATGGGATAAAGAGGTGTGGGATATAGCTATGAATGATAAATTAACATGTGCTATTAAGGTAAGACGGGGAATATGCAGGAGAAAATATTTTGAGGAGATATGGAGGGTATTTGCGGAATTCGTACTGTACTGATCTTGGTGGTGGGGTGCACATTTTCATTCTTAATTATTTATAATTATTACTTTGTCAAAAAAAAAAAAATGAAGAAGGCATGCTGTGCATAAGCAGTTAGTGATAATTCTGGCTGTGATGATTCCATCAGGGGTTACTTTCACCCACATCTGCATTCCTCCTGGGATGTCCACCTCCCCAGGCTCAGCTTCCCCTGCCTTGCCAAATACCTTTGTACTTCCTCCTATAAATGCAGTCAACAAACACCAGGAGGAGGAGACATCCGCAGGTGCCACATCTAATGGCCAGTGAGATTAGACAAGGATATGAACCTGCAAGAGAATTGCTGTTGATCAGAACGGGGTTATTGGTCAGAGAACTAGTCAATTGTTACAAAACGAAGACTTGGCTAGTATCTATGAACTTTGCTGCTCCACATATTCCCCTCTTTGGCCATTCTATCTTCCACCCTTCCTCTTCCCTCCCTGGTCTCTGAAGGTCCATTGATTGGCCCTTTCTAAATATTATTCTTTCCAACCATCCATATTCTGTAGTTATAGGCTGCCTTTCAGGTCGAGCCCTCTCAAACAGAAGCATGGCAACATCATAACATTCCTATTTTATCACCTAAAACATAGCCACGCATGATAAAATAACAATACAGTACCATCAGATATGAAACAATACCACCAGACAAAAATATATCGGTACAAAATCAAACAAATCAGTCATAAGTAGGAATGCTTACATTTATTTTCGTAGGGTGAAAATAATATTCCTCACTGAGCTGAATCAGGTGGGTTATTTACAGTGCAACATTTATTTATTTATTTATTTATTTATTTATTTATTTATTTAGACATTTTGCTCCCTTCTAGTGCAACTGCAGCACTCAGGGTGGCTTATTACCTATAAAATCACAATTTTATACAAATATAAAAGAAAGAAAGAAAGAAAGAAAGAAAGAAAGAAAGAAAGAAAGAGAGAGAGAGAGTCCTTTCTAAAGTAACAGGCTCATGAGAGGGGCGTACCTTTTTCTGAATCGTCATTCTTTTGGTCTGTGGTTGATTTGGGATCACAGCAGGTGGATGATTTCCTGCTCTCCTGAGCATTGGTGCTGCTGGTTGAGGTGCTATAATGCAGACTCAACTGCGAAGAGCTGGACCAGGAGGTGCTTGATGCAAGGAGCTTCGTGCGTTTTGAGGGTCGTCTTGTGATGTAGTGAGAAGAGCTGGTTGATGAAGTTTCTAGTGTTTACTTTCTAGGTGGCCTGGTTGTGGCGTCAAATCTCAGAACAGCCTGGTCAGGAGTGGAAAAGGTAGGCGTTGTGGAAAGTGGTTCATCTGCAGAGAGAATCAAAGAGAATCCCAAGGTCAGAAGGGATCCCCATGTGACAACATCCCTTGTATGCTCCTTGGGGCAGGCACCCTGCCTTTGTTTCCTCCGATGTTGTTCTGGAAGGGGCAATGCGTTTCAAAGGCAGACAAGAAGAAAAGAGGAGTTTGGAAGGACTATGAAATTACGGGTGATCTTTGAATTCCACAATGTTTCCAGCCAGAGTAGGAGCTGGGCAGAGAAGGAGCTATGATCCCCAAGCTGACTTAGCTTTCGTGCATGCAATTCTGTCACAAAGAGTACGTTTCTCACCAGTGATGGACAGCACAACCTCGTTACTCAGTGAAGACAGGAAGCGTCCTCCTGAACTCTTTTCCCCCAGGTAAGCACAGAGAAATGTTTTGTTTGTTTCCAGGTATTCTGTGGAAACCTCCAAGATATTTTTCGCCTGTTGTCCATACATGACTGGTACACCTCCTCTCTTTTCATAGAAATAGAACCCCGTTGCCCTCTGTCCTTCTGGCAGGGAGCATATCAATGAAGCCTGTTCTCCTCGAGCAAAAGTGTTGCGTGGAGGTGAAAGAGACAGCCAAAGGCCTGATGGACGTGCAGCCACAGTATCTGAGAAACAGAGGGAGATACAATAAAAATACAGTTTGGCCAGTCCCTTAGGATCTCCCCATTGCATTAGAAGATTCATGAATCCCTATAACCTTCCACAATACTTCAATTACTGCTTCGGATTGACAGTCCCAACCCATCCCATTCCACCCTTTATTCCAATGCCTCTTTTCTTTTTTTTTCTTTTTTTTTTTGCCTCGCTTGGAATTTCCTTTTTTTAAAAAAAAAAAGATATTTATTAAAAGTTTCAGAATTACAGAAAAGAAGAAAAAATAGAAAACAACACTACAATACATAAAAAAGAAGAAGAAAAAAAAACAAAGCATAAAAACCAATACAGCAAAAAGAAAAAGAAAAAAAACACAAATCCCATATTACATATCTTTAACTTCCATTTGCTTGTTTCATTGACCTCCTCACACCTCCCTTTTTGTATTCTAGTTTAATTAGTTATTTCAGCAAATTCTTTCCATCTTTCTCAATTTTTATTGAATAATTTATCTTAACAATTTAACCTATTAATTAACTCAACAAATCCTTTCCATCTTTCCCCATATTCTGTTATTCAAATTGCCTTGATTTATTTAACCTTATCTTACCGTAAAATACCTTAGAGCTTAAAACTTAATACTCAATTATACATGACTCCTTATATCATTTCTACTAAAACCATATAGTTTCATTCCAACATTTCCCCTAATATTCATTAATTTTAGGCTAATTCCCTAAATAAAAATTTTCCTTTATAAATTTTCTTCCAATCTTCATCCAACGTCTCTTCTTCCTGGTCTCGGGTCATGTCAGTCCTTACTGTCCATTCCATCTAGTCCATCAACCTGGTAATCTTATGTCCGAGGCTCTTAAGTCTCTTCCATGTCCCTTCTGCAGATCTTCTTCTTCTTGTTTATACCTGCACTTTTCCTTGTCTTTTGTTGGTCTCTTTCTTAATTTCTTTCCTTTCTCATTGAGGAGTAGGTCTCTGGGAGGTTCCAGCCCAAAATTATCTCCATCTCCCTTCATCAAACCAGCCCATTCCCCACAGTCCCACTCCCCACAGTCATCAATGTAATCCAAAAATATTTAAGAGCATATTTCAAAGTCCCTCCGAAGTTAAGAACCTCCTCAGCTCCAGACTCCCCCTGGCCCACTCCAACTTCAATCTTCAAAAACAGCGGCTTATGCTCCTGCAGGGCCTCGGATCTCTCCATTTGTATTATTTGAGGTGCAACCGCAACCTCCTCCATTATCTTCTGCACTTGCCCAATCAATACAGGTTCCTGAGTTGGTCCCTGAATGGTTTCTGTATCAATATTCCCTGTTTGTCCACAGTTATTGACCACAACAGTCATCAAATCCGTTTTCTCATTCATCAGATCCATCTTCTCATGCATCTGTTCCAACAAAGCACTTGTCTTGCATAAAGCAAGCACCAAAACTTCCTCCCAGCTCATTTTTATTCAAGGTCAAAAGGACTGGTCCCACGATCTTAATCTCACAGCTGTAGAGTCCTCAAGTAGACTGCAGCAACAATTTAACAAGCTCCCTCTAGAGGAGACAATTTCTATTTGTATCCATCTTTTTAAGGCAAGTCCAACAAAGGAAAATTACTTTCATTTTTCAGATATTTTGTTTCTTTAGAATGCAAAAGGCAACATTGGAATCAGTTTATTTCTCTTCTTTAGCTATCTGTCAAAGTATTCCATTCACAGTCAGTGAACCTCTCCAACAATTTCTGTCTCTGACACCCCGTTCCCAGGTTAGAGACGGTGGAAACTTATCTTTCTTCACTCCCTCTCCTGCAGGCTTAAACAAAGTCCCCCCCCCCTTTTCTCCTTCTTCCAAGGGGTTTTAGTGATTATAAATGAAGGAAATTTAAACTTTTTTTAACGACTTTCCAGGCTTTAGCTTACAAGGTTTTTGCTTCAGTCTATATACAAAAAGCGGAAGGCGGACTTCCTGTTTTGAACCTTCCCGCTTCGGTGCCAAATTAGGATATTTCTTGATCCAATTTTCCGTTTCTACTCACGGGTACTTGTTTTAAATCCAATTGTCCACAGGAAAAAGTCAGCGCTCTCCGGCAATGGCTGTGCGGCTTCACTCCGTGAAAGTAGCAATCAGTTCGCAGCACCGCGCCGCTCACCCCACTTCACTCCGGAACCCGAAATGGGGTTCCCGTGAGTAGGGAGGCGCTCCTGGTGCCCTGCCGAACCCCACGTTCCCAGGCTTCCTCCGCCTGGGATTTCTAGCGGGTCCCCACCTTCGCCGCGGCGGGAAGACCCAGTTTCCACGGAGCCAGTTCCTCTGGTCGGAGGAACTCCGCCATTCGCCGATGGCGCTAACCCGGAAGTCCCTTTATTCCAATGCCTCTTAAACTCAAAATCAGATTTTGAAAATCCCTCTCTCTTCTCTTCCCTTCTCCCCTCCCCCCCCCAAAAAAAACCATTTGGACTCGGAAATCCCAGACCTGTGCTTAGAAAGTAGAGCATGGGTGATCCCTTTAACTCACCATTCACACCCTTCAGGTCTGGGACTTCAAGATAAGGGACAGAATAAGGAACAAATAACCACAACAATATATCCCCGTCTAAATTTTAAGATGTGTTCACACCGACAGTACAGTGGTACCTCAGGTTACATACGCTTCAGGTTACAGACCCCGCTAACCCAGAAATAGTGCTTCAGGTTAAGAACTTTGCTTCAGGATGAGAAAAGAAATTGTGCTCCAGCAGCGTGGCGGCAGCAGGAGGCCCCATTAGCTAAAGTGGTGCTTCAGGTTAAGAACAGTTTCAGGTTAAGTACAGACCTCTGGAACGAATTAAGTACTTAACCCGAGGTACCACTGTATCTGCCTACCACTCTGTATTTGAAGTTATATTAATTGGATTACCTGCAAGGGCCGTCATCCAGGAAAGAGCCAAAAATGAGGCTGAAAGAGAACAGAGGAGAAAAATGTGATGCTTAGATAGATAGATACTGTAGATATAGATAGATAGATAGATAGATAGATAGATAGATAGATAGATAGATGATAGATAGATAGATGATAGATAGATAGATAGATGATAGATAGATAGATAGATAGATAGATAGATAGATAGATAGATATAAAACGTTTTTGGCATCGTTTCAAGTTTCATAATCTAGACTTCTAAATAACCTCATACACATTTTTTTTCTCCCAAAGCAATACCCACTATTCTGAAGCATTTCTGGAGGTTATGATTTTATTTTGGTTTTTTGCAGGAAAGGTAAAGGTTAAAAACAGCCAACTTTCCTATGCCAGTGACATTGTGTGGATGCTGTGAATGATTTGCCTGAGACATGCTCATCTCTCCTAAAGACCCACCTGGAAACAGAGAACAGAGGCAGGAGATTTGAGTAAACACAGACAGTGGAAACTGGGAAGGAAGTGTAGATAGGAGGCTCCAGAAGAAGGAAAAGAGTGGGGTTGGAGGGGGGAAGAAAAGGGTCTTACCCAGGAGGACAAAGAGACGGCCAATTTGCTCCATGCTTCAAAGATGGGGTTTAGAAGAAGCGGCTTCAGCAGCAACACTGAGCTGATGCATCTGCAACAGTAATCTTCTTTCCAAACACACTGAGAAGAAACACAGTGGCATCGCTGAGCATTCTGGGTGCGCCACTGGTGTCAAACGTGGCTGACCACCAGGGTGGCCTCAAGAAGAGTTCCCAGCATGCCTTGCAGCACTGAGCTGCTCTGCAGAAGCTGTCATGGCCACTCTCAAATGCAGATGTATAAGCTGAGAGAAATTAGGTAACTGATAAAATGCTGAGCACGTTAGCACCTACTATAGGGAACATAGGGAAGCTGGGGCTTTTTAAAGTCAATGGGGGATGACAAAAGATCTTTGAAAAACACAAACGCTCATTTACAGTTCTCAAGCACAATACACACAGCGTCACACCGGATGGAGGCACAGCTATTTTGCACAGGATGAAACAGTTCTCATGCTGGCTTGTGGTCCTCGCTTTCTCTTTTGTGCTTATTTTTGGAAACTGGTTTTTTTGGGGTAGCTCTGTGACACGTAAAGAGCAAGAAGTGGTGACATGGAGGAGAAGCAGAGGGAGGGCTTGAAAAAAGTGTCCTTGAAGCCAATGCCTTTTTCATGGGAAAAGAGGCAAGGCTGGCAATCTTTCTCCACTTCCAAATTTCACTTCTCATTTCATTCCTCTCTTCCCATTAACCATGGCTTGCATGTCCCTGACTGAGAAATCCCAGACAATCTGCCTCAAATTAATTCTGTTCACTTCTCACAGAGTCACAAACCTGAGGAAACCCTTAGCAAACTACAGCGCCCTGAATTCTTGGAAGGAAGGAATGTTCTTCAAATGTGATTTGAAGGTATAAGTCTGAACCCAGCCTAACTTCTTGGAATAAGAAAGCTTCAAACATTCTTTCTGATAGATCAGACACAAACAGTGAGGATTGGATGTGTAACATCTAATTCCTTAAAAATCAGGACTGGCATACCACAGGGATGTGTGCTAAGTCCCTACTTGTATTCATTGTATACATACGATTGTGTATCATCTGACCTGCCTACTGCAATAATTAAGTTTGGAGATGACACCACCATAATGGGTTTAATAACAGGTGGAGACGAATCAGCGTATAGAAGGGAGGTCCAAAAAATATCTACATGGTGCCTAGGGAACAACTTGCACCTTAATATCAGCAAGACAAAGGAGATGGTGTTGGACTTTCAGAGGAAGAGAGGAGAACTAGCCCCGCTGTACATCGGGGAGGGCTGTGTGGAGAGAGTCTCTTCCTTTAAATTCCTAGGAGTTTATCTCAGTGAAGACCTTACTTGGAAAATAAATACAACCCAGGTGGTTAAGAAAGCCCAACAGAGACTCCATCTCCTCAGAGTCTTGCGGAAGAACAATGGCAATCAACATCTGATTATCTCCTTCCACCGGTCAACAATAGAAAGTGTCCTTTCATACTGCATCATGGTGTGGTATGCTGGTTTGACATCATCTGATAGGAAGTGCCTACAGAGGGTGGTGAACACAGCACAAGATATTATGGGCTGTCCCGTGAATCCACTGGATGAAATAGTGGAAGTACGTTGCCTCAGGAGAGTGAGGAAAATTCTCAGGGATGATTCACACCCTGGCCGGCACTCTCTTGATCTCCTGCCCTCAGGCGGAAGATATGGAAGCATGATTAGTCGTACCAACAGGGTAAAGAACAGCTTCTATCCATGGGCTTTTAGGCTGCTGAATGAAAAGATAACAACAGGGCAACTGACTTTCAGGTTTGGTGGGTGTGCGTCAGTAAACGAGGGGAATTAAGACTAAGAGAGCTGAGTGGGGGGTGCTCGTGTAATCTCACTGTATACAAGTTGTACAAGTGACAATTAAGTATTTCAATTCAATTTGCCTTTGACAATGTGATTTTATATCTCTCTATATACAACAAAAGTCTGTAAGCAAGTCCTCCACCCTCTTCACGCTCCCAAACGTCAGCTTATTTGATGCAAAGCATGTTGTAAATGCTTGTGATCTGGCCTGTGGCCAACAGCTCTTGACAACTGTCACGTCTTGTCTTATTCATAGCCTTTCTCCCACTTCCTCTGACTCTGGGGCTGTGAAAGGATATAAAATGAAAGAATGGTATAAAGAGGTGTGGGCTATAGCTACGAATGATAAATTAACATGTGCTATTAAGGTAAGACAGGGAATATAAGAAATAGTTTTGTGGAGGTATGGAGGGTGTTTGTAGATTTTGTATTGTTTAAACGGAAAGGGGTCAAACCATCGCAACAAGTGTTGGGGAAGTTGGATAGTTACAATGGAATGATCTCGGTGGTGGAGCTGCACATTTTTATTCTGATTTATTTATGATTATTACTTTGTCAAAAAAGAGGAAAAGAATTCTAGAACTTGAGAACTGGAAGGGACTCTGAGTCCAGCCCCCTGCAATACAGGAATCTTAACGAAAGCATCCATGACAGACAGCCATCCAACGTCTGCTGAAAAACCTCCAAAGAAGGAGAACCCACAACCTCTCAAAGCAACTACTCTATTCCCAGCTCAAGAATGGAAAGCAAAATACAAAAGAGATGTTTAAAGACTTTCTCAAGGCAAATGTTTTTAAAATGTAGTATAAAAACTGACAACTGGGAAACAATGGCCTGTGAGCGCTCCAGTTGGAGAACAGCCTTGACCAAAGGTGTCCTGGGCTTTGAAGACACTCGAACTCAGGACACAAGGGAGAAACGCGCTAAGGCAAGCTTGGCAAACCCTCACCGTGATCAACTCCCACCTGGAAACCAATGTCCCCACTGTGGAAGGATGTGTGGATCCAGAACTGGCCTTCACAGTCACTTACGGACTCACTGTTAAGACCGTGTTCATGGAAGACAATCTTACTATGAGGGATCGGCAAAGAAGAAGAGGATGGCCCTCTGTCCTGGATGCTTTAGTTGAGATTCCTACATTGCAGCCCTGTTCAGGGAAGCTTTTAATCTGTGATATTTTACTGTATTTTTTGTTTCTATGGAAGCCGCCCAGAGTGGCTGGGAAACCCAGCCAGATGGGAGGGGTACAAATAATAAATTATTATTATTATTATGACTATTATTATTATTATTGCAGGGCCTTCCAACTCTACAGTTTTATTGTTACATGAGATTGTACAGAAAATGGAAAAAAAGAACGTATTCCTGTACGCAACAGCAGCGGCTAGAATAGTAGTGGCAAAAAAAAAAAAGGAAATCAGAAAGAATACCTGAATTACTAGAATGGCGAGCTAAAATTTATGAATTTGCGGAGATGGCAAAACTAACGGCGTCAATTAGAGGCTGCTATAATCAAAAAACTTACAAAGAATGGGAATGCATACAGGGATATATTGGTTTGGTTTCAGAGCTAAAATTTAACATGCAATAGCCTGAAGGACACAAGGATACAAGAGAACATTACAATACAAACATAAAAACTAATTTTATAGCTGTTAACACAACAGTATGCAGAGAAGATCGCAAATGGGTGAAGGGAAGTAGCAGGTATAGGGGGAGGAAATTGGAAAACTGGGGCAGTAATTGGAAAACTGTAGAGGACAAATACGCGATTTAGGAGGTCAAGAACAAGGAATTAAAAGAAGAAGATTTAAGTCAATGAATAGTAAAATAAGGAAATCTGAGAAGAATTTAGTACAAAAGAAAACATGACAGTCATGTTATTGCTTCTGTCTGAGTTTCTTTTGGTTGTAAAGTCCTCTGTTGTAAAGATTGTACATAAAACCAATAAAACAAATTACTAAACAAACAAAGAAGAAGAGATTGTTCAGAAAATTAAACTCAGCTGAGCGTATTTCAGGAGATGTTCAATTGATTTCAAATATATTAGAGAATTTACAAGTGCACACATTTTGTTTTTGTTACTAAATCATGCATATTATGCAATAAGAATTACAGTGCTATCTAGTATAATGGTCTGGGTGTTGCTTGTATTGTTTGTTGGGCGTATTTTAGGGGCTCCTTAGGCCAATGAATTGGGAAACTGAGGGGAAAGAGAGGCAAATGCGACTTTTTCCAAGCTGAGGGAGAAGACCAGGAAAACCGGAAGAAGCCCCCAATCTTCTGCTTGAGGCAGGAGGGGAACCCCAATCCATCCTCTGGCCAGGGACCCCCCTAAAACCCCTCATGGGCGCCTGAGGAAATTACGTGAATTAATGGATTTCAAACGGTGGCTGCTTAGGAGGCCTCCGGATATGAGGACCAACCCTTCTTTTTCCAGACTGCTTCCCCCCACCCTCACGATCAAGAGCCTATAAATTTTATGAAATAAATCAGTTGCCCCTGGGAAGAGGACAAGAAAGAACTTTTCGAATCCCCACGAAAGAAAGAAAAGGCTCATGAGGGAGCAAGCGATGGCCGCCTTCCCTGCCTTGCCACAGCTCCCTGACTCTCCCTGAGGAGAGAGGGGAGGGCGGCTCTTCCAGCACTTTTCTAGGGCAGGCTGCCTCAACCTCGGCCCTCCAGATGTCTCGAGACTACAATTCCCATCATCCCTGACCTCTGCTCCTGCTAGCTAGGGATCATGGGAGTTGTAGGCCTAAAACATCTGGAGGGCCACCGAGGCTGAGGAAGCCTGTTCTAGGGGGAGGGAAAAGGCGGGAAAAGGCGTCAGACTTCTGCTCAGTTTCTTCATATCCCGGCCTGTTCTGAGGAGAAAAAGGGTCCCCTTTCTGAGGAAAGTGTCTCATTTCGGAGGAGAAAAAGCATCTCCTCAGGAGCAACCCATTTATTTTATTCATTTATATCTACAGTGGTACCTCAGGTTAAGTACTTAATTCGTTCCGGAGGTCCGTACTTAACCTGAAACTGTTCTTAACCTGAAGCACCACTTAGGTAATGGGGCCTCCTGCTGCTGCCGTGCTGCCAGAGCACAATTTCTGTTCTCATCCTGAAGCAAAGTTCTTAACCTGAAGCACTATTTCTGGGTTAGCGGAGTCTGTAACCTGAAGCGCATGTAACCTGAAGTGTATGTAACCCGAGGTACCACTTGATTTCCAAAAAAAAGAACCCTCAAAGCAGTTTACAAAGGAGAAAGCAGTAAAACTAAGAAAGATTCGCAGGTGTACTTTGAAACATACAAAAGCTAGAATGCTGAAATAGATTAAGATTTCCTCAGGTTTCCGTCATGGCGCTCCTTAGGTTTACTCTTACTCAATTGTTTTGAGGATGGGTCATAATAATGGACAGAAGCCATAGCATAAATTGGTAATTCTACAGGCGATGTGCAGTGAGAAAGAATGAGTGAATTTTGAAACCAAAGTTGGAAAAGTTATTGTACTGAGAGCAGCAAAGGAGGGAGGAAAATAAGGGAACATCTGAGGGGTGGGGTGGGAAGTCAGCTTTTAAATTATTATTATTATTATTATTATTATTATTATTATTTGTACCCCACCCACCTGACTGGGTTGCACCAGCCACTCTGGGCAGCTTCCAGCACATTTAACGCATAGTAAAATTTTAAACCTTAAAAAGCTTCCCTATACGAAGCTGCTTTCAGATGTTTCCTAAATGTAATATAATTGCTCATCTCCTTAACATCTGATGGAAGGGCGTTCCACAGGGAAGGGTGCTACTACCGAGAAGGCCCTATGCCAATAAATTTGTATTGATTTGGTGAAAAATTGTTTAAAATTGGCAAAAAAGAACTTAAGGGAGGGAACAGTAATTTTAAAAAACACAATTAAGCATTCTGTGACTTTCTCGGAAGAGCAAAGCACCACCAGGTGGCTTGGTCATTATGTCTTCCTCTCTTTCTTTTGCACAAGTCTGTTGACTTCCATTTCAGTTTATCTGAAGAAGTGTGCATGCACACAAAAGCTTATACCCAGAACAAACTTAGTTGGTCTCTAAGGTGCTACTGAACAATTTTATTAATTTATTTCCTTTGCATGTACATTTTGTACATGCATCTCTGCTACACCCAGTCATGGAAGGCTAAACTCATTTAGTGTGGCCCATAAAATCCTAGAATTCTAGAACTTTCCACCCCAGTGGGGCAGACGGTTCACAGGGAATGAAGGACTTGCTCACAAATTTATTGACAGCTGCACAAATTATTATAGCTAGGAAGTGGAAGAGGCAAGAAGAATATAAAATGGAAGAATGGTATAAAGAGGAGTGGGGTATAGCTATGAATGATAAATTAACATGTGCTATTAAGGTAAGGCAGGGAATATGCAGGAGAAATGATTTTGAGGAGATATGGAAGGTGTTTGCGGAATTTGTACTGCTTTAACGGAAAGGGGTCAAACCATCGCAAGAGGTGTTGAAATTCTGGGAGGCTGGATAGTTACAATGGAATGATCTCGGTGGTGGGGTGCACATTTTTATTCTGATTTATTTATGATTATTACTTTGTCCAAAAAGAGAAAAGAATTCTAGAACTGAGTGCAGCCCCCTGCAATACAGGAATCTTAACTAAAGCATCCATGACAGATGACCATCCAACCTCTACTTAAAAACCACCAGTGAAAGGAGTCTGTTCTTCTGTCAAACAGCTCTTACCCTCAAAAAGTTATTGCTGATGTTGAGTCAGAATCTCCTTTCTTGTAACTTGAAGCACTTGCTTTGGGTCCTACCCTCCAGAGGAGGAGAAAACAAGCTTGCTGCATCTCCCAGCACTTTAGATATTTGAAGATCATCTCTCTTCTCAGTCTCCTCTTTTCCAGCCTAAACATACCCAATTCCCTCAAAATGATTTCTCCTAAGCCTTGGTTCCCAGACCCTTGATCATCTTGGTTGCCCTCCTTTGCCCACTTTCCAGCTTCTTGATATCCTTCTTAAATTGTGGTGCCCAGAACTGGACACAATACTTCAGGTGGAGTTTGACCCGGGCAGAAGAGGGTGATACTATGAGCTCCCTTGATATGGACACTGTACTTCTGTTGATGCAGCCTAGAATAGGATTAGTTTTTCTTCTTTTTCTGCCGTATGACCCTGTTGACTCATGTTAAGCCTGTGGTCTACTAAGACCCCTAGATCCTTTTCACATGTACCCCCGGCAAGCCTGATGCCCCCCAGTTTATACTGATGCAGCTGGTTACTTCTGCCCAAGTCAGAACCTGACATTTGTCCTTATTCAAATTCTAGCAGAGCACACACCCACACCCACAAACAAACTCACAAATAGGGCTCCAAACAGCTTAGACAAGCAACCAACCTTAATCCAAAAGACACAAGCTCACTCTCTTCAGCCTCCTCCACCAATCCCTCACAAATGCCCTTGTTTACAAGTCCTCCATCCTGCTTGTGTTTCTGACTAGCTGATGCTTCAGACACCAGAAGGATCTGTTGGAGTGGAGACCCTTTGCTTTCACCTGCTGGTTGGCTGAAGTATTGAGAGTCTATTTTAAATTTGTCGCTGCTGCCACCTGTTGCAGAGTTTATGTTGCAACATTATGTTGCAAAATTTGGCATCTATGTTGGAACAGGCAGTCTCTCAGATTATATCCTTGGATTAACCTCGAGCAAGGCCAAAGGACATAAACTTCCATTGTTACATCTAGCTATTGCAATTCCTTTTCTTTTAATAATAATAATAATAATTTTATTATTTATATCCCACCCACCTGGGCAGTTTACAGCGTATCTAAAACATAATAAAAACATCAAGTCTTTAAAACTTCCCTAAACAGGGCTGCCTTCAGATGTCCTTCAAAAGTCAGATAGGTGTTTATTTCCTTGACATCTGAAGGGAGGGCATTCCACAGGGAGGGTGCCACTACCAAGAAGGCCCTCTGTCCTCTACCTAGAACAAGGCTGGGGGAACCTGTAGCCTTCCAGTTGTTGTTGGACCAAAATGTATCTGTCCAAACCAGCATGGTCAATGGTCAGGGGATGATTGGGTGGGCTGTACTTGGATATGTCAGAAGATTAAAATGAGAATGGAAAAGGAAGTGGTAATTGCTATAGTATGAATGTTCATCTGTGGTCTGGAACATATGAGCGAATATGTTTGGTATTCATTCCTATCATTTTTTATTAATCCAATACATTTTATTGATTGATTGATTGATTGATTGATTGAATTTATATACTGCCCTATACCCGGAGGACTCAGGACGGATCACAGCACAACGTGGGTCTCGAACTGATGACCCTGGCATTAAAGAGTCTCATGCTCTACCAGATGCACCATCCACAACCTCTAATTATTGACTGAAAAAAGTATTGTTTTGACATTTCCTTTACATTGAAATGGATGTAAGTTATGTAACTAGCAAAGAGCATGATGAAACATGTAGTACAGTGGTACCTCGCAAGACGAATGCCTCGCAAGACAAAAAACTCGCTAGACGAAAGGGTTTTTTGTTTATTGAGCTGCTTCACAAGACGATTTTCCCTATGGGCTTGCTTCGCAAGATGGAAACGTCTTGCAAGTTTGTTTCCTTTTTCTTAACACCGTTAATACAGTTGCGACTTGACTTCGAGGAGCAACTCATAGAACGCGGTGTGGTAGCCTTTTTGAGGTTTTAAAGACTTTGGTGATTTTTGAAGCTTTTCCAAAACTTTCCCGACACCGTGCTTCGCAAGACGAAAAAAATCGCAAGACGACAAAACTCGCGGAACGAATTAATTTCGTCTTGCGAGGCACCACTGTATTTGGCAGAAGCCGAACTGCAGCAGCATGGAACAGGACTGATTGTGATGAATACATGACAAAATGGAAATTGCTGCCTTCTGGCATTCCTGGTTGAAGTCTGGCAACATCTGGAGGGCCACACCCCCACCTCTGATTTAGAAGAAAAGAAGGAGTTGATATGTGGAACCCACCCACCCCATTCTGCTTGATAAACAGGGGATTCCTCTGGAGGCATCCAATGCAGAAATCTATCCAGCCTTTCTTTAAGCCTTCTTCTATGCCTCCACCTTGACTAGTGATGCTTGAGAGATTTAGTCTTTGTGAATTCCAGTATAAGCTGATTGGATCTGTATTGCCTGGACTAATATATGAGTTGGGCCTGGTGGAAGTTTTCGCGGGTGCTGGTTAATGTTTATTCAGTATTGCTATGTTCTTGCAAAGCGAACAGTTTTGGTAGCTTCTTTCTAAATGAAAAATGGTATAGACCTCTGTTAAATAATACTTTTTAAAAATTACTTTTAGCTTATCAGGCATGGCAATAGGATTTTTAAGTGGCTAAACTACGGAGTGCAGGGAGAGGTTGAGAGGAAGCTGGTGCAGGAAGTGGTTTTGAGCTGATGTATTCATTGAACAGACTCCGGTTCCACATTCCAAGCTAAGATGGTGAGCCAGAGAAGGAGGACAGTAAGAGACAAGAACTTCAGGACCTTGGACAGAGCCAAGGGAGCAGGCAACTTGCCCCACACATCCCTAGCTTGAACTGAGCCCTTCTATCTGGACCCACCAGATGTTGAAGGACCAGAAAGGCCATCATTGCTGGACAATGACTCTCCTGGGTGGTAATGACGAGAATTCAATAACGCCTTGAGGGAGGGGGGGGAGGGCCAAGCTTCCCTACCTGTCTGAAGAATGGAGAACTTCAGACAAGCAGTTCTGTGGGCTCTGTTGCCTCCTTGTTAATTCCTACAGTTACAAGAGGTACACCTGAACCCACACATGTGTACACCATTGTGTAGATTGTGTAGAAGAACAGAACCTCTGTAAAAAAAAAAAAGCATGTATACCCTTAACCCTTAGGCCTCTAATAACTTGTCACAACAGGAAGTGGAACAAAGATTGGTTCATTACATGGAAATGAAAGAGGCAGATGATATGGGTACTGCTTTAGACACTGAGGTTATGACTACATGGGTAGCAAATAATCATACATATACACACCTTAGTCCTAAAGAATGAAAGACTCTCCAACTACCCAAAATCCTGGACAGTAAGCATAGCCATGTGGCAGCTCCCTCCCCACAGAAGTGCATCTGGGGCCTTCAATATGCAGCTTCCGGTATATGCTAAAGACACACTTTCTTTGCCTTGCTTTTGACACTTGAGGTGTGTATTTTTAGGCCCTGCCTTATTTCTGTGTTTATTATTATTATTATTACTGCTCTTATTTATTTCTACAGTGCCATCCATTGTCACGGCACAGAGCAGAGAAGCAGAATATGACACATGAATACAACCTCCCTCCTCCCCGGCGCCGTGATTGGAGAGTCCCACCGATATCCCTCCATCCCATTAGAAGTTAGACCTGCCAGTCACAAAAGAGCTCCCTCCCCCTCTCCTTCTCACTGCCTTTTGCTCCTTTTGCAAGCTTGGTTTTGCTCCTAGCAGACACACACTTCAGATTAAAATAGGGAACAGGCTTCAATACAATATATTTAATAAAATAATAAAATAGGGAATAGGAGCAAGGGCATGCATGCCAGCTCAGTGCCAGACATCCCTTTGCAAGGTTGCATCACCCAACCAGCCTCTTCCTTTGTTGTTGAGTCCAGAGGGGGTTTCTACTACTACTACTACTACTACTACTACTACTAATAATAATAATAATAATAATTAATTTATACCCCACCCATCTGGCTGGGCTTCCCCAGCCACTCTGGGCAGCTTCCAAAAAAATATTAAAATACTGTAATACATCAAACATTAAAAGCTTCCCTAAACAGGGCTGCCTTCAGATGTCTTCTAAAAGTCTGGTAGTTGTTGTTCTCTTTGACATTTGGTGGGAGGGCGTTCCACAGGGAGGGCGCCACCACCAAGAAGGCCCTCTGCCTGGTTCCCTGTAACTTGGCTTCTCGCAGGGAGGGAACTGCCAGAAGGCCCTCGGCGCTGGACCTCAGTGTCTGGGCAGAATGATGGGGGTGGAGACGCTCCTTCAGATATACATGGCCACTTGAATGAGAATAAGACAATGTCAGCTTCTGGGTTTCCCATAGGGATGTCTGGTTGGCCAACAAGAGCAGGACACTGGACGAGATGAACTCCCCGGCCTGATCCAACGGGACTCTTTTTAATTCGCGTGCCCTTGCTTTCTCTTTTGAGTTTGCTGCTGGCAACCGCTGCCTGCTTCCGCTTTCTCACTTCTAAGCCCCGTGTTGCTGCTTTATAGGTTCTTCAAGCTGTTTGCTTGCAATAGAGGTCAGGCGAAAGCACAGCCAGGACGGATGTGGTAAGCTGCCCTATATAGCGTGATATTAAAGCCTTTGGTGTTTCCAAGGCCTATGAGCTGAGCTGCACGCCTGGCTGGGGGTATGGCTGCAATGCTTAGGGTGGGAGAAGGTGGTGACGATGACATCATTCCTACTTTGCTCTTTTGAGTCATACAGAGAAGTGGTGAAGTCAGTGAGGGGCAGTTCACCCTAGTTTGGGGGAGAAGAGGCAGGACAGTGGTTCAGCAGAGGACTCAAGCGAAGCTGACGGAGGATGGAGTTTGCTGCTTTAGTGACAGGTTTGGTACCTCACTTTTCTCTTTCCGCCTCAAAACTGAATTCCAACATCCGTATTTTCTCATGTCCTCCCTTTGTCACTGTGTTTCTTCCCTATACAGTGGTACCTCAGGTTACATACGCTTCAGGTTACAGACTCCGCTAACCCAGAAATAGTGCTTCAGGTTAAGAACTTTGTTTCAGGATGAGAACAGAAATCGTGCTCCGGTGGCACGGCGGCAGCAGGAGGCCCCATTAGCTAAAGTGGTGCTTCAGGTTAAGAACAGTTTCAGGTTAAGTACGGACCTCCGGAATGAATTAAGCACTTAACCTGAGGTACCACTGTATATTTTTTTCTTCTTCCTCTAGTCTCTCTCCAGAGCTTTTTCCCACAATCAGTTTGTGCAAAATCAGCTTAGCTTCTGTCCTTGCCAAAGTGGCTTGGACCAGCCTCCTCTGGAGTACAACCAAGAGAGGGTGTTGCTTTTAAAAGCATTATTTGCCGCAACTCTTCTGCAAATAGCCCTTGGATAAGAGGCAAAAATGGGAAGGGTGAATCTTTCTGCAGCTCAGTAACCTTCCCTTCCTCGGTTTCTGTTTGCTTTTCAGCTGCTGAAGATGCAGGGACCAACCTTTAAAATGTTGCCCATGTTCCTTTGTCCCTCCTCATCCCTCTAGCTGAGTTACTCGTGAGGAGATGAAGTGCCAAATTGTAACTGCACTTCCATAGAACACATAAACTCCCTTTTCATTTTTGCCCTGTTAAATACTACAGCGGTACCTCGGGTTACATATGCTTCAGGTTACATACGCTTCTGGTTACACACTCCGCTAACCCAGAAATAGTGCTTCAGGTTAAGAACTTTGCTTCAGGATAAGAACAGAAATCGTGCTGCGGCAGCGCAGCAGCAGGAGGAGGCCCCATTAGCTAAAGTGGTGCTTCAGGTTAAGAACAGTTTCAGGTTAAGAACGGACCTCCGGAACGAATTAAGTACTTAACCCGAGGTACCACTGTACTCTTAATATTTATTTATTTAACAGGATTTATATGCTGCTTAGCCACCCAAGCCTCTTAAGCAGTTTACATAAAACAGCATAAAATGTACATTAAAAATACTGATTATCTCAGCATTTAAATGTTGCAAAGCAAAGACAGTGTTACAAGGATGTTTGGGTATAACTTTAAGGTTCTGTTTATCAAAATTTCAAAATACAAATATCGCCAGTAGTTTGAAAAGCAATAACTCTACCTAATTAAATGAAATTAGTTGTGAAAATACATGTCTGGGTAGGCTTGCCTAAACAAAAGAGTGTTTAGCAGGTGTTGAAAAGAAGCTAAACAGTCTTGCATAACATCAGTGGTCAGGTAAATTCCAGAGTTTAGCTGCTGCTGCACCAAAGGGTTGATTCCTTGCCAGCGTGGAATGAACATTATGTGGCAGTTGTTAAGAGTGCTAGTTCTTAAAATCGGGTAGTTGTTATGCCTGAAAACAAACTTTAACTACTGGATTCTTTTGCCCCATCTTTTTGTGCCTGCCAAACTGCCGTGTCATGCTTATGATAATATTTTATTCTCTTGTTAATTGTGCTGTTTTAAATGTGCATTTTATATTTGACTTCACTTAGCAATGTTGTAGGGGTGTGTGTTTTTTTTTGAAATGTTTAAGATTTTTTTTTGTTAACTTTGTGTTAAATATGTATTCTGTAGTTGACCTTCTTTGTAATGTTTTATTTTGAAATCTTTAAGATAATATTTTAGTTTTCTGTTAATTATGTTGCTTTGACTGTATACTCTATATTTGATTTTCTTCAGATTGTTTTATTGATGTTTTATTGATGTTTTAATATTCTGTAAACCGCTTTGAGATTTTTCTTAAAAATATAAAGCGGTATAGAAATGAAATAATAATAATAATAATAATAATAATAATAATAATAATAATAGGGTTTCAGCAAAGCAGGTACAATGAACAACAAAGAACTCCCAGCCCTATTGGGGGTGAAGTCTGTTCAAGGAAAGTCTATTTCTAGTGATAATATGCCATAGAGTTTTCAATATTTTAGTTATTTCAAGCTATCTTGCCATAATGCTTGGTGTGCATCTGGCGGTTGATAGCTTTGTTCTTTTGTAGCTGTATACAAAATTTAAATGTTCCATTCCACATCAAAGTTGTTGGTCCCACTGTTGTTGATGTGTTCATTCTCCTTTGCAGTCAAACTTTCCACTAGTGTTAGAAACCAAAGCTGTTGCTACCAAATTTCACACATAGCAGCAGCACAAGTTTTCCAAAACATTGTAATAGCCAATCTCGCAGTTATAAATATAAATAGAAGTAGTTCCTCATAAACTTCATAATGACATTCATAATTAAAAATGGAAAGTAGTACAATCTGAGGTTGCATTGGGATATCTTGGGATGTTATTGCACCAGCTTCTCCAAATATTTTTCCCCTCCAGAATGGTTTAATATTGAGACAGTCCCACCACATATGTAATTATGTTCCCGTCTCCCCATATCCAGCAAAGAGGAGATTTTGACATGGGTGTGGAGAGACTTTTACAGTTTTCCAGCCCTGTATTTTGTTGATCTGTCTCTCTGCCACTAGAGGCTCTGTCTTCAAGTGGGTTTATAGCAGGTTATTTGCTAAGCCAGGGATGCGGGTTGCGCTGTGGGTTAAACCACAGAGCCTAGGAACTTGCTGATCAGAAGGTCAGCGGTTCGAATCCCCGCGACAAGGTGAGCTCCCGTTGTTCAGTCCCTGCTCCTGCCAACCTAGCAGTTCGAAAGCACGTCAAAGTGCAAGTAGATAAATAGGTACCGCTCCAGCGGGAAGGTAAACAGCGTTTCCGTGCGCTGCTCTGGTTCACCAGAAGCGGCTTAGTCATGCTGGCCAAATGACCTGGAAGCTGTACGCTGGCTCCCTCGGCCAATAAAGCGAGATGAGCGCCGCAACCCCAGAGTCAGCTACGACTGGACCTAATGGTCATGGGTCCCTTTACCTATTTGCTAAGCCATGTTTTTCTTTGGGGGAGCATTTTTGTAAATCAAAGCGCCCTTTTCCTAGGACAGGCTCATCCTCTGCCCCACAGCTAACTGGCGGCTTAGGGGCTTGTACTCTCCACCTTCTGCGCACACAACAATCGGGCTTTTTTCTACCCTGGCAGGCACCAGGAGTAACACAGCAACAGATTGGGGCTGCAGGCTAAGGAACCCAGAAGGCAGTGCACAGCATCTGCTCCCCCTGCTCCCTTTCTCCTTGCTTCATTGCATCTTCTTCATTCTTCATTACTTTCCTTTGCTCATCCAGTCTTTCTCTCTGCCTCCATGTGTTTTGCTGTTCAGTCTCATTCATTTAAGGCCTTTCCATTAATTTTCATGTCTGTCAGCCTGTGGGTGAAACTGCTTTGACCATCTTTTACAGGCATCTGAGCTTTTATCTGGGATATATTCTCATCATCCTCAATCTCTTTCCTTTTCGATTTCAGTCTCATTCTTGGTTCTTTCCTGGATGGTGCCCACTGGAGGTAAGAAGAAAATCAATTCATCCTTGCAGCCGGCGTCACTAACTTTTGAAAGCCCCATGGGCACATTTGGATTCTTGTGAGTGCGGTAGCTGCCACCATTTCTGGTTACTTCTTTCCCTATACCGTAAATGCCCTCACCTCAAGACAGAAGAAGAAGAAGAAGAGGAGGAGGAGTTTGGATTTGATATCCCGCCTTTCACTCCCTTTAAGGAGTCTCAAAGCGGCTAATATTCTCCTTTCCCTTCCTCCGCCACAACAAACACTCTGTGAGGTGAGTGGGGCTGGGAGACTTCAGAGAAGTGTGACTGGCCCAAGGTCACCCAGCAGCTGCATGTGGAGGAGTGGAGACGTGAACCTGGTTCCCCAGATTACGAGACTACCGCTCTTAACCACTACACCACACTGAGAAAACACACGCCCTCACTGACTTTCCCTAGGTGAAAATCAGATTCAGTAGAATTAACCTGTATGTTGAAACCTACTGTTTTGGGGGACAGATGGCGGGCAGGTGTGGGGGACTCCCTGGTCCTGAATGGGGTAACTGTGCCCCTGAAGGACCAGGTGTGCAGCCTGGGAGTCATTTTGGACTCACAGCTGTCCATGGAGGTGCAGGTCAATTCTGTGTCTAGGGCAGCTGTCTACCAGCTCCATCGGGGAAGCAGGCCAGAGTGGTGCATGCTCTGGTTATCTCCTGCTTGGACTACTGCAATGCACTCTCCGTGGGGCTACCTTTGAAGGTGACCCGGAAACTACAACTAATCCAGAATGCGGCAGTCAGACTGGTCACTGGGAGTTGCTGCCGAGACCACATAACACCAGTCCTGAAAGACCTACATTGGCTCCCAGTACGTTTCCGAGCACAATTCAAAGTGTTGGTGCTGACCTTGAAAGCCCTAAACGGCCTCGGCCCAGTATACCTGAAAGAGCGTCTCCACCTCCATCGTCCAGCCCAGACACTGAGGTCCAGCTCCAAGGGCCTTCTGGCAGTTCCCTCCCTGCGAGATGTGAAGTTACAGGGAACCAGGCAGAGGGCCTTCTTGGTAGTGGCGCCCACCTTGTGGAACACCCTCTCATCAGAAGCCAAGGAAATAAACAACTATCTGACTTTTAAAAGACATCTGAAGGCAGCCCTGTTTAGGGAAGCTTTTAATGTTTGGTGTTTTATCGTGTTTTTAATATTCTGCTGGGAGCTGCTCAGAGTGGCTGGGGAAACCCAGCCAGATGGGCGGGGTATAAATAATAAATTATGGTGATGATTATTACAAAGACCAAGGGTAGTGATCAGACTACACAAAAGAATTAAAGTCATGGCATGACTGCCCGTCAAAGAATGAGTCTTGCTTCCTTGCAGAGAGGGGAGGAGAGGAGAAGCAACTTTTGTCTCTGCACATGTTTTAGAGAGCAAAATGTGTCCAAAAGCAAACCATGACAAATAGATGTGTGGTTTGAGGAGGGGGAAGATCTGCATTTATGGGGTGGGGGCAGATATAAATGCTCTATGAAATATAAGCAAGGCACTGTTACATTGTAAGCACCTTAACTCGTCCTTTCTAAAATGCAGGTATTTCCAGGCTCCGTACAAATCTATTGCAGAGAGAGAATACAAACAATGGACAACAGGGGGAAATGAGGGTCAACAGATTAAACCAGGATGTGACTGAAGATCCCCATATCAAGGATCTCTCCCAAACCCACTTTCCCACCCAGGCTCCAAATATCCTATCACTGACAATGCCTTGTGCTGCATTCTGACCCAGAATACTTCTTTGCTTCTCTCTGATACCAGAACTAAAAACCGCACACAGCTAAGTTTGGTGCTCAGCTGCAAATATTTGGGGTTTAGAGTTCAGGAAAGAGGTCAATGAAAAATTGGCTGGAGGAGGAGGTCCAAGGGAAAGATGTAAATTGGCCTCTCCTTTCCTTCCTCAGGTTATCTGACGGTTCCACCTCCACCAGCACCCAGGCTGACCACTTCTCCTGCAAACACCACCTTTGTCAGAGGAGAGAAAGTCCAGTTTATATGCCACCGACCAGAAGGGCATAAGGGAGAGTGGTTCTATTTCTTTAAAGCCGACAAACATGGTCAGTGGTCCGAATATATAATAATAAACCGCAGTATCTTGGATGTCTCCACAATGAATCTGGAGTCAAGGGAAAGGTTTGTGTGTTCTTACTGGAGGAAAAACAGAGAAGGAAGGGAGTCTGCAAAGAGCAACCAGGTTGTGCTCTCTGTTGCTGGTAAGAGGCTTTCTTCTTGTGAATGAATTACGCTCTCCCCAGCGCCAAAGGCCAGCCCCATCTGGATGTGATGAAAGTGTGGAAAGGACATGAGCCAGAATGTTGTAGCATCCTAGCAGCTCAAGGAATCACACCTGGAGAAAGCTGGGAGTTTGGCATCCCAGATACCGTGTTAAGTTCTCCTCTATGAAATGTGGGGCTTCTGTGGCATGTAAACAATTATAAATGTAAACTTTGTGTTGGTTTTTTTAAAATTTGGTTTGAAGGAGAAAATACTAGCTAAAACTAAAGGAGAATTCCCTGAATGCCTAGATCCAGGTTTAGGGCAAACACTCTTTGGTGAGAGAGCCCCGGCAGAGATTTAAAACCACAAAATATGTAGCAAAGTAAAGCATGGAAATATAGGCTCCCTTTCTAAGATGCTTCCAAAGTTACCCATTTTGGTTAGCATAGAAAGAGGCCACAGACTTGGCTAGTTAAAAATGGTTTCCTTACTAACTCTTTGAAGGTCGGGTTCATGTGCTTTTCCATACAGCAGTAAGAAAACACAGGCCATAAGACTTAGATTTCAAAGTGGAGAAAGTTTCAAAATTATTTGTATTTGTTGTTGCTGTTTAGTCGTTTAGTCGTGTCTGACTCTTCGTGACCCCATGGACCAGAGCACGCCAGGCACTCCTGTCTTCCACTGCCTCCCGCAGTTTGGTCAAACTCATGCTGGTAGCTTCGAGAACACTGTCCCACCATCTCGTCCTCCTTTGTCCCCTTCTCCTTGTGCCCTCCATCTTTTCCAACATCAGGGTCTTTTCCAGGGAGTCTTCTCTTCTCATGAGGTGGCCAATGTATTGGAGTCTCAGCTTCAAGATCTGTCCTTCCAGTGAGCACTCCGGGCTGATTTCCTTAAGAATGGATAGGTTTTATCTTCTTGCAGTCCATGGGACTCTCAAGAGTCTCCTCCAGCACCAGAATTCAAATGTGAGGACATTGGTTTCTGGATGGGAGTTGATCATGGTGAGGGTTTGCCAAACATGCCTTCCTCTTAGCTCATTTCTCCCTTTTGTCCTGAGTTCGAGTGTCTTCAAAGTCCATGACACCTTTGGTAAAGGCTGTTCTCCAATTGGAGCGCTCGCAGGCCAGTGTTTCCCAATTGTTGGTGTTTATACCACATTTTTAAAGATTTTCCTTGAGTGAGTCTTTAAACCTCTTTTGTTGACCACCAGCATTACGCTTCCCCTTTTAAAGTTCGGAATAGAGTAGTTGCTTTGGAAGACGATAATCAGGCATTTGAACAACATGACCAGTCCAACGAAGTTGATATTGAAGAATCATTGTTTCAACACGGGTGATCTTTGCTTCTTCCAGTACACTGACATTAGTTTGCCTGTCTTCCCAAGTGATATGTAAATTTTTTCGGCGATACCACTGATGGAATCTTTTGAGGAGTTGGAGTTGGTGTTTATAAGTGGTCCATGTTTCACAAGCATACAGCAAGGTTGGTAGTACAATAGCTTTGTAAAGAAGCGTTTTGGTTTCCCTGCGAATGTCCCGGTCCTCAAACACTCTGCACTTCAGTCGGGAGAAAGCTGTGCTTGCAGAGCTGAGGCAAAGCTGGATTTCGGCATCAATGTCGGCCCTTGTGGAACTATAACTGCCCAGGTGAGAAAAGTGATCGACATTTTCCAACGTTACACCGTTGAGTTGGATTTGTGGTGCTGCAGAGGGGTTGTTTTGTGCTTGTTGGTGCAGCACTTTGGTTTTTTGGATGGTGAGCCAAGCTTTTCGTAAGCTTCTGTGAAGATATGTAGGATGGTTTGGTGGTCATCCTCTGAGTGTGCACACACTACATTGTCATCAGCATATTGAAGCTCCATGACGGAGGTTATGGAAGGGTATTTCATCCATTTACCGTATTTTTTGCTCTATAAGACTCACTTTTTCCCTCCTAAAAAGTAAGGGGAAATGTGTGTGCGTCTTATGGAGCGAATGCAGGCTGCACAGCTATCCCAGAAGCCAGAACAGCAAGAGGGATTGCTGCTTTCGCTGCACAGCGATCCCTCTTGCTGTTCTGGCTTCTGAGATTCAGAATACAGTGGTGCCTCGCAAGACGAAATTAATCCGTTCCGCGAGTGTCTTCGTCTAGCAGTTTTTTCGTCTTGCGAAGCAACCCTATTAGCGGCTTAGCGGATTAGCGCTATTAGCGGTTTAGCGGCTATTAAAGGCTTAGCGGCTTAGCTGCTAAAAGGCTATTAGCGGCTTAGCGGCTTAGAAAAAGGGGGGGGAGCGAAAAAAAATCTCAAGACTCGCAAGACATTTTCGTCTTGCGAAGCAAGCCCATAGGGAAATTCGTCCTGCGAAGCAACTCAAAAACGGAAAACCCTTTCATCTAGCGGGTTTTCCGTCTTGCGAGGCATTCGTCTTGCAGGGCACCACTGTATTTTTTTTTTCTTGTTTTCCTCCTCCAAAAACTAGGTGTGTCTTGTGGTCTGGTGCGTCTTATAGAGCGAAAAATACGGTATTCCCCCAGCCGACTGGTTTGTTTTTTCTCTTCCTTCCAACCCCAGATTTCCCACTCCCTGCCACCCTTTCCCTGAACCCCCTGAATCCTGTTCACACTCATGGAGAACAGATTACCCTGCTCTGCTCAGTTCCTGATGGGCGGGAAGCAGCAGGATACACATTTTACAAGGAGCTACAAGGTCAGGCATCTGAGGAGCTTCCCCGTAATGAGTTGATGATTCCCCATAAAGCTTTGCGTGTTGGTGAAGATACGGCCGGGAACTACAGCTGTGCATATTCCATCAGATTAGAAAATAAGGAAATCCAGTCTCCACGTAGCAACATCATCTCTGTAGTAATGGAAGGTGAGCAAGTTCTGTATTTTCCCCATTATTTTTAAAATCATTTTTTTAAAAATCACTGCAATACAATGGTACCTTAGGTTACATACGCTTCAGGTTACAGACTTCGCTAACCCAGAAATAGTACCTCGGGCTAAGAACTTTGCTTCAGGATGAGAACAGAAATCGTGCAGCGGCAGTAGGAGGCCCCATTAGCTAAAGTGGTGCTTCAGGTTAAGAACAGTTTCAAGTTAAGAACGGACCTCCGGAACGAATTAACCTGAGGTATGTTGTAAATAAAAATATGCCCTTTTCCCTTATGGGGTATCCAAGAGCCCAGATAGAGTCCTTACATAGGTTCCCTATTGGTAGGAGAAAATAACAGAGGCCAACCAGAGAATATTGAGAAGCAAAGCAGCTAGTAAGCTTGATCTTTATTGATCTGTTGCAACAGGGTACTCCCCTCACACGCAGGAGAGGAGGAGGACCCCCAAAAATGCTATGCAAGGGCTTATAAAGACTTTTGAGATTCCCATCCTCTAGATCAAGACCACCCCCAGAAACATTATGCATTCATCACAGAAGGGGTGTAACCTAAGACCACCCCTCAGATAAGGCGGTCTAAAACAGAACATTTGCATGTTGTTTTCTCCTGTCGCTTTGTTTATTTCCTGTCTGGCAGGTTACTTGATTGGATTTCTTGGGGAGCCTTGGCAGTCTTTTGTAATGATAAGGCTCACACCCTTATTCAAACACAGATTAAGACAGGATTTGTGAAGGAAGAGACAATGGGGAGGCTTTTCCATTTTTACCATGCAGAGAAACATTTGCTCAGTTTAGGAATCAAAATGGTTCCAGGTTGGCTTTCCTGTGCTGATCTATGTACGTGTGGTTATGAACGTTGCCATGTATCTAAAACCATAAAATTCCTATCACAGGTACCACTGTATAACAATTTAGCAACAACTCCATCTGGATTTTCCATAAATATATGAATGAGTGAGCAAAAGATGGTCACTGCAGGGGGGATGTGAGAATCACCACCAATATTGTAGGGTCTCAAGCTCCGGTTTTTGGGGGGTGGGACAGTGGGAAGATTGTTCTCTGGCTGATTCTAGATTCATTTAAAAAAAATATTCAGGAAACATAATTGACCACAGGACTGGCAATCAACAAATCAGGATACTAATCTCAGACCCATGACTCTCATATAGCTGTTTGACCCAGTTATATGACTTCCTGTTAAAAACCAAGTAGACCACAATCTACTACAGTGGTACATCGGGTTAAGAACTTAATTCGTTCCGGAGGTCCATTCTTAACCTGAAACTGTTCTTAACCTGAAGCACCACTTTAGCTAATGGGGGCCTCCTGCTGCCGCTGCGCTGCCGGAGCACAATTTCTGTTCTCATCCTGAAGCAAAGTTCTTAACCCGAGGTACTATTTCTGCGTTAGCAGAGTCTGTAACCTGAAGCGTCTGTGGTACCACTGTATTCGTTTTAAGCTTCTGTACTCCTTTGTGGATGAGTCTACCAGAATCCCTTCCTTTTTCTGATGCCAGCAGTGAATCCTTTGCCTAGAGTGGTGAACAGAGAAGATTTCCTGCACGTTACTCGCTCAGTCAACAGGAACTGTGAAAAGTTAATAGGGGGACAGCGTGGAAAAGACTGACCCCGGTTACTGTCCAAGAGACCCTTTTCATTTGGACAAGCATTGAGAAGCTGAGGGTGTGCTTATATTGTTTTCCTGCGAGGGATATTGTAAAGGACTTTTCAGAACTTAATGATTTTCTGAAAGTGATATTTCCTACCTGACTTGGGCCTTCAAGAACAAGACTGATTTTTTTAAAAAAAAAACCTTATCCTTTCTGATTTCGTTTTCTCAGATTCCTCTCCATCGCCAGGTCCATCGCTGCTCTATGCATGTTTGGCTGTCCCATTTGTCATCCTGATGATTTCATTCGCTTTTTACTGCAGATGGAAAAAGACTGGTGGTAAGCAATGAGGGTTGGAGGTTATCTCTTTGCATTTCATAGCCTGAAATTGGGGGTTTTTTCCACACTTCCCCACCCTCTGTACTGCTCTTTCTGGACACTGGGCTGTGCTTAAAAGCTCTATGTCTAAGCCCTTTTTTCCCCCTTTGCCCCAGAGCTTTCCCTGCAGAAATCTGCTCTTTAAATCTCAATCAGAGCAAATGGCTATCTGCAGAAAACTCAAACAGATGTTTGTTCCGATTGCTAAAGAGCAAGTTTTCACAGGGAAAGCTCTGGAACAAAAAACACACAAACTTGGACACAGAGATTTTAAGCGTGGACCTGTTCCTGGAAAGTAAATGTGGATAATCTTGTTTTGATGGGCAGGGGAGAGAGAGAGAGATTTGTAGAGGCTGTCTGGTCCTCTGGTCTGGATGGATGTGAGTTTGCAAGGCAACGGCCAGCAGGGGTGACAATATTATACATTTTCACTCTTTTGCTCTCTTTCTTTGGAAGCAGTGAAATGTTGGGGGAAATCTGAGCTAGAAGAACAGGAGGAGGCGGGACCAGGTGGTCTTGGAACACTGGAGCCCCAGACAACACCCAGTCAGGTAAGGGGTGAGATTAATAACCATTCCATCCTTAGAAAACGGCACAACAACCTTTGTGGAACATGCTGCCGCCGCAGGATATGATAGTGGCAATTATTATGGACAGAATATTAGCCGATTTCATGGACAGAGATGTCCATTGGGGACCAACTGGCAGTTCTGTGTCCAAAGACAAGACATAAGTTTGTCATCTTCATAGCTGCTTGTGAGCGTCCCAGGGGGCATTTGACTGCCTGGTGTTAAATGGTGCGTGTTCGTAAGGTAGGCATAGGCAAACTCGGCCCTCCAAATATTTTGGGACTACAATTCCCATCATCCCTGACCACTAGTCCTGTTAGCTAGGGATGGTGGGAGTTGTAGTCTCAAAACATCTGGAGGACCAAGTTTGCCTATGCCTGTTGTAAGGGGATATTTGCCAGTGCACACTCACTGCTCATCCAAGGTTATGAGTAATTGGATATGAATACAGACTGTGACCTGGTGTAAAGCAAAATACACAAAACTGAGCTAGAGCAGCCCTTGAGCTGACTTAGCAGGGCAGTTCTGGATTATCAAAAGGTGCTGGCCATTGTTTGGCCCGCCATACCAAATAAATCCAATTCCCTGGGTTCCTTGAAGACATTTCCTAAGAGCTGAAAGTTTGTTATTGGAGTGAAATTCCCTGATAGGGACCTTGTGCAGTGTGGAAACAAATTAGCATTACCACAAGGATGTTTTACTGCAAAACTGTCTTAAACTAGTTACAAGATAAAATGTCGACAAATACAAAGTAACGCATTGCTCTAAACAAACTAGCAATGCGTTCCCGTCTTCTTTAAGTCCTTAACATAGGCCAAGAACTATGTAAACATTACATTTTATTCACATTTATATCTTTAAGACGGAATCCCTTTGCATTTGTAAAGAAGCTCTAAAAACTGGGATAAAAGCTTCATTCTCAACAGGCCCTTTCTGGTTTAATTGGTGAGCAACGGCACATTTGACTTTCTTCTGTTTTCACAGGGCTCAGGTGCCACCTATGCCCTCCTCCCCTTTTGTTCCGCTGCAACTTCCTCAGGACCAGTGATGGAGAATGAGCTCCAGCCGGTTGAAGAGGAGGGGCTGTTGTACAGTGAGATTCTCTTTCCACCAAACAACAGAAGAAGAAATTGAAGACAATTGTAGAGGTTTCTGGTCAAGTTGGGTCCTACATTGCTTGCCAATTGGTGGATTGCACTGAGGGATGTCTGACAGGCATCTTGATTGTCATATCAAATGCCAATGTTTTGTGTAAACTGTGTCTGGAACTATGCAAGACTTGCTAAATCCTCAGGAATATCACACCTTGGCCTGCCTGAGCCACAGTAACCCCACCTTAGGTGTGATATAGTAATTTCTGACTGTTTGTAGAGCAGATGTCCTCCTTCACACCAAAATTTTTGTTGTTGTTTAGTCGTTTAGTCATGTCCGACTCTTTGTGACCCCATGAACCAGAGCACCCCAGGCACTCCTGTCTTCCACTGCCTCCCACAGTTTGGTAAAACTCTTAAAAGAACAGAACTCTTAGAACCCAAAACTAAGATTTTGTCAAAGATGTATAACTTGCTGTTGAAATGGAACACTCAGGATGAAACGGTGAAATCTGCTATGATTAAATGGGCACAAGATTTTGGACATAATGTTTGCTGACTGGGAACAGTTGTGGACCACAGGTATGAAGTTTACGGCATGTAATGCTTTAAGAGAGAATATTATGAAAATGATATACAGGTGGTACATGACCCCAGTCAAGCTTGCAAAAATCTACCATTTGCCCGACAATAAATGTTGGAAATGTAAAGAAACTGAAGGTACATTCTTTCACCTTTGGTGGACGTGCCCAAGGATTAAGGCTTTCTGGGAAATGATATATAATGAACTGAAAAAGGTATTTAAGTATACCTTCTCGAAGAAACCAGAGGCCTTTCTCCTGGGCATAGTCGGCCAATCGGTGCCAAAGAAGGATAGAACCTTTTTTATGTATGCCACAACAGCAGCAAGAATACTCATTGCAAAGTATTGGAAGACACAAGATCTACCCACTCTGGAAGAATGGCAGATGAAGCTGATGGACTACTGTATATGGAACAGGCAGAAATGACTGGCAGAATCCGAGACCAGGGAGAAGAGTCGGTGAAAGAAGATTGGAAGAAATTTAAAGACTATTTACAGAAATATTGTAAAATTAAGGAATTTTAGAAGGATGTTGGATAGAAACTAAGTGGTTTCCAGCTGTAATGCTTTAAGAGATACGGAAAAAGGTTTTATAAATGGGTAAAAGCTTAATGGTAAGGATTTGCTGAACTAACAAACTGAACTGGAATACAAAAAAGGGAGGTACGAGGAGGTCCGGGGAAATAAGTGTAAGGAAGATATGTTATGGAAAATTAACGACGTGTTTTTAATTGTTTGTATTTTGTATGTTTCCTTTTATTTTTCATTTTTTTGTTATATCTTAAAAACTTTATTCTTTTTTCTGTATTTTGTATTTTCTTGTATTTTTATTTTTTGTTTTTGTATTCTTTGAAACTTTAATAAATATAATTTTTTAAAAAAAAAACTCTTAAAAGAGATGTTTCTTCCTGGTTCAGGGTCTCTCTTGCCTTGCAAGGAGGGGAAGGAACTCTGTTGCAACCAAAAAATAAAGATCTACCTTGCTTTCACTGCCTCCTGCCTCCATCCATTCATCTCTGACCGATCAGAGACTTAGGGGACTCAGTCCCTTGGGGGAGTTGGGCAGCAAAATCCAACCACCCCTATTTTTTCTATGTCTCTGTTAACAAGGCCTAGTACAAGACACCCCCCACACACACACACCCCACACACAATGTCTCGGCATGATGCGAGGTGAAAAGTTGGTTTTCAATTTTTCAAGTCAGCTGCATGCAGTTTCTTCCTTACTTCCAGGCCCACGCTGCTGTCAGTTCTGAAGAAGCTTTTGTGGGTGAGGGAGGTGAAGCCACAAGAGACTTGGATGTGGTTAGCTGCTGTTGACAGTGTTAAACAACATCTAGGCTGTCTCCAAGGCCCCCGAGCTGACTTGTGCGCAGGGGCCGGTAGCGCAGTGTGGGTGTGTACCTGCCCATACATTTCCTGGCTTGGTCTTTTGGGTTGGGAAATAATAGAATCGGGTATGTCTAGTTTGCAACCTGTTTTTGGGCAGAAGACAGCGATGAGCTGAGGAACCAGCTTTCAAGAAACACTGAGCGAGCATGGCATCTGTGACATTGGTGACAGGTTTGAGACCTCCCTTCTCTCTCTCAGATGGAAAACTCCCCACCTGTCGATATCTCCCCTCCCCAGTTCCTCATGTCTTTTCTCTTCTCTTCTTTCCTGCCAGTCTCTCTCCTGACCCACCTCTGGGGATCGGCCTGTGCAGGTAACGTTGACTTCTGGTTCCTGCTATGACAATTTCAGCCCGTCTTGGATAGGTGGTGCAGTTAGGAATCACGCTTTAAACGATTGGAGACAACTCTTGCTCATTTAGCAGCTCTGAAACAGGTAGAAATCAACAGGTGGAGCTTTCCACAGCATGTTGATTAGCCTATCTTCCCCTTTTGGATTTCTGCCTGTTCATCAGTTGCTAAAAGCAGAGAAAGGAACTTTGCAGGAATAAGGTGGGACTCTCGATAGCGGCAGCAAATTCAAGGCTGCAAGCCACTGCCTTCAGTGGGTCTTCTCCGCGTGTGACTAAGATTGGAGACAACCCATTAATTCAAATTAACACAGAGCAAACTAAAATAAGTTGTTGTTGTTGTATAGTTGTTTAGTCGTGTCCGACTCTTCGTGACCCCCTGGACTAGAGCACGCCAGGCACTCCTGTCTTCCACTGCCTCCCGCAGTTTGGTCAAACTCATGCTGGTAGCTTCGAGAACACTGTCCCACCATCTCGTCCTCTGTCGTCCCCTTCTCCTTGGGCCCTCCATCTTTCCCAACATCAGGGTCTTTTCCAAGGAGTCTTCTCTTCTCATGAGGAGGCCAAAGTACTGGAGCCTCAGCTTCAGGATCGGTCCTTCCAGTGAGCACTCAGGGCTGATTTCCTTCAGAATGGAGAGGTTTGATCTTCTTGCAGTCCATGGGACTCTCAAGAGTCTCCTCCAGCACCAGAATTCAAAAGAAAGAAGTTACTGGCCTATAATTTATGGTTATTATTATACCATAAATTATTATACCATAAATCAGAACCAGCCCTCTTTATTCTGTATGAAAAAGGTGTCAGAAGGTGGAGTTTCATATTTGCATTTCCCCATTGCTTTTCTGCAAATATAATAGAGATTACAAATTCTTTGAGACAGCTGAATTGAGATTTAAACATTTGTAAGCTCTAGCTTAATTTGATAAGGTATCCGCCTTGTGTGTAAAGAAAAGGAAAAATAAAATAACGAAACAGATCCTGTACTTAGCAATGTCAACTTGGAAAATGGTGGAATGAGTTTAAATAGGATGGAATGAATTATGGGGCAGATGGGGGATGTTATCTCTGATTTTTCCCATTCCAATGGCTGATTAAAAAGGTTGTTTCTATTGCTGTATAATTAAGGCAAATAATGCACTAATTGCATCCACTCCTACTCTTAAATCCTTGTGTAAGAAGTCTATAAATAGAAGGGGAAGAATAATCCAGAAATTGAATGTGAAATAACTAAATCCAAAATTGCTTGCAAAATGACAATTTTCAATTTGCCACACCAAAAAGAACATTTTAACCCAGAATCTGGGAGGCGGAAATGAGGGTGTGGGTGGGAATGAAGTAAAACTGAAAAATGTGTTGGGGAGGTGAATGGAAAGGTCTTTTTCACACAAAGAGGCCTTTATTTGAAAGGCTGGTAGTGGAATTTTGTTTTGATGCATAAACTCGATAAAACTGGCCCATTACAGAAATTATATATGGTGGTGGATAAACCCAACTGCCCAAGGTTGGGTTAGTCTTTTTTAACAATTAGAGTAAATAATTAGCATAAACATCTAATTTCATTTCCAAATGTCTCCTAAAGTTGTATGAGAGACGGGCAATCTGCCATTTTCAGTTGTTTTTTTCATTTTACCAATCTCAAATTCCCCATGTTTTCACATCCGGCTTCTGATGTTTTTAAGTCCTCGTGAAAATTCATCAGCTTTAAAGTGCGAATTTCTCGTGATATACCCATTCTTATACAATTTTGCCTAACATACACATTTCTGCAGATGAATCTTCTCCGATATAATGCATTTTTGTATGCCGTTTTCATAATATATATACCGGGTGTCATCAGCATACTGGTGACACCGAACCCTCAAACTCTGGACAACCTCTTCCAGCAGTTTCATGTAAATGTTAAATAGCATGGAGGACATGAAGGAAGGAAGGAAGGAACAGAGCAACTGTAAAACAGGGCCTCCAGTCCCACCCCAGCAAGGCAGCCCAGGAGGATACCATGGTTGATGGTATCAAAAGCCCCCAAGAAGTCCAGCAGAACCAACAGGGACACATTCCCCCTGTCTAGTTCTCTCTAGGCATTGTTCAAAGATAGTGTTATAAGAAAAAAAACCCTGCTCCTTTTCCCTTATGGGGTATCCAAGAGCCCGTATAGAGTCCTTACGTGGGTTCCCTATTGGTAGGAGAAAATTACAGAGGCCAACCAGAGTATATTGAGAAACAAAGCGGCTATTAAGACTGATCTTTATTAAAACTGTTGCAATAGTGTCCCCACTCACCACATGCAGAAGGGACCCAGAACAATGGTATGCAAGCCCTTATATAGACTTTTGAAACTGCCCACCCTGTAGCCAGAGACCACTCCCAAAATACCATGCATACATCACAGAAGGAGGCTGTCTACAGCAGAGATCCTGTTTGCCAGGATATCTGTTACTGGTCACTGATTGCATTACCTGGGCAGCCTGGCCATTCTTTTGTGATGTTTAATACTTTAATTCCTGAATCCAGGTCACAGGCTCACCCTATGAGCCTTTTAAGACAGGATTTGTAAGCGGAAAGAGAATTGGAAGGCTTTCCCCATTTGCCTCCCTTACTGCAGAGGAATATCTGAGGTCATTGGGAAAGTCAAAATGGCTTCAGGATGGCTCTCCGATAATATTTCAGACACATGGTTTATATGTGTTTGCCATGTACATTTGTGAACATTTATTTTATATCTGAGATCTTCGAATTCTTATAACAATAGAAAGAACAGAAACACAGCAGTAAGTCGAGGCTACGTTTTGAGTGATTGCCGAAACCACACACACCACAATAGTGTTGGTCTGGTTTGAAGAGTGTGGCTGGTGTGGCTCCTGAGCGATGGAGTCTCTTAATAGTTCAGCTAGTAAAGTCGGCTTCCTTGTGTTCCCTTTTCTATTTGACTGTAAGCCTCAACCCAGGGACTGACTTATGGGAACATTTTGACTCATGGGTGCAGTGACACCTTTAGGTAGGGATGGAGAAGGCCCCTGCCTGAAATCTTAGAGAGTCGCACCCAGTTCATGAAGACAACACTGATCAAGGTGGACCAATGGCCTAACCAGGGAGAAACTCAATTTTGCTTGGATTTTAACAAGAAGTTTCCATCCTGGTCCTTGCCTGGTCTGCCCTCCCAGCCGGCAGGTGTGTGTGCTTTGTGCTGCAACAGTTTGTTTGACCTTTGGAATACCTGGCTGCAAGTAAAAGTGTTTGTGCTGTTCACACTATGGGTTAACGTTTGATCGCTGGCTGAGTGATTGCAGATTGGGCAGGCTGTGGCCTTATGATACAAAAGTGCCTAACGTTAGCAGAAATTGCTTGCCAAAACTGGTATTTTAGTCCAAACGACATACAAAAATGTGTTTTTGGGGGGAGAAAATTGCACGAAGATGAATTTTCTATGTTTTTATATAATTTTATTAAAATTTCTGTTTTACAATTTAAAATACTCATTTTGCATCCTTAAGATATCAACGACTTCACTTCTTCTCTTACCATGGTTCATTTTACATATCACAAATCCCTGCATATTTTACAAAAACTACTGATATGCCATTCAGTCTTCCATTATTTCATCCATCAAAATTTATTTACATGGTTGAATTTATCTTAATGCTGCCAATGTTTTCAGGTGTACACAGTTATTTCCCATATATTCAATAAACATTTTTCAGTCTTCTTTAAGCATATGCTCTTCTTGTTCTCTTATTCTATATGTGAAATCTGCAAGTTGTGCATAGAGTGGTACCTTGGTTCTCAAACTTAATCCCTTCCAGAAATCTGTTCCAAAACCAAAGTGTTCCAAAACCAAGGTGCGCTTTGCCATAGAAAGGATTGCAAAATGGATTAATCCATTCCAGCCTTTATAAACAACCCCTAAGACAGCAATTTAACATGAATTTCACTATCTAACGAGACCACTGATCCATAAAATGAAAGCAATAAACAATGTACTGCAGTCACACAATCAATCAATCAGTAGCTGAACTGGGTTCCACACAGTCACAAAAACAAAACAAAAAGAGCCACAAAAACAAAACAAAAAGAGCCACAAAAACAAAAAGGCAAAAGAAATAGCAAAAACAGACAGACCTCAGCGTAACACTCAAAACGGAGCACATTTGGCTTCCGAGAAAAGTTTGCAAACCGGAACACTTACTTCTGGGTTTGCAGTGTTTGGGTTCCAAGTTGTTTGAGTACCAAGGTGTTTGAGAACCAAGGCACCACTGTATTCGGTCAACCTAAGTTGCCATTTTTCTTTGGTTGGGGCCTCGCTTGTTTTCCATTTTGGGGCTTACAAAACACGGGCCGCAGTAGTGGCATACATAAATGCTGATGGATTTTCATGAAGTTTCTTAAAAACCGCACTGTGGATTCCTGTAGAAATGTAGAGAACTGGAATAATGAGAAACACAGTAAAACCGAATCTGACAGATCCGTCTATCCTTAGGCCTGACAGTTTCCTTTGTGTATTTCCTGATCCATTCCTCCAACTTTCTCTGTGTTCCTCCCCTTTGTTCTCAGGCTACCCTCCTCCCCCCAGATTCTCTGTGTCCCCCAAACAAGACATCTACAGAACTGGCGAACTGATAAACTTCACGTGCTCCGCTCCTGACCACCGTAACATATCCGGAGTCACCTTTTTCAGTCACCAATGGATACTGTATTTCCAGAAGCCTCCGCCCTCTGGGGGGGCATTCACACATGCCCTGCGCCTGTCTCCCCAAGACAGCAGCGAGTATTCCTGTACCTACAATGTTATACAATCGAGAGAGCAATCGCATGGAAGCAACTCCATCCATATTGCAGTGATGGGTGAGGCCTCCTTTTTCGGGGTACGTCTCTTGGAAGGGGCAAGAGGGAGCCCAGGCAGACTTTGGGCGAGAAAATGTGCTTAGCAGAATCCAAATACACGCTGAGAAGCAGGCTTTTCCATTCAATCTTTTCATATGAGTAACCTTTTCACACCCCTCTTTTCTTCCGTGTTTTGTTTCTGCAACACCATCAGTATATGTAATAATAATGATGATGATGATGATAATGATGATAATAATAAACTTTTATTTATATCCCGCCCTTCCTAGCCGAAGTCAGGCTCAGGGCGGCTAACATCAAATATATAATATTGGTATGTCCAAATTAAAACATGTCCCTGCCCCCATGGGTGTGAGAGAAATAACAAAGGGAGAGGAAGGGAAGTTTAAAAATTACTCATGAGTAGGAATTCAGGGAGATGTTTTAGAGCAGCGGATCTCAACCTGTGGGTCCCCAGATGTGGTTGGACTACAACTCCCATCATCCCTGACCACTGGTCATGCTGGCTAGGAATGATGGGAGTTGTAGTCCAACTATATCTGGGGATCCACAGGTTGAGAAACACTCTTTTAGAGGGATGTAAGGACACAACAGTTCTTGACCTGTGAAAGAGGTCCCTTCTCATTTCCTACTCCCGAAGTGTGATGTTCTCAGCCTTCCTACTGTAAGACCTTTCCGTTGCGTCAGTGGAGGGGTGAGGCTTCTCTACATCTTCCTGGAAGCTTTCGTGTCAGTACTTCCATGTTCCCCATCTCCTCCAGTTCAGTCCCCATCATTCCAAGCAATAATGATTCGTACTGGCCCCAAACCCACAAACTCTGTCCCTCAACTTGGGCAAAATACTGGACTGCCCCAGTCCATCTATGTGGACCTTGGCCTCAATCATTTTGATTCAGGAAGACAGGAAGTTCCCTTATACTGAATCATGTGGGAATGTTGTGGGTAGCAGGAAAGGATTTTTTTGATTAAATATTATCCTTCCTAACTCACGCTGGTTAGTTTATTCATATAGCAGAGTACATCCCCCTCTTTACAGAGCAGGAAGCGACTTGCAGATTCGTTAGAATCTCTTAAGTTCTATTATTCCTGGTAAGACCCCTTGGATTCCCTCCTAAAAGAATAGACACAACAGTCTTCTTTTTAAAGCAATGAGAAGTTTACTCACATTCAGTTCACAGTTGGATCCCTGAAGGCAGGCTTTAGCTTAGAGTTACAGATGAGGATTTGAGTTCGTCCCATATGGGAACTCATCCTACATGGTGCTGGCTGAGGGAAATTCCCAGCCCTAGCTGGAAATGCGAGGAATTGAATCTAGGACAAGCAGATAGATGATCTGCCACTGAGCCGCAACTTTTCCTCATCTTGTGGTCCCTTCTAACCCCCTCTCCTTTGTGGCTGGCTCCTCCAGATCCTCTTCCTCCTCCAGTACTGAAAACGGACCCTCCGTCCAGAGTGGTGAACAAAGGAGACCCCTTGCTCCTCACTTGCTTGGCCAAAGGAGGCGGCGTGGAGAAAAGATTCCATTTCTTCAGGGATGGTGTTGAGATGATCTCCGACAGCGGTGGGTCCCTGCGGTTCTCCAGAGAACATGGGGGTGCCTCCGCAGGTGTGTCTGTCAACATCCTGAAGGCTAAGCTCAACCACACTGGGGAATTTGCCTGCAGGTATGAGGAAAAAACGAGCAGGGGGTGGATCGTCTCTCCGTGGAGTCAGAAGGTGTACCTCACAGGTGAGTGGTTTCCAACTGGTGGCAATAGTTGGGGGTTAGGGTCTGCTTTAGCTTTGGGACCCTCCCCCCTTTGATGTTTGAGTTCAAAGCCCCCCATAGGCTTTGTGGGGTGTAATCCATGAAAGGCAGTCAAGTACAACATTCATTGAAATGCTAGAGAAGACATGCGAGGGGATGTTTGCTCCAGCCAGTCGAAACTTCCTGTTCCTCCTGGCTGGAGCATCCTTCCCTTCACATGTGATAGAAGGTGGGTGTGACCTAACCTGTCCAGGTAACAAAAGGACAAGTCACGCAGCAACCTTTCCCTTTTTTGACTTCCTTCCTCTTTTGACCAGCTTGTAGCTAAGACTGCTCTGCTAGCAGAAGCACTGGGATTATTCCTCCTTATGGGGTAGATTCCACATGTACATATTTGTAACTAAGTCTGTCTTCAGGAATCCAACTGTGAACTGATGTTAAGTAAACTTCTTTTATTGACTTTGAATAAGATTGTGGTGTCTTTATTCTTTTAAGAGGGATTCAAGGGAACTTACCAGGAACGTACAATTCAATCTGAAGACAGAACGAATTGTATAATAGTGAGAGACTCGCACGAGCCTGCAACCAGCTATCTGCTGTGCATGTAAAAGGGGGAATGTAACTTGCTAGCATAAGTTAGGAAGGATATTTATAAACAATATATCCTCTCCTGCCACCCTGAACATTCCCACAGCTGATGGGGTCCAAAGGAAAGTAAAGCAAGACCAGCTTGGCTGCAGGAGTTGCCAGAAGGAGTACAAGGCCCCGTCCAACCGCCTTAGGGACTTTTTAGGGTTTCCTCTTGAGCCTTTTCTTCTCCCCAAGATATCCCGCAAGGCAGCGGAGGTTGAGGGTCAGAGTCACCTTCCCAAGCCCCACCTGCCCCTCACTTCTCTCTACAGCATGTGCAGTGGTTCCCATCTGTGGAATGCTCTCCCCAGGTAAGTTCGCCTGGTGCCTTCATTATACACCTTTTGGCACCAGGCAAAAACGTTCCTTTTTAACCAGACCTTTGGTTGATCTGTTTGACATCCCATACCCTTTAAGATGTAGCTCTTTTCTGGGGTGGGTGGGTGTTTATTCTGATTATGTATGTTGTGATCTTTTCTGTGAACCACCCTGAGACCTCTGGGTATAGGGTGGCATATAATTTCAATACTACTAATAATAATAATAATAATATGCAGAAACCGTCTTCTTGACTGTCGGACCCACTATTTTGAGCCTGTCTTCACATGCACTTTAATTTGCAAAACAAATCCTATTTTATATTAAAACAGGCATTATAAACAGATGGCGATATTAGCTTGTATGATCACTGTGTTTTTAACTTCAGTGAATTACTGTTATTGTGTCTTCAACAGCAATGGCTACAATGGAGTCCCCCCCCCCCCCCGATTATTCATACCAACAGCTGAATCCCCTTCTTTCCTTTCTGCAGTTTGGGCACCAAGTTCCTCTTCTCCACCCCTGCTATATGCATGTTTGGCAATTCCACTGGCGATCCTGATGGTCCCTCTTGCTTTTTACTGCACGAGAAGGAATAGAGGTAGGTGATGCTGAGAACTGTGGCCCTCTCCTGTCATTTCCTATTAGGGGATGGTGCTCTTCTCTGCGTCACAAGAGTGGTGGTCATGGAAGCAGTGTTGGTTAAAAGCAAGCATTTATTTTGTCTTCCTTCATATTGGATGTGGTTAGGGTGTGGGAGGGAGCCTTGCCTGTGTCTGTCCTCTGGAACTCCCAGCCACAAGAGGTTTATTTTCAGGACCAGCCCTGTCTCACCATCTTTCTTCTCTTTTCTCTCTCCATTTCCACTTTGGAAGCGTTGAAATCCGAACAGGAAAACACGGAAGAAGCAAATTCCGAGTACCTTGAAATGTTCAGCGCCACTAGGAAGCCTCAGAGGTAATGGCAACTAATGCTGGTATAACACTGATGTGATGTGTGTCTTCATAATTTCTTATTTATTTAAAGCATTTCTTCCAAAAAGTGTTCCTAGACTGGCCAACCAAAATAACAATGGTCGTGGCACACAAGAAGGGAGGAGCGAAAGAGCCAGCTCAGGCAGCAGTTCAGTTCTTAAAGTTTTGAACATAGTTGGAGGCGAAGAGCACCCACAAACTATGCAAGGAGTTTCCAGAGGGGAGGAAAACTTTAACCCAGAGCCTGGCAACCTGGAAATGCAGGAGAGACTTATCAGTCAAGAGAGGGACAATGTCTTGTTGGCTGGGAGATAAAAGGATGAAAGGCGACTGGAGGAACAGGCAGCGGGGGGTGTCCCAGGCAGAAAAAGGAGCAAAGAGACCCCACAGGGAGAATCATAGAATTGTAGAATTGGAAGGGACCCAGTGGATCATCTAGTCCAACCCTCCTGCAATGCAGGGAAATGCAGCTGCCCCTTACGGGGATCAAACCTGCAACCTTGGCATCATCAGCACCACGCTCTAGTCAACTGAGCTATCCAGGAAGAAGGACAAGTTTGGGGATGGCAGATAAGGAGTGGGAAATACATTTAAAAAATTAAGAAATTCTCCAGTAGCACCTTGGAGACCAACTAAGTTTGTTCTTGGTATGAGCTTTCGTGTGCATGCACACTTCTTCAGATACACTGAACCAGAAGTCACCAGACCTTTATATATAGTGAGAGGGTGGGAAGGGATATTACTCAGAAGGGTGGTGGGAATGGGTGATTGGCTGATAGTGGTAAACAGTCGAGACCTATCAGCCAATCACCCATTCCCACCACCCTTCTGAGTAATACCCCTCCCTGTCTCACTACATATAAGGGTCTGGTGACTTCTGTTTCAGTGTATCTGAAGAAGTGTGCATGCTCACGAAGCTCATACCAAGAACAAACTTAGTTGGTCTCAAGGTGCTACTGGACAATTTTTAATTTTTATATATATATTTCTACTGCGTCAGACCAACACCGCTACCTACCTGATTCAGGAGGGGAAATGACTGGCATATTGGAGAGAAGGAAAGATGTCTGTAAGGGATGGGGTGGCTGGGACAGGGACAGAGCCAGTGGACAGGGAAAGGTGGGGGCAGAAGGGGCGAAGGGAGCAGAGCAGGATTCCAGGTTGCCGGAGGCTGGGCTAGATGACCCTTGGGGGTTCCCTTTAATTCTTTAATTCTTTAATTCTATGATTCTATGATTCTAATGTCTATTCTGGACCCAGTAGGCCAGGCAGCTCCTGCTACATGCTTCTGTCCTCAGACAGATGCTTTGATGGCCGTTTGGACTTCTCACAAGAGGGGGATTCCTTGAGTTACTTGGCCGTTCACCTTTGCCGTGAGCTGTTGTGTGTATTCTCTGTGTAAGAACTGGGACGGAAACTGTGGAAACATTTAAAAATAAAATAAAATAGTTTCGCGAGGTTATTTCCCCCTCCATTCATGGCTGGGATTGGGAGATTCTTCCTGTCTTTCATATTGAAACCATCACTTCCTCCATGAAACCTTTGACAATACAATAACTGCCTCCCCCCCCCCCAATTTCTATTTAAGGAAATAGAAACTGAGCTATGGGATTGGCTGCTACAGGATGTGGTTTAGATGCCTTTTGAAAAGAGGTACATTCGTGAAGATATTCTGCCAAAACATTTTAGTCATGACAGCTTAGTAGATCTTCATTGTGCAGAAGCAGTCTACCTCTGAATTGCTGTGCACTGGAGATAAGCAAAAGAGGAGGGTGGCCTATTTGTGAGTTGCCCAGTAGTGTCCAGCTGGCTGCTGTCAAAACTGAATGAAGCGAACCCTCAATTTGCTCCCAACAGGCTTGGGGGGCTCATCATTCTTTGAACATGTCCCTCAATTTCCTTCTCCTTTTCAGGACTCAGACGCCTTTTACTTCCTTGCCACCCCCTGCTCTGCCGCAGCCCCCACTATCGCGATCATGGATGGAGAGCAGAGCGAAACCGGCCGAAGACCAGGAGGAAGGTCTCTACAACAACATTCCCCTTCAGGGCAAGAAGAGAGCAGAACGATAGAGAGATTCTGAAGAAGAATGAGCCATCGGGGAGATTAAAATATTCAGATGGGGATTTATGACCAGGGAGATGGGGTGGAAGGGGTCAGGGAAGAGGGCAGTGTTTTGCCTTCCCCTGCCTATTCCAGCATACGGCTTGGCTCAACTTCTGCAGCACTTTCCTCAAGAGCAGGGGTCAGCAAACTTTTTCAGCAGGGGGCCGGTCCACTGTCCCTCAGACCTTGTTGGGGGGCCGGACTATATTTTGAAGGAAAAAATATGAACGAATTCCTATGCCCCACAAATAACCCAGAAATGCATTTTAAATAAAAGAACACATTCTACTCATGTAAAAACACGCAGATTACTGGACTGTCCACGGGCCGGGTTTAGAAGGCAATTGGGCCTTTTCCATTCTCATTTTAATCTTCTGACATATCCAAGTACAGCCCACCCAATCATCCCCTGACCATTGACCATGCTGGTTTGGACAGATACATTTTGGTCCAACAACAACTGGAAGGCTACAGGTTCCCCCAGCCTTGTTCTAGATAGAGGACAGAGGGCCTTCTTGGTAGTGGCACCCTCCCTGTGGAATGCCCGCCCTTCAGATGTCAAGGAAATAAACACCTATCTGACTTTTGAAGGACATCTGCAGGCAGCCCTGTTTAGGAAAGTTTTAAAGACGATGTTTTTAGATATGCTGTAAACTGCCCAGATGGGCGGGATATAAATAATAAAATTATTATAATTATTATTATTATTATTAGAAAAGGAATTGCAATAGCTAGATGTGCCATTGGAAGCTTATGTCCTCTGGCCTTGCTCGAGGTTAATCCAATGATACAATCTGAGAGATTGCATGTTCCAACATAGATGCCAAATTGTGAGAGTGTTGCAACATAAACTCTGCAACAGGTGGCAGCAGCGACAAATTTAAAATACGCTCTCAATACTTCAGCCAACCAGCAGGTGAAAGCAAAGAGTCTCTAATAGATCCTTCTGGTGTCTGAAGCATCAACTAGTCAGAAACCCAAGCAGGATGGAGGACTTGTAAACAGGGGCATTTGCGAGGGATTGGTGGAGGAGGCTGACGAGAGTGAGCTTGTGTCTTTTGGATTAAGGCTGGTTGCTTGTCTGAGATGTTTGGAGCCTTATTTGTGGGTTTGTTTGTGGGTGTGACTGTGTGCTCTGCTAGAATTTCAATAGGGACAAATGTCAGGTTCTGACTTGGGCAGAAATAACTAGCTGCATCAGTACAGTGGTACCTCGGGTTAAGTACCATACTTAATTCGTTCCGGAGGTCCGTTCTTAACCTGAAACTGTTCTTAACCTGAAGCACCACTTTAGCTAGTGGGGCCTCCCGCTGCTGCTGCCGCGCCGCCAGAGCACGATTTCTGTTCTCATCCTGAAGCAAAGTTCTTAACCTGGAGCACTATTTCTGGGTTAGCGGAGTCTGTAACCTGAAGCATATGTAACCTGAAGCGTATGTAACCTGAGGTACCACTGTATAAGCTGGGGGGCATCTGGTTTGCCGGGGGTACATGTGAAAAGGATCTAGGGGTCTTAGTAGACCACAGGCTTAGCATGAGTCAATCGGGTCATACGGCAGAAAAAGAAGAAAAACTAATCCTATTCTAGGCTGCATCAACAGAAGTACAGTGTCCATATCAAGGGAGCTCATAGTAGCACCCTCTTCTGCCTGGGTCAAACTCCACCTGAAGTATTGTGTCCAGTTCTGGGAACCACAATTTAAGAAGGATATCAGCAAGCTGGAAAGTGGGCAAAGGAGGGCAACCAAGATGATCAAGGGTCTGGGAACCAAGGCTTAGGAGAAATCATTTGGAGGGAATTGGGTATGTTTAGGTTGGAAAAGAGGAGACTGAGAAGAGAGATGATCTTCAAATATCTAAAGTGCTGGGAGATGCAGCAAGCTTGTTTTCTCCTCCTCTGGAGGGTAGGACCCAAAGCAAGTGCTTCAAGTTACAAGAAAGGAGATTCTGACTCAACATCAGCAATAACTTTTTGAGGGTAAGAGCTGTTTGACAGTAGAACGGACTCCTTTCACTGGTGGTTTTTAAGTAGAGGTTGGATGGTCATCTGTCATGGATGCTTTAGTTAAGATTCCTGTATTGCAGGGGGCTGCACTCAGTTCTAGAATTCTTTTCTCTCTTTTTTTGGACAAAGTAATAATCATAAATAAATCAGAATAAAAATGTGCACCCCACCACCGAGATCATTCCACTGTAACTATCCAGCCTCCCAGAATTTCAACACTTCTTGCGATGGTTTGACCCCTTTCCGTTTAAACAATACAAATTCTACAAACACCCTCCATATCTCCTCAAAATCATTTCTTATATTCCCTGTCTTACCTTAATAGCACGTGTTAATTTATCATTCATAGCTATATCCCACACCTCTTTATACCATACTTTATACTGACTTCCCACCGCTCAGACGTTCCCCCTATTTTCCTCCCTCCTTCGCTGCTCTCAGTACAATAACTTTTCCAACTTTGGTTTCAAAATTCACTCATCCTTTCTCACTGCCCATCGCCTGTACAATTACCAATTTATGCTATGGCTTCTGTCCATTATTATAACCCATCCTCAAAACAATGGAGTAAGAGTAAACCTAAGGAGCGCCATCACGGAAACCTGAGGAAATCTTAATCTATTTCAGCATTCTAGCTTTTGTATGTTTCAAAGTACACCTGCGAATCTTTCTCAGTTTTACTGCTTTCTCCTTTGTAAACTGCTTTGGGGCTTCTTTTGTGTGTGTTTTTGCAATCAAGAGGAGTATAGATATAAATGAATAAAATAAATGGGTTGCTCCTAAGGAGATGCTTTTTCTCCTCCGAAATGAGACGCTTTCCTCAGAAAGGGGACCCTTTTTCTCCTCAGAACAGGCCGGGATATGAAGAAACTGAGCAGAAGCCTGAGGCCTTTTCCCGCCTTTTTCCTCCCCCTAGAACAGGCTTTCTCGGCCTCGGTGGCCCTCCAGATGTTTTAGGCCTACAACTCCCATGATCCCTAGCTAGCAGGACCAGAGGTCAGGGATGATGGGAATTGTAGTCTCGAGACATCTGGAGGGCCGAGGTTGAGGCAGCCTGCCCTGGAAAGTGCTGGAAGAGCCGCCCCTCCCCCTCTCTCCTCAGGGAGAGTCAGGGGAGCCTTGGCAAGGCAGGGAAGGCAGCCATCGCTTGCTCCCTCATGAGCCTTTTCTTTCTTTCGTGGGGATTCGAAAAGTTCTTTCTTGTCCTCTTCCCAGGGGCAACTGATTTATTTCATAAAATTTATAGGCTCTTGACTGTGAGGGTGGGGGGAAGCAGTCTGGAAAAAGAAGGGTTGGTCCTCATATCCGGAGGCCTCCTAAGCAGCCACCGTTTGAAATCCATTAATTCATGTAATTTCCTCAGGCGCCCATGAGGGGTTTTAGGGGGGTCCCTGGCCAGAGGATGGCTTCGGGTTCCCCTCCTGCCTCAAGCAGAAGATTCGGGGGCTTCTTCTGGTTTTCCTGGTCTTCTCCCTCAGCTTGGAAAAAGTCGTATTTGCCTCTCTTTTCCCTCAGTTTCCCAATTCATTGGCCTAAGGAGCCACTGAAATACGCTCAGCAGAGTTTAATTTTCTGTACAATCTCTTCTTCTTTTTTGCTTGTTTATTTGTTTAGTCATTTGTTTTATTGATTTTATGTACAATCTTTACAACAGAGAACTTTACAACCAAAAGAAACCAATAACATGACTCTCATGTTTTCATTTGTACTAAATTCTTCTCAAATTTCCCTATTTTACCATTCATTAACTTCTTCTTTTAATTCCTTGTTCTTGACCTCCTAAATCGCGTATTTGTCCTCTACAGTTTTCCAATTACTGCCTTATACTTTCCTCCCTCTATACCCGTTACTTCCCTTCACCCATTTGCGGTCTTCTCTGCATACTGTTGTGTTAACAGCTATTAAATTTGATTTTCCGTTTGTATTGTAATGTTCTCTTGTATCCTTGCATCCTTCAGGCTATTGCATGTTAAATTTAAGCTCTGAAACCAAACCAATATATCCCTGTATGCATTCCCATTCTTTGTAAGTTTTTTTATTCTAGCAGCTTCCAATTGATGCCGTTAGTTTTGCCATCTCCGCAAATTCACAAATTTTAGCTCACCATTCTAGTAATTCAGGTATTTTTTTTCTGATTTCCAATTTTGTTTGCCACTACTATTCTAGCCGCTGCTGTTGCGTACAGGAATATGTTCTTTTTGTCCATTTTCTGTACAATCTCATGTGACCATAAAACTGTAGAGTTGCAATGCAGGAATCTCAACAAAAGCATCCAGGACAGAGGGCCATCCTCTTCTTCTTTGCCGATCCCTCATAGTAAGATTGTCTTCCATGAACACGGTCTTAACAATGAGTCCGTAAGTGACTGTGGAGGCCATTTCTGGATCCACACGTCCTTCCACAATGGGGACATTGGTTTCCAGGCGGGAGTTGATCACGGTGTGGATTTGCCAAGCGTGTCTTCCTCTTAGCGTGTTTCTCCCTTGCGTCCTGAGTTCGAGTGTCTTCAAAGCCCATGACACCTTTGGTCAAGGCTGTTCTCCAACTGGAGCTCTCGCAGGCCAGTGTTTCCCAGTTGTCAGTGTTTATACTACATTTTAAAAATATTTGCCCTGAGAAAGTCTTTAAACATCTCATTTGTATTTTGTTTTCCATTCTTCAGTTGGAAATAAAGTAGTTGCTTTGAGAGGTTGTGGGCTCTCCTTCCTTGGAGGTTTTTCAACAGAGGTTGGATGGCTGTCTGTCATGGATGCTTTCGTCAAGATTCCTGTATTGCAGGGGGCTGGACTCAGAGTCCCTTCCAGCTCTCAAGTTCTAGAATTCTTTTCCTCTTTTTTTGACAAAGTAATAATCATAAATAAATCAGAATAAAAATGTGCAGCCCCACCACCGAGATCCTTCCATTGTAACTATCCAACTTCCCAAAATGTCAACACTTCTTGCAATGGTTTGACCCCTTTCCGTTTAAACAATACAAAATCTACAAACACCCTCCATACCGCCTCAAAGTCATTTCTTATATTCCCTGTCTTACCTTAACAGCACATGTTAATTTATCATTCATAGCTATAGCCCACACCTCTTTATACCATTCTTCCATTTTATATCCTGCTTGCCCCTTCCACTTCCTAGCTAGAATAATTTTTGTCAGTAAATTTGTGAGCAAGTCCTTCATACCCCGTGAACCTTCTGCCCCACTGGGGTGGAAAATTCTAGAAATTTGGATTCTATGGGCCGCACTAAACAGGCTGAGCCTTCGGTGACTGGGTGTAGCAGAGGTGCATGTATAAAATCTACTTTTCACAGCCCCAGAGTCAGAGGAAGTGGGAGAAAGGCTATGAATAGGACAAGACATGTGACGGTGGTCAAGAGCTGTTGGCCACAGGCCAGACCACAAGCATTTACAACATGCTTTGCATCAAATAAGCTGACATTTGGGGGTGTGAAGAGGGTGGAGGATTTCCTTACAGATTTGTGTATATAGAGAGATATAAAATCACATTGTCAGAGACAAATGTTTGAAGCTTTCTTATTCCAGGAACTTAGGCTGGGTACAGACTTATACCTTCAAATCACATTTGAAGAACATTCCTTCCTTCCAAGAATTCAGGACGCTGTAGTTTGCTAAGGGTTTCCTCAGGTTTGTGACTCTGAGAGAGGTGAACGGAATAATTTGAGGCAGATTGTCCGGGATTTCTCAGTCAGGGACATGCAAGCCATGGTTAATGCGAAGAGAGGAATGAAATGAGAAGTGAAATTAGGAAGTGGAGAAAGATTGCCAGCCTTGCCTCTTTTCCCATGAAAAAGGCATTGGCTTCAAGGACACTTTTTTCAAGCCCTCCCTCTGCTTCTCCTCCATGTCACCACTTCTTGCTCTTTACGTGTCACAGAGCTGCCCCCAAAAACCCAGTTTCCAAAAATAAGCACAAAAGAGAAAGCGAGGACCACAAACCAGCATGAGAACTGTTTCATCCTGTGCAAAATAGCTGCGCCTCCATCCGGTGTGACGCTGTGTATATTGTGCTTGAGAACTGTAAATAAGTGTTTGTGTTTTTCAAAGATCTTTTGTCATCCCCCATTGACTTTAAAAAGCCCCAGCTTCCCTATGTTCCCTATGGTAGGTGCTAATGTGCTCAGCATTTTATCAGTTACCCAATTTCTCTCAGCTTCCACATCTGCATTTGAGAGTGGCCATGACAGCTTCTGCAGAGCAGCTCAGTGCTGCAAGGCATGCTGGGAACTCTTCTTGAGGCCACCCTAGTGGTCAGCCCCGTTTGACACCAGTGGCGCACCGAGAATACTCAGCAGCGCCACTGTGTTTCTTCTCAGTGTGTTTGGAAAGAAGATTACTGTTGCAGATGCATCAGCTCAGTGTTGCTGCTGAAGCCGCTTCTTCTAAACCCCATCTTTGAAGCATGGAGCAAATTAGCCGTCTCTTTGTCCTCCTGGGTAAGACCCTTTTCTTCTCCCCTCCAACCCCACTCTTTTCCTTCTTCTGGAGCCTCCTATCTACACTTCCCTTCCCAGTTTCCACTGTCTGTGTTTACTCAAATCTTCTGCCTCTGTTCTCTGTTTCCAGGTGGGTCTTTAGGGAGGGATGAGCATGTCTCAGGCAAATCTTCCACAGCATCCACACAATGTCACTGGCATGGGAAAGTTGGCTGTTTTTAACCTTTACCTTTCCTGCAAAAATACCAAAATAAAATCTAATAAAAACCTGTTGCGGGTAGCTTGTTCACAATCTGTGAAGGACTGGTTGACACATCTTAACCCTTGCTTGGTTCACAATTTTTATGGGGGTTTTCATTTCCACCATGACCATGGATCAAAGCAGTTTGTACAGTTCTTTTTACATCATGATTACTGCTATTGTTGTCGATACTTTTATTATTTTAAAATAAAGAATATTCTGGGGTAAAGTGTGCTTATAAATCCATATATTTGTGAACATAACCCCCAGAAATGCATCAGATTAAGGGATATTGCTTTGGGAGAGAAAAAATGTGTATGAGGCTATTTAGGAGTCCATATTATGAAACTTGAAATGATGCCAAAAATGTTATATATATATATATATTTCTAAGCATCACATTTTTTCTCCTCTGTTCTCTTTCAGCCTCATTTTCGGCTCTTTCCTGGATGACGGCCCTTGCAGGTAATCCAGTTAATATAACTTCAAGTACTGAGTGGTAGGCAGATACTGTCGGTGTGAACACATCGTAAAATTTAGACGTGGATATATTGTTGTGGCTATTTGTTCCTTATTCTGTCCCTTATCTTGAAGTCCCAGACCTGAAGGGTGTGAATGGTGAGTCAAAGGGATCCCCCACACTTCCCTTCATGCTCTGCTTTCTAAGCACAGGTCTGGGATTTCCAGGTCCAAATGGGTTTTTTTGGGGGGGAGGGGAAAAGAGAGGAGAGAGAGATTTTCAAAATCTGATTTTGAGTTTAAGAGGCAATGGAATAAAGGGTGGAATGGGATGGGTTGGGACTGTCAATCCGAAGCAGTAATTGAAGTATTGTGGAAGGTTATAGGGATTCATGAATCATCTAATGCAATGGGGACATCCTAAGGGACTGGCCAAACTGTATTTTTATTGTATCTCCCTCTGCTTCCACAGATACTGTGACTGCACGTCCATCAGGCCTTTGGCTGTCTCTTTCACCTCCACTCAACACTTTTGCTCGAGGAGAACTGGCTTCATTGATATGCTCCCTGCCAGAAGGACAGAGGGCAACGGGGTTCTATTTCTATGAAAAGAGAGGAGGTGCACCAGTCATGTATGGACAACAGGTGGAAAATATCTTGGAGGTTTCCACAGAATACCTGGAAACAAACAAAACATTTCTCTGTGCTTACGTGGGGGAAAAGAGTTCAGGAGGATTCTTCCTGTCTTCACTGAGTAACGAGGTTGTGCTGTCCATCACTGGTGAGAAACGTACTCTTTGTGACAGAATTGCATGCACGAAAGCTAAGCCAGCTTGGGGATCATAGCTCCTACTCCGCCCAAGCCATTTTGGTAGTTGTAACTGTGATAGAGATCAAAGGAGCTCTGGCCAAGATCTCTCAGCATAGTCACAAAACTGCCACCATCATAGTTGCTAGGGGAAGCCAACAGAGTACAATACTGAAGATTCAAGTCTGTCGTGAAGATGAGCTGTAATGTGATGTAGCAAAGGGGCAGGGTTATTTTAAGCAGTTCTTCAGTCTTGGGGGGCACAGATTCTGTTGCTGCTCTACAACTCCCATCACCCCCTGCCTGCTTGATGGCAGCTGTAGTTCAACAACATCTGGTGACCCAGTGTTGAAGAAGTGTGTAAGCCTTTGCTTACACAGCAGGGAACAGCGCTTGAGGAATATTCTTGTCTTCACCAAGCTGGTGCTGTCGATCACTGGTGAGGAACATTCTCTTTGTGAATGAATGATACACGCAAAGTCTAAACCATCTGGGTGATTCTGCCCAAGCCATTCTGTTGTTTTTCATTTGCCAGGCCCAAGGAACACAAAGCAAGGTCCCTGAATATAGTCACAAAGTCGACATCCACCTGGTTCCTTGGGGAAGACGAGAGAGCACAGGTGTTATAACATTGGTTTATGTTTCTAACAGCGGCGTAGCGTGGGTTGTCAGCACCCGGGGCAAGGCAAGTAATTTGCGCCCCCTAACCCCTAACCTGCCGCCGCTGCCAGCTTCTTCTTGCTGCTGCTTGGTCTGGTCTGGTGTGGTTCTCTCCCGCGCTCAGCGCTGCGCTGGGCGGCCGCTGCACTGTCCCTCCCCCAGATAGTCCCTCGCTCTCTCTCCGCACCGCACGCCTGGCACCCACCCCCTCCACAGTGGGCGGTGACCCAGCGGCTTGGATCGGATTCGCACAGCCAGCACTGCAGTGAGAGAGAGTGAGTGAGCCAGGGCAGAGAGCTGCGAGTGCAAGCGCCCCCCCCCAGATGTTGCGCCCGGTGTGGCCGGCCCCCCCTGCACCCCCCACGCTACGCCACTGGTTTCTAATATAGCTGTATATTAAGGAGAGGTGCTGGAGGGATTGGTCTGGAAGTCGCACAGTCTCAGATTGTAGCCCTAATCTTATATATAGTGAATTCTCTATCAAAAATTCCTAGACCCCATCCAGAACACAAATCCCAACTGTTAGCTGAGAATAGGAACTAGTCTTACTCCATTTAAGTCTGTAGCATTGCTATGCTCTGAATTCCAGGGACACAGAAGTGCTTAACAAGCTAGCCACAAAAACTTCTCTTCCTTTCTCTCTGCTCCTTCAACTTCCCTTTCAGACCTTCCTCGTGCTCCAGTTTTCTCTGTTTCTCCAAAGAAGGATGTCTATACAAGTGGGGAATCTGTGGAACTCAAGTGCTCATCTTCCGAACCTCGTAATGTATCAAGGACCCAGTTTTTCAGGGACCATCAGGATCTGCATTCAGTCAAGCCCTCCTCCCCCTCCTCCCCCTCCTCTCTGAGCAATGTCACACACACCCTACGCCTTGCTATTCAAGATGATGGAGATTACTCCTGCAGGTACCACATTGTGGAATCCGGGCGAGAGATCATATCCAGAGAGAGCAACTCCATCAGGATTTCGGGTGAGGAGGTCTTTCTTTGCAATACGGATCTCTTGGAAGTTGAAGTAGGAAGCTGGAATGAAACTGAGCAGTTTGGCTGGTCAAAGGAACAGGAGGGGAATTTTACTGATAGAATTTGAATATGTACAAAATTCAAATATCATCAGAAATTCTGTAGTCCTCCCAAAGTCCTATTTCCTTTTCTCATTAATCTGCTTGCTTATTGAGGGGGAGAGAGATTATAGGTCTACAACTCCTATCAGTCATCCACCAAGCAGCTTGATGGGTATTGCAGTCCAACAACATCTGGCAACCCATGGTTCAAACATGCTTGTTTAGGTGAGCTTTTCTCAAGAAATTATGTTTGTCAAAAATTGATAGGTTTTGCTGAAAAGTTCCACCAGTTAATGGAATAGAATTATTGGAATGCTGTTCAGGTGATTTTGATAGTGACCCCAAGGAAGTAGATTGTGGAAATCTATGTGTAGCATTTGTTTAATGCAGGACTAAGAAGGACCAAGGCATTATTGGCACTAAACAAGCATACCTTGAACCAACAACTCATTAAAAAAAATTGTGGATGAGGGACTACAAGAGGGAAGGGGCTGAATGGCATTTTCCCCTTGCACTTCTTCCCTTTCCCCAATGCAGTTCTGCCTCCACCAGCTCCAGAGCTGTCCATCATCCCTCCAAGACAGTCCTTTCTCCAGGGACAACGGATCACGTTGAAATGCTCCCACCCGGAAGGGCAGCTGGCAGCCAAGTTCTTATTTTATGAAATGAAGGCAGAACGTGGGTGGACTAAACTCCAAGAAGACTTCAATAATACCCTGGAAATCACTGCCGAATTTCAGGAAATAAAGAAATCATTTGTTTGTGCCTACATGGAAGAAAGCAGTGCAAGACGACTCTCTGCACAGAGTAACCGCATTGAGTTTTCTATCACGGGTGAGGAAAGTTCTGCTAGTTCATTAACTGAAGACTCAATAAGTTGTTTTCATCTTACTAAGGGCAATCCAGAAAATCTGGCATATTTATGTGGGTTGATATCTTTTTCTTTTTCTTTTTACTTGTGGAAAGAAATCATATACCACTTATTCCCAACAAAATCTAAGCAATGTAGATAGTAAAGTTAACAATAAAACACAGATAAAATTGTTTTTTATATTAATGAGGAGAAAAGGTTTCTGTCTGTTTCTAAACTTAAGCCAGTTGGCTGCCACTGTTTTCTCACAAGAAATCTTGGCAATATTGATTTTATGGAGGTTATAGAGATTGCCAAAGATGTTTCTCTGCATTCTCGCAAAACTTAAATTCCCTGCGTTCTTCAGGGAGGATCTATGCTATTTAAACTGGGTGTTGTTTTTTAATCCCCTGAAGGTCGTGTGATATCATTAGGATGTCCAGCTCTCTAGGAAGGATTTCAAAAGAAAATGTTTTTGCTGAACTTGACCTGCTGTTCCACTCCATTAATGAGAGTCCTAAAAGAATTCATGTCTATTAAAGGTGTTTAATTATGGAAGATTGGAAGATACTAATTCCAGTCTGGCTTCAAGCCTGGTTTTGGAGGCTCAGTCATCTGAGTGAAAAGGGTAATAATATTACCAGGTCCACCTGCTCTTTCGCAGCCTATTCTCTGTGATCCATGCACAGGTAACCTAAAAAGTGGATTGCTCTAATGTTCTGCCCTCGGCATTGGTTCAGAAGCAGCAGCTAGTGAAGAATGCAGCGGCAAGGATGCTCAGGATGGTACCTGACACCTGGAAAAATTGTGGCCTATAAAGCTCTCAGCAGCTTGGGAGCAGGTGATCTGACATACTGCCTGCCTTCTCCCATTTATAGACCATCCAAGTCTCTGCATTCTGAGGATGTGATTCTCCTCTTAACCATATCGCCTGCAAAGCTCCATCTGGTTGGGGGCTGCAGAGATCCTTTTCCATTCCTACCTACCGAATGCTCTCCCTGCTGAGATCAGGCGGGCAGAAACCGTGGGGTGAACTGAATACCTACCCCTTTGGCCTTCTCTGACCTTAATATTATACTAGCCGTTGTGATTATTTTATTGATTATTATTTTTCACAGATTTATTCTCTCCAATTATTTGTTATTATGTAGACTACTTTCTGCAAATGAAAAGCGGGGTAGAAATCCTTTAATGAAATGGAAGGAAACATACAGTATGTGTCAGTCTTAGAAAGGAAATTGTGAGAAAACAGAAAACCTTTCCCTTTTACGTTGTTCCCTAAATCTTTGGATGCTTCTCTCCCTCTGCTTCCTGTGGAACCCAGCGTCCTTCCCACCGGCTGATCTTTTTCAGCGACCACAGGAACCTGTTTACAGTCCAGGAGAACGGGTTACCTTGACCTGTTCAGCTCCTGAGGAAATGGACGTGGCAGGATTCAAGTTCTACAAGGAACAACACGATCAGAAATACAAGGTGTTGCCAGATCAAGGAAGCGGCCCCTATGCAGCATTCCCTGTGGATAAAAATACTGCTGGAATATACAAATGCCTATACTGGGTGCAGAATTCACGACAGATGATCCAGTCCCCAATGAGCTCTTCCATCTCTGTAGTCATGACAGGTGAGAGAGTTTCTTCTGCATGCTGATGGAGGAGATCCGAAAGGTCTCCGTGTCTAGCAGGGAGTGGGGAACATGGGAAATGTCAGCCTGGTTATTTTACAAGGTGACAATCAAGTGTTTATGATTTACAGTGGTACCCTGGTTGTCGAATGGCTTGGTTCCCAAACAAATCAGCTCCCGAATGCTGAAAACCTGGAAGTAAATCTTTCGGTTTTCAAACGTTTTTCGAAAGCCAAACGTCTGACGTGGTTTCCACTTGAGTGTAGGAAGCCACGCCTTGCTTTCTGAACAATTTCGGGAATCGAATGGACTTCCGGAACGGATTAAGTTCAAGAACCAAGGTACCACTGTATAAGAAGAAGTCCCTTAAAATCTCAAACTGTATTGAACTTGGACGCTCTCATCTCATTAGTGGGGAATGGGCAGCTGTAGTTACTCAGACAAGGAAGAGGTTTTTCCTCTGCGCATCCTGACGTGCAAACTGAACTCGGAAGACATAAATGTGGAACCATCGTTTGCAGAGGGACATAGCTCAGAAGGCAGGAGCTGGTGAATACTGGATGGGGAACAGCTGGAAGAAGAAACACTGGGAGAGAGAGGGTTAACAGATTCACAGTCTCTGGACAGCATTCCTCTTCTCAGTCCAAGGTCAAGATGAGCTCAGAAAGTGTCAGAACAGAAAGCACAGAGGGTACAAGCTCAGATTACAAGACATAGGAGTGACGGAAGGGGGTGTGATCCTTATTTGGGAGCACCGCCATTTCCAGGAGAGATGTGTTGTTTGTTCTCTCTCTGTGATCATTAAAGTTTATAACTGGTAAGAAGACTCCTTTTCCTTTGTCCTGCTTATCCACTGCCACAGGGGGAGGAAGCTGATTCCCTGAAGCTTGACAGGAATTCTCTGTTAAAGATTCCAAGACCCCACCCAGAGCTACAGATCCCAAGGTTTACTGGAGGGGCTACAGTGGTACTTCGGGTTACAGACACTTCAGGTTACAGACTCCGCTAACCTGGAAGTAGTACATCGGGTTAAGAACTTTACCTCAAGATGGGAACACAAATCGCGCGGCGGCGGCATGGCAGCAGCAGGAGGCCCCATTAGCTAAAGTGGTACCTCAGGTTAAGAACAGTTTCAGGTTAAGAATGGATCTCCAGAACAAATTAAGTTCTTAAACAGAGGTACCACTGTTTTGTTAAAATAATTAAACTGTAGGATGGTTATGCTCCAAATTCCTGAAACAGAGGTGTTTAACAAAGATTGTTCTTCCTTTCTCTGTGCTCCTTCTACTTCCTTCTCAGAACACCCTCGTCCCCCAGTCTTAACTGTTTCACCAGAAAAGGATAGCTACAGAAGAGAAGAGTCCATAAAGCTTAGATGTTCAGCTTATGAACGCCGTGATGTATCAAAGATCCAGTTTTTCAAGGACAAGAGGCAACTGCAACTCATCAATGTCCCCTCCTCTCTGAACACCTTCACACACATACAACTGCTTCTTCCTCAAGATGGTGGAGATTACTCCTGCAAGTACCACATTGTGGTATCAGGGCGAGAGTTCCCATCCAGAGAGAGCAACTCCATCAGGATTTTGGTATTGGGTGAGGAGGCCTTTGTTTGCAATATGGGTCTCCTGGAGGGGGAAATGGGAAGGTGGACTGAGGTTGGGGGAGGTTAGGCAGGCGAGGAATAGGGGGAATAATTTTGTTAGTAGAATATGTACAGAATTCTACGATCACCCGTAATTTCATAGTCCTTCCAAACTCCTCTTTTCTTATCAGCTTGCTTGTTTCCAGTCTGCCTTTGAAACACATTGCGCCTTCCAGGACAACATCGAAGGAAACAAAGGCAGGGTGCCTGCCCCGAGGAGCATACAAGGGATGTTGTCACATGGGGATCCCTTCTGACCTTGGGATTCTCTTTGATTCTCTCTGCAGATGAACCACTTTCCACAACGCCTACCTTTTCCACTCCTGACCAGGCTGTTCTGAGTTTTGCCGCCACAACCAGGCCACCTAGAAAGTCATCACTGGCAACTTCATCAACCAGCTCTTCTCACTATGTCGCAAGACGACCCTCAACACGCATGAAGCTCCTTGCATCAAGCACCTCCTGGTCCAGCTCTTCGCAGTTGAGTCTGCATTATAGCACCTCAACCAGCAGCACCTATGCTCAGGAGAGCAGGAAATCATCCACCTGCTGTGATCCCAAATCAACCACAGACCAAAAGAAGGACAATTCAGAAAAAGGTACGCCCCGCTCATGAGGCTGTTATTTTTAAGAAAGGGACCCTCTTTCTTTCTTTCTTTCTTCCTTCCTTCCTTCCTTTCTTCCTTCCTTCCTTCCTTCCTTCCTTCCTCTTTCATTGTTTTATATTTGTATAAAATTGTGATTTTATAGGTTATAAGCCACCCTGAGTGCTGCAGTTGCACTAGAAGGGAGCAAAATATCCAAATAAATAAATAAATAAATAAATAAATAAATAAGGGTTGCACTGTAAATAACCCAACTGATTCAGCTCAGTGCGGAATATTATTTTCACCCTACGAAAATAAATGGAAACAGTGCTACTGCTGCCTGATTTGTTTGCTTTTGTACCGTTATTATTTTTGTCTAGTAGTATTGTTTTTAATCTGATGGTACTGTACTGTTATTTTATCATGCGTGGCTATGTTTTAGATGATAAAATAGGAATTTTATGATGTTGCCATGCTTCTGTTTGAGAGGGCCGACCTGAAAGGCAGCCTATAACTACAGAATATGGATGGTTGGAAAGAATAATATTTAGAAAGGGACAATCAATGGACCTTCAGAGACCAGGGAGGGAAGAGGAAGGGTGGAAGTTAGAATGGCCAAAGAGGGGAATATGTGGAGCAGCAAAGTTCATAGATACTAGCCAAGTCTTCGTTTTGTAACAATTGACTAGTTCTCTGATCAATAACCCGTTCTGATCAACAGCAATTCTCTTGCAGGTTCATATCCTTTTCTTCTCCCATTGGCCATTGGATGTGGCACCGGCGGCTGTCTCCTCCTCCTGGTGTTTGTTGTCTGTATTTATAGGAGGAAGCACAAAGGTATTTGGCAAGGCAGGGGAAACTGAGCCTGGGGAGGTGGACATCCCAGGAGGAATGCAGATGTGGGTGGAAATAACACCTGGTGGAATAGTCACAGCCAGAAATATCACTAACTGCTTATGCACAGCATGCCTTCTTCATTTTTTTTTTATTTTGACAAAGTAATAATCATAAATAAATAAGAATGAAAATGTGCACCCCACCACCGAGATAATTCCATTGCAACTATCCAACCTGCCAAAATTCCAACGCCTCTTGCGATGGTTTGACCCCTTTCCGTTTTAACAGTACAAATTCTACAAACACCCTCCATATCTCCTCAAAATAATTTCTCCTGCGTATTCCCCGTCTTACCTTAATAGCACATGTTAATTTATCATTAATAGCTATAGCCCACACCTCTTTATACCATTCTTCCATTTTATACCCTGCTTGCCCCTTCCACTTCCTAGCTATAACAATCCGTGCAGCTGTCAATAAATTTGTGAGCAAGTCCTTTCTAGCCTGAAAACCTTCCACCCCATCGTAAATTGATAATAATGCCACCTCTGGACTTTTGGTCAGCTTTAACCCAGTGTTTTCGGTTATCTCCTTAAAAGCCCTTTGCCGGAAAAATTGTACATACTTACACCCCCACCACATGTGAACATAATTCCCGGTTTCCTGGCATCCCCTCCAACATAGCACCGAATATTCCTTGTTTATTTGATTTAATCTGACTGGTATTAAATACCATCTCCAAATTTATTTATAATAATTTTCTTTTCTTCTTATAGACAGCATTTTCATATTTCCCCCCAGCTTTGACTGTTTATCTGCACTGTTGTCTCTTTCTCCCACACCTCTTCTAATTTCTTGATCCTCCATTTCTACTAAAAAAAAATTAATTTCACTGGCTTCTTCTTTTATAACTGTATTTCCTTCTTTATCTCCCCTTTTTATAATCTTTTTTTTCAAATTTTGTATATTCTTTGCAGTTCTTGTTTTCCCTTAACCACTTCTTTGTCCGTTGCTCCAGTTGTATACAGTTAAACCAAGTTATTTTACTTCCTGTTAGAGCTCCTCTTATTTGTTCTTTGCTTCTGCCTTCTTCATGTTTATCCTCATGTCTTCAACAACAGCTTGACACACCAAAACCTGCATTTGCAGGAGAAGCTATTCCCATCAGTATTTTTTATGAGAAGAAACCTCGCCTGTTCCATTTCTGTGTGTCAGGTTGCAGTTAGAAGCACAGAAGCAGAGTTATAAAAGGGAGCAGCCCCATCTATTTGTCCAGGACACAGATCTAAAATTCTTTGCAATGCCCTCTCCATGGGGCTGCCACTGAAGACTGTTCAAACCTTCTGAGTGTTGCAGCACTGTTCCCCAGCCAAGCAATGTAAAGCGCAGCATTCTAGAGGATATTGCGCCTTACGTGCTCTAAATGTGGGAACTCTGGTACCCTGTCTCCTTCTTCACTTAAGAGTCACACGCATTCACAAACTTTTTTTCTTTTCTCAGATAAGAGAGCGATCACAGCAAGGTGAGTGAGTATGAAAACTTGGGGGCCAGCAATCACCGGCAGCTGTCAGAAGCAGCTTCCTCCAAGCTGTTGGACATGATGCTGCGGTTTGTGTGGCCCGTCATCGGAGGAGTTGGGGCTGCTGTGTGCTTAAAAACAGAAGCAGGGACATGCAGTCAGGAGTGACAAGAGGCTGCAAGGGTGTGGCTGCTAAAAAAAGCCACCTTTTTGCAAGAAGATAAAAAGAACTTTTTAGCACAAGGCAAAGGGGATTCATTTGGCCCAGCCTCCATTTTCCTACTGTAGCCAGCCAGATGCCTCTGGGAAGCCCACCAGAAGGCCATTCCTAATTCCTGCTCCCCTGGTTTTCAGAGATAGAATCATAGAATTCTAGAGTTGGAAGGGACCCTGAGGATAATCTAGCATCCCCAAATTGAGCATCATTCAGGCATTCCCAAACTCAGCCCGCCGGATGTTTTGGGACTACAACTCCCATCATCCCTAGCTAACAGGACCAGTGGTCAGGGATGATGGGAATTGTAGTCCCAAAACATCTGGAGGGCCAAATTTGGGGGTGCCTGATGTAGTCCAATCCCCTGCAATGTAGGAATATGCAGCTGCCCCATATGGGGATCAAACCTGCAACCTTGGCATCATCAGCACCACGCTCTAACCAACTGAGCTATCCATACTGCCTCTGACCTTGGAGGTTACCATTTCGCTGCCATGATCCTTAACAACCGCTGATAAACCTCTCCTGTGACTTTGTATAAACAGCAGCCCCACATCCTGTGACAGCGAGACCCACAAGTCAGGCAATGTGCTAGGTGGAGAAGTCATTCCTTTAGTCTGCCCTCTTCTCCACAACTACGAAAGCCTTGCCCAGTGTCTCGCCTAGCCATCCCAGGAGAGCTGACGCTTTTCTTTCCTGGTGGGCTTTTAGCAGGGCAGAAATTCTTGTTGCTTATCAAGCTTCACGTGTTCAAATTCCCAGTAAAGATAAAGAAAGCCACCTGTTCTACCCTTACCTGTTTTGACTGACAGCAGGCTCTCAGGGGCCTTTCTCTCTTCTCCAGTCCTGTGTCCTGGATCTTTTTACCGGGAGATGCCGGGACTAGAACCTGGGACCTTTGCTGTGCAAGGCATGTGCTCTGTCACTAAGCCATGGTCTGTCCCCAAATGGATTTGCTTTGAGATAAGACAGTATATTAGTCCTCCCCGCCCCCAATATCCTCTTCATTTTCAGCTGCTTTTTGTGTGTTTAGTTCCTCTCCCCATTCCTTTCCAGCAGCTACTGGCAAACACTGGACATTCGGCAGTCCCTGAAAAGACGGTAGGAAGGAGCAGAGCGTTCCCCTCTAGCGTGCCTCTCTTATCTTCCATCATCTTGCAGGGGGGAGGACAGAGAGGGTAGGCGCAGCTAACCTGGACGGCAGACCAAAATCTCAACTAGACTTGGGTAGACTTGGTGGGGGGACTAGATAAACTGCAGGGACACCCAACTTTTGCCCCTGTTTGTTTTTTGGATTTTAATGTTTGGGAAACAAATAGAGGGGGGTGTTATTTGTTTGTTTTTTTCCAGGCCTTCGCATCTCTAATCCCAAAACATTCAGCAAAGCTCAACATCAGTGGAGGGAGGGCACAGTTTCAAGCCTCCCCCCCCCCCCCCAGCAGGAACAATTAAATCATTTGCTGGAGCGCCAGAATATTTGATTAAAGAGGATGATTCTTTCCTTTTCTTTGACGGTGTTTGTCATTCAAAGCCAGGAGTTTGAATATAGTAACACTTCTTTGCAAGGTAGTTTTAATTCAAAGGCTGCATTTCAGCTCAGTCTGTTTTATAAGCTAAAGCTACACACAGAACTATATAGTAATCCTTTTAAAAATCTGTGTGTTGTTGTTCTGTATGCGAGAGAGAGACACACACACACATACACTAATGGGGTAAGAAAGTTGCCAACATTTCTAGACTCCTCTATGGGTGCAGTTGTGGCAGATGTTGTGATGGACTTCAAAATGTAATAGTAGACCTCTGCTTAAAAGAGATACAGGCATGTTCTCCTAAATGTGCTTCATTCAGACCCACATAGCTATATAAACAAACTTGTTCCCACAAGATACAGTAATGTCACAAGCACAGAAGGCTTTGAAAGATGTTCAGAAAAAATTATGGGGAACATGCTGCCAATGGCTTCAGACGCAACAGCTGTGTCAGAGGCAGTGGGGAGAGCATGGCTGTTGGCCACTGTGAGAACAGAATGCCAGACAGGATGAGTCTTTGGCTCAATCCAGCAAATTCCTTTGTGCTTGTTACAAATGTGGGAATGTTGTGGGGAGTCAGAGAGGATCTATTGATTAAATACGGTATTATCCTTCCTAACTCAGGCTAGTGAGTTATATATATATAGCAGAGCTCATTCCCCTTCTATACAGATTCGTTTGAATCTCTCTTTTTAAAAAACAATTTTTATTATTCATTAATAACATTCCAATTAATAACATATCAAATCTTGCCACATCATAATACAAATAATAAAGTCAATTATACATTCCAATTAAATAAGTTAGAGAGACTTCCCATGTTCTGGCTGGTCAGGAGAAATTTTTTATTTCTTGTTCCTGCTTTTTCCCTTCTCTTGTTTGTTCCCAATATCATAATTCCGATCTTAATCTGTTATCTTGTTATCTCAGTCACTGGTATGAAACTTTCAATCGTATTTAACAAAGCCATATGTATGTTAACATGCAAGAGAAATTTTATTCTTCCTGTTGTCATTCGTCAATTGTTTTCGGCGCAGACCCCCTCGGAAGCCCCCTTTTCATTCCACACGGTTATCGTTTAAATCTCTTTGGTTAAGCAATCCAATCTGGCATGCCCAGATTGGAGTATGTTCCTGGTAAAACCCCTTTGATTCCCTCCTAAAAGAATGAAGACAGAAGAGTCTTTCTTATAAACAATGAAAAGTTGTCTCACATTCATTTCACAGTATGATCTCTGAAGGCAGGCTTTAGCTTGCATTTACAGATACAGTGTGGCAGAGAGCCAGCAGTGCAGTCCAAGAGAAGAAATGGCATCAAAAGAGGAGGATGGCTGTGTGTCTGGCCCTTTTACAGGGTCTCCTAGGGCCACGCCCATCTACCTGGTCACACGCAAAGGAAGGATGCTCCAGACCAGGTGTGACAGGAAGTCTTCCTGGCTGGAGTAACGTCCCCCTGTCTGTGTCCACTCTAGGGAAACAAGGAATGTTATACTTGACTGCTCCAATGGATTACGTCCCACAACAAATAGGTCACCACTTTTGTACTGACGCTGCTCCCGTGCTTTGAGCAGCAGTGCAGCACAGAGAAATTAAGCAGGTTTTCCAATAACACACCTCCACAGTGGGGTAACCCAGGACAAAGTTTCCCTTGCTAAACTTTGCATGCCAAGCCGCTCCTGAAACCGAAAAGGCAACTGTCTGTAAACTAACAATAAACGTCCCTAAAAATGGCAAAAAGTAGTTTCTTTCCCAGATAGGTGTTATCTTAAACAACAGCAAACACCGTAAATAAGTTCACTTGTAATATATCAGTGGTTCAGTGCTCAATTCTTCTCTTCCCAAAGTAGATTTTATCTTGAACTTTTGCAAATGCAGTAATAAAGAGTCCACTTGTGATATACCACAAGTGGTTCAGTGCTCAGACGTCATTCCAGTAATCCGACGTTTCGTCACTAAAGAGTTTAGTCATCGAGCTTTGTAGTAAATAATATACAACAGAAGACAGTATGTGAATGACTTAAATCAGGGGTATATCTGTCCCCACCTGCATGTTTCCATCAGGAAAAGCATAGAAAGAGGACAACGTCCTTCAGTTTGTTTAACCTCCTCCTGCTCCTGAAGGTGGAGGAGCAGGGCCAGGTTTTAAAGTTGGCGGTCTCAGTAGCTCCCTCCTCTTTTGGATTTCCTGCAGCTTCTACACCCTGCTTAAACCTTTGTTCTGTCTTGCAGATGCAAAGACCCCGTTGGAGTCTCTACAAGTAAGTAAGACATTAAACTTTCCATCCTTATTAGGGTTCCAGAGAAGGATCAATGCTTTTTTTTCTGACAGGTCCCCTGTGTCTTTAAGAGCCAAGGGGCAGGCAGACATTAAAACGGTGAAGCATTTCCCGCAACTCCTCCATGTTGGGAGAAAACACACCTGTTGAATTTCTGCCTGTCGTGCAGCTATTGAAGGAAAAGGTGGCACTCCTGCCACTATACCTGTGACCCAGGATGCACCAGGTGAATTGCAACTCCCCAATGAGGAACAGTTGCAGCATCTGGGACTTCTTAATATTCTTTTTGTTATTTCTTTCTTTTTCTTTCTCTATTTATTTCTTCCCCTCCCCCCGCTTTTCTGTGTTTCCATTGTACAGTGGTACCTCGGGTTAAGTACTTAATTCGTTCCGGAGGTCCGTACTTAACCTGAAACTGTTCTTAACCTGAAGCAACACTTTAGCTAATGGGGCCTCCTGCTGCTGCTGCGCTGCCGGAGCACGATTTCTGTTCTCATCCTGAAGCAAAGTTCTTAACCCGAGGTACTATTTCTGGGTTAGCGGAGTCTGTAACCTGAAGCGTATGTAACCCAAGGTACCACTGTTTCTAGATAAAAGTTTTGGTTTGGTTTAAAAAAGGGAAAAGATATTAAGTTTTTTATTTTCCTCCATAAACCTTAATAACATTTTTTTTAAAAAAAAGAGGAAAACCTGTTGTTTACTGCTGAGGAGGGCTTATCCACACCTTCTATTGCCCTGCTGCTCCCACACACACCAGGGAAAACTGCTCTTTAGTGCTTAATTGGAGCAAACAGCAATTCAGGTTTTCTCTGGATTGACGTTTGCTCTGATTTAGAGCGGAAGAGAGGGTTTTCCCTGGGAAAGGAGCAAAAAAAAGGGGGAAAGTACGCGGACACGTACCTTGAAAGCGTGGGTGAAGCAGAAAACTGCTCAAAAAGATCACCTTCACTTTGCGAAAAGGAGCTCTGCCTACAGGCCAACCAAGGACTTGCAGGTAAAAGGAAGTTGCGTTGGGTTAAAGATGAGAGGATGTAGGTGTTAACCACGTTGGTTTTAATGCTTAGATCTCGAAGAAAGGAATGTGCCTGGCTGGATGCAGCCAGCAAGTGAAGACTGGGGGATCCTGCCAAAAGCCAAAAGCCCCATGCCAAAAGCCAGGCATCCATTAGAAAAGAAGAAGGCAGATGAAGACACCGATTCTGGAGCCAATTTTGAATTCCCCGTAAGTTTCAAATCCACTTCTTCTTCTCTGGCGATCACCCGTAGCCGAGTAAGATTGTCTTCCATAAACACGGTTTTAACAATGAGTCCATAAGTGACTGTGGAGGCCAATTCTGGACCCACACGTCATTCCACAGTGGGGACATTGGTTCCTGGGTGGGAGTTGATCACCGTGTGGATTTGCCAAGTGTGCCTTCTTCTTAGCGCATTTCTCCCTTGCGTCCTGAGTTCAAGTGTCTTCAAAGTCCATGACATCTTTGGTAAAGGCTGTTCTCCAACTGGAGCAATCGCAGGCCAGTGTTTCCCAGTTGTCGGTGTTTATACTACATTTTTTTAGATTTGCCTTGGGACAATCTTTAAACCTCTTTCGTTGACCACCAGCATTACGCTTTCCATTTTTAAGTTGGGAATAGAGCAGTCACTTTGGAAGACAATAATCAGGCATCCGCACAACATGACCAGTCCAACGAAGTTGATGTTGAAGAATCATTGCTTCAATACTCATTCACTAGATCATCACCTTGTCGTGGTGAGTGGGCTTGCACGTTCCCATGACCCTTGTGAGCGAAGCCATCGGGAATCTCATACTCCCAGCAGGGTCACCCAAGGCAGTAAGGTGAAAGGGAAGGAGCTAGACAAAGAATGATCCAAAAAGTTGAAATCCAGTATGCACACTTTTCATCACAGTATGCTTTTCATCCTTCTCCCTTATAGCTCTTTCCTTGCATTTCCAGAGTGGCTGGCACAACCCGGTCAGATGGGCGAATTACTATTATTGTTGTTGTTGTTTATTTCCAGGAAATTGATGCAACGTACTCGCTTCTCAGCTTCCCCTGCTCCACATTCTTCTTGGAAGAAAACGACAGACCCTCGGAGGAGCCAGTCCCATCCCAGATTCTGAAAACCCAAACCTTCACTGTGAAATGAAACAAGGTGGCCGTTTTTTAGAGCCCAAAAGGACAGGACAGTTCCCCAGTGGAGGTGTGAACCACGAAGGCCTGATCCACTGACGAAAAGCCTCTTTCACAAGTTCCACTGAAATGAATGGGGAGCCTTGCAGCCCAGCCCACAAATGTTTTTCTGCTCCATTGAAATGAGTGGGTGTGGGACACGCACAGTTCAACCAGGTGAAGGAAATTCTACCTGGGTTGCTGTCTCAAGTTACTGGACCTCAGTGAGGAGAATCCCCATCTTACAGACAAAGGACTCTGACTTCCGTTCGTTTTTAAAAATAATTTTATAAGTTGTGTGTCCTTGTTGCTCAACTTGACCCTTTTACATGATTTTGTACATTTTGTGGTATTTGTGCATTGTGATCTGCTGTTATTTTATTGATTATAGATTAGTAATTCCTTATTGTAATTGATAAGTGTGAACTGCTAGATTATCATTTGCTGATGTTTAATTTTACTGTTTAGTATTGAATCCTAATAGATTGTTGAGTATTGCTTTATTTGATATAGGTTGTTTATTCCAAAGTTATTGTGGCTTTTTATATAGGATCTGATTGTTACTATTAATTTTTTGATGTTTTATTATTATTTTTATGTGTGTTGGAAGCTGCCCAGATTGGCTGTGGCAACCCAGCCAGATGGGTGGAGTATAAATAATAAATTTATTATTATATTATTATCACCAGCACCTGTTCATGTCTGTGGGGCTTGCATGGTGGACGGTGCTCCCTTTTAATTATTCTGCCTCAAAACCAAAATGCCTTGGATTATGGGTCCAGATGGGATCAGTTTAGGGAACGAGAAACATTGTCAGGACTTGGGTATCTACTCCGACAGTGTGCTGGTATTTATGCCTTCCATATGCTCTGTAGGTAGTCTATGACACATAAGCCCATAAAACTAAAATAAGCGAACTGTTTTTCTTACATGTTCTACTTTTGAAAGAATCTGGGAGTCCCACATCCCTGTTGCAATAATTAAATCTGCACATACGGAAGGAATGGGATATATCAAAACTGACCCTTCTCCTGTCATCATTTCTCATGTCAGTGTGATGCTTAAAATGTGTTGTCAGCTTTCTTCCTCCCCCCCACCCCTACCCCTCCCAATACAGTCGTACCTTGGAAGTCGAACAGAATCCATTCAGGAAGTCCATTCGACTTCCAAAACGTTCAGAAACCAAAGCGCGGCTTCCGATTGGCTGCAAGAAGCTCCTGCGGCCAATTGGAAGCTGCGGAGGCCGCATCGGACGTTCAGCTTCCGAAAATCGTTTGAAAACCGGAACACTCACTTCCGGGTTTCGATCATTCAGGAAGCCGATTTGTTCGGGGACCCAGGCATTTGAGATCCAAGGTACGACTGTACCTGTTTGGGCAATCTTTTTCCATAGGAAAGCCAGTTTGTGAATTAATGAACACCGTCGTCAATAAAACAAAAGGTATTCTGTGAGCTTCTTCAGCCCTCCGGCTGCCCCTTCGCAAAATCAAATCAGCTAAGAGCAGCACTGTTCACCTGCGACAACCCTTGAAGTTATTCACTGGCGCTCCCTGGCTGTGCCTCCAATTGCTCACTTTGGAATTTGCTCCCGCCGGCCGACAACTGACAGCGCATGAGCCACATGGTCCAGAGTCCAGGCAGACAAAAACAACCCAGAATCCCCCTTCGCAGCTGAGCTACTGGCAAGAGGGCCTCTATTACCTACAGATCCACACAACGCCCTCCTTGGACAAAATGGAGTACATAAACGCCCTGGTGCCATCGACATTGTTAAAGTGAGTACTGATTTATTTATCTATCCTACCTTCTCCAAGGAGCTCAAATGGGGGTGTACATCGTTCCCTCCCTCCTCATTTAATCCCCGCGAAAACAACCCTGCAAGGTAGGTTAGTCTGAGAGTCCAGCACTCTTAACTGCCACAGGCCAGTGGCATACCCTCCAACATTTCTCTAATGAAAATATGGTTGTCCAATTCAGTAATAACAACTGTATTATTTATACCCCCACCCATCTGACTAGGTTGCCCCAGCCACTCTGGGCTGTTTCCAACATACTGTATTTTTCGCCCTATAGGACGCACCGGCCCATAGGACGCACCTAGTTTTGGAGGGGGGAAATAAAGGGGGGAAATTATTTCCCCCTCCAGAGGCGCGGGGCTGGGGCGGGGGAAGTCCGAGCTTCCCCCGACCCCAGCCCACAGAACAGGAAGCTCTCCGCAAGCCTTGGGAGACCGTTGCGACTTCCCGCCGGGCTCCCACTGCTTGCAGATATCTGCCTGAAGCCCAAACCAGGTCGGGAACAGCGGGAGGCGCTTCTCCCGCCGCCAGCCTTCAAACCAGGTCGGGGACAGCGGGATGGCGGCGTTTCGCCTCCCCGCTGTCCCCAGAGCTTGCGGGGCTAGCGGCGGGGAGAAGCTTCTGGGTGCCGGCAAGCTCTCCGCTAGCCGTGGGAGAGCCGCGCGGCGCTCCCTCGGCTAGCGGAGCTCTGCCCGAAGCCCGAAGCTTGGGGCGTGCTGAGCTCAGCGCGCCGCAAGCTTCTGGGCGCCAGCAAGCTCTCCGCTAGCCGTGGAAGAGCTGCGTCTCCCACGGCTAGCAGATAGCTTCCTGAAGCCTGGAGAGCGAGAGGGGTCGGTGCGCACCGACCCCCCTCGCTCTCCAGGCTTCAGCAAGCCTGCATTCGCCCTATAGGACGCACACACATTTCCCCTTCATTTTTGGAGGGGAAAATTGCATCCTAGAGGGCGAAAAATACGGTATATAAAAACATAATAAAACATTAAACTTTTTTTTTAAAAAAAACTACCCTATACTGGGCTGCCTTCAGATGTCTTCTAAAGGTTGTATAGTTACTTATCTGCTTGGCTCGGGGGTCGCATAACTCCAGACCCTCCAGCATTTCTCCCATGAAAATAGGGGTGTCCCAAGGAAAAGTGGGGCATTCCGGGATCAAATAAAAAACCGGGATGGCTTCTGTAAATCCGAGATTGTCCCTAGAAAATAGGGACACTTGGAAAGGATGCATGGGGGAGGGCTGGATGGAGGTTTCTGGGTTTATACCTCGGGCATGCAGTGCTTCCTACCATCCTTTCCTCCTTCCTTACAATCCTTTAGCCAAACCCGTCTGCTAAGGTCTGAAGGATCTTTCGCCTTCTAACAGCAAACTCAGCTGGTGAGAGCAGATATAGCCAATATGGGGCCAATGGGAAACACGTGGGGGGAGACTGGAATGCTTGGGGGAACCGCAAGCTTTGTACGAGTACAAAACATCTTAGGAGGGACCTAGAAGGGACCTAAGGTAAAGGTAAAAGACCCCTGGATGGTTAAGTCCAGTCAAATTTGACTATGGGGTTGCGCCGCTCATTTCGCTTTCAGGCCGAGGGAGCCGGCGTTTGTCCACAGACAGCTTTCCGGGTCATGTGACCAGCAGGACTAAACAGCTTCCGGTGCAACGGGACACCGTGACAGAAACCAGAGCGCACGAAAACGCAATTTATTTTCCCACCACAGAGGTCCCTATTTATCTACTTGCGCTGGTATGCTTTCGAACTGCTAGGTTGACAGGAGCTGGGACAGAGCAATGGGAGCTCACACTGTTGCGGGGATTCGAACTGCCATCCTTATGATCAGCAAGCCCAAGAGGCTCAGTGGCTTAGCGGGGACCTAAGATGATGACAGTCCGTTGCAGGGGGTTGGACTAAATGACTCTTGGACTCGCTTCCAACTCTACCATTTTATGAAAAATGCAGGTCACTGAGGACTCAGCAGGCTCAGTGGCCCCCAAACCCTGACTGAGAGGAGCAGAGAATTAGAGGTGAGGGAGAGAGAGAGGGAGGAAATGAATAAGACCACTCCACGCTGCAACATTTTGCTGCAGGTCTCCCATTAAACTCAAGCAAACAACGGTGTTGTCCACAGAACACGAATGAGCAAAATTCCCTGATTCCCGGTATTTTATCTGACATTCTGCCCAATAAATAAGGGGTTTTGCTTTATTCAAAGAGATAGTTGTCCTGTGGGCTGGCTCCACTAGCACCTCCTTCGCCTCTTCCTCCTCTTGGAATTTGGACTTCGACATCAAAATTCCAGGGACCAGAAGAGGCCATGATAAGCATTTCCACGTAGACCTAATAAATTGCGTCATGTCGTGTACTCTGGTTGCAAGCTGCGTAAGGGGCCAATAACAGCTGGATAGCTCAGCTGATTAGAGCGTGGCGCTGATAATGCCAAGGTTATAGGTCTGATCCCTCTGTATGGGGCAGCTGCATATTCCTGCATGATGATTCTCAGGGTCCCTTCCAACTTTAATAATAATAATAATAATAAATTTTATTTATACCCCGACAATGCAGGAATCTTTTGCCCAATGTGGGGCTCAAAACCCACGACCCTAAGACTAAGAGACTCATGCTCCACCATCCGAGCTATCTCTTCAGTTCCAGGCTGATTCCCCAATTCTAAAAAAAAATCCTCCCCAAAATAGAGTCCTTTTTGTTGGGGATAATTCAGATGGAAATTCCCAGGTGTCAAAAAAGGTTATTTATGTATGCCACTAGTGCAGCCCATGTTTTGTTAGCCCCAAAATGGAAAACGAGCGAGATCCCAACTAAAGAAGAATGGCAACTTCAACTGGTGGTATATGCGCAGCTTGCAGACCTAACATATATAGGGCGAGTCTTTTAAAAGAGGCCCCGTGGAACATGTGTACTCTGTATTCACCCTGTAGGATAAGAGAACAAGAAGAACATACATTTAAAGAAGACTGGAAAATGCTTATTGAATATATGGGGGAATTGTGCACATTTGAAAACGTTGGCAGCATTAAGATAAATTCAACAGTGTAAAGAAGTTTTGATGGATGTAATAATGGATTACTGAATGCTTTCGTTTATGTAAAATATGCAGGGATTTATGATATGTAAAATGGACCATGGAAAGAGAAGTAGGGAAGTCATTGACATTTTAAGGTTCTTTAAATGAATATTCTAAATTGTAGAACAGAAAATTTAATAAAAATTATACAGCGGTACCTCTGGTTAAGAACTTAATTCGTTCCGGAGGTCCGTTCTTAACCTGAAACTGTACTTAACCTGAGGTACCACTTTAGCTAATGGGGCCTCCCACTGCCACTGTGCCGCCGACGCACGATTTCGGTTCTCATCCTGAAGCAAAGTTCTTAACCCGAAGTACTACTTCCGGGTTAATGGAGTCTGTAATCCAAAGGTGTTTGTAACGTGAGGTACCACTGTACACACACCAAAAAAAGTAAAGAAAACAGGCAGAAACAGCATTGGGTCGTGTATAACTGTCCTGATAACATCATGAGTGCAAATCGTCACAACCGAAAGGGCACCTGGACGAACCCAGATCATTACCAAAAGTTCAGTTTCTCTGTTAGGGTGCTGATGTCCCCCTGGACACTTTGCACATGCTCAGAGGCACGCTATGGCAGCCAGGTCGGGACCTTCTGAGCAACCTCTCTCTCTCTCTCTTTCTCACAGGTCAGTGTCGAGTGCGAGTTCAGAACTCACCCGCCGTGTGTGGGCCCCGAGTCCCCCAACCCAGAGGCCATTCCGGGTCTGTGACCACAAGCGCAACGTCCGCAAAGGTCTGACTGCAGGGACCTTGCAGGAGCTGTTGATCAAGGTGAGCACCCCTTCCCTCCCGCCAATTTTCCAGCCTCCACTTGGCTCCACACTTGGCTGGCAAGCCCTTGGGTAAAGCTACTCCTCTTCACCCTCCCTTTTATCATCTGCGAAATGGAAGCAGTGGCCGTGCTTTGCTTGACATGAAGGTCACTGCTTGTGTGTTTTCTTGTTTCGCCAGGCAAGGGAGACCCTGCTGATCTCCAGCATCGTTTCCTTGGTGCTGGAAGAAGATGGCACCGTTGTGGAAACAGAGGAATTCTTTGACGTCCTAGACGATAACACGGCCTTGATGGCGCTGGAGAAAGGGCAGAAATGGAGCCACGCCAGGGTAAGCAAAAGGGTGTTGAATGGAAGGCCAGCGGAAAATTACAGGCTTCATTTCCATAAGAATTCTAAGGCTTCGTAAATAAAATGAATGTTCCTAAGTGCACAAGATAAATACATATAGGTAAGTACTGAATGTCTGAAAGAGTACAGGAGAGCAATCCTGAAGCCACTTTGACTCTTAATAATAATTTTATTCATTCATTCATTCATACACATCCCATCTGGCTGAGTTTCCCCAGCCACTCTGGGCGGCTCCCAACAGAATATTAAAAGCATGATGAAACATCAAACATTGAAAACTTCCCTAAACAGGGCTGCCTTCAGATGTCTTCTAAACGTCAGATAGTTGTTTATTTCCTTGACATCTGATGGGAGGGCGTTCCACAGGGCAGGTGCCACCACTGAGAAGGCCCACTGCCTGCTTCCCAGCAACCTCGCTTCTCGCAGGGAGGGAATCGCCAGAAGGCCCTCAGAGCTGGACCTCAGTGTCCGGGCTGAACGATGGGGGTGGAGATGCTCCTTCAGGTATACAGGGCCGTTTAGGGCTTTCAAGGTCAGCACCAACACTTTGAATTGTGCTCGGAAACATACTGGGAGCCAATGTAGGTCTTTCAGGACTGCTGTAATATGGTCTCGGCAGCCACTCCCAGTCACCAGTCTAGCTGCCGCATTCTGGATTAGTTGCAGTTTCTGGGTCACCTTCAAAGGTAGCCCCACGTAGAGCGCATGGCAGTAGTCCAAGCGGGAGATAACCAGAGCATGCGGCACTCTGGTGAGACTCTCTCAGCCGGCGTACCAGATGGAGGTGGTAGACAGCTGCCCTGGACACAGAATTGACCTGCGCCTCCATGGACAGCGGTGAGTCCAACGATTCTATGATTCTGTCTGTGTTGTACAGGGCAGCAGCCGGTCCTATGCGCTCAGCGGGGAGAAACCGAGGAACAGCCGTGACATTGCCCGCATCACCTTTGACGTCTACAAGCTCAACCCCCGCGACCTCTTTGGCAGCCTGAACATCTCGGCCACTTTCTACGGACTCTACTCCATGAGCTGCGACTTCAAGTGTCTGGGGCCCAAGAAGGTGCTAAGGTGGGTCTGGGAACCAGCTTCCCCCACATCTCCCCTGACAGACGGCCATCCAATCTCTGCTTAAAACCCTCCGAGGAAGGAGAGTCCACCACCTCACCTCCATTGTCAGAAAGTTCTTCCTGATGTTGAGTCAGAATCTCCTTCCTTGTAAGCTTGAAACCATGGATTCAGGTCTTACCCACCAGAGCAGGAGGAAACATTAGTCATTTAGTCGTGTCCGACTCTTCATGACCCCCTGGACCAGAGCACACCGGGCACTCCTGTCTTCCACTGCCTCCTGCAGTTTGGTCAAACTCATGTTTGTGGCTTCGAGAACACTGTCCCACCATCTCATCCTCTGTTGTCCCCTTCTCCTTGTGCCCTCCATCTTTCCCAACATCAGGGTCTTTTCCAAGGAGTCGAGTCTTCTCATGAGGTGGCCAAAGTATTGGAGCCTCAGCTTCAGGATCTGTCCTTCCAGTGAGCACTCAGGGCTGATTTCCTTCAGAATGGATAGGTTTGATCTTCTTGCAGTCCATGGGACTCTCAAGAGTCTCCTCCAGCACCAGAATTCAAAAGCATCCATTCTTCGGCGATCAGCCTTCTTTATGGTCCAGCTCTCACTTCCATACATCACTACTGGGAAAACCATAGCTTTAACTATACAGACCTTTGTCCGCAAGGTGATGTCTCTGCTTTTTAAGGTTTGTCATTGCTTTTCTCGCAAGAAGCAGGCGTCTTTTAATTTAGTGGCTGCTGTCACCATCTGCAGTGATCATGGAGCCCAAGAAAGTAAAATCTCTCACTGCCTCCATTTTTGGGAGGGGATTAGCTCACAGTTGTGCAGCTTCTTTTGCAAAGGGAAAAGCCCCCGTTTTTTGAGGATCAGCTCAAAGTTGTTGAGCTTAGTTTGCAAAGGGTAAAAATCCTGCTTTTATGGGGTTCAACTCACAGTTCTGCAGCTTCTTTAGGAAAGGAAAGGGAGCCATTTCTACAGTTTCCAGACAGATAATCTAATCAGCCAGTCACATGTCGCTGGGGAAACAAACAGCCTCCATCTGCAGAACATTCAACAATGGAGGCCTGGGCAAGGGGGCAAGGGGCCGGAAAGGGAGCCAGCGATCGACCACACATTCGCTCCATAAGACGCACAGACATTTCCCCTTACTTTTTAGGAGGAAAAAACTGCATCTTATGGAGCGAAAAATACAGTAAATTCCATAAATAAAATAATAAAATTAAAATTGATTTTGTCTTCTGAGCCGCTCTGAGATCTACGGATGAAGGGTGGCATACAGATTTAATTAATTATAATAATGCAAAACAACAACGCAGCACTAATATAATTTGTTCCCCTTTCCTTTCCTCCCAAGGGAGATCTTGCGTGTGGCATCCACTGTCATGCATGGCATCGGGCACATTCTTCTTGGGGCATCCCACTACATCCGCCGGATCCTGGACGGAGGCGAGAACTGGCACTCGCATGCCCGCGTGAGCTACGAACGCTGAAAGCTGCCACCCTCCTCTTCCTCCCTCTCCTGAGACAAGATTCCTTCCCAGCACCTGCTCTTTCGGCTCCAAAGAAATCCCAGATCTCTGTTTCTGTTGGGGATGTTAATTAAAAAGGGTACAGTGGTACCTTGGTTCTCAAACTTAATCCGTTCCGGAAGTCCGTTCTAAAACCAAAGAGCGTTCCAAAACCAAGGCGCGCTTTTCCCATAGAAAGTAATGAAAAACGGATTCATCCATTCCAGACTTTTAAAAACAACCCCTAAAACAGCAATTTAACGTGAATTTTACTATCTAACCAGACCTTTGATCCATAAAACGAAAGCAAGAATCTATGTACTGCACTATAAAAGAAATAACAGTACAGTGGTACCTTGGGTTAAGTACTTAATTCGTTCCAGAGGTCCATTCTTAACCTGAAACTGTTCTTAACCTGAAGCACCACTTTAGCTAATGGGGCCTCCCGCTGCTGCTGCGCCGCCGGAGCACAATTTCTGTTCTCATCCTGAAGCAAAGTTCTTAACCTGAAGCACTATTTCTGGGTTAGCAGAGTCTGTAACCTGAAGCGTATGTAACGTGAAGTGTATGTACAGGTACCACTGTATTGTAGGTGATAAAAATTTAAATTGTTTTTTTTTTTCTTCTTACCTGCACTGATGATAGTCAGCTTTTATCCATATCCGCAGTCACACAATCAACCAATCAATCAATCAATCAATCAGTAGCTGAACTGGATTCCACGCAGTCACAAAAACAAATGAACCGAAAAAGCCTCAGAAACAAAAACGCAAAATAGATAGCAAAAACAAAAGCGCCAAACTTAATCCGTTCCGGAAGTCTGTTTGACTTCTGAAATGTTTGGAAACCAAGGTACAGCTTCTGATTGGTGCAGGCGCCCCAGAAACAACAGACAACAGCAGAGTCAGACGTTCGGCTTCTGAAAAACGTTCAAAAACCGGAACACTTACTTCCGGGTTTCTGGCGTTTGGAAACCAAGGCGTTTGAGAACCAAGGTACCACTGTATTTAATAACCAAACACACAGGAAACCTTGAACCAGACCTTCCTTTCGGCACAGAGGAAATGGTTGGGGAGGTGGCGAATAGCCGCCGTGTGGCAGGTTCTGCTAGCTTAACAGAGATGCAACATGAAGCAGGGATAAGAAAATCTGTTGCCTGCTAGATGTTGCGGGACTACAATCCCCATCATCCCTGAGCACCGTCTGGAGCCGGTGGAGAGTTCAGCATCCGGAAGACTCCTGGTTTGCCCATTGCTGGTTATTGTTATTATTTCTCCAGTGCTTCCCTCGCAAAACCGACCCAAAGCGACTCACAACGTGAGCGCTGGAACTGATTGCAGCAAACAAATGAATGAAAATCTTTTTTTAAAAAATGCATTTACACAAATAAAAGGTCTTAGAGAGGCTGAAAAGAGACCTTAGAAATCATAGAATTGGAAGTTGTAAGAAAAAACAAGGGTCATCTAGTCCAACCCCCTTTTGCCCAACATGGGGCTCAAACCCACGAACCTTATCTTGCATTACAAGGCTGGCATTTCATTGACGCTCAAAAGGGAAGGGCACGACAGTGCCAAGAAAGAAATGACTCTCTTAATAGATATATTAAGCAAAACTTTATTGAGTTGTCCCCACAAATGTTTAAAAACAACAAAATGCATAACAACCAAAGATCCATTTGGGAGCAGACAAGAGGAGGAAAGTGCAGAGTGGCGGCATTTCCCTGCTCTGAACAATCCTCCGGGTTCTCTGTGGTTTGGGAGAGGCTCACAGCGCCCCCTAGAGGGCACCAGCCCTTTGTTTTCATTCAGCCCCGACCTCCCGCCAACTGCATCTTCCCGATTCAGTCCTCCAGGATCTCGGAGAACAGCTCCCGCCGTTTCTTCTTCGCCTTGTGGTGGCGCTCCCAGTCTTGGCGGCGCTTGAGGAAGTGGTTCAGGGAGAAGTTGCGGACCAGAAAGTGCCCAAAGGGGTCGTTCTGCAGTCGTGATTCATGCTCCGCTGGAAATTGGGGGGGGGGGGGAGGAGAAGAAGAAGCCTTTAAGACCTAAAGAGCACAGTTCGGGGGGGGATCTCCAGGGTTAGGGTTTCGTGAAAAGCCTAAAACCCTGAAGAACATCTGCCTGGAAGTTGGGGGAGCAGGGGGGTGCCTAAACGGCCTCGGTCCAGTAGACCTGAAGGAGCGTCTCCTCCCCCATTGTTCTACCCGGACACTGAGGTTCAGCTCCGAGGGCCTTCTGGCGGTTCCCTCCCTGCGAGAAGCCAAGTTACAGGGAACCAGGCAGAGGGCCTTCTCGGTGGTGGCGCCTGCCCTGTGGAACGCCCTCCCACCAGATGTCAAAGAGAAGAACAACTACCAGACCAGACTTTTCGAAGACATAGAAAGGCAGCCCTGTTTAGGGAAGCTTTTAATGCTTAACAGACCACTGTATTTTAATACTCTGTTGGAAGCCGCCCAGAGTGGCTGGGGAAACCCAGCCAGGTGGGCGGGGTATAAATAATAAATTCTATTCTATTCTGTGTTGAGAAATGTATGGAATTCATTTCATTTCGTGTATTAGGCTTGTTAATCGTTTGTCACCCGAAGGTATCTAAGCGATTCACAGCAAAGAAAAATATACAGTGGTACCTCGGGTTACATACGCTTCAGGTTACAGACTCCGCTAACCCAGAAATAGTGCTTCAGGTTAGGAACTTTGTTTCAGGATGGGAACAGAAATTGTGTTCCGGTGGCACGGCAGCAGCAGGAGGCCCCATTAGCTAAAGTGATGCTTCAGGTTAAGAACAGTTTCAGGTTAAGAACAGACCTCCGGAACGAATTCTTAACCCGAGGTACCACTGTACAGTGGCACCTTGCTTGCCAAACGAAATCCGTTCTGGAAGACCGTTCGATTTCTGAAATGTTTGACAACCAAAGCGCAAAGAGCAGCCTGCATTTTCAGTGGGGGAATTGGGGGGGGGGGGACTTCCAAAAAGCATTCGAAAACGGAAGCAAATGCTTCCGGGTTTTCGGTGTTCGAAAACCGAGGTACCACTGTATAATACATAACACCTTAGGGGGGGAATGTTTCATATAACGTAACATCAATTTAAAAAGAGCATACTCAACTAATAAACAAAGCAATAATCAGACCCATTAATGATCAAATGAACAAAAATAAACAAAACTTCCATCTTCCCACTAGTCTAAAATTCATTCACATCAAAGCAACAATTCCCGCGTTGTTGTTTTTCTCCCCAGGCTACCCAGAGGTCTGGCGTCGATGCAAATCAGTGGTGACCATTTTGCAGAAGAAAACTGGCAACATTCAGGGCCTCTTGAAGAAAGTTCAAATAAAAAACCATGGCGTGTAGGAGACCTTGGTGGGTTCCCTGGTGGGTGTCGGAGAATGCTTTGTTGCACATGGATGCCACACTGGGGTCCCCAGGATAATACTGGCAGTGATCACAGATTCATAGAAATGTAGAGTTGGAAGGGACACCCCAGCGATCATCTAGTCCAACCCCTGAAATCACAGCTAATCACAGGAGGATCAACAGCCTGGGCAAGAAGGCAATTGGGGGAGGAACGCTGCCTATGGCCAGGGGTCACTTCAAATATCCGAAAACAGGCGTCAAGTACAGTGGTACCTCGGGTTACATACGCTTCAGGTTACAGACTCCACTAACCCAGAAATAGTGCTTCAACTTTGCTTCAGGATGAGAACAGAAATTGTGCTCCGGCGCGCGGCGGCAGCAGGAGGCCCCATCAGCTAAAGTGGTGCTTCAGGTTAAGAACAGTTTCAGGTTAAGAACGGACCTCCGGAACGAATTAAGTACTTAAACCGAGGTACCACTGTACAGTGGGTGCTCGGGTTGTGAACGCGATCCATGCAGGACGTACGTTTGCAACCCGCAGCGTTTCCAACCCGCGTCTGCGCACGCATGGGTTGCGATTCGGCACTTCTGCGCATGCCCAAAGCGCGATATAGCACTTCTGCGTATGCACGACCGCCGAAACCCAGAAGTAACCTCTTCCGGTACTTCTGGGTTTCGTCAGTCCGCAACCCGAAAAAACGCAACCTGAAGCGGCTGTATCCCATGGTATGACTGTACACCCTTGTTCCCTGCACTGTCCGAAAAAGTAATTCTGCAAGTGTGGGTGGGTGTGAATGCAAGGAGAGGCTGGCACCCTTTGTACCGTGTGTCTCTGGGCCAGGATGCAGCCCTTTCAGGGGGCAGGGCAGGCAGGGAACAGGGAAGAACGAGGGACAGAGACAGCTTGAGGGGGGGGGGTTTTAGAGAGAAATCGCCCACAGAGCAAACTGCAAAATTCACAGCTGCCCATGAATAAAGCTGTTGCATCTCACACATTTTTCTTGTGGGAGAGGAGACGAGAGTCATACCGAGTTCCTGCGCCATCTCTCGCTTGGCTGGTAGGGTGGCCCTGTTCCAAATGGCGTCCAGGACACGGCTCCCATGCTTGCTGCAAGCCAGAGACACATAGCAGCCCTGGGGATATAAAGAGGAGGAGGAGAGAGAGAGAGAGAGAGAGAGAGAGAGAGAGAGAGAATGAACATAATATACTATTTGAAGCCCAGGCAGCCTTTCATGAGAACCATTCAACATCAGACCACTGTCTAATGCTGTCCTTCCTAGCTGAGAAGTATACCAGGCCTCTACAGGGTAAACTCTTCGTGGCCTTCATGGATCTGAAATCAGCGTTTGACTCCATCCCCAGATCCCAGCTATGGTCCAAATTAAATCTGATTTTGCAGGACAAACGACTCCTCTTTCTTATAAAAGCCCTGTACAATGGAACCAAACTGCAGGTCTGATGTGGTCGACAGGGACAGTTATCAAACAGCATTGAGATGACTAGGGGGGTGAGACAGGGATGCAATTTGGCCCCCACATTGTTTTGTCTATTCTTAAAAATATACAACGGGATAGACAGGAAGTCTAGTGTGTTGGTATGTATATGATTTGAGGGGCGGTTGTTTTTGTGTTTTCTCTTTGTTCCTTCTTTTTTTGTTTGTTACATTTTCTTTCTAGGTATATCAAACTTGCATATACCGTATTTTTCGCTCTATAAGACGCACTCGACCATAAGACACACCTAGATTTTAGAGGATCAAAACAATAAAAAAAATCTCTCCATCTCTGCACAGTGTCTCTCCAGTGAAGCGGGAGGAGGAATGGAGCCCCTTCCATTTCTCCTCCCGCTTCGCTGAAGGGGCGCTGCGCAGCTTTCCCTCTCTGCGCATCGCCATTCGCTCCATAAGACGCACACACACATTTCCCCTTATAGTAATAATAATTTATTATTTATACCCCAGCCACTCTGGGCGGCTTCCAACAAAACCCAAAAATACAATAACATATTAAACATTAAATTTTAGGAGGGACATTACTTTTTAGGAGGGAAAAAGTGTGTCTTATGGAGCGAAAAATACGGTAATTTTTGTATACATGTTGGAAATTATATTATAGTAAGTCCTGTAATGTAATATGACAACGTTTAAAGGTAAAGGTAAGGTACCCCTGCCCGTACGGGCCAGTCGTGTCCGACTCTAGGGTTGTGCGACCATCACACTTAAGACGCCGTGGGCCTGCGCGATCGGGAGACACTACCGGGTCACTTGGACATCGTGACGAAGCTGCTCTGGCGAGCCGGCACCAGCGCAGCACACGGAAACGCTAGAAAGCAGTACCTATTTATCTACTTGCACTTAGAATCATAGAATCATAGAGTTGGAAGAGACCACAAGGGCCATCGAGTCCAACCCCCTGCCAAGCAGGAAACACCATCAGAGCACTCCTGACATATGGTTGTCAAGCCTCTGCTTAAAGACCTCCAAAGAAGGAGACTCCACCACACTCCTTGGCAGCAAATTCCACTGTCGAACAGCTCTTACTGTCAGGAAGTTCTTCCTAATGTTTAGGTGGAATCTTCTTTCTTGTAGTTTGGATCCATTGCTCCGTGTCCGCTTCTCTGGAGCAGCAGAAAGCAACCTTTCTCCCTCCTCTATGTGACATCCTTTTATATATTTGAACATGGCTATCATATCACCCCTTAACCTCCTCTTCTCCAGGCTAAACATGCCCAGCTCCCTTAGCCGTTCCTCATAAGGCATCGTTTCCAGGCCTTTGACCATTTTGGTTGCCCTCCTCTGGACACGTTCCAGTTTGTCAGTGTCCTTCTTGAACTGTGGTGCCCAGAACTGGACACAGTACTCCAGGTGAGGTCTGACCAGAGCAGAATACAGTGGCACTATTACTTCCCTTGATCTAGATGCTATACTCCTATTGATGCAGCCCAGAATTGCATTGGCTTTTTTAGCTGCCACGTCACACTGTTGGCTCATGTCAAGTTTGTGGTCAACCAAGACTTAAGTGTGCTTTCAAACTGCTAGGTGGGCAGGAGCTGGGACCGAACGACGGGAGCTCACCCCGCCGCGGGGATTCGAACTGCGATCGACAAGTCCTAGGCACTGAGGTTTTACCCACAGCGCCACCCGCGTCCCATGACAACGTTTACCGATGTAATATAAGAATGTTGACAAATAAATAAAATGCAAATTCCAAAAACCCAAAAATCCTCAGCTGATGGGGACCTTTCTTCCAGCTCCATAAATTTCTACCACAGCCCTGCCTATAGGTTAGCGCCCAAGACGAGGCAGAGCTTGCCCAGCCTGAAAGCAAGCGACATTCCTCAGCAAGGAATTCGGCCCTCGGGATCAGCCCGCCCAGTGCTCACCTTGAGCCGACGCAGCACCTTGCGCCTCTGTTTCTCGGGGACGGAGGGGCTGGCCAGGAGGGCGTCGAAGACGTGGCTGCCTGCTGGGTCACGGGCCAGGGTGACCAGATCCTCGGGGGTCGTGGCAGCGAGGCTGCGCAGAACAACAGAGGGGTCGGCAAAGTGGAGAAGGTCCTGGAGCATCAGGGAGCCGTGGTAGGAGATGGAACTCAAGGGGCGGGGCGGGCTGGCCTAGCGGGGAAGAGAAGAGCGAGATTAGGCACCACAAAGAGGAGTCAAACCCCATAGGAACGTGAAAAGAGGCTGCTGGGTCAGGCCAATAATAATAATAATAATTTATTATTTATACCCCACCCATCTGGCTGGGTTTCCCCAGCCACTCTGGGCGGCTTCCAACAAAACACTAAAATACAATAACCTATTAAACATTAAAAGCTTCCCTAAACAGGGCTGCCTTCAGATGTCTTCTAAACGTTTGGGGCGGGTGCCACCACCGAGAAGACCCTCTGCCCGGTTCCCTGTAACTTGGCTTCTCGCAGTGAGGGAAGCGCCAGAAGGCCCTCAGCGCTAGACCTCAATGGCCCACCTAGGCCAGCATCCTGTTCCCACCGGGGGGTGGGGGGAGAGAAAAAAATACCAATTTAAAATACAGGTTAAAATGCCAATTAAAATGCAGCCTCATTTTAAAGTAGCTGATAAATCAAGACCATAAGGGGAGGAAAGACATTAGGGTCAGATGGAGTCCAAACCAAAGGCCAGGCGGAACAGCTCTGTCTTGCAGGCCCTGCGGAAAGATGTCAAGTCCTGCAGGGCCCTGGTTTCTTGTGACAGAGCATTCCACTATATCGGGACCAGAGCTGAAAAGGCCCTGGCCCTAGTTGAAACCAATCTAAGCTCCTTGAGGCTCGGGACCTCCAAAGTGTTGTCATTTGTGGACCTTAAGTTCCTCCGCGGGGCATACCAGGAGAGGCGGTCCCGTAGGTACGTGGGTCCTAGGCCACATAGGGCTTTAAAGGTCAAAACCCGCACCTTAAACCTGACCCTGTACTCCACCAGGAGCCAGTGCAGTTGGTAAAGCACTGGGTGAATGTGATCCCGCGGCGAGGACCCCGTAAGGAGTCTTGCCGCAGCATTCTGCACCCGCTGGAGTTTCTGGGTCAGCTTCAAGGGCAGCCCCGCGTAGAGCGAATTACAGTAGCCAAGCCTGGAGGTGACCGTCGCGTGGATCACTGTGGCCAGATCAGGGCTGTAGATCTCCTTTTCCCCACCTGTTGCTGAGACGGATCCTCTTCTTCCTCTTGCGGGGTGTTCTCCTCGTCGTCGTCCTCGCCATAATACACCTCGTAGGCCAGGACGGAAGCAATGAGGGGGACGCAGGCCGTCTGGCGGGCCGGGGGCTCCCAGCAGTGGAAGGCCTGATATGGGATGTGAAACACAAGAGCAGTCAAGTACAACATTCCTAGAGTGAACATGTTTACCCATGGGGAGAAGTGTTTATCCAGCCAGCAGGTAAACTTCCTGTTTCCTTCTGGGCTGGGACAGACTTCCTCTGCATGTGACTAGAGGTGGGCGTGGCCTCACCTGTGCAGGTAACGACGAAAGCACAGGGCAGGGCAGCCATCTCTCTCTCTTTGACTACATGCATCGAAGAAGCAACATCTGCTTAGCCAAAGATGCTCTTCCAGCCAAGAGAGGACAAAGGGAGTGTCTTCTTATGAGATAGTTTCCAAGTGTGTGTTACTTTTCTAAGCTAAGTCTGCCTTCTGGGATCCGATTGTGAACAGAATGCGAGTAAACTCTTTTTATACTTTTATAGAAGACTGCCGTGTCTTATTATGAGAGAATAAGGGGGAAATACCAGAACAGTTATTATAGTGGCTTTAGTGAGCCTGAGCAAATGCATCCGCTGAGTTTAAAAAAAGGGAATGTTACTCTGCTAAAATTGTGAACTTGTTAACACAAGTTGGAAAGGCGATAATCGAACAATATATCCTCTCCTGCATCCCTGAACATTCCCACACCTGAGAGGAGCAGAGGAGGAAACAGCGGTCATATCAGACTCAGCAAGAAGATGCGGGTTTCGGACGGAGGGGAGGAGGGAGGGTTCTTACCTCCATGAGGAGTTGCAGCACCTCCTGCTGGTGGGAACCGTGTTTTCTGCAGGCTCCCAGAAGCGCTGTGATCAGCCCCAAGTGCTCACAGGCCAAGATCTCTTCCACGCCGGGGCCCAGCTCCTCAAGGATTTTTCCCAGCTGGAAGAGAGATGGGGCAGGAAGAGGCAGGCATCCTCAGTGGGGGGAGAGACGAAGCATTTCCAAGAAACAGTAGCAATGTTTGGGGCTTCAGAGGGAAGGCAGGAAACAAGAGACTAAATCGAAGCATAGAAAAATTGTGCATGGCGCCCAGGTACTTGTTACACGTGTATCTTGGTTGTCAAACGCCTGTTCCAAACACCAAAAACCCAGAAGTGTTCCGGTTTTCAAACATTCAGAAACTGCGCCTTGGTTTTTGAACATGTCAGAAGTCAAACAGACTTCCGGAATGGATTAGGTTTGGCGCTTTTGTTTTTGCTATTTACTTTGCATTTTTGTGGCTTTTTTGGCTCATCTGTTTTTGTGACTGTGTGGAACCCAGTTCAGCTACTGATTCATTGACTGTGTGACTGCGGAAATAGATGAAAGCCCCCCTTGCAAACGACGACTATCATCAGTGCAGGTAAGGGGGGTGAATAATTTTAATTTTTATCATCTACGATACTGTCTTATTTATTTTATAGTACGGTACATTGATTATTGCTTTCACTTTAAGGACTCAGTGGTCTCGTTAGATAGTAAAGCTCATGTTAATTGCTGTTTTAGGGGTTGTTTTTAAAAGTCTGGAATGGATCGAATCCATTTTACATAACTTTCTATGGGAAAGCGCGGCTTGGTTTTGGAACGCTTCGGTTTGGGACGGACTTCCGGAACAGGTTAAGTTTGAGAACCAAGGTACCATTGTAGAGGTTTTCCTACCTCTCATAAGGTAGGAGCCGTAAGCATCCTGTGAATGTCGAGTGCTTCTTAAGGATGCCTAGCTGCCGACTGTGGAACTCACGCCACAAGATTAGAGGAATTCATGGGGATAAGGCTACCTATGGCTGGTAGCCACAACGGCTATGGAGACAGTGTGTCTGCTGGGAAGGGCAACTGGGAGAGTGCTGTTGCCCTCTGGGGTTCCACTTTGGAGCATGTGGCTGGCCACTGCAGAACAGGATGCTAAACTGGCCTCGGTCCAGTATACCTGAAGGAGCGTTTCCAACCCCCATCGTTCTGCCTGGACACTGAGGTCCAGCGCCGAGGGCCTTCTGGCGGTTCCCTCCCTGTGAGAAGTGAGGTTACAGAGAACCAGGCAGAGGGCCTTCTCGGTGGTGGCGCCCGCCCTGTGGAACACCCTCCCACCAGATGTCAAAGAGAAGAACAACTACTAAACTTTTAGAAGACATCTGAAGGCAGCCCTGTTCAGGGAAGTTTTTAATGTTTAAAATGTTTAAATGTTTAAAATGTTTTAATGTTTTACTGAATTTTAATACTTTGTTGGAAGCCGCCCAGAGTGGCTGGGGAAACCCAGCCAGATAGGCGGGGTATAAATAAATTATTATTATTATTATTATTATTATTATTATTATTAAACTAGATGGACCTTTGGCCTGATCCAGGAGCTAGGCTTTTCTGGTATTGCGTTCTACTCATCTAGGCCAGGGATGGACAACCTTTGGCCATGTTCAAGTACAACCCCCATCATTCCTGGTGGAGCCAACGGGAGTGAATCTGACATTTCTGATACAGGCCTTCATCTACAGATGTAATTGGGGCAATCCGCCCAGTAATCTGGGTTAGAGTCAATATACAAGAGCACTTTCCCAACAGAAATCGCAGAATTGTAGTGTTGGAAGGGACACCCAAGGGTCATCTAGTCCAACCCGCTGCAAAGTAAACTCAGGAATCCCTGGCCGGCAGCTCTGCTGTAAAACCTCCAAGGAAAAGGAGTCCAACGAGGGAGATTGGGAACCTGAGGGCTGGCAGTTGTAGACTGCCTTCTCCCCAATGCCTTTTGCATAAGGGAGATGTGTTTTTCTTCCCCTCCCAACTTCCCAGTTTTTAATCTTCCTTTCTCATCCAGTTTCAGCATCGTCGCAATTCCTCTCAACGACGTCAAGAGGGATTTGAAGCCAACTAATTTAATGCATAGGGACGCGGGTGGCGCTGTGGGTTAAACCACAGAGCCTAGGACTTGCCGATCAGAAGGTCGGCGGTTCGAATCCCCACGACGAGGTGAGCTCCCATTGCTTGGTCCCTGCTCCTGCCAACCTAGCAGTTCAAAAGCACGTCAAAGTGCAAGTAGACCTCCGGCGGGAAGGTAAACGGCGTTTCCGTGCGCTGCTCTGGTTCGCCAGTAGCAGCTTAGTCATGCTGGCCACCTGACTTGGAAGCTGTAAGCCGGCTCCCTTGGCCAATAAAGCGAGATGAGCAACCCCAGAGTCGGCCAAGACTGGACCTAATGGTCAGGGGTCCCTTTACCTTTACCTTACGTGGGGCTGCCTTTGAAGGTGACCTGGAAACTGCAACTAATCCAGATTGTGGCAGCTAGACTGGTGACTAGGACTGGCTGCCAAGACCATACATTGGCTCCTGGTACATTTCCAAGCATTTAAGTGTTCGTGCTGACCTTTAAAGCCCTAAGTGGCCTCAGCCCAGTATACCTGATTCCTGCGACAGCGCAGAAATACATGTGTCTTTTGCTGTGCACCAGTTGGCTGGCCCGATGGGAGACGTCTGTCGCCAACCCGGTGCCCAGAAATCTCCACGTAGCCGCGACTGGACCTATGCCAGTAGCAAAATGCGCCCAGGGGATTTCAAACCCTGACTAGTAGCCATGGTTAAGCCTTCTTCTCCGATCCACCTTTCAAGTTCCGTAGTTTAACTAGGTGGGGTGTGAAGAAGTCCTCTCTTTTGCCTGTCCAGAATTCTCCCAATATTCAGCTTTGTTATTCACGGCCTAGGGCCCTCGTACCTACGGGACCGCCTCTCCCGGTATGCCCCGCGGAGGACCTTAAGGTCCATAAATAGCAACACCCTAGAGGTCCCGGGCCCTAAGGAAGTCAGATTAGCCTCAACCAGAGCCAGGGCCTTTTCAACACTGGCTCCGGCCTGGTGGAACGCTCTGCCTCATGAGACCAGGGCCCTGCGGGATCTGATTTCTTTCTGCAGGGCCTGTAAGACAGAGTTGTTCCGCCTGGCCTTTGGCTTGGAGCCAATTTGATTCCCTCCCCCTCTTTCTTTTTCCTTTCTCCTCCTGTGATGAGGCTGCATTTTAATGTTTCAATATTTTAATGTATTTTAATCTTGTTTTTAAGCTGTATTCATTCAACTTGTTTTTATTATTGCTTGTTAGCCGCCCTGAGCCTGGCCTTGGCTGGGGAGGGCGGGGTATAAATAAAAATTGTTGTTGTTGTTGTTGTTGTTAAATGTCTAGCCCAGGTTTCCCCAAACTTGGGTCTCTGGCTGTTTTTGGACTACAACTCCCATCATCCATAGGTAGCAAGTCAGGGATGATGGGAACTGTAGTCCAAAAACACCTGGAGACCCAAGTTTGGGGAAACCATGGTCCAGTATCAAGAGCAAGGGAGAAAAACATCTCTATGCCACACATAATTTTATACAGGGGTCTCCCCACTTACACCCATTAGCCTTGCACACGACTGAGTAGAAGATATCTGAAGGCAACCCTCTTTAGGGAAGCTTTTAATGTTTGATGCATTATGGTATTTTAATATTTTGTTGGAAGCCGCCCAGAGTGGCTGGGGAAGCCCAGCCAGATGGGCGGGGTATAAATAATAAATTATTATATATTATATTATTATATATATGCACAGCACTGGGAAATGGTGAAATAAATGCTTTTAAACTGCAAAAGTTTAAACACAAGGGTTTAAAAGTTTAAACACAAGGGTGGCAAAAACGGCCCAAAAAGAGTGGGGGAACTGCAAAAAAAAAAAAAAAAACTACAAAAAAGAGCAGGAAAACAGCAAGTGATCCCAGGAGCTTCTGCACCACAGAGCTTTGAGGCCTGTGAAGAGTTGGAGTTTGAGAAAGGAGAAAGAACCTCTGGTTTTTAAAAGGGGCTCCAGAGGTTTAGAGGGTGTTTAAAGGCTTCTTAGGTGGTATTTCCCCACTATGTGTGACTTCCCGCATGCGTGCAGCACCCCGGGGATGTGGCACCCCCAAAACTGAGGAGATGCCGTCTTACTTGTGTTCCCTTTTACTTACATTTCCCCAAAACCATTGGTTTTCAACCAGTGTTCCGTGGCACCCTGAGGTGACTTGAGGGGGTTGCCCTTTCGTTAACAGTGGCAAAAAAACAGTGGGGAAAGAGTGTTGCGTGACTGATTCATCTTCTTAAAATCTTCCCGCTGCCAAAAATCCTCCCCAGCTTCAGTAGCTAACAGTTCCTTGGTGTTACACAGAGGGCTTGAGAAATGCAGGAAAATAGCAAAGGAGCTTGATGGATGTGTGATCTCTATATGGAGGGATTTAAAAGTAACCCTGAAAGTAGGTAGAGTCGGTGGAAGAAGATGGGAAGAAATTTAAAGACTATTTACAGAAATATTGCAAAATTAATGAATGTTAGAATGAAGCTAGGTGGTTTAAGCAGCAATGCCATAAAGGTGTATGTAAAAAAGGATTGATAACAGATGAAAATTTAAAGTTATAGTATATTAAGTTAAAGGATTATGAGAAAACAAAGAGGGAAATAAATTGCTGACTTAACTAATTGAACTGGAATACAAAAAAGGGAGGTATGAGGAGGTCAGGGAAACAAGGATATGAATGTAAGCTATGGAAAGATTGATCTATTTTTCTTTTTTTTTCTTTTTAAGTGTCTTTTATTCTGTATTTTGTATTTTGTATTTTTCTTGTATTTTTACTTCTTGTTTTTGTGTAATTCTTTTTTCTGAAAGTTCAATAAATATCATATAAAAAAATAAAATAAAATAAAAGTAACCCTGAAAGTGAGGAGCATCTTCTGTGTTTCTCTCTCCTTCTACCCCCGACATGCCTCTCCCCAGTTCTTCCTAGGCAACCCCCACTCCTTAACAGTCACCCAGCTTTATGGGGACAGGGAGTAGGCTGCAGGAAATAATAATAATAATAATTTATTATTTATACCCCGCCCATCTGGCTGAGTTTCCCCAGCCACTCTGGGCAGCTTCCAATCAAGTGTTAAAAACAATACAGCATTAAATATTAAAAACTTCCCTGAACAGGGCTGCCTTCAGATGTCTTTTAAGGATAGGATAGCTGCTTATTTCCTTCACATCTGAAGGGAGGGCGTTCCAAAGGGTGGGCGCCACTACCGAGAAGGCCCTCTACCTGGTTCCCTGTAACTTGGCTTCTCACAGGGAGGGAACCGCCAGAAGGCCCTCAGAGCTGGATCTCAGTGTCCGGGCTGAACGATGGGGGTGGAGACGCTCCGTCAGGTATACAGGACCGAGGCCGTTTAGGGCTTTAAAGGTCAGCACCAACACTTTGAATTGTGCTCGGAAACGTACTGGGAGCCAATGCAGATCTCTCAGGACCGGTGTTATGTGGTCCCGGCGGCCACTCCCAGTCACCAGTCTAGCTGCCGCTAGGTTGACCGTATCTGCATGCGTGTGCTGTGCTTTTTGCTTTTCTTCTGTGCGATAACAAGTAGTTCTGCTTCTGATCTTAATCTCGTTTTGCCCTCTCCACCCCACACCCCTAGCGCACACCAATTTCGGCCAAGGCAGGCTGGGGCTGCAATGTGGCGTTCGTCGGCTGAGCCCCGCACAGCAGCAGCATCGCTCGTGTTCCAGTCGAAAAGGGACAGGGCGGAACAGGGAAATACTTCGCTGACGTGTAACTTGACCCCAGTGTAAGTGGCTTCCGCAGGGGAGCCGCAGAAACAATGTGGTTGGTGGTCAAATGAAGCATGGACTCAGAAAGGTTGCTACGGCCCTAAACTAGTAAGCCCCCAATGTAACCTTGCACGTTTGTGGTTTTCTGTAGGGGAAACATGTTGGGACGAGCGTCATTCTTTCTCAGAAATGACAGCCTGTGTACATTAAACTGTGTGAAGTTTCCAGAAGCAGCGCCAAGCCGGTTTGCTTACAGCAGGTGCAAGGACACTCTGAAGAAGGCTTTCTAAACACACAGTTTCCGAACTGGACAGAGAGAGACGTTTAGTCTGAACTCTGCTATCGTACTGTGAAGATATGGAGAGAGGGAGTCTGGCAGCTTTTGGACCGAGCCCAAAGCTTTTAAGTTGAACCTCTTATCAGGACTCCGATTGATTTATGTACAGTTTGTGACCTACGCTTAAGAACGACGGGAAATACCTTTGTCTGTATTCAAACGTTTCCTGCAATTTATTTCTTACACTCCGTGCTAGACATGGCTTGGAAGCCATGTGTTTACTTTGCTACAACGGGGCCTGGTACAGTGGTACCATCAAGCTTAATCCAGTCCGGGAGTCCATTCGACTCCTGAAATGGTTCGAAAACCAAGGCGCAGCTTCCGATTGGCTGCAGGAGCTTCCTGCACTCAATCGGAAACCGCGTCAGACGTTCAGGTTCCAGAAAACATTCGCAAACCGGAACACTCGCCTCTGGGTTTGCTGCTTTCGGGAACTGATTTGTTCAGGAGCCGATTTGTGTGAGAACCAAGGTACCACTGTACTTGGAAGGGTTTTGGGTTGCCTAGAAAAACTCCCAACAGATGTGGCAAATATCCCCAACCAAACACACACACACACACCAAGGGCAAATCTTCCCGCTGGTCTGCATGTTGACGGCTGGCACGGTTTTGATCAGTCCCCCCCAACCCCCCCATGGTGGCCGCAAGGGCTGTCACTCACCAATTTCCTGGAGGCTGCCTGGATGAGCCGCTGCAAGGTGTAGTTGGCCACCTTGTGGGCTGCCAGGACGTGAAGCTGCCCTTTCATGTGGGCCTTATAGAAGGAGAGCAGGGCTTTCCGGTCAGACACTTCCAGGACCTTGTCCAGCACCCGGCTGCAAGTGGCGTCCTTCAGAAAGACCAGGAGGGGGCTGAGAGAGAAAGATGTCCCCCGGTCAGAGAAGTCCCAGGCCAGTTCACGCTGCTTCCTTAACCACGTCCCATCCCCCCCACACCTTGGAAAGTCCCAAAGCCCACCCTCTAGGCCCCCAGAGCCAATAAAAAGGAGGCAGACAGGAGAAGGGGTAAATTTATTTGTTGGTTTTATTTGTTCCCCATTGGTATTTATTTATTTATTTGATAAAATTATATATATACAGCTTGGTTGTTGTTGTTGTTTTAAAAAACAAACAAACTCATAGTGGTTTACAGAAAAAAACAAGGAAATTCAAAAGCTACAAAACTTTCAAAAGTAACTGGAAGTCAACCACAAGCTGAAGAACCAGATTAAAACAGAGTGTCGGCATCCTACATTATCTGGGCAGGGTTGCCTGAACAAGACACGCTTTTAGCAGTCCCTGGAAAAAGATACACAGTTTAGTTTTGAAGTTCATTGTTCTAGCGGAAGGCCGTGACAAACTTGCAGCAACAGCATTAATAACCCACAACATGCATATGGAAGCTGACATCCACGATGGAAGAGAGGAGATATCAGAGACCCCAACCAGCTTAAATCCATCTTGATTTCAGATTAAACCTCCGAAACAATTTAAAAAGGTTTTTTCTAACTCCCTTTCCCTGGATATATTTTTGCAGTCGGTGCACAGAGCGCCACTGACTCTGTGTGTGTGTGTGTGTGTGTGTGTGTGTGTGTGTGTGTGTGTTAGGAAGCTGTCAATGTCACGCAAAAGAAACCAAACCATTTCTGCCAGGCTGCAACCTGCTTCCTTCACCCCTTCTCCCATTTTATAATCACAATAATCTGCGAGGTAGGTTAGGCTAAGGGACAGTAATGAGCTCCTAGGAAAGGCTGGGCAATATCTGGTTTTCAACACTGTGACGTATCACCAGCGAAACATCGCAATATACCGATACAGTGGTACCTTGGTTTAAGTACTTAATTCGTTCTGGAGGTCTGTTTTTAACCTGAAACTGTTCTTAACCTGAAGCACCACTTTAGGTAATGGGGCCTCCCGCTGCCTCTGTGCTGCCGGAGCACGATTTCTGTTCTCATCCTGAAGTAAAGTTCTTAACCTGAAGCACTATTTCTGGGTTAGCGGAAGCTGTAACCTGAAATGTCTGTAACCCGAGGTACCACTGTATATCATGATGGCTGAAAGAAGGATGGAGCTTTGTCAAGGCAAACAGGGGAATGTCCTGGCAACTGCGGCTATTTAGGGGTCTAAAATGCATACAGTTTTACTTACCTTTAGCATACTGTTACAACAGTTATTTCACAGCACTGATAATTTTTTTAACCAGCACATTTTCTCTAAAATTAAAGAGTTAGCAGCATAGATATCAAAGGCAAGGTGAGAAAATGCTCCCTAACAATTCAACTACATTGCTGAACAAGGCGAAAAAAGCCAATTCTGCGTCACACTTTTAGGTATTTCAAGTATAGAGTTTTAGCTGAATGTGCATATACAGCCCACAACACCAGTTATTTGACTGTTTTGTTCGTTTTCTTTCGTAAACCTGGATAAATTTTAACAGAGGGGGAAGAAACTCGTCAAACGAAATTTATATTTTTTGCCAGGAAGATTTGCATTTCGGCGTTCTCCGGCAAGAGAGACGCCTTTTGTTTCTGGAGAACGTTGCCAGCCGAGCTGAACACACTTTCGGAAGACACACTCGTCCCCGGGATAGCCAAAAACCTCTTTGCGAGCACCTTCAACATTGGGAAGAACGCCTCGTTCGTCTTCCACCACATCAGTGGGGAATCATCAAAGTTCACTCTAGGCATCGCCATGTAGCCTTTCAGCTCTTTTTCGGCTTTCAAGACAGACAGCGGTTCAAATCCATCCCCCGAAAGGTCCTCCTCTTCCTCCAAATCGAAAATTTTCGCCAAGCCTTCCTTTTTGGGTGTATCAGGCTGAGCGTCTGGCTCCGCAGACAGGCTGCCAGCGTGCAAGTCGGCCATCTTTTGTATGGCCTCCTGCCTGACGGCCTCTGGGGACTCCAAAAAACGCAGGCGGAACCTGGGGTCGCACAACGAGGCCAGGCCCAAAGTGGTCACCATGGGCCCGTTTTCGTACTTTTCCGACAGCGCGCTCAAAATCTCATGTTTAATGTCCTGCAAGAGCGTGCTGTCTCCCTCCTCGGGCTGGAGACGCTTCTTAATTTGCCTATAGAGAGGAAGAACGGAGGAGGCTGTGACGCAGCTGCTCCCGCTGAGAGTCGTTGTGATGTCTTCCAGCAAGGTAGCCGCAGAGACAAAGTCCTGCACAGCTGAGACGTCGCAGCCTTCCAACATCAAATGCTTTTTGGACGGGTAATCCATCAGCATCTTGCAAACCGGGAGCTGGTTTTCGAGAAACCTCCGGCAGAGCTTAAGCACGCTCCACCATTTCGTGGGGCAAGCGCTGGGCAGGCTCACTTTCTCCATCTGAAGGAGCTCTTGGGCTTTGCCAAGGTCTCGTCTCATCTTCCAGCTGTGGCAAATGGTGTTCTGCAGGCTTTTCAGCCTGACGATCGCCCTCCGCAGCGGCGTCAGGTTCAAAGCTCGGCCGACGCCGGTGTTGATGTTCTGGGCAAAGCAAGAGATGTACTCCAAGCCCAGCTGCCGGACGGCTTTCAGAATGGCGCCGTTATCGTCCGTCGTGCTGCAAAAGATGTTCTTCACGTCTATGTCCCACTCCGACAAGGTGTCGGCCAGCATCTCGCAGAGGTTGTCGGAGGTGTGGTCCTTCAGAAAGTGCTTGCAGCCCAAGAAAGCGTTGATCAGTTTCCACTCGTCGGAAATGAAATGGACCGTCACGGCCAAAAACGGGGTGCCTCCTACTGACGTCCAGCAATCGGTAGTGATGACCAGCTCACTCTCCTTTACCCGACCGATTTCCCTCCTCATTTTCTCCACCGTGTCGTTGTACAACGTCGGAACGCCTTTGGTTGCAAAGTATTTTCTGCTGGGCAACTGGTACCTTGGGTTCAGGGTGTTGACCATTTGGATAAATTTTGGGTGGTCTACTATGTTGTAAGACTGCATGCAGGTAGCCAGGTACTCCGTGATGGCCTGGCTACAAGATCGGGGGGTCTCAAAACTGAGCGGCTGAAAATCCAACAGCGTTTTTTGCCGTTTCCTAGGAATTTCCGCGGCGGTTTTGGCCGGCTCGGAGGCGCTGACCGCCGCCGCCGCTGCTGCAGCCGGAGGGTCGTCGGCATTGTTACATGAATAATCGGAAACGCCCGCCGATGAAGAAGGCAGCTCCTTAAATTTCTGGGGGTGGTGCAGCTTGAGGTGGCTAGTGAGATTGGTGGTGTTTCCGCCCTTCACTGATACGGAATGCAAACATATTTTACAAATGGCGATATTATGAACCACCACGCGGTCGCTTTCGTCAGCAGGCAAACCAAAATGCATCCAAACGGGACTTTTGGTTTTGGGCTTGCCTACCAGATGGTGGTATTCGGGGCGTTCCAAAGTACGGCGATGAGTCATAGTGAACGCAATTAATCTGGGAAAATATTGAACAAAAGTAAAAAATCTAAACTGGACGCACATAATTCTACGAAAATTAACTCAACAATAGCATGCTTCAACAGCACCACTGAAGGTTTCTGGAGAATATTTTAATGTTCTGTGCGGTTTGGGGGGCAAATTTAAAATTTGTGAAAGTGGTCGATTTAGTAAAAATGTTAAACTTGCATGTGATTAACAATTAGTAATTTACTAGTGTCAAGTTGCATCTGCTTCCCCGCCAGGGTGAATAAAAATCAATTATTATTATTATTTTAAATCAGATTATTATTTTCTTTATCGGATATTTTTAAATTAAAATTGAATTTTTTAAAATAAAATGCTTTTGGAGGAAAAAATCTTTCCAAAGATAGTTTTCCAATCAAGTTACATTATAGTCCAAAAGCAATATATTCATCAGGAAATAATGATTTTTAAAGAGTTTTTCATGTGTGCTAAAACTCAGTCAATTTTTTTCAAAAACTTTAACCACATCAGTTAACAAACATGGATACATATGCTATAATGTTATTGTTTTAGTTAAATAAATGGTTTAAACTTATTAAGGAAATTATTATCTATTTATCTTTCTCCTTCCAATAAAGTACAGCAGAAAAGTTGTCCAAATATAAGCAGTTAACTTATTAAACCTCACAATAATCTCATAATTATCAGCCTGTGTATTTCTGACAGTATAACCAGCTCAGTGATTTTTTATGTAACTGTAAAAACTACTCTGAAAATTTATTATTCCAAAAATGAAACTTTCCTCTGGTTGTAAATATTAATATGATACCAGCAAGAATGAACCATTCAGTAAAAAAAAAGATTTAAATCAAGTCTTACTGACTAGTGATTTAAATCGATTTGATTTAAATCAAATCCACCCTGTTCCCCACTCAGAGGGCCAAGTGAGTAAGTCCCACTATGTTCAACTAAATCTACCATACTTCTACTTTCCCAGGAGTAAGCCCCATTGAATTTAGCAGGGCTTGCTTCTGAGAAGACATGCATTTGCTCCCACTGCTTACCAGCAAACACCTTCCATATCGTTCTCGCCTCTCAACTACCCAGCCTCCCATTTCAGCACAAGGCAGCCAGATCAACCTTCTTCCCCCCTCCATCTCCCCCCATTGTGACACAGAAGGCCCCCAAAAAACCCTCGTCCCACCAATCTCTCCCCCTTAATCAAAGGGGGAGAAGGAGGGAGGACAAGGAAGCCAAGAGATAGCCTCCTTTAAATAAGAATAATCATAAAACCTGCCTTTTTAATATAGGGGTAAGCTATTTAAGGGGAACCAACAATGTAAAACGACCAGAAAAGAAAAATAAGAACATTTCTCCCCACCCCTTTTCATTCTCACCGGCGGGGGTGGAAAAGAAGAAAAATGGAGGAGGATAACAACAACGACAAAAGTATAGGGTTGTGTGAACAAATGTGTGAGAAAGCAAAGGGGGTGAGGACAGGGCTGGATTTAGGTTTGATGAGGCCCTAAGCTACTGAAGGAAACAGGGCCCTTTATATGTCCAGCTTTCCTTTGTCGCTGTTTTTTTCTGTTAAATATATGCTATATGGTAATTTATGGACCTAATCAGTATCTCAAGCCATTTGCCCATGTTGCCATGCAACCAGTCCGTGCAGAATGTAGGCACCCTCTATATAGAAAGGTGAAAACCAATGATATTTTGGGAGCAGGCTAGCAGGCGGGGCCCATGACTTACATCAGGCATAGGCAAACTCAGGCCTCCAGATGTTTTTGGGACTACAACTCCCATCATCCCTGACCACTGGTCCTGTTAGCTAGGGATGATGGGAGTTGTAGTCCCAAACATCTTGAGGGCAGAGTTTGCCTATGCCTGGCTTACATCAGAGGAGCCTTCATAACATAAAACACAATTGCTGTATGTAGGTTTTGTTTTATATCTTATACTTTGGAAATGTACATTGTTGTTTTTTTCCTTTAATTTTTTTTTGGGGGGGCCCAAGAGAGTGAGGCCCTAAGCTATAGCTTGTTTAGCTTATACGTAAATCCGGCACTGGGTGAAGGGGAAATTGGGGAGAGATGAAGGGTAAGGAGGAGAAAATGGGGAGGGAGACAGGCAATTCCACACATGCTCACAAAGGGAGAGAGAGACAAGGAAGAGGCACCAACACATAGACAAATGCGCACAGAAACAAATGCAGAAGGGAAAAGCGTAGGCACAGGGAGACAAAGGCACACATGTACAAGAGGGAAGAAGGGAGGAAAGAGGCTTAAACAACAGGGCATGATTGATTTTTTGTTTAACTCAGAAGCAGATAACCCGTTCATTTTTTTCACAGGAGAAAGGAAGGGGGAACAGGAACCCCAGCAAGAAGCCTGGAGCCAAATCAGCTGGCATTTCCCTCAACCACCTACCAGATTGGCACCTATCCTATACAGTGGACCCTTGGTTCTCAAACGCCTTGGTTTCTCAAACAACTTGGAACCCAAACACTGCAAGCCCAGAAGTAAGTGTTCCTGTTTGCGAACTTTTTTCGGAAGCCGAACGTGCTCCGTTTTGACTGTTACACGTCCGCTTTGAGTGCCACACTTCCGTTTTGAGTGTTACGCTGAGGTCTGTCTGTTTTTGCTATTTCTTTTGCGTTTTCGTGGCTCTCTTTTTTGTGTGACTGTGTGGAACCCAGTTCAGCTAATGACTGACTGATTGTGTGCAGTACATTGTTTAGTGGTTTCGTTTTATGGAACGATGTTCTCGTTAGATAGTAAAATTCACGTTAAATGCCTGTTTTACAGGTTGTTTTTAGAAGCCTGGAACGGATTAATCCATTTTGCATTACTTCCTATGGGAAAGCGCGCCTTGGTTTTGGAACACTTTGGTTTTGGAACAGAGTTCCGGAACGGATTAAGTTTGAGAACCAAGGTACCACTGACTTAAAGCAAGAACCGTATGGCGTCCGAGGGCAGGTCTCGGCAGCTGCTTTCGTCAGCGCCTGCTCTTGTGGTTCGCTGTCCCCTGCAGGAGGCAGGGGAGAGGAGAGCCAGAAGAGTTAGCAGGGGCTGCAGGAATAGAGAGAAGCGTTTGCTGGCTTTCCCCGCATCGCGATTTTTGCATAGCGCACACTGGCGATATATCGCAGGGTCCAATATCATGAAACCGTTATCCCAATGCGGACTTCAAACCAGTTTTGGGAGATATAGAAGGCAAGGCGCTCTAACCACACTGCCCAGAGAACCAACAGCGAACAACAGGAAGTGCTGGTGAGTAATATTTTGTAGTTGCAATCTGGACAATCACAACATGGCCCTGTAAGTTTACTTCTTTTTAAATGGAGTCCCCGCAAGTTTGCTAGAAGGCAGGACAGCTCCACTCCAACCCAGCCAGGTGGGTGGGGTCTAAATAATGAAATTATCGTTATTCTCTAGTGGGTGCAGCAATAAAACTGCTCGCATGTTTGCAGAACTAAGCAGGGCCCGGTATGGTTTCAAATTGGAAAGGGGACAACGGGGCGAGATGCCTGAATTGTTAGGAGTTGGACTAGATGATCCTTGCGCCCCTTCCAAGTCTATGATTCTGTAATTCTATTATCCTGTGTTCTAAATCCACCCAGAACAGCAGCAGCAGCTTCCAAACGAAATCACAGGCAGGATTTGAAATTTGAGCAACGGGAAGATATATGAACTAGAGGAACATATATTAGATGAAATGCAGAATATTATGAGGCATACCAAAGGGATGGGTATAAAAACAGCATGACCGGCAAGGTAGGAAGTCAAATTATAAGAGAAATGTGTAACAGATTTGAAATTCATTGGTTAAAGTTATGAAAATCTAATAGAAATCTCTTTAAAAAGGAACAGCAGCAGCAGCAGCTTCCAAGTCTCCTCCCACCATCACCGCCCCCACTGCCCACAGCCAATCAGAGCGCTTACCTCTGCCCAGGAGACACATTGCGGGAGCTCAAGTAGCCAATCATCGAGTGGCACAGCTCTGAGCAGTCCGCTGGCAGCTTCCGGTGCAAGACCTCCAGCGCCACCTGGAGGCAGAGGCTGAAATACTTGTTGGTGATGAAACCTGGGGAGGGAAAGAAGATTTTGGAGGGAGACGTTTAGCTGCTAAACTTCAGCAAGGAGATACTGCAGGTGGGGGCGCCACCCGTCACCCACACCTGACATCCGTGTCCCTTGTTACAACGAGTAAGAAGAGCAGGATGAAAAGTACTACCGTATTTCTCGCTCTATAAGACGCACCAGACCACAAGATCCACCTAGTTTTTGGAGGAGGAAAACAAGAAAAAAAATATTCTGAAGCTCAGAAGCCAGAACAGCAAGAGGGATCGCTGCGCAGTGAAAGCAGCAATCCCTCTTGCTGTTCTGGCTTCTGTGATAGCTGCGCAGCCTGCATTCGCTCCATAAGACGCACACACACTTCCCCTTACTTTTTAGGAGGGAAAAAGTGAGTCTTATAGAGCAAAAAATACGGTAGATGAGAACAGTAATAATTGCAATGCTACTAGATAGATGCCCCAACAGAGCAAAAGGCAAAGCTACATCGTATAAGAGTACAGCCCATCTCACGCCAACGTTCTTCAGCTCCCTCAAACACGTCTGTTCATTTTTGCAAATGTAATCTGGGGTCTCGTCTTTTAAGACCAAGGTTTTGCACTCTGATCTATGCATGCAGACCACAATAAGGCAAAAAGAGGCCCACAGCAGTGGAACAGACTTAAAATGACTTCACAAAGTAAGTTGGAGATGGGAGGCGAGAAAGGCGGAAGAAAATCACATTTTGGAACGCCCCTTTGCATTTTCAATCCTGCATATCAGAAACGAGGCACAGGCTCTCTTCCCTTGTGGGTTTTGTGGCTGCTTGTCATGTATGATCTAGCCAAGATTCCTGCATTGCAGAGGGTTGGACTGGATGACCCTCAGGGGTCCCTTCCAACGACGATCAGCAATGAAAGAATGAAAGAACAACGGCCCCTCATCTCTCTCTCCTTTCCCCCAATTGTACTTTCCTTCGCTTATTTGTTTGTTTCGTAACACAAGAAAATCCATAATAAAAAACTATTTTTTTGAAAAAGAGAGAATTGCACACAGACCCCATCCACAGCATGGAAGTGGTACAGTCCACTGTATCTCCCCCAAGACCCTCTCCCCCCCCCCATTTTCTAAAGCTGATGGAAGTGTCCGTCAGATCCAACAGCCCCTCCTCCCTCCAGGAGTCCCCTAGGTTGAGCTGGATTCGCATTCGCAGCAGGCGGCGCAGCCTCACTTGGAATGTGCTCCTGAAAGCTCCCTTTGAATTCGCCCAGGAGGGACTGGAAGGTTTCTGGGACCTCAAATTCCGAAGGCCCATCGCTCTCCAGTTTAGCCTTTTTGGCCCTGGAGAAAGAAGACTCTGGAGGGAGGAGAGAGAAGGAGAGAAATGTTCATGAGAGAGAGAAAAAATTGTCAGGGGAAGGAAGATAGTTGATATTAAAACACCCTCACGGCCCTCCTTTCCAAGTGTTGCAAATGTTCTCCCCTATATCCTTGTTGGAAGGATTGTGATAAACTGAGCACATTTTGTCATTTATGGTGGAAATGCACTTTTTCCGGAATTTAATGTTGACAGAAATGATGCACGCCACTAAAAAGCACACAGTTTGCTGTCCAAAATCAAATGCTAATGAATGAATGAATGTTTTCGATGATACAAATGTAGATATATTGTCAAAAGAACCGGCCTTATGCACGATCTTGGGAGCTCAAATAATTATTGCAACTCAGCGGAAAGAAGTTCAAAAATCTTACACCGCATGTTTGGCACCACTCACTCTGGGATACGGCTATAATGGTGAAAATTACACATAATTTTACATGATTTGGCATAACAAATATATCGGAACCATCATTTTTAAGTCAACCATCGTCACAAGCCTGGCAGACTTTGAACCACGCTTGACAATGAAATAATATTAACATTCTTCCTTTAAGTCTCACCTTTTTCATAACTTAATGATTTGCTAGTTACCCCATATGTAACTGTACTTATTCTACACGCCGATGCTAGTTTTATGTATTTTTATCGCATACAATTTATACACCGCTTGGTTGAAAAAAAAACCAACAATAACCAACCTCACAGTCGTCTTAAAAAAGATAAAACGATGAAATTTAAAACAATAATACTTTCGAAAAGCTAAAACAACAATAGACTGAAAACAGACAAAAACTCGCTTCAGCTGGAGAGGCTTGCCGAAACAAAAATGTGTCAAAAGAGCGGGGGGTTTAAAAGAAAAAGTTTTCATTTCCATCTTTTGCTTTAATTTCTCTATCTGTTTTATATAAATTATAAAATGAAATTTTAAAAATGGCATTTGTTTTTCAGCGGGTTTGTTTTGTTTAGTTATCTCAAGTGTTTTGCATTTTTATGCTGCAAGCTGCCCCGCATCTTCGGGTGAAGGGTGGGATATAAAATTAAGAGATAAAATAAAATAAATAGCGAGCCTGCACTCACCTGACCCCGGGAGTCCCCGTCCCCCGTCCGACCTGACCCGGACCCCTCCGAGCACCTGCAGCAGCGTCCGCACCACGAAGCTGGCGTGGGTGTCCAGGGCAAAGGTGGGCAGCTCCTCCTGCACGGCCCTCGCCAGCTCCAGGACGTGGTCCTCCAGCTCCTCAGCATCCTCTGCTCCCTCCGAAATCAGGACCGGTGCTCTGAGCAGGGCGGCCTCCAAGATGTGAGCCCCGCAGGGGTGGCAGGCGGCCAGGCGCAGAGAGGGAAGGAAGGCTCGCAGCAGGCGGCTCAGGCTGGGCGCAGAGGCGGAAGGGAGGAGGGCCTGGAGGAGCAGAGAGCCGGCTGTGTCCAGGGCCAGAGGGAGGGCCACAGCTTCCGCTTCCACCAGGACGTTGCTGACAAAGAGGGCTGGGGGGGGGGGAGAAAGGCAAGGGAACGTCACGTCAGTTCTGTGTCCGGGGCAGCTGTCTGCCAGCTCCATCTGGTGCGCAGGATGAGACCCTCCCTGCCCGCAGACTGTCTCGCCAGAGTAGAGCAAGTACTGTTTTAAGGGGACAGGGGGCAGGCGGGTGTGGGGGACTCCCTGGTCCTGAATGGGGCAACTGTGCCCCCAAAGGACCAGGTGCGCAGCCTGGGAGTCATTCTGGACTCACAGCTGTCCATGGAGGCACAGGTCAATTCTGTGTCCAGGGCAGCTGTCTACCAGCTCCATCTGGTACGCAGACTGAGACCCTCCCTGCCCGCAGACTGCCTCACCAGAGTAGTCCATGCTCTGGTTATCTCTCGCTTGAACTACTGCAATGCGCTCTACGTGGGGCTACCTTTCAAGGTGACCTGGAAACTACAACTAATCCAGAATGTGGCAGCCAGACTGGTGACTGGGAGCGGCCAAGACCACATAACACCGGTCCTGAAAGACCTACATTGGCTCCCAGTATGTTTCCGGGCACAATGCAAAGTGTTGGTGCTGACCTTTAAAGCCCTAAACGGCCTCAGCCCAGTATACCTAAAGGAGCGTCTCCACCCCCATTGTTTGGCCCGGATACTGAGATCCAGCTCCGAGGGCCTTCCGGCGGTTCCCTCCCTACGAGAAGTGAGGTTGCAGGGAACCAGGCACAGGGCCTTATCAGTGGTGGCGCCCACCCTGTGGAACGCCCTCCCATCAGATGACCCTCCCTGCCTGGCCACCCAGCCTCCGTGAAGGTGAGCCCACCTCCTTCTAAAGGAGCCTGTTCCGCTACTCTGACCTTCAGAAAATTATTTCAACCCAGCCGTCATCAGGCATTTCGGACTACAACACCCACCAGCCCCCCCCCGCCAGCGTGCACTGGCTGGGGCTGATGGGAGTTGTAGTTTCATCACCAGCCTTCCATCCTGGGATGAGGTGGCATTCAGCCGGGTGATACAGAAGAAAGCCAAGCCATTTGTCTCTATGGCAACAGAGCTCGCTCTTTGAAGATGCTATTGATGGTACATAGCTGTAGGGGCGGAGATTGCCTTATCAAAGGAAGTACTGTTTTAAGGGGACAGGGCGAGGGCGGGTGTGGGGGACTCCCTGGTCCTGAATAGGGGAACTGTGTCCCTGAAGGACTAGGTGCGCAACCTGGGAGTCATTTTGGATTCACCGCTGTCCATGGAGGCGCAGGTCAATTCTGTGTCCAGGGCGGCTGTCTACCAGCTCCGTCTGGTACGCAGGATGAGACCCTCCCTGCCTGCAGACTGTCTCGCCAGAGTAGTGCATGCTCTAGTTATCTCCCACTTGGACTACTGAAATGCACTCTACGTGGGGCTACCTTTGAAGGTGACCCAGAAACTGCAACTAATCCAGAATGCGGCAGCCAGACTGGTGACTGGGATCACAGACTGGGCCGCTAAGACCACATAATACACGCTTTGGTCCTGAAAGGTCCTGAAAGACCTACGTTGCCCCCCAGTATGTTTCTGAGCATAATTCAAAGTGTTGGTGCTGACCTTTAAAGCCCTAAATGGCCTTGGCCCAGTATACCTGAAGGAGCGTCTCCACCCCCATCGTTCAGCCCGGACACTGAGGTCCAGCACCGAGGGCCTTCTGGCAGTTCCCTCCCTACGAAAAGTGAGGTTACAGGGAACCAGGCACAGGGCCTTCTCGGTAGTGGCTCCCACCCTGTGGAATGCCCTCCCATCAGATGTCAAGGAGATAAGCAACTGCCTGACTTTTAGAAGATATCTGAAGGCAGCCCTGATTAGGGAAGTTTTTAATGTTTGGAATTTTATCGTGTTTTTCATAGCCTGTTGAGAGCTGCCCAGAGTGGCTGAGAAAACCCAGCCAGATGGGTGAGGTATAAATAAATAAATTATTATTATTATTAGTATTATTAAAGAAAAAGAACAGAAATAGTAGTATTTTTCACTCTGGGGGCCACTCTCCCTTCTGAGCAACCTTTTGAGGGCCACTTGCTGGCGGTGGGCGGGGCCAAAGGGAAATGTGGGCAGAGAGATGGCCGTCACCGTTTATGTTTGTAGAGCAAGGCTAGCTGCTACACGCACTTCTCTATTTTCCTAGAAAATAAGAGCTGAAGGACACTCAAGGAGAGTGTGGAGCAGGCCCAGAGAGGCATATGCCCTGGGGAGAAAGCCAAGGGCCAGATAGAGAGGGTTGCAGGGTCACATTTGGCCTGTGTCAAATTCCCCACTCCTGGTCTCTGGGCTGGGCCTGATCTGCCAGAAGGAATAAATGGAATTGGCAGCTGTGCTTGGTACAATGACGCAGAACCATTGCACTTAAAAATCAAGCACAGTGGTACCTCGGAAGTCAAACAGAATCCATTCTGGAAGTCTGTTTGACTTCCAAAATGTTCAGAAACCAAAGCGTGGCTTCTGATTAGCTGCAGGAAGCAGCTCCTGCAGCCAATCGGAAGCCCTGTCAGACGTTCGGGTTCCAAAGAACGTTCACAAACCAGAACACTCGCTTTCAGGTTTGTGGAGTTCTGGGGCCAAAATGTCCCAGTACCAGGGCGTTCGGGATCCAAGGTACAACTGTAGACCCAAACTGAAATATCCAGTCAGCCAGGAAGCCTGTTGGGTGGGCGTGAGCTACTCATACACGGGGGGGGGGGGGGGGTTGCCCACTGTTCCTCCAAGGAGCTCAAAGTGACATAGAAAGCTGCCCCCTAAGTGAGTTGACAACCCTGCGAGGTAGGTTAGGCTGAGGGACAGTGACTAGTGGAACAACATTCCTGTTGAGATACGACAGGCCCTCACTGCCTGCACTTTCCAGAAGCTATCGAAGACAGTCTTGTTCAGGCAGGCCTGCTCAGCTGGATAAATTTGTCTTCCCCATGAGTGGTTTTATTCTCATTTGTTATATCTGTATATCTGTTGGCTTTGTGTTGTTTGTCATCTTCTATATAAGCCACCTTGAGATGGTAGTTTAGGCGGCGATGAATGAATTAATGGCAATAATAAAAGTAGTACTGGAGTATTTTCAACAAGACTTCTAAGAAGCTAAAGGGCCTGGATTTCCATGCTAGCCACAGTGGAAAGGAAATCCCTCTGCTGCAGGCAGAATCAAAAATACTAGAATTTTAGCAGGCTAGCAAAATAAATGTTGACGACTAGCAACTTGCGTGGGCTTATTTACACGGCTGCCCATCAAGGCCTCCTGCTCTTAGCTCACATAACCCAATGAACATCTGCAGCTTTGGGAACCCACCCAGGTCCTTTACCTCTTTACAAGACCCAAGACAAGAAGCGGTTCAGTCACACTGGTAGCCACACGGCCCAGAAAAGCCGTATGCAGACAGACGCCGGCTCCCTTGGCCTGAAAGCGGGGATGAGTGCCACACCCCACAGTCGAATTCGACTGGACTGTCCAGGGGTCCTTTACCTTTTCATATACGTACACCCCCACCATGTCTCCACCTGCTTTCCCCATCATCACACCCAACCTGCATCTCCCAAAACATCTCACCTTTCTCCTCGTCAGAGTCAAACCCGGATTTCAATGTCTCATGAGCCCGACGGAAATACTCAGCTGCCGCAGGCTCCAGTTTGGGTAGCGGTTCCCTCTTGCTTTCCTTGGGCCCCCCCTCCTGGGTTGAGGAAGTAGGCTCTCTCTTCTTTTCCTTGGGCTGCCCCTCCTGGGTTGAGGAAGCAGGCTCTCTCTTTTCCTTGGGCCCCCCCTCCTGGGTTAAGGAGGCAGGCTCTCTCTTGTTTTCCTTGGGCCGCCCCTCCTTGGATGAGGAGGCAGGCAAGGTTCGTTTCCTCTCTTCCTTCTTCTGGGCTCCTTTTTGTGGTTGGGGAGGGACCCCCATAGCTGCAGGTGAGCGGGGGCGTCTCAACACACAAACCTGTCTGCAGTCAGGAAATCAACAGTTATTTAACTGGGGAGGTTTATCTACTACGCTTGGAGATCAGGTGCAAATTAAAACCCTGGTTAAGATAAAAAGAAGAATTGCAAGTGTGGCCTAGTGGTTAACTGTCAGATCAAGACTAGGGGGAATGAAAAGGTCTGCCATGTGGCTATCTTTCGCCTTAGCCTATAGCCTACCTCTCAGGGGTGTTATGAAGATGGGGTGAGAGGAAGAAAAAGAGCACATATTCTGCTCTTGAGTTTCTTAGAGGGAGCGTAACGGCGAAGATGAAATCGGTTTTTTAAAATCTCAGAAGTTTCAATTAAAAAAAAAACAGATCCAAAGACATTTGGTAAGGGTGAAGAGAAGAAATAAAATGGCATGTGCTCTTGTTGCATCACAGGGTCCCTTTAAGGGCACATTCGCACCACACATCTAAGGCACTATGATACCCCTTTAGGCAGTCATGGCTTCTCCCAAAGGATCCTGGGAGCTGGAGTTTGTTGAGGGTGCTGAGAGCAAACCATTTTCCAGAGGGGGTTTGACAGTCAAACCCTCTTTGACAGGTAGGGTCAGGAATTATAATTATTATTATTTATTATTTGTACCCCACCCATCTGGCTGGGTTTCCCAGCAACAGAGTGGCCTCCTAACCACGTTCAGCTCCCTGGACAAACTACACCTCCCAGAATGCTTTGGGAGGGTGAAGCCATGAGTGTTTCGGGGGTTAAATGCCTGGTGTAGATATGGCTTGACCATCGCAGAATGGTGTGGAGTTGAAAGGGGACCCCGAGGGTCATCCAGTCCAACCCCACCCCCGCAATGCAGGAATCTCAACTAGATCATACATGACAGCCTCTGTTTAAAGACCTCCAATGCTATAGCCTGGGAAGTATATATTGAATTTTTTTTTAACTTAATAAAAAGTGATTTAGAAGAAGAAGAAGAAACCTCCACGGAAGGCAAGTCCACCGCCCTATCCCGCCCTAGGAGCACAGTAAACATCACCTGTTGAGCTTCTGACTGCAACGCAGCTGAAAACTCAGGGAGAAAACCATCACTTTAAAAAAATAAAACGAATAAAAAAATAAAAACAACTCAGCATTGATATAATGGGAAGATCAAGGACTCGCCTTCTCCTGCTGCCGCGACCGGGTTTTTAAGCAGCAAAGGTGGGCAGCGGCTCGGCGGGGAACAAGCACCCGCCGCCGGCCCTCCTTCCTGAGGGGACCCCAGAGCCGGGCAAAAAACGACGCATGGCGCCTGCCAGCTGCCTCCCAGCATGCCCCGCGCGCCGCCCCACCCGGCCGCCCCCAGCTCGCCGCCCCACAATGCAACGCGGGCAGGAAGCCGGAACGGAGGGAAGGAAGGGGCTGCTCGGTCCCAGCATGCCCCGCGCGACGGAGCCTGCCTCCCATCCCAGAATGCCCCGCGCGTCGCTTTTAACCTCCCCGTGACGGGATTCCCAAGGCGCTTTCTTTTCCTTTTCCCCGCCCCACTGTGTTGATTGACGGGAGCGGCGCTGGAGGGCGCGCGAGGGAAGGCGCCGTTAAAAAACACAAGGCGGCAAAATAAACCCAAGAAATCTCTAATAAAAATACGTTAAAAAAATAAATAAGTAGCAGGGTTGTCTCAAGCACACGCGCAGCCAGACATAATCCCAAAGAGAAATGAACCTGTCAATCATTATTTCCTCATATTTATTTATTTATTAAACTTATGGGTCGCTTTTTCCCCCCTCCTCTTTTCCAAAAGTAACTCAAAGCAAACCTAAGAGCAGTAAATAAACAACACGTACCGTGCCTTCATGGATCACTGTCTTTTTGTGGCGAAGGGGCTTGATTAACTCAAAGAAGCTATGAGCTATGCCGTGCAGGGCCACCCAAGATGGACAGGTCATAGGGGAGAGTTTTGACCAAACGTGATCCACCTGGAGCAGGAACCGGCAAGCCACTCCAGTATCCCTGCCAAGAAAACCCCGTGGACAAAGACAACAGGCATATGATCACTGCAGATGGTGACAGCAGTCACAAAATTAAAAGACGCCTTCTTCTTGGGAGAAAAGCAATGACAAACCTAGACAGCATCTTAAAAAGCAGAGACATCACCTTGCCGACAAAGGTCCGTATAGTGAAAGCTATGGTTTTCCCAGTAGTGATGTATGGAAGTGAGAGCTGGACCATAAAGAAGGCTGATTGCCGAAGAATGGATGCTTTTGAATTCTGGTGCTGGAGGAGACTCTGGAGAGTCCCATGGACTGCAAGAAGATCAAACCTCTCCATTCTGAAGGAAATCAGCCCTGAGGGCTCACTGGAAGGACAGATCCTGAAGCTGAGGCTCCAAGACTTTGGCCACCTCATGAGAAGAGAAGACTCCTGGAAAAGACCCTGATGTTGGGAAAGATGGAGGGCACAAGGAGAAGGGGACGACGGAGGACGAGATGGTGGGACAGTGTTCTCGAAGCTACCAGCATGAGTTTGACCAAACTGCGGGAGGCAGTGGAAGACAGGAGGGCCTGGCGTGCTCTGGTCCAGGGGGTCACGAAGAGTTGGACACGACTAAACAACAACAACAACCGTACCTTAGACCCAGCATAATTACAAAGCATGGAGGGAAAAAGTGTTTAAAGTATAGTAACTTGATGAATTCTGGGCCACTTCCTTTAGTGTGTAGGATTAAGCTTTCCTGTGTTGCTGTGCCACCCTCATCTTGGCATGCAAATGATAGCAGATATAAGGAAATGTGATTTATATCCCTGCTTGCTCCCCGTTTCCTTTGTTACGGTAAAATCTGGGTGCGGGGCTACTCTGCCACCCAGCTCGTCGGACTAGGTCCGCGGGTCCCTGCGGAAGAAAATGAGCTCAGCCGGAGACAGGAGCAAACTGCAGAAGATCCAAGTTTATTGCGCAACAGGATCAAGACGAGATTGAACAGCGAGAAAGGGGTGACATGAACTTTTGAAATTTCCCTCCATGTCCCAGAATACAGTGCAAAATACATCCTAGTTACATCATGAATACATTAAGAAGAGGTTGGGTTACACAGATTACATCATGAATACATTAAGAAGAGGTTGGGTTACACAGGATTAACATACGGAGGAGGGAGGGGGGATTATGCAGAGCTGGAGATATGCGCAGATAAGCACATCCTGAGTACCTGATGAGAAGACAATGGTCCATGTATGCATGGTCTGCCACCTGGCATTGCCCGGAGGAAAGGCTTGGCAGAGTGATTTGACAGGATTAGGGTCTTGACACCTTGCTTGAGGGATTATGGAGGACAGGGAGGTGTCATGGAGTCCTAGAGAAATTGAGCAAATTGGCACATTGATTTTCTATGAATTTTATAGATTTTAGTCCCTTTTGACATTGAGAATTGGAAATAAATGGATATATTGTAGCGAAGAAGGAGGTGAAGAAGACATGCCCCCCCCCTTCCGTATCACCTTCAACCAGGATCCGGCACCGAATCTCTGGGGCAGAGACCTAGATACGTCACTAGACACAGGTACACCTGTAGTTCCTCCCAGGCTCAGAAACAGCAGATCCAGGTGTCTCATATTCTCTTCCCAAAAAAAGCCATTAATCTTGTGGCCCGGATGAAATAATATTAATTATAATTACAGGGTGTCGGGATTCTCTAGACTCAGACAGATTTAGCCCCTGGGTGTTCCCAGTTTAAGGAATATAACTCATCATCCTAGTTCAACTCTTTTGTTTTCACTTATTTTGACCTAGTTCTGAGCCAGATTTCCCCAGACTGGGAAATCCTGTCACCAAACGATGTCTGGCCAAAGAGATTCACAGCACAATCCAAATACTCATCTCCTGAAAATATCTCATTGAGTTCTGTGGGGCTTACTGTTATGTACCATAATTAGGTCTAGGAATGCAGAATCAGATGATAAATTTTATAGGACCATGGTGGCAAGCTTCTGGATGCCACAAGACTCTTCAGTGATTAAGAAGCAGCTCTGAAAAATAATGCTGTGTGACCATGTAACTTGGGGACTTGATCTCTCCTAAAACCAAGCAGTGTGAAGTGTGACTCCTCATTGCTGGAACTGGTAATTGTTGAAAATGTGTTTGAGAGTGTGAGCTTGGGTCAGTGTTTACAGATGTAGGCTAACTCAGGTATGAATGAGTTTATGGATGTGATATTTGTGTGACTATTGAGAGACTGGAACTGTACTGAATAAACAGAATCCAATTTTATGGATTTTGATGTTTTAATGATGATGATAATTTTATTTGTACCACCACCATTTCACTGGGTTGTCAGTTTTAGCCTGTATTTAGTTTGTAATTGTTTTATATACTGTATTTTATTTTATTTCCTTTATAAACCGCTTTGTAATCTTTTCTGATTAGAAGTGGAATATAAACACTTGAAGTAATAGTATTCTCTTGCAAAATTTACTCCGTGCATGCTCAGAGGCATTGCATTTTTCAGTACATTACATATTCCCAAACCAAGTTCTGTCACTGATACGCTATTCTGAGGCTAAGCTGGGAAGAATGATGATCTAAGAGGAAGCCGGAAAATAAGCAGGGGTAAAGAAGAAGAAGAAGAAGAAGAAGAAGAAGAGTTTGGATTTGATATCCCGCCTTTCACTCCCCTTCAGGAGTCTCAAAGCGGCTAACAATCTCCTTTCCCTTCCTCCCCCACAACAAACACTCTGTGAGGTGAGTGGGGCTGAGAGACTTCAAAGAAGTGTGACTGGCCCAAGGTCACCCAGCAGCTGCATGTGGAGGAGCGGGGAAGCGAACCCGCTTCCCCAGATTACAAGACTACCGCTCTTAACCACTACACCACACTCGCTCTCATGGCAAGTAGGTTTGCCATGGATTTTGGTATATCTTGTGGTTTCTTTTCTGAAGAGGTCAAGTAAAGGGAAACTTTTTTTTTTTTTAATATGCCTAAAACAGAGTCTCTTTTAGTTGCTGCAACATTTTTACTGTCAGCTTAACACCAGCACCCACCCACTAAAAGCAGCAATTATGAACAATTATTCACCCTTGACAATGTCACGCTCATGCTGTGTCACAGCAGGGAGGGCAGATTTCGGGTGAAAACTGGGACAACAGAAACTCATACTTTTCCAGAGAACTGTTGGGTTTCTGAAGACACCTGCAGGATCCTGTTGCTTTTAAACCATTCCTCACCAGAGCGTGATCCAAAAACTTTATTTCAGTGGTAGGGCTGACTTGTGGAGCCAACTACTTCCCTGCAAATAAACCCAGGAGCCCCTGCGCATACATTCTCCCTAATAATAATTACAATAATTTTATTGTTTATACCCCGCCCAAATGGCTGGGTTTCTCCAGCCACTCTGGGTGGCTTCCAGCAAAATATAAAAAAATAATAAAATGTCAGGCATTAAAAAACTTCCCTAAACAGGGCTACCTTCAGATGTTTTCTAAAATCTGTGTAATTCTTTTATCTCCAACATCTGACAGGAGGGCGTCCCACAGGGAGGGTGCCACTGCCGAGAAGGCCCTCTGCCTGGTTCCCTGTAACTCCTTTCTTCCTTAGCAATCATTTATAGCCCAATAAGATGGGAGAAAAGCAATGACAAACCTAGACAGCAACTTAAAAAGCAGAGACATCACCTTGCCGACCAAGGTCCGTATAGTTAAAGCTATGGTTTTCCCAGTGGTGATGTATGGAAGTGAGAGCTGGACCATAAAGAAGGCTGATCGCCGAAGAATTGATGCTTTTGAATTCTGGTGCTGGAGGAGACTCTTGAGAGTCCCATGGACTGCAAGAGATCAAACCTATCCATTCTGAAGGAAATCAGCCCTGAGTGCTCACTGGAAGGACAGATCCTGAAGCTGAGGCTCCAAGACTTTGGCCACCTCATGAGAAGAGAAGACTCCCTGGAAAAGACCCTGATGTTGGGAACGATGGAGGGCACAAGGAGAAGGGGACAACGGAGGACGAGATGGTTGGATAGTGTTCTCGAAGCGACCAGCATGAGTTTGACCAAACTGCGGGAGGCAGTGGAAGACAGGAGTGCCTGGCGTGCTCTGGTCCAGGGGGTCAAACAGTCACGAAGAGTTGGACACGACTAAACAAGAAGATTGTCTTCCATGCATATGGTCTTAATAGTGTGTCCGTGCCTGTGAAGGCCAATTCTGGATCCACACGTCCTTCCACAGTGGGGACGTTGGTTTCTGGGCAGGAGCTGATCACGGTGTGGATTTGCCAAGCGTGTCTTCCTCTTAGCGCGTTTCTCCCTTGCGTCCTGCGTCTTCAAAGTCCACGACACCTTTGGTAAAGGCTGTTCAACTGGAGCTTTCGCAGGCCAGTGTGTCCCAATTATCCGCGTTTATACTGCATTTTTAAAAGAAGTGCCTTGAGAATGTCTTTAAGCCTCTTTTGTTGACCATCAGCATTTCACTTTCCATTTTTAAGTTCGGAATAGAGTAGTCGCTTTGGAAAACCTCAGTGCTACTCCTCTGCTTGCAACCAGCCTGGGGCAGAGACTCCCTTCTCTAAATTGCTATTAGGAGCCACATAAAACAATTCTGATTATTATAAATAATTATTTATTTTAAAAAGTTATATACCGATGCATCATTAAAATACTGTATATCACAGAGGCTTGCAACAATATAAAAACACAAATCCAATCATAACATCATAAAAGTAAAAAAGAAATTAAAAGCTAAAAGAAAATGTAAACAAACATCAATGGACCATCGTGGAGGATATATATCTCTTGCCTGCGCAAGAGATCTTCCCACTGCCTTCCCTTTGAGAGAGAGAGAGAGAGCTTCCCCTTTAAGAATAGAGACGCTCCGTCCGCTCAGGAGGACTCAACTCGATGCTCCTCGAGCGGCAATGGTACGTTCTATTTACACACCGCAACACCCCCGCCCTCCTCGCTCCGCCCCAGTTGGACTCGCCCTCTGGTGCCGAGCCTTGCTTTGCTGTGTCGCTGCGGACGAGACCACGCGGCCCGGGACGCTTCCATATCCACCCCTCTCCTCCGTGCCGGGTTGGTATCGCCCCCTAGAGGCTTCTCGGATTAGCCCAGCGGCGCCTTTTCCTGAAACCCACCCTGCCCACCCCCGTGGGCCTTTTCGGGATGGTCTCGCCCCTTGGGAGCTTGGCCAGGTTTCCTCGGAAGAGACCATTTTCACCCCTGCCGAGGGGTGGGGAGGAAGAGGAGCAAAAGTGCTGGTGGTTTTGTTTTGATTTTGGCTTGCCTTTAACTGCATTTTCAGTGCATTTCTCAGAAAAGCAGAGGGGTGATTTGTACACCCAGGAGGGAAGGCTGAAGGGGTGGCAGGTGCACAGAAGCCTTTCCCAGGCGACCCCTCCTGCTTGTTCCCATGTTGCGATTTAAAACGGGCAGGGCAGAGAGGGTGGCTGCATGTGGCCATCACCTGGGCTGGCTTGTTGGCCCAGAAAAAGGGCTGCTATGCTGTTGAAATAATGCCATTTTGCCTTGGGCTTCCAATCAGGCAAAGGGTCTAGTGTCCTGCACAGTTAGCCTGTGGAACTCCCTGCCACTTGAGGCACTGATGGCCAACTTGGATGGCCATAAAGCGGATTGCCACAAATTCATGGAGGAGAAGGCTGGCTGGTTGGCTGCTGTGAGAACAGGATGCTGGACTAGGTGATCCATGCGACAGTCACCTCCAGGCTTGACTACTGCAATTCGCTCTACGCGGGGCTGCCCTTGAAGCTGTCCCAGAAACTCCAGCGGGTGCAGAATGCTGCAGCGAGGCTCATCACGGGGTCTCTGCCATGGGAGCATATTCACCCAGTGCTTTCCCGGCTGCACCGGCTCCCGGTGGAGTACAGGGTCAGATTTAAGGTGCTGCTTTTGACCTTTAAAGCTCTTCACGGCCTAGGGCCCTCGTACCTACGGGACCACCTCTCCCGGTATGCCCCACAGAGAGCCTCAAGGTCCATAAATAGCAACACCCTAGAGGTCCCGGGCCCTAAGGAAGTCAGATTAGCCTTATTTTGGCTGCTGATCCCTTATTTCCGAGGCTGCTGGTCCCTTATTTTCAAATCTGTAAGCTGACAGCTATGGGTCGCACACTTCAATGGACAGGAGCGAGTCCCGGGATTATAAGTGGTGGTGCCGTGGTTAGGGGTGTTGGTCCAGGACTGGGAAGGGCCAGGTTTAAATTCCTGCTTACAGGGCACCCCTGGGCCTCCAGTCGCTCTTAGCCTAACCTGCCTCACAAGGTGGAAAGAGGGGGGAGCATTGAGAATCAAGCGTACCTTAAGCTCAATGGAATAATAATAATAATATTTTATTTATATCCCGCCCTCCCCAGCCGAAGCCGGGCTCAGATGGCTAACAACAATAAAAGTAGCACAATTTACATAAAATCACAATCAATTAATTGAAATGCATTCTAAAATCAACTCCTTCTAAAATAGAAGAGTGGGGCTTCAAATTGTAATAAAGAGGAAAAGAAATAGCATCTGAAGGTGGGCTCCATCACTGTCCTGTCTTACTCACCTTCATTTGTTTCCCCCCAGGATACATAATTAACTCCTCATTTTGCCTGTTGGAGTCATTTTTGCTGTGCAGTCAATATGGTGAGTAGCCGTCAGAGGTTGGCGAGTCTTGTTCTTTCTGTGATTCCTCCCGGGCATTTTCTATAGTCTGTTGTTATTTTGTTTATTATTGTTAACGGAAAAATCCGAGGGCTCCCTTGGACAAAAACAAAGACACCAACCAGGATTCCTTGGAGCAAATCAGCAGCCTGTAGGCTTGGCCTTTATTGATCTGTTGCAGCAGGGTGCTCCCCTCACCTGCAGGAGAGAGGAAGGACACAGAAAAATGGTGTGCAAGGCCTTATAAAGACTTTTGAAATTGCCACCCTGTAGATCAAGACCACCCCCAGAAACATCATACATACATCACAGAAGGGGCGTAACCTAAGACCACCCCTCAGATACATCATACCTACATCACAGAAAAGGTGGTCTAAAACAGAAATTTGAATGTTGTTTATCTCCTGTCTGGCAGGTTACTTGATTGGATTGCCTGGGGAGCCCGCCATTCTTTTGTAGTGATAAATACTTAGTTCCTGGGCCAGGTCACAGGCTCACACCCTATTCAAACACAGACATACCCTTAAGACAGGATTGGTGAAGGAAAAGACAATGGGGAGGCTTTTCCAGTTTGACCTTGCAGAGAAAACATTTGCTCAGTTTAGGACTTAAAATGGTTCCAGGTCGGCCTTCCTGTGCTGATCTATGTATGTGCTTGGTTGGTACGCTTATGAACATTACCATATATCTAAGACCATAAAATTCCTATCACATTATTTACTGTGCTTATTGATTTAACAGAATATGGAGGTTGCTTAAGTGTAAATAGGAGTTTCTGTTCACAAAGAGCAGAAATTTGTCGAGAAAAGTCCAAAGTTAAAAGCAAGTTTTTTTTCTTTTAAAAAAAAATCAAAATATAAACAAAACCAAGAGATCCAAAATACATAATAGAACTGAAAACTACATGTCAACTGAGCAGAGGAAAAAATTTAGCAGGCTCCAGAAAGAGCGTAGGAGAGGCACCTACTTAAATGTCAATGGCCAGAGAGTTGCCGAATGTAGGAACTGCCTCACTAAAAGATGGGTTCCTGTTTTCTCAACAGCACGGCAGGCTGAAGGTTAAAACGACCGAGGAGCAGGCGGAAGCCAAGCGCATTGAGCGGGAGAAGAAGCTGCGCCAATACGTGACAGCCACAAAAGCCATCTTTGAGAAGGTAAAAAGGGTGGTCAGAGTCGTAGGGGCAGAGAAGGCGAGGCAGGTGTGCAAAGACCTTCTCTCCATTCTCCGTCCTCAGACAAAGGCAGCCTTCACCCTGTCATGAATCTTAAATATTTTTTTTATTGATCAATTTCCACAAAACAAATTATCAAACCATATAATCAAATACATTGTTTTTCTCCCCCACCAAGGACTTCCCTCAGCTCCTCTCCCTGATTTCTCTTCACATATTTTCTCTGCATGTTATAAAATTGTGCATATCCTTACATATCTATCCATCATGTTCTCAACCAATACATTTGTGTCTGTTTATTCAGAACCTGCCAGGGAGTCCAGTTCATTTTGTTGTCTTTTTAGATACAGTGGTACCTCGGGTTAAGTACTTAATTCGTCCCGGAGGTCCGTACTTAACCTGAAACTGTTCTTAACCTGAAGCACTATTTCTAGGTTAGCGGAGTGTGTAACCTGAAGCGTGTGTAACCTGAAGCATATGTAACCCGAGGTACCACTGTAGTTTGTAAAAAGTTCCTGTTCCTCCTTAAAGTCACAGTTGTCCTTGTCTCGCAATTTGTAAGTCACTTTGGCCAGTCCTGCATAATTCGTCAATTTCTCTTGCCGCTGCTCTTTTGTCGGGGTTTCTTCATTCTTCCATCCTTGCACTATCAAGACTCTTGCCACTCACCCTGTCATGGATCAGTTCCACAAAGGCACCACCAGCAGGAGGGCAACCAAGATGATCAAGGGTCTGGAAACCAAACCTGATGAGGAACGGTTGAGGGAGTTGGGTATGTTTAGCCTGGAAAAGAGGAGACTGAGAGGAGATATGGTCGCCATCTCAGGGGTTTTATCACCTGGAGGATGGAGTAAGCTTGTCTTCTCCTGCTCTGGAGGGTAAGAGCTGAATCAGTGGATTAAAATGACAAGAAAGGGGATTTTGACTAAACAAAAGAAAAATTTTCCGAGGGTAAGAGCTGTTGAACAGTGGAAGGTGGTGGACCTTCAGATGGAGGTTTTTAAGCAGAGGTTGGATGGCCAACGGCCATGGATGCTTTAGTTGGGATTCCTGCATTGCAGGGGGCTATAAACAAACATCAATTCACCCTTATGGAATACAGGTAGCACCTTGGTTCTCGAACTTAATCCGTTCAGGGAGTCCGTTCGACTCCCGAAACCATTCGAAAACCAAGGCGCAGCTTCCGATCAGCTGCAGGAGTAAGATAAAAGAAGCTAATCTCAATAAAATACAGTGGTACCTCGGGTTACATACGCTTCAGGTTACAGACTCCACTAACCCAGAAATAGTGCTTCAGGTTAAGAACTTTGCTTCAGGATGAGAACAGAAATCATGCTCCGGCAGTGTGGCAGCAGCAGGAGGCCCCATTAGCTAAAGTGGTGCTTCAGGTTAAGAACAGTTTCAGGTTAAGTATACGGAGCTCTGGAACGAATTAAGTACTTAACCCGAGGTACCACTGTAATTCATTCCGGAGGTCCGTACTTAACCTGAAACTGTTCTTAACCTGAAGCACCACTTTAGTTAATGGGGCCTCCCGCTGCTGCTGCGCCACCACCCCGCGATTTCTGTTCTCATCCTGAAGCAAAGTTCTTAACCCGAGGTAATATTTCTGGGTTAGCGGAGGCTGTAACCTGAAGCGTATGTAACCCGAGGTACCACTGTAAATAAAACAGAGAGAGAAATAGAAAGGAAACGCCACAGGAAAAAAAAACCCCAATCGAAGGGTGATATTCTTAATCGCCTGCATAGGCCAGGCAGAATAGAAAAGTTTTCAGCCAGTGTAGGAATAACGGAGATGACAGGAGGTTGGATGCAGGTGAGTTGTGAAGAAGCACGCTGGCGAGCATTCTCCAAGCAAGCTGCCGGCTAGCTCTGCTGAGGCTTCTTTTATTGGCAGAAGTCAACAATTGGAAACTAGTGAAACCACCCTGAACTTAACCTATTTCCATCTAATCACATTTCCAGCATTAGCAAATATACGTGTCAGCAGGTATTTCCCTCAGATGTTCCCCCAACACTTGATTATGTCTGTGTGTCCCCCGTCATGCTCCAGCCAAGCGATATGTCTAACAAACAAATTGTGAAAGGACCAAAGGTCGGGGGGGGGGGAATGGAAGCAAGAAGAGTTACCGTTGATTGAAGAATGGAGGACGAAGTTAATGAACTATGCAGAATTAGATAAACTAACAGGAAGGATTCGAAACCGGCGAGACCAGAAATTCACGGAAGACTGGAGTAAATTTACAGACTATTTGGAAAGTATTTGTGAAGATCAGACGACTTTTGTAGGTTTGCAAGAAGTTTTGTGAGGAGTATTATTGGAAGTATTGCAAAAATGGAGAAGGGGGAGGATGATTTGTTAAGAGATGTAAAGGCAATATAAAGTTCAGAAATGCATAAGAAGTGGTGAAAACGGTGGATCATCAGAGGTGCTGATGGAAGTCCAAAATGATTGTATAAGTGATAAGCTTTGTGGTACATTTTATAATTTATATATTAAAATTAATAAAAAATATGATTAAAAAAAAAAAGGTCAGGGAAAGCAATGCTCCTTGACATACTGTTGCACATCTGGTGTGAGGTTTGCCTTCGCAAAGCGGAGTGTTACCTCCACAAGTCGGCGGTGAAAAGTTGGCGTAGAAGGCAGCTGCTGAATTTGGGTGAATGACACTAAATAAAAACTCCTTTTCCCATTGTTGGACTCCAGCTTTGACAAGCACACGTGTGTGTTCTCTCTCTCCTCCTTCAGAGGAAATTGGGGCAGCTGGACAAGGAAGCCTTGGAGTTGACCAGCCAAATCTTGGGTGCCAACCCAGACTTTGCCACCCTCTGGAACTTCCGCCGGGAGATCTTCCTTCACCTGCAGGACGAGTGAGTGGAGTCAGAGTAGCAGAGGGGGAGAGGGGAGGGGGTGAAATAGGGCGACAGGAGCTTTGTAAGCAAGGTGTGACTACACACTCATTAATCCAGAATGCGGCAGCTAGACTGGTGACTGGGAGCGGCTGCCAGGACCACATAACACTGGTCCTAAAAGACCTACATTGGCTCCCAGAACATTTCCGAGCACAATTCAAAGTGTTGGTGCTGACCTTTAAAGCCTTAAATGGCCTCAAAGGCCCAGTATATCTGAAGGAGTGTCTCCACCCACATCGTTCAGCCTGGACACAGAGATCCAGCGCCGAGGTCCTTTTGGCGGTTCCCTCGCTGCGAGAAGTGAGGTTACAGGGAACCAGGCAGAGGGCCTTCTCTGTGGTGGCGCCCGCCCTGTGGAACGCCCTCCCAGCAGATGTCAAGGAGATAAGCAACTATCTGACTTTTAGAAGACATCTGAAGGCAGCCCTGTTTAGGGAAGTTTTTAATGTTGGATGTTTTATGGTGTTTTTATTACAGTGGTACCTCTGGATGCGAACAGGATCCGTTCCGGAGCCCCCTTCGCATCCTGAAGCGAATGCAACCCGCGTCTGTGCGTCTGCGCGTGCACAGCTCGCGATTCGCTGCTTCTGCGCATGCGTGTGACGTCATTTTGAGCTTCTGCGCAAGCGGCGAAACCTGGAAGTAATGCATGCCGTTACTTCTGGGTCGCCGCAGAGCGCAACCCGAAAACACTCAACCTGAAGCAACTTCACCCTGAGGTATGACTGTATTCTGTTGGGAGACACCCAGAGTGGCTGGGGAAGCCCAGCCAGATGGGCAGGGTATAGATAAATTATTGTTGTTATTATTAATATTATTATTACTATTATCTCCTCTGTGCCAGGACCCCAGAGGAGATGCAAGGCATCTGCAAGACTGAGCTGTCCTTCCTGGAATCTTGCTTGCGGGTCAACCCCAAATCCTATGGGACATGGCGCCACCGCTGCTGGGTGATGGAGCACATTCCGGAGCCGGATTGGGCCCGTGAGCTGGAGCTGTGCAGCAAGTTCCTGGAGAGCGACGAACGCAACTGTAGGCCTTTTCCTTCCTCCTCACCCCATTCTGTTTCTAACGCCATATATCTGCCATGGGTGCTTTAGCTGAGATTCTCCATTGCAGGGAGTCAGACTAGACGGCCTTAGGGGTCCTTCCCATTTCTTACCATCCCATGATGGCTCATTCCTGCCCCTGACTTTCCACAGCCTGTAAAAGAAAACGATTGTAAAATTGCCTCCGAGTAACTCTTAATACTTTTTGTCTGCCAAACGAAGCCATTATTCACCCTCAACGCCCTTTCTTATTCAATGGCTTCCATCATAACTAGGTTTAAGGTGCGATTTAGCTCGTAGCTTTCTTTTTTTATATAATATTTCTTATTAGTTTTTACAAATAATTTCCAAAAGTCATATAACATACTTTCTTACCTTATACAATATTTTGGACTTCCATCAACCGCATCTGAAGAGATTTCCATCTTTATCACTTAATCTACATTTCTTAATTTCTCTGTTACTTTTAATTATCCTTAACTAATAGCTCTCTTCATAATCTTCTCTGCAATATTTCGCATAATCCTCCTTACAAAACTTCTTACAGTCCTACTAGCGTAATCTGTTTGTTACAACTGCTTTTCAAATAATTCACATATTTACTCCAGTCCTCTGAGAATCTCTGGTCCCGCAGGTTTCTGATCCTTCCTGTCATTTTATCTTAATTCTGCATAGTCCATTAATTTCTTTTGCCATTCTTCTTTCGTCGGTAATTCTTCTTATTTCCACATCTAGCTCCTAGCTTTCACACCTCAGTTTCTCCCCCCCCCTTTTCTTTTGTTCTCCTTTAATTATTTTTATTTTATTTTATTTTGACAAAGTAATAACCATAAATAAATAAGAATAAAAACGTGCACCCCGCCACCGAGACAGTTCCATTGTAACTATCCAACCTCCCAGAATTCCAATGCCTCTTGCGATGGTTTGACCCCTCTCCGTTTTAACAGTGCAAATTCTACAAACACCCTCCATACCTCCTCAAAATCATTTCTCCTGCATATTCCCTGTCTTACCTTAATGGCACATGTTAATTTATCATTCATAGCTACCGTATTTTTCGCCCTATAGGACGCACTTTTTCCCCTCCAAAAATGAAGGGGAAATGTGTGCGTCTATGGCGAATGCAACTACGCTGAAGCCTGGAGAGCAAGAGGCATCGGTGCGCACCGACCCCTCTCGCTCTCCACGCTTCAGGAAGCTATCCGCAAGCCTAGCGCGCCTGGCGGGAGGTCCCGCCGGGCGCGCGAGGCTTGGGGCGGCAGCCAGAAGCACGGGGCGCCCTCCGGAGGATGCCCCGTGCTTCGGGGAGGTGTCTGCAAGCCTTGCGTGCAAGGCTTGGGGTGGCAGCCTGTTCTGGGGGCTGGGGTCGGGGGAAGCTCAGGCTTCCCCTGCCCCAGCCCCACAGCTGGGTGGGGGAATAATTTTTTTTTATTCCTTTCCCCCCCCCAAAAAAAAACGACATGCGTCCTATGGGCCAGTGCGCCTTATAGGGCGAAAAATACGGTATATCCCACACCTCTTTATACCATTCTTCCATTTTATATTCTGCTTGTCCCTTCCACTTCCTAGCTATAATAACTCGTGCAGCTGTCATTTTCTAACACTGTCTTCCATCCCACCAACAATCGCCACGGCAGGATGAGAGAGAGATGATGTTAATTCCTTTACGCTGATCACCTGCCCCCTTAAGATGCTTGCACAGCTGAGAACAAGGTTGCCCGAGAGAGACTGCCTCATAATCCCTTATATACCCAGCCGGTCACACTGTTCTGCAGGAGATTTTCCCTCTTAAAAGTCTCCACAATGTCAAGTGCTTGCTCCCCAGTAACCCGGGAGCAGGGCTTTCGGTTCAGTGGAACAGTCCAAACATGACACACCACCTGCCAGTGTGGTGTAGTGGTTAAGAGCGGTAGTCTTGCAATCTGGGGAACCGGGTTCGCGTCTCTGCTCCTCCACCTGCAGCTGCTGGGTGACTTTGGGCTAGTCGTACTTCTCACAGAGTGTTTGTTGTGGGGGAGGAAGGAAAAGGAGAATGTTAGCCGCTTTGAGACTCCTGAAGGGGAATGAAAGGCGGGATATCAAATCCAAACTCTTCTTCTTCTTCTTCTTCTTCTTCTTCTTCTTCTTCTTCTTCTTCTGGAGCAACTGAATATATTTTAAGCCAGAGAAAAGCATCTCTGCTTTTGCGTTCCTTTTGTGTTGCTCTTCAATCTTGTGTGTTTTTTTTCCAAAAATTTTTTATTCGTTTTCCAATTTATAACATACAAAAAAATCAAAAACAAACAGACAAACATTTTCTCCTTGCTATAATGATTCCACTTTTGTTAACATTGTTGAATGACTTCCTCCAAACCCATCTAGCTGAGTTTCCCTATACTCCATTGTAACAGTTTTCCGAAACTATTTTCCCATAAAATTTACTTAGTCAATCTTTCTTTCTTCTCGTTTTAACATTAACAATAGTATTTTACAACATCACGAATTGAAATCCTAGGCCTGTCTGGTACTCGCAAGGAATTTTGTTTATGTTATCTTAACATATTTAGCTAAATAATCTTTAAATTTCTTCCAATCCTCTTGGTACTCCTCCTCCGACTGCTCACGGACTGTTCTTCAATCTTGTTTGTGTGCTCTCGTTTTTCCAAAAACCGTAGCTGTCTCGAAGGGTGTGTCTCTAAATCGCCTTGGGACGTATATTTAGCAGACTCTTCTCATGCTCTTAAGAGTCCCAGGGTCTGTGTGATCTGATTACCAGCTAATAATAATAATAATAATAGTAATTTATGCCCCACCCATCTGGCTGGGTTTCCCAAGCCAGAGTGCCTTTGGGGAGGAGGGTAATTGGGCAGGCTGACCTTTGACCCTCCCGCCCCTCTTTCCCCTTTCTCTTTCCTGCCCCCTGCAGTTCACTGCTGGGACTACCGGCGCTTCGTGGTGCGGCAGTCGGAGGTCGCCCCCCAGGACGAGTTGGCCTTCAGCGACAGCCTCATCACCCGGAACTTCTCCAACTACTCCTCCTGGCACTATCGCAGCCACCTCCTCCCGCAGCTTTACCCCGATGCCCAACAGCAAGGCCGGATCACGGAGGAAATCCTGCTGAAAGGTGGGCCTGGAAGGAAATCACAAGCTCCTTAACCGGGCTGCGTGGAAGTGATTCGGTGTTCCTCCTATTGTCGGGTTGGCATGGCAGGAGTCGGTGGGAGGAGTCCCCATAGGGAGGCATGCGGTTTGAAAAGCAATTTTATCCCGCTCTACAGCTGGAAAAAAAGGCTCCCAGAGTGTCTTGCACGATATTGGTGGTAAGTCCTGTTTGCAGTCTAAGAGACACCACACAAGAGGAAAAAGGAACTGGGAGGGAGGAGGAAAGAAAGCAAGCTTGGGCACTAGTTCCCACCAAATTGTTGTTTTGTTGTTTAGTCGTTTAGTCGTGTCCGACTCTTCGTGACCCCCTGGACCAGAGCACGCCAGGCACTCCTGTCTTCCACTGCCTCCCGCAGTTTGGTCAGACTCATGCTGGTAGCTTCGAGAACACTGTCTAACCATCTCGTCCTCTGTCGTCCCCTTCTCCTTGCACCCTCCATCTTTCCCAGCATCAGGGTCTTTTCCTAGGAGTCTTCTCTTCCCATGAGGTGGCCAAAGTCTTGGAGCCTCAGCTTCAGGATCTGTCCTTCCAGTGAGCACTCAGGGCTGATTTCCTTCAGAATGGAGAGGTTTGATCTTCTTGCAGTCCATGGGACTCTCAAGAGTCTCCTCCAGCACCAGAATTCAAAAGCATCAATTACCCCCAAATAGAGATCTTTATTGATTCTTGATCATGGGCTCCTAAACTGCTGTGTCACACTGGATAATAGCTGGGATAGCTCAGTTGGTATAGCAAGAGGCTGTTAATCTCAGAGTCATGGGTTTGAGCCCAATTTGGGCAAAATATTCCAGTATTGCCGGGGGTTGGACTAGATGACCCTTGCGGCCCCTTTCCAACTCTACAATTCTATGACTGAATGAAAGTTACAGTGCTGCTGGGATCTTTGGAAATGGAGAGAGAGGGATTGAGAGGCTCTGAATGGTGGTGGTGTTTTATTTCATTTATTTAATTCATTAATTTTTTATACCACTTGACTGTAAAGCAAAAGCAAACTCAAAGCAGTTTACGCCAATAATATAAAAATGAAATAATCAGTTTAAAATACCAGCAGTTGGAAGCAACTATCTAAAACCTTCTAAAAAGCAACAACGTAAAAGCACATGTCAGTGTTCTGTTCCAGTTGCTCTGTCCCAGCTCCTGCCAACCTAGCAGTTCGAAAGCACACCAGTGCAAGCAGATAAATAGGTACCACTGCAGCAGGAAGGTAAACGGCATTTCCGTGCGCTCTGGTTTCCATCGCAGTGTCCCGTTGCGCCAGAAGCGGTTTCGTCCTGCCGGCCACATGACCCGGAAAGCTGTCTGTGGACAAAGGCCGGCTCCCTCGGCCTGAAAGCGAGATGAGCACCACACCCCATTGTCAAGTTTAACCATCCAGGGGTCCTTTGCCTTTACCTGTTGTTGTTTTTTTAGACTGGATAGGCTTAGCTAAACAAAAACAGGCTCCGAAAAGCCTACAGCAAAGGCACCTGCCTGATGTCAGGCAGGGAGTTTCAAAGTTTGAGTTCTGCCTCCCAATTTCTTACCAATTTATTGGTGCAGTCATTGTGCATGGCACTTCACAAAGGAGGCAAGTTCCCATTCCGAGACATTTGCAGTCTGAAATAGGCCTTTTCTTCTGCCTCCGATGTTTTTAACTGGCTATTGAAATTAAGACCTGCACGCAGAGCAGTCCCTCTGCCACTGAGCTACATCCTCGGCTCAGAATATCAGCCTGCCTCGTCCACTGCTAAGCACTCCTTCTTCCTGGTTTCCCGGTAGGCCTCATCCAGCAAGCGTCTTCTTTTTTTCTTTTTTAATTTTTTTTTAAAATTTTATTAATATTTTTATTAAGTACAAATTAGAAAACATACATATTCACAACAAAAGAAAATACAAAAGAAAAAGAAAATGCATCCAACCAAGGGAAAAAAATTAGAGAATATTTTGTCTCTTTTCATATTTACGGTTATTTATACCTCTATAAAATGCTATTCACAATAAAGCAGTGAAATGAAAGATATCAGAAAAAAGAACAAAGAAAGAATAAAGAAGTAAAAGAAAAAGATCACCAGCAAGCCTCTTCTTATGACAGCGGCAGCTTTCGGGCAGAGATTTCTCTCTGGGGCTGATGGGAGTTGTAGTCCTACGACGCCCAGAAGCCCGCCAGCTTGAGCAAACCTGCTTTGGGAGCGAGGGCAGGCAAGATTCTTGGGCCCTGTTCCCAGTTTTGGAAGAGGAGGCTTTGAAAGCAGGTCTTTGAAAGCAGCCCTTTCAGCAAGGGCTCCAGAACTCTTCCCCCCCCAGCGCTGGCGGGGAGTGCGAGTCCATGAATCACAGCGGCCGTCCCCTCTTGACAGTCCTGGGCGCATCGAAGGCGGTGCACGGCGATGACTTCGGCATGAGTAAAAAGTGTACACAGGGATTCTTCCCCGGAGACCCAGCCCTCACCTGGGCAGGTGAAATTCCAAGCGGATCAGATGGAGGCGTCACCCCTCTTTGCCACTCACGGCCTGAAGTCTCCCGCAGCCGCTTTTGTTTGGCCTGAGAGACAGGGCTGGGGCGTGGGAGCCTTGCCTGGAGCCAGCTCAGCCAAGAGAGAGACAGAGACGAGGGTGGGTAACTCCCTGCGGCTCACAAGGAAGGATTCAGAAATGGAGCAGTCACGAACAAGGGGCCACCTGGACAGATGCAGATCTCTATGCTAGGTGTTTTTCTCCTATCCTAGGCTATCTCCTCTTCTTGCCTTTCAGGGTCAAAGGGCAACAAGCACAAGGCCCTGGCGATGTATTAATACATCACTCAGGACTGGTTTGAGGGCCAGAGCAAGGTGGCAGTATATCGCGAGTGTGGGACACGGGCGGCGCTGTGGTCTGAACCACTGAGCCTCTTGGGCTTGCCGATCGGAAGGTCGGCAGTTCGAATGCCCATGACGGGGTGAGCTCCCGTTGCTGTGTCCCAGCTCCTGCCAACCTAGCAGTTCGAAATCACAACAGCACAAGTAGATAAATAGGTACCGCCGAGGTGGGAAGGTAAACGTTGTTTCCGTGTGCTCTGGTTTCTGTCACGGTGTCCCGTTGCGCCAGAAGCGGTTTAGTGCTGCTGGCCACATGACCCAGAAAGCTATCTGGGGACAAACGCCGGCTCCCTCAGCCTGAAAGCGAGATGAGCGCCGCAACCCCATTGTCGCCTTTGACTGGACTTAACCATCCAGGGGTCCTTTAGGTAAAGGTAAAGGGACCCCTGACCATTACGTCCAGTTGTGGCCGACTCTGGGGTTGCGGCACTCATCTCGCTTTAGGGAGCCGGCATACAGCTTCCAGGTCATGTGGCCAGCATGACTAAGCCGCTTCTGGCGAACCAGAGCAGCGCACGGAAACGCCGTTTACCTTCCCGCCGGAGTGGTACCTATTTATCTACTTGCACTTTGACGTGCTTTCGAACTGCTAGGTTGGCAGGAGCAGGGACCGAGCAACGGCAGTTCACCCCGTTGCGGGGATTCGAACCACCAAACTTCTGCTCGGCAAGTCCTAGGCTCTGTGGTTTAACCCACAGCGCCACCCGCTTCCCTCCTGGGGTCCTTTATCTTTACCTAATTATATCGCAAGTGAAACCTTCACCACCAGCCCCCGGTGTACCAAGTGAAAACCAACTGCAGTCTGCTTTTAATTTAACAATAACAACAATTAGGAAGCCCCCAGCATAACCTGCGGAGGCCAGAAAAATTTGCTTGGGAATGTCGCAGTTCAGGACAGGGGATGATCTGGTCCCAGAGGTGGACGTTATCCAAAACCCGGTGTAGTGGTTAAGAGTTTCAAACTAGGAATGGAAAGGCCCACATTCAAAGCTCGCTGGATGGCCTTGGGTCCCTCACTTTCATCCTGACCTTCCTCACAGGTTTATTGTGAGGTTGAAGCCAGGAAGAGGGGAGGACCCCACCTATAGCCCTGAGGTACTTTTGAGAGACGGCAGGATTAAAATGCAATTATTCTTGACAATCCCATGCAGAGAGGCTGGCCTCTTTCCCATGCAGTCTAGTCTCGATTCTGCCCCTCCTCCTCTCGGCTGGTCTTTTGTGGTGCCTGCGGACCCACACACACCCTCCTTAAACGAAGGATCAAGAAATGAACAAAAGCCAAACCGCTGCATCTTTGCGGTTTCCGCTTTGTCATGGGCCAGCAAGAAATTCTGGGTGGTTTCTACAACTTGGAAGTTTCAGTTTATGAGGGAAGGCAAATAATCAGGCTGTTTTGGTATGGGGCGGGACACGGGGGGAGGCAGAGGAGGCAGGCACAAACTTCCAACCCCAACAGGTGAACTTCACAAAGTCCTTGGAAAAGTCAGCTGTGTCTCAAGCATTTTTATGAGGTTTTTTAAAATAAAAATAAAAATACTAAGTGGTATATAATTGCTTTCAAGGTTGTTAGCCATCATATACAAGGTGTGACCGGAAAGTTCGGTGAATGGTCACAGAAATCGGACAGTGAGAAATATTCGAACATACATGCCTTACAGGCCTTCAAAGTAGGCCTCCTCTGATACAACGCAGCGTTGACAACGTTCGTAGAACTGTTTGAAACTTCTGGAGAAGTCCTCTTTTCGTACTGCTTTCAGTTCTCTCGTCACAGCAGCTTGGACGTGTGAAATGTTGGGAAATCTGTGCCCTTTCAGTGCAGATTTCAGTTTTGGAAAAATTAAGAAATCCGGTGGGGCTAGATGGGAGAATATGGAGGGTGGAACAACTCAGTAACCTCAGGAACAATTTCACACGGAATATGCAATTCTTCCGCCGTCGTTCGGAAGCACAAACGCCGATCCCGCATCAATAAGTCACAAACTCTGTCAACATTTGCCGCCCTTCACAGAAACATTTAAACCACTCATACATTGTCTTTCGAGTTACAGCTTCGTCTCCCTGCACAATTGTGAACATTTTGTGGGTTTCTGATGCCAATTGTATGTTCAGATATTTCTTGCTGTCCAATTTCTGTGACCATTCACCAAACTTTCCGGTATTTAAAGCACGTCTTCCCCCACAAAGAATTCTGGGAAGTGTAGTTTTCACACACCCAACAGAGCTGCATTTCCCAGCCTTAACAAACTACAGTTCTCAGAATTCATTGGGTGGGTGCTTTAAATGTATGCTGTGTACACAGCCTTAATTTTTAAGAAAAAAGAAAAACTCTCTTCATCAAATGGCAGTCCTTTCACATCTCCTGTCAGAGAAGATTTTTTTCATTGTCTTTTAATACACCAAATTTTCCAGTAGATAGGTTTCGTGTTGTTGTTTCTCAAGCTGCTCTTGAGCGTTACCTCCCGTTCTATGTTGGAGATTTAATCCCAGGATTAGTCTCCGGCGTACCTGAAACGTGAGTAATAACTTTTGTAGAACAAGCATGGAGCCAGCACTGTCTTCATCAGGGGCTTTAAAATAGATAAAACTATTTATATGCAGCTTGTGTACAAGAAATGCAATATAGAAAAGGCAAACACAGGCGAAACTGTAAAACAAAGGCTGTAAAACTTAGGTTGAGAAATGCTTGTTGGAATAAATAAAAAGTATTCAGTAGGTTTGACAGGAATCCATGCAGCCAAGTCATGGGACCACAAAAAGTGGCGCCCCCAGGCTTCTGGTTGCGCTCTGCCTTAATGGAGGCAGCCCCCACAACAGTGGGAGATGGTTGGCGGAGGAAAAACAAGGATGATTGAGGGTAAATCATCCTTGCAAATCCCCTCCAGGGACGGGAGGAACAGACTTCCTTGGGTAAAAAAGGTAAAGGACCACTGGGCAGTTAAGTCCAGTCAAAGTCCAGTCAAAGGCGACTATGGGGTTGTGGCGCTCATCTTGCTTTCAGGCCGAGGGAGCCAGCATTTGTCCACAGACAGCTTTCCGGGTCATGTGGCCAGCATGACTAAACCGCTTCTGGCGCAACAGGACACCATGACGGAAACCAGAGCGCACAGAAGCACCGTTTACCTTCCCACTGCAGCAGTACCTATTTACTCGCACTGGTGTGATTTTGAACTGCTAGGTTGGCAGGAGCTGGGACAGAGCAATGGGAGCTCACCCCGTCACGGGGATTCGAACCGCCGACCTTCCGATTGGCAATCAATACTAGAAACTTGAACCTGGACCCCGATTTGGAGATATTGCTGTGGGGTCCACCACATAAAAATAGAAATAAGCTCCATTCTCCTCAAAATATAACTTCAAAAAGAACAAGTTGAGGTAAAACAACTCCATTGTAGGTTACACAAACACTAAAATAACCTTTGAAATATTCGCTAAGATGAAATGTAGGCTGCAGACGAAAGTGAAGAACGCTCTCCTGTATTATCCTCAGAGACCAAATGCCCACCGAAAGTAATCACCCTGTAAATAATAATTAATTAATTAATTATACCCAGACACATTTCAACATGAACTCCACCTCAGTGGCCAACCTTTGTAAGGTTGTCAGCTTCTGTATAAAAACTCGTAATTCAAGTAGATGTAAAATGTATCCAAAGTCAAGACCGTGAAATCCTTTTTAGTTCTTAATTCCTTATCCAAATAAGGACGGTAATTGCTTTCAAAATACCTTAGGAAACCATAGGGTAGCCTGACTGCCTACAGAGTTAGCAGGAAGCTCATCATAAAACCATGAGTCTCAAGCAGAGAAATCAAAACCATAAAGCTTCTTTATGTCTTTAGTAGCCGCAGGCTTGAAAAATGGCACCATCTGAACCCTTGACAGTAATGGCAGCTTGGAGGGGGTCGGATCCTGAGCAGGGTTTGAAGGTGTTGGCTGGACACACCCACCCAGCACCCAGTTCTAGTTGCTGGCAGCAGATGTATCAAATCCCCTCCAGTCTGACAGATTCAGGGTCTCTCTATCATCTATCTCCTCCTTTTCCTTTATCCCCCTCTGAGGTAGGTTAGGCCGAAAGACTGCGACTGACCCAAAGTCTGTGGCCGAGCAAGGATTGAGAATTGTAGAGTTGGAAGGGACCATGCGGGTCATCTAGTCTGACCCCTCGCAATGCAGGAACCTTCTTGCCCAGCGTGGGTCTCGAACTCACCACCCTGAGACTGAGAATCCTGTTCTCTACCGACCGAGCTATTCTGCATAGTATTTGAACCCACGCCTCTCAAATCCAGCACTCTGAACCACTGCGCCACAGTGGATTTGTACCAGTTTAAACCTTTCCGGCTCCCCATCAAATACGGTAGTTCTTGGAATTGTAGTTTGAGTAAGATGCTGGGCGTTTGCACAAGGAGATCCTTAATCTAATCTCTCTCTCTCACACACACACACTGCAAAAAATGGGACCAGAATTCCCTGAAAAGATGGAATGTCTGCTAAACTGGCCAAAGTCCGTCAAGTTGGCACACACCAACCTGAATGATGTTGTTGAGTCGTTTAGTCGTGTCCGACTCTTCGTGAGCCCCTGGACCAGAGCACGCCAGGCACTCCTGTCTTCCACTGCCTCCCGCAGTTTGGTCAAACTCATGCTGGTGGCTTCGAGAACACTGTCCCACCATCTCGTCCTCCGTCCTCCCCTTCTCCTTGCACCCTCCATCTTTCCCAACATCAGGGTCTTTTCCAGGGAGTCTTCTCTTCTCATGAGGTGGCCAAAGTCTTGGAGCCTCAGCTTCAGGATCTGTCCTTCCAGTGAGCACTCAGGGCTGATTTCCTTCAGAATGGAGAGGTTTGATCTTCTTGCAGTCCATGGGACTCTCAAGAGTCTCCTCCAGCGCCAGAATTCAAAAGCATCCATTCTTCGGCGATCAACCTTCTTTATGGTCCAGCTCTCACTTCCATACATCACGACTGGGAAAACCATAGCTTTCACTATATGGACCTTTGTTGGCAAGGTGATGCTTTTTAAGATGCTGGACCTGAATGTACTATATTGCAATATCGCTACTTCTTCAGTGGAGACCGATTCGTTCCCCAGGGCCCTTGCTTCCCCCACTCTTTCCTTTCTCCTGACTTTTCTTTCTCCCTCCCAGAGCTGGAGCTGGTTCAGAACGCCTTCTTCACTGATCCGAATGACCAGAGCGCCTGGTTCTATCATCGCTGGCTCCTGGGGAGAGGTACGAAAGCGATGCACGTTTCCTTGTCCCTGTTCCCCTTGCAGAGCTGCCCCACTGCAAGAAGTGAAAGAAAGTGGGAACCAGGGAGGCTCGCCTTGAACCATCATTGCTTAGTTTTAGTAAGGTGACTCGGAAACTACAATTAATCCAGAGTCCGGCAGCTAGACTGGTGACTGGGAGCGGCCGCCGAGACCACATAACACCGGTCCTGAAAGACCTACATTGGCTCCCAGTACGTTTCCAGGCACAATTCAAAGTGTTGGTGCTGACTTTTAAAGTCCTAAATGGGCCAGTATACCTGAAGGAGCGTCTCCACCCCCATCGTTCTGCCCGGACACTGAGGTCCAGCACCGAGGGTCTTCTGGCGGTTCCCTCCCTGCAAGAAGTGAGGTTACAGTGAACCAGGCAGAGGGCCTTCTCGGTGGTGGCACCTGCCCCGTGGAACACCCTCCCACTAGATGTCAAGGAAATAAACAACTCTTTGACTTTTAGAAGGCATCTGAAGGCAGCCCTCTTTCAGGAAGCTTTTAATGCTTGGTTTATTTATTTGTCTTTCCCTCTGTATTTACACAACCATTTACCATGTTGCTGTTTATGCACATATACTACGCAAGAAAAAGAAAAATACAACAAAAAATAAAGAAAAAAAGAGACAGTAGAGCTAAGAAAAGATAAAATAAGCTTCCGATTGTTCTCAAAAACTGAATCTCATTTGTTATTTTTTACACAGTGTCATGATACAGTGGTACCTCGGGTTACATACACTTCAGGTTACAGACTCCACTAACCCAGAAATAGTGCTTCAGGTTAAGAACTTTGCTTCAGGATGAGAACAGAAATCGGGCTCCGGCAGCACGGCAGCAGCAGGAGGCCCCATTAGCTAAAGTGGTGCTTCAGGTTAAGAACAGTTTCAGGTTAAGAACGGACCTCCGGAATGAATTAAGTACTTAACCCGAGGTACCACTGTATTGTACTTTGTTTCGTTAATATCCTTTGGGGGGGGGGGAGAATTCTTTTGGTTTGTTGTCTATACATTACAAGAATCTTTCAAGGTTTGCCAGGAGTTTTTTGGTCTCATAGTAATTTTTCAAATATTCTTTAAACACTATCCATTCTTTATTCACCTTCTGCCCTGAGTCCCCTCTAACTCTCCCAGTCGTTCTTGCCAATTGGATGTCTCTCCTGTCGCCCCCACAGCTGACCCAGAACCGACAATTCGCTGTGTCTACGTCAGCCGAGAGGACACCTCCTTAGCAGTTGCTTTCTCCCACCCCGTGGCAGTAAGTTTCGGGAGGACGGGAGGAAATTGAGGCCCCGGTGCCACCCGCCTCGCATCCTCGAGAGCCAAGGGTCTTCCTCAATCTCTCTCTCTCTCTCTCTCTCTCTCTCTCTCTCTCTCTCTCGTTTTTTAGGTGGCACCAGCATCTCACGACCTGATTGTGTTTGGAGACGAATCGCCTCTTGTTGTACGTTGGCGCACCCCTGATAGGAGGAACAGGCCTGGGTTTATGTGGGTATCCTACAGACCCCCTGTGCGTGGGCTCAACAGCGAGAGTCAGGGGCCTGAAACATCCTGAAGTGTACCTTCCACTTTGGGGGGGAACAGGCAAACGTGGAGATTTGAAAATGAGTTTTATTTGACGCAGGTCAGCTCCCTTAACAAGCTACAGTTCCCAGAATTCTTTGGGGGAAGCCATGACAGTTTTATTGTGTGTGTGTGTGTGTGTGTGTGTGTGTGTGTGTGTAAATTTATTTATTTGGTTTTTCAAATTAAATTTTACAGTCACATATCCAGCTTACAACATAGAAACAAGATTCCAGGGAATCTCCTCCCCTTTGTGGGTCCCATTGCTAATCATTTCCTCCTACGTCTTTTACGATAATCCAAATCTTCTACCTCTCCGTCGTGTCCAAAATTCGCCGTTAAACTACAAGTGATATTCCAACGCTCCTAAGGATTTTAACTGTTTGCAATGGTTTTTAAGAGAAGTTAATGAATTTACCCCATTCCTTATTAAAATTTTGGTCTTCCAAAATTTGACAGCTTAAAAAGTGGTGTGTTGCTGCTTTCAGCGCAGATTGGGCCCTGTTTGATGCCAAGGTCAAAGCACTCTGTACGTGGTCAGAGACCCTGCGGCTTCGCAATTTGGAGATGAACCTGAGTAGTTAAAAGCAGGTTCTGAGGTCTGAGGAGGGTGAGAGCCGGGGCTGTTTTGATGTGACGGAGGCAATGGAATAACCCGTCGGCTAAATTTGAGGGAAGGGGCTTTGCGCTTGATCCTGTGGGGTGAGGGGAAAGCAGCTGTTCTGCCAGTGGTTTCGGTTTTCCTTAAATCACGGCGTCTCCCAGCTCTGCGACTTGCCAGCTTCCGCCCTGAATGACCACTGGCCGCAGCACACCTTCCGGGTATTATGGGCCGAGGGCCAGTCCCAGAAGGAGTGTGTCCTTTTTAAAGGTATGTATGTATTTAAAGGTATGTATGTATTTCCTGCAAACCTAGCAGTTCAAAAGCACGTCATGTGCAAGTAGATCAATAGGGACCACTCCGGCGGGAAGGTAAACGCCGTTTCCGTGTGCTGCTCTGGTTCGCCAGAAGCGGCTTAGTCATTCTGGCCACATGACCCGGAAGCTGTCTGCGGACAAACGCGGCTCCCTCGGCCTATAGAGCGAGATGAGTGCACAACCCCAGAGTCGGTCACGACTGGACCTAATGGTCAGGGTTCCCTTTACCTTTTTTAAAAAATGTATTTACTTAGTAGACGTATTTCACACTCTGCACCGTAAGTTCCCAGGGCTGTTTACAACCGCAAAGCATTATGGGTTGTGTCCAATGCTAGTCTTGTTGAGAACCACCCTAAGGTCAGCAGATGAAGGGCAGTATACAGATTGATTGATTGATTGATTGATTGATTGAATAAATAAATAAATAACTCAAGAGTAGACCTGCTGGAGCTACTCAGCGTAATTGACATTTAGCTGTGGTTGGGGGTTGGACTAGATGACCATGTGGGAACCCAACTCTACTATTCTATGATTCTGTGACAGGACTAACACGTATTAGACTGACACGCTTTAGAGCAGGGTGGTCCAATCTGCGGCTCACGAGGCCTTTTTTGGCGCCCCTCTGCAGCATTCAAGAAAAAAAGAGTTTATAGCCTTAATTTTTATTTATTTATTTTTTTGCATTGTGCGTTGCTTTTGAAAGCACATATATTGGTTTGTGTATTAAATTTATTTAATGATGAAATATATTACATTTAATAACGGCATGTTTTATATATTTAATCAAATGTATTGTGTATATTTAATTTGAGACGTGGAAATTTAGTTCAGTGTGTGTGTCCCTCGGGTTCTGTGTCAGAAGTGCTCTTGCGGCCCACTTATGTCTGAGAAGTTGGAGCCCGCCCTGCCTTTTAAAAAAACAAATATTCATTCACATCCCTGGGTCTGAATAGAACTAACACTGGGAAACAACCCACAGTTGGAGAACCAGATTTAGGAAGAGGGGGATACTTTTAACTGACTGATTAAAGAGATGCAATTTCGGTGAAATGTGTAGTTTGAAGATGCCAGCTGCACCTGTCGGGAGAAGAGATTTCCCAATTTAGGGGGCCGACACAGAGAATCCCAGGCTGCTGTGGGTGGCAGAACTATTAAAAGGTAAAGGTAAAGGGACCCCTGACCGTTACGTCCAATCGTGGCTGACTCTGGGGTTGCGGCGCTCATCTCGCTTTCAGGCCGAGGGAGCCGGCGTACAGCTTCTGGGTCATGTGCCCAGCATGACTAAGCCGCTTCTGGCGAACCAGAGCAGCACATGGAAACGCCGTTTACCTTCCCGCCAGAGCGGTACCTATTTATCTACTTGCACTTTGACGTGCTTTCGAACTGCTAGGTGGGCAGGAGCAGGGACCGAGCAACGGGAGCTCACCCCGTCGCGGGGATTCGAACCGCCAACCTTCTGATCGGCAAGCCCTAGGCTCAGTGGTTTAGACCACAGCGCCACCCGCGCAGAACTATTACCCCATTCTTAACCCCAGAGAAGATCAACAGGAATAGAGGTGGGCATTTGGGGGGCAAGAACGGTTCAGGGCTTTAAGGAACGTCGGAAGTTGACTTTCTGCCGAATCAGACCATTGGTCTGTCTACCTCAGTATTGTCTTCACTGACTGCCAGCAATGGCTGTCCAGGATCTGAGGCAGGAATTTCTCCCAACCCTACCTGGAGATGCCAGGATTCGAACCTGGAACCATCTGTTTGCAAGGGAGGGGCTCTACGACTGAACCACGAACCTTCTTGGGAGTCCCAGAGGGGCTGAGAGGGTCCCCCCTTTGTCTTCTTCTTCTCCTTTGGGGATCACTTGTAGCTGAGTAAGATTGTCTTCCATAAACACAGTCTTAACAGTGAGTCCGTAAGTGACTGTGGAGGCCAATTCTGGATCCACGCATCCTTCCACAGTGGGGACATTGGTTTCCGGGTGGGAGTTGATCACGGTGTGGATTTGCCAAGCGAGCCTTCCTCCTAGCATGTTTCTCCCTTGTGTCCTGAGTTCGAGTGTCTTCAAAGCTCACAACACCTTTGGTAAAGGCTATTCTCCAATTGGAGGGACGCGGGTGGCGCTGTGGGTTAAACCACAGAGCCTAGGGCTTGCCGATCAGAAGGTTGGCGGTTCGAATCACCGTGACGGCATGAGCTGCCGTTGCTCGGTCCCTGCTCCTGCCAGTTCGAAAGCACGTCAAAGTGCAAGTAGAGAAATAGGTACCGCTCCGGCGGGAAGGTAAACGGCGTTTCCGTGCGCTGCTCTGGTTCGCCAGAAGCGGCTTAGTCATGCTGGCCACATGACCTGGAAGCTGTACGCCGGCTCCCTCGGCCAATAAAGCGAGATGAGCACCGCAACCCCAGAGTCGTCCGCGACTGGACCTAATGGTCAGGGGTCCCTTTACCTTTATTCTCCAATTGGAGCGCTCTCCCCAGGGACCCCCCTCTCAGGTGGGGGGTTTCCTGCCAGCGACCCCACTCGCTTCCCTTCCGCAGGGCCCCCCACACACTTCCTCACCTCCTCAATTTAACCCCTTTCCCCCTCTCTGCCCCCCACAGGACACAGGGATTGCTGGAGCCAAGATTCAGTCACTGAGGAGCAAGTTTTCAGGTAAGTAGCCAGGGGGAGAGGACTGAAGCCATGGGGCAAGAGGGGCTGGTTCATATGGACCTTTAAAGAACATTTTTCCGGGATCCATCATATGTGGCAATGAGCACCTCATTGTTGACATCTGTCCGTCTCAAGAGACAATGGAGTCCGCCTCCCGGGGTGAAGTCAAACAGCTGTTTTAGCTGCACCAAAGTGATCTCCCCAGGGCACAAGCCTGGGTGGTTTATATGGAGGTCTTGGGCTGCCTAGGCAACAAGACCATAGCTGTCAACATTTCCCTTTCTTTAAGGGAAATTCCCTTATAGGAATCCTCTCAGGAAAAAGGAAAAGTTGATAGCTTTGAACAAGACCCCCATCTCATTCTCACTAATGTAGTCGAAACGGAAAGCAGAGCAAGACGTTTGGCGCCAGCCAGGGTGGATTTGATTTAAATCAAATCGATTTAAATCACTAGTCAGTAAGACTTGATTTAAATCTCTTTTTTTTACAGAAAGCCTCATTCTTGCTGGTATAATCTTAATATGTTTAAGATTATACCAGCATGAATGAATGAAACCAGAGGAAGGTTTCATTTTTGGAATAATAAATTTTCAGAGTAGTTTTTACAGTTATATCAAAAATTACTGATCTGGTTATACTATCAGAAATACATAGTCAGATAATTATGAAATTATTGTGAGGTTTGATTACCGGTAGTTGACTGTTTATATTTGGACAACTTTTCTGCTGAATATTATTGGAAGGAGAAAAATAGTCATTCCTTAATAACAATTTAAACAATTTATTTAACTAAAGCAATAACATTATAGCATATGTTTCCATGTTTGTTAACTGATGCGGTAAAACGTTTTCGTGTTTTGTTTTTTAAAAAAACTTAGACTGAGTTTTAGCACACATGAAAAACTTAAAACAAAACCTTATTTCCTGTTGAGTAGCCTTTGGACTATAATGTAACTTAAATAGAAAACTACCTTTAGAAAGATTTTTCCTCCAAAAGCATTTTATTTTTAAAATCTGATTCAAATAAAAAAAAATCCATTTTTAAAAAAAATCATTGATTTTTTATCCACCCTGGCGGCAGCTTGGCTGCAGGAGTTGCCGGAAGGAAGCGTTCAAGGAGCCATCCAACCATCTTATTAGAGACCCCGGTCTGGATTTGTGTAGAGTTTGCTCCTAGAATCATAGAATCATAGAATCATAGAGTTGGAAGAGACCACAAGGGCCATCGAGTCCAACCCCCTGCCAAGCAGGAAACACCATCAGAGCACTCCTGACATATGGTTGTCAAGCCTCTGCTTAAAGACCTCCAAAGAAGGAGACTCCACCACACTCCTGGGCAGCAAATTCCACTGTCGAACAGCTCTCACTGTCAGGAAGTTCTTCCTAATGTTTAGGTGGAATCTTCTTTCTTGTAGTTTGGATCCATTGCTCCGTGTCCGCTTCTCTGGAGCAGCAGAAAACAACCTTTCTCCCTCCTCTATGTGACATCCTTTTATATATTTGAACATGGCTATCATATCACCCCTTAATCCTGAACTTCTTCTCCTGAAGTTATTCTGCAAGGCAGTGGAAGTTGAGGATCAGAGCTTTCCTTCTCCTAGACGGGCTGCCTCGCCAGGTGGACGAGCCCCATCTTGATGATGGCCACTTCCATTTTCAAAAACAAGAACCAAGTCACAGCGGGCAGGGCAGGCCTTAAAATGGCTCCTTGCCGCAATAGCAAACCCTCCGTATTCAGGTGAAATTCCTGGAAATGAGCCACAGGGTACACCTCTTTCATTTTTATATTTATGTCCCACCAAGGTAGCCAACTATGGCGTCCTCTAGAAGTTTCTGGACTCCAGCTCCTATCATCCCTGAGTGTTGGCGAGGGTAGCCGGGGGGCTGATGGGTTTTGGAGTCCCAGCAACATCCGAAGGGGAACATTACAAATAGCCTCCATTGCTCGTCCTCAATTGGTGGGTCAGGACCTACTGCTGGGCCCGTGGCCTGATCCAAGACGGGCCGCAACTGGAGCAATATTGCGACACAAATATACGCTAAAAGATTAAGAAATGGGTCCCCAAATGCGTGGCTGGATTAAAGCTGAGTCCTGGTCCTGAAAAGGTTGGAGGCTCCTGGACCAAATGGTGCCCTGCCAATGTTGTGGACTACAACTCCCATGATCCCTGATCCCTGACCATGCTGGCTGCTGGGAGTTGTAGTTCTTCATAATAATAATAATAATAATAATAATAATAATAATAATAATTTATTATTTATACCCCGCCCATGTGGCTGAGTTTCCCCAGCCACTCTGGGTGGCTCTCAATCAAGTGTTAAAAACAGTACAGCGTTACATATTAAAAACTTCCCTGAACAGGGCTGCCTTCAGATGTCTTCTGAATGTCAGGTAGTTGTTTATCTCTTTGACATCTGAAGGGAGGGCGTTCCACAGGGTGGGCGCCACTACCAAGAAGGCCCTCTGTCTGGTTCCCTGTAGCCTCACTTCTCGCAATGAGGGAACCGCCAGAAGGCCCTCGGCGCTGGATCTGTGTCCGGGCTGAGTGTTCCATAACATCTGGAAGGCACCACTTTGGCTACCCTTTGTGTCTGCTGCTCTTCTCCCCTGACCCCATTTTCCCCTCACAACAGCCCCGTAGGCTTAATAATAATAATAATAATAATAATAATAAATTATTTATATCCCGCCCTCCCCAGCCAAATCAAGGCTCAGAGTGGCTAACAACAATAAGGTGGACCCCTGCAGACATTTGGGGCAGCAGGGCTCTGCGGGTGTTTAGATCTTCTTGGTTATATCTAGTCATTGCTTATCTTCTGTTTTCATGGTGCCTTATTGTATATATTTACCACCACCTTGACATTTTACGTGAGTAAATAGAAAAGGGTGGGAGGAGACATTGGTGAGTATTGGGAGGCTAGGGGGCTGAGTTTGGGTTTGGGAGATTCGGGCTGAAGCGGAACTCGGGACTCCAAGCCGCCCTTCTCCCCAGCCTCAGCCTTCCATCCATAAAATGGGAATATCCGTGATCAGCATCCCAGAGTTGTGGGGATGAGCAACCCATAAATTACAAAGCACTTTGCCAATTAGGAGCGCTTGACATAAACGGCGGTTATTATTAATCATAGCCCGGCTCCTAATTCTGCCAAACCGTGTAGATTATGGCTCCGGGGTGGAGATCCTGCTAGCAGGCCTGCTTTTAGCTAATTTGGGGGAAAGGGAAATTTTGTAATTTTGTAATAGATCAAATGCTGCGGTAGGAAGAAGTTGCATGCCTTAAGGCTGCGCGTGGGACTTACTTCTGAGTAAGCCTGTCCGGGAGTCTGTTATAAGACACTCTGGCAAACCAGCAATCGCCTCGTGCAGCTGGGGTTGACCTGGGAACATGACCAGAAATGCCCTTTTCAACTGAGGCGATAGGTTGCCAAGAGGGGAAGTGATGTGGAAGACTCCTTCAAAACAGGGCCATGCGGTCGGATGGGGGAAGAATGTTTCATAAGCGCGACTCCAGGAAGTGGTGTGTTTCAGCTGACTCACCCAAGTGAAAGGGAGACACAGGTCTGGGGTTAACGGGGCTGTCAAATGCGGTCGCTGCAAACAACCCTGCGTGTGACACCATTGTCACACTGCGGTTTCGTCACGGTCGAGGCACCCTACGCCACCAAAGTCGTTGTGCCCTCCCTGAGGGTTCAAGAAAGGGAGATCTGAGTCCTGGTACCCCATAGCAGGGATGGGGAGCCTGAAGAATAAGCGCTGTGCCCTATACCTCTTTGTTGTAGTTGTTTAGTCGTTTAGTCGTGTCCGACTCTTCGTGACCCCCTGGACCAGAGCACGCCAGGCACTCCTGTCTTCCACTGCCTCCCGCAGTTTGGTCAAACTCATGCTAGTAGCTTCGAGAACACCATCCAACCATCTCGTCCTCCGTTGTCCCCTTCTCCTTGTGCCCTCCATCTTTCCCAACATCAGGGTCTTTTCCAGGGAGTCTTCTCTTCTCATGAGGTGGCCAAAGTCTTGGAGCCTCAGCTTCAGGATCTGTCCTTCCAGTGAGCACTCAGGGCTGATTTCCTTCAGAATGGACAAAGACAACAGGCCAACATATATACCGTATTTTTCGCTCTATAGGACGCACTTTTTTCCCTTCAAAAATGAAGGGAAAATGTGTGTGCGTCCTATGGAGCGAAGACGCCATAGCCCCGCGACCCTCTCCCGGCTGGAGAGGTGACGCGCGGCTATTGAGGCTCTTGCCATAGCCGCCCGTCACCTCTCCAGCCGGGAGAGCGCGCGCGGGGCGAAAGCAGCCCCCCGTGACCCTCTCCCGGCTGGAGAGGTGACGCGCCATAGCCGCCCGTCACCTCTCCAGCCGGGAGAGTGCGCGCGGGCGAAGCAGCCCCCGTGACCCTCTCCCGGCTGGAGAGGTGACGGGCGGCTATTGAGGCTCTTGCCATAGCCGCCCGTCACCTCTCCAGCCGGGAGACGCGCGCGGGCTAAAGCAGCCCCCGTGACCCTCTCCCGGCTGGAGAGGTGACGCGCCATAGCCGCCCGTCACCTCTCCAGCCGGGAGAGCGCGCCGGGCGAAGCAGCCCCGCGACCCTCTCCCGGCTGGAGAGGTGACGCGCGGCTATTGAGGCTCTTGCCATAGCCGCCCGTCACCTCTCCAGCCGGGAGAGCGCGCGCGGGGCGAAAGCAGCCCCCAGCGACCCTCTCCCGGCTGGAGAGGTGACGGGCGGCTATTGAGGCCCTTGCCATAGCCGCCCGTCACCTCTCCAGCCGGGAGAGCGCGCCCGCGACCCTCACCCGGCGGGTGAGGTGTCGGGGGGCTATGGCCGGAGCCTCTATAGCCGCGTGTCACCTCTTCAGCCGAGAGAGCGCGCGGGGCTAAAGAAACCATAGCCCCGCGACCCTCTCCCGGCTGGAGAGGTGACGCACGGCTATGGCAGGAGCCTCTCCGCTGCGCCTTTCCGCTGCTCCCTGAACTGCTCTTTGGGGCTGGTGGTGGGCTTCCCCGCCAGCCCCAAAGAGCAGGTCGAAGGAACCTGAAGCCTGGAGAGCGCGAGGGGTCAGTGCACACCGACCCCTCTCGCTCTCCAGGCTTCCAAGGTAGCCGCCTGAACGCACCTTAAACGGCACCTTGTTTTAGAGCGGGAAAACAAGAGGGGGAAAGTTCTCCCCCTCTCTGCACAGCGCCTCCTGCCACTTCGCTGAAGGGGCGCTGGGCAGAGAGGGGATATTTTTTCTTGTTCTCCCCCCTCTAAAACAAAGTGCGTCCTATTGTCCGGTGCGTCCTATGGTGCGAAAAATACGGTAAGAAACATAATACAACATTAAACATTTTTAAAAAGACTCCCCTACATGGGATTGCCTTCAGATGGCTCAAGAGTTAGATAACTCCATAGCCTCCAATGAAAATAGAGACATCCTAAGAAAAAGGGACGCAGGTGGCGCTGTGGGTTAAACCACAGAGCCCAGGACTTGCTGAGCAGAAGGTCGGCGGTTCGAATCCCCGTGACAGGGTGAGCACCCATTCCTCGGTCCCTGCTCCTGCCAACCTAGCAGTTTGAAAGCACGTTAAAAGTGCAAGTAGATAAATTGGTACCGCTCTGGCAGCGGGAAGGTAAACGGCGTTTCCGTGCACTGCTCTGGTTCGCCAGAAGCGGCTTAGTCATGCTGGTCACATGACCCAGAAGCTGTACACCAGCTCCCTCGGTCAGTAAAGCGAGATGAGCACCACAACCCCAGAGTCGGCCACGACTGGACCTAATGGTCAGGGGTCCCTTTACCTTTACCTTAAGGAAAAGCAAAACATTCTGGTATCAAATCAGAAACAGGGATGGCTTCCCTAAATCAGGGACGTCCCTGGAAAATAGGGACACTTGCACAAACCAGAAGTGGAGTCCCTAAGGGGGTTGGATGGCTCCTTGTACACCTCCTTCCGGCAACTTCTGCAGCCAAACTGATGCCAAATGTCTTGCTCTGCTTTCCTTTGGACCACATCAGCCAGGCCGAGAGGGGGGTGGTCTTGTATCTGGGCAGCCCGGGACCTCCAAACACACTTGTGCCCCGGGGAGATCACTTTGAGGTTGCTAAAGCAGCGGTTTGACTTCACCCCCAAAGGCACACTCCATTGTCTCTCGGGACTCTCCTTCCTTGGAGGTTTTCAAGCAGAGTTTGGGAGGTCATCTGTCATGGATGCTTTAGTTTCGATTCCGGCTTTGCTGGGGCTTTGCTGGGGGTTCTACGATTCTGCCCCAGCGGCTGCCTCCTTTCCTCTTTCTGAGAACTAGGATCAGAGGCAGCGGAATGAGCAGCACTAGTCATGCCAGAAACTACAAGTAGTAGTGGTGATTTTGGGTTTTCCTGCTGGCAAGGAGCTCTCTCTTAGTCGGAGAACTGTAGAGTTGGAAGGAGACACAAAGAATGATCTCATTCAACCCCCTGCCATGGCTTATAGGCCTTCATTCAGAGATTGGTGGCTGAGGGGACACTGGTCTCTCTCTTTCTTTCTCTCTCTCACACACCTCTTTCAAGAGTTGGCCATCTCCCTTGACCTCCCAGCTCCTCACTTTCCTTCTCCCGACCCAGGTGTGAGCTGTCCATTGAGAAGTCCACAGTACTGCAGTCCGAACTTGAATCCTGCAAGGAATTGCAGGCCTTGGAACCGGAGAACAAGTGTAAGTCTCTGGGCTGCTCATGCATGTTCTCTACACCCTTATTTGTGTCATGCTCTGGTGGGGGGAGGGATGTGGGTGGCGCTGTGGGTTAAACCACAGAGCCTAGGACTTGCCGATCAGAAGGTCAGCGGTTCGATTCCCTGCAACGGGGTGAGCTCCCATTGCTTTGTCCCTTCTCCTGCCAACCTAGCAGTTCGAAAGCACGTCAAAGTGCAAGTAGATAAATAGGTACCGCTCCGGCGGGAAGGTAAGCGGCATTTCCGTGCGCTGCTCTGGTTCGCCAGAAGCGGCTTAGTCATGCTGGCCACGTGACCCAGAAGCTGTACGCCGGCTCCCTCGGCCAGTAAAGCAAGATGAGCACTGCAACCCCAGAGTCGGCCACGACTGGACCTAAGGGTCAGGGGTCCTCTGGCGGGGGCGGGGGGGTGAGAACCAGGATTTTGAGATGCATGTCCTTGGGCAACTGTTGCACTGCTGTGTCTATATTCTGCGACTACACTGAATGCATATGCAGAATTGGAACAGAATTCAGCATTCTAAGCCATCAGTGACATTATGAGCTTTTAAAAAAGCAACAACAACAACCTTGTTTCTAGTCCTTAACATTTGGAAGTGTCGGGCAACACCTGGCTGAAACCCCAGCAGCTGAATTTGGGAACCAGTCAGGTATAGTGGGGTGGAAATCATCCTATGATTAGCAAATGCATGGTAATTCTTTAAATGGGTTTTTTAAAAAATATATTATTGCTTTTGCCCCCTAACGCGTATTGTTTTTGTTTGCCATCCTCGGTTCCTTTGGGAGAACGGGCGCGGTGGAAATTTAATAAATAAATTATGCAGAATAAATAAATAAACAACAGTGAACGCAGGTCACAGAATTCAGCTTTGCCTCAGCACAGAATTTTTCTCTTCAGTTAAGGCGGGGAACCAGTTCCAATTTTTCTTTTTTGTGCTCTCTCCCTCTCTCTCTAGGGTGCCTCTTGACCATCATCCTCCTCATGAGGGCCTTAGACCCCTTGGTTTATGAACACGAGACCCTCAGTTACTTTACGACCCTGAAGGTGAGCTGGGGGGGGGGAGCAGAGCGGAATTAATTCAGCTGCACCCCCGATATCCTGTACCCCTTCTACATCAGCAGAGTCGGTTTGCAGAAGTGTTTGAAAAATAACACTTAGGGGGGAAACACCCTGGCGTACTCACAGACTTATTTAGAGTGGGGGGCGGAAGATGGGTCCGGAATGGAGTGTCCTTACAGAGGGCATGGCTGGCTGGAACCCTGAACAGGCACACCCCAATGAACCACACTGAGTCAAGTTGTTGCTGGTCCCACTTGTCCGCATTTACTGCCCCCCACCTGCTGGTTGAAGGACGTGGGTGGTGCTGTGAGTTAAACCACAGAGCCTAGGACTTGCCAATCAGAAGGTCGGCAGTTCAAATCCCCACCACGGGGTGAGCTCCCGTTGCTCGGTCCCTGCTCCTGCCAACCTAGCAGTTCGAAAGCACGTCAAAGTGCAAGTAGATAAATAGGTACCGCTCTGGCGGGAAGGTAAACAGCGTTTCCGTGCGCTGCTCTGGTTCGCCAGAAGCGGCTTAGTCCTGCTGGCCACATGACCCGGAAGCTGTATGCCGGCTCCCTCGGCCAATAAAGCAAGATGAGTGCCGCAACCCCAGAGTCGTCCGCGACTGGACCTAATGGTCAGGGGTCGCTTTACCTTATAAAATGATAACTTAATAAAAAGCACATTTTTTTAAAAAAAGAGAATGCCCGCTGACCTCTGCTTCCGTTCTCCTTTACTCACTTTCCCTCCCCAGGCAGCTGACCCCATGCGCTCGGCCTACTTGGATGACCTCCGCAGCAAATTCCTGATTGAAAACAGCATCCTCAAGATGGAATACGCCGAGGCCCGCGTTGTGGACTTGTCCCAGAGGGTAGGAGGCCTGGGAGACTGGGGGCTGACAGACGGAAAGCAGAGGATGAGGAAGGGACCAGGAAGGAGTCTGAGGAGGGGAGCGGATTCTGTGTGAGTGCCAGGGAATAGCCGGGAAGCGGGGAGATTTGGGGCAAGTTCCTGGTACGTCCCATTGTCAGGGACTAGTTGGACGCGGGAGGAACCAGCCAGGGAACCTCCAGGGGAAGACAGCCCAGAGCCCAGGGATTGGTGGTGGGACAATGATGAGTGGACAGAGGAAGAAGATTGGGAGGAGGAGATGTTGGAAGCTGGGGAGGCAACAGGGTTTAGTGAGCGGGGAGAGTCTGTGGCAAAGAGGAGTCCAGAATCGGAGGCAGAAGATGAAGCAGGAGAGAGGAGGAATGCAAAGGAGAGTCTGGCTGGTGAAGACTCGCGGGTGTCTCCCCCTCCTGCTGCAACAAGCTCCCGTCTTGCCTGGTCTCCCAGAACCAGAAGAGGCATGAAAAGGGTGGTGGAGAGGTTAGCTGCAGGCAGGCATAGTCTCAGATTGCTTGGGGAAACCCTGGAGAGGAGGAGACCTTCAATCTCAGCAACTGCTTCATGGGGGCAAGACCTGCATTGCAGTGCTCACTGGGCCTGACACTCCTGTGCAGATCCTGTTTTTACTGATAAAGAGTTAACTCCACTTACAGCGTGTGATTTATGGCTGGCTGGTTTCTCACACTCCTTGAGCCTGCCTGTTGGTTCCTCCAAGACTTTGAGTCACCCAGTGAGATGGATTAAGGGCAGGCAGGCATCTGTTTGGCCACTGGGGGCGGACAGGTAAAGGGACCCCTGACCATTAGGTCCAGTTGTGGCCAACTCTGGGGTTGCTCATCTCGCTTTACTGGCCGAGGGAACCAGCGTACAGCTTCCGGGTCATGTGGCCAGCAGGACTAAGCCGCTTCTAGCGAACCAGAGCAGCGCATGGAAACGTCGTTTGCCTTCCCGCTGGAGTGGTACCTATTTATCTACTTGCACTTTGAGGTGCTTTCAAACTGCTAGGTTGGCAGGAGCAGGGACCGAGCAACGGGAGCTCACCCCGTCGCGGGGATTCGAACCGCCAGCCTTCTGATCAGCAAGTCCTAGGCTCTGTGGTTTAACCCGCGTCCCTTGGGGGCGGACGGGATGTTGGACCAAATCAGGCCACTGGCCTGATCTAAGAGGCTCTTCTTAAAGAAACGTCCACCTTGAATTGGCACATAGTTCGGATGCTCAGATACGGAGTTCAGCAGAGCTCCTCTTCTCTAAGTGGCAAGAGATCATAGAGTTGACTCTGAGGTTAAGAGTATTCTGCTTTACTCACTGAGCTAGGAGGCTCTGTAAGGCGGCAGAGGAGTATTGCTGGTTGTGTGTGTGTGTGTTGAGAATTAGCTCGGATGTGTGAGGACTCCCCATGAATGTCCCTTCCACCACCACTACCACCCCTGTTTTATTTCCGTCTCCCCAGGGCCTCACCATTCTGTGCCACCTGGAACACCTGCTTCTGGTCACTCACATGAACATCTCGGACAACCTCCTCCGCTGTTTGCCCCCCACACTGGCCATGATGCGCTGCCTTGAGGTGAGGCTGCCCCACCCCCCAAGTGCCCAGGGACGGGTGCCCCTCTCTTAGGACCCCCGGCCTTCCTTAGAAGCCCTTTCTTCCCCCACAACCTTGGCTCAATAACGCCTTCAGGCAGAGGGCACGCCGGGAGCGAAGCCTAGGGGAAGCCACAGCTATTACACTGAACGGAAAGGGGGCAGATTTTGGTGTCGCACATGGCACCGCTGAAATTTGAGACCCCCCAGGTCCACCGCTGCTTCAGGGCTCTTCTTCCGCTCTTAACGCCAGGCCAAGTGGGCCTCGGATATTACAGTGGTACCTCGGGTTACAGGCACTTCAGGTTACAGATGCTTCAGGTTACAGACTCCGCTAACCCAGAAATAGTACCTCGGGTTAAGAACTTTGCTTCAGGATGAGAACAGAAATCGTGCTGCGGCGGTGCGGCAGCAGCAGGAGGCCCCATTAGCTAAAGTGGTGCTTCAGGTTAAGAACAGTTTCAGGTTAAGAATGGACCTCCAGAACGAATTAAGTACTTAACCTGAGGTACCACTGTATTTATGGGCCCCTGAATAGTAATTCAACTCAGTCTCACTCCAACGTCAGTCGAATGCTAGCATAGACAACGAACCTTTACTGTATTTTTGAACATATATCTATCCCACTTTTCCATCAATTTTTGTTTTGAATTGCCTCTGGGGGTATTTTGTTAACTGCGCCATTTCGGCAAATTCTTGTAGCTTGTCATGCCAGTCCGTTATTGTCGGGGCTTCCTGTTCCTTCCACAGCCACATTTCAAAGCGGGGTTGCGGGCTGACTTGCGGGGTGGGGACGCGGATCGGGTTCCTGTTCCCTTGCTCCTCTTGACGCTCCTCCTCCTCTGTTTCGCCTCAGGTGCTGGAGGCTGACGACAACCAGATCGAGACCCTGGAAGGCCTGCCCCCGCTCCCTCGCCTGGAGGAGCTCTCCCTCTGCAACAACCGTATCCTTGGCGCTGTGCGGGTTCTGGGGCCCGTGGGGTTCGCTTGGGGTGGGGCAGGGATGCTCTCTGGGAAAGGGGAACCCCTCTCCCCCCCTCTCTCTCTGAGAGCCAGTGTGGTGTAGTGGTTCAGAGCGGTGGACTTGTAATCTGGTGAACCGGGTTCGATTCCCCGCTCCTCCACACGCAGCTGCTGGGTGACCTTGGGCTAGTCACGCTTCTTTGAAGTCTCTCAGCCCCACTCATCTCACAGAGTGTTTGTTGTGGGGGAGGAAGGGAAAGGAGAATGTTAGCCGCTTTGAGACTCCTTCGGGTAGTGATAAAGCGGGACACCAAATCCAAACAGTTCTCCTTGACTCCGCTGCCCCTCGCTCAGGCATCCAGCAACCTTCCGGCCTCCGCACCCTCGCCGCCTTCCCCAAACTCACCCACCTCAACCTGCAAGGCAACCCTCTCTGCCAACTCCCCGGCGTCCAGTCGGAGCTCGCCGCCTTGCTGCCAAATGTGGGGACCATCCTGACCTGATGGGTTTTGCAGGAGACCCTTCTCGACACACACCCCCACAGTTCCTCCCCGCGCACACTGACCCCCTTTTAATTTATTGGCATGAGGAAACGATGAAATAAAAAAAAGGTAATTGTTGCTGTGAGTCGCTACCGATGTCCATTACATGCAGCAGAAAGGGGGCTGAATCCCAGGAACATCCCCCCTTCCTGCCGCTGCACCCTGCTCTCACGCACACCACAAACGCATATTGAATGTAGCTGAGAAAATGTGCAGCCTCAGAACTCATATCAGAAGACTGTTCTCACACAGGCCAGCCGTAAAAGCCCAACAGTTCCTGAATGATCTCCCAGTGAGAGACCTTGGTAGTAAGTCTTTTATGGAGGATTGGAAGTTTCCGGGACTCCAGCTCCCATCAGCCCCAGCCTGTGTGGCCGGTGATGATGGGAATTGTAGTCCAGGAACAACTAGAGAGCGAAACCCATCATCATCCCTGCCTTAAAAGTCCCAGCGGTTTCTAGAAGGTCTTCCAGACACAAGCCTGGTATCTGCTGATGAAACCTGGGCCAGTGAATCATAAATACGCATTCAGGCAAAAACAGAAATTGTGAAGAAGGGCATCACGCTTTCCTTGGTTATACAGAAGAGAGGCTTGTGTGTGTCATATTAAAAAGGAAGTCTTTCCCAACCACCACAACCACCACTGCCTCATCTCTCTCACCTAGGGGACGATTTCTGTGCTAGGACAGTTCCTGCCGTCTAAAGTATGAAAACATAAATATTTCACTTTTAAAAGTGCAGGTTAATTTAATTCACCATTTTCATTATATGTTCTTTTTTCAAAAGTGATTTATCTGACCTATGTCCCCTTGGTAGCTACCAGGTTGACAGAGGCCGGATTAATCACTTAAAAAGGAACACTTGCTCATTTATTTAAACCGGCAATTCTAAATACACTTCCTCATGAGTAATCCCTGCTGAACTCAGTAGGTTGCATTTTCTAAGCCAGGCATCACAGGCTTCTGCCAAAAATGCCACAGCCCGGCCGGCCTAGACCCATTTTAACCTGGGCTCACATTTTGTAGCCTGAGATTCTAGGAAGAACTTTTTGGATCGTTTTTATTTCCACTTGGGTCGGCTGTTTGGTTGTGTGCCAGGAAACCATACTCTAGAGCAGCCCCATAGAAATCAACGACCGGGAGAGCTACCTTAAGCCCATCAGCTCCAACAGAGCTACACATGAGTAAGGCTTAGTTGAATACACCCTCTTGTCCCGGCAAAGGCAAACTCGGCCCTCCAGATGTTTTTGGGACTACAACTCCCATGATCCCTAGCAGGGCCAGTGGTCAGGGATGATGGGAATTGCAGTCCCAAAAGATCTGGAGGGCCGAGTTTGCCTGTGCCTGCTCTTGTCCCTAAGTTGTCTGGAAGCCAGCAATAATACTTTACTTGGCCCAGGCTTCAGAATCAGCAGGTGACTCGACTGCGACTCCAGTTCCCGCTTCTTCGATCCACCCAAGGCTTCCTGTACCTCGCCCGCCTGCCTCCACCCACCCGGAGCCAAAGGAATTTGCTTTGACTTGTCCCAGACAGGGAGAGCGCAGACACCTGTCAGCAGCCTTGACATCTTGGCTGCTGCTCTGCATTCCCCGTGCGCAGGGTCCCACATCGCCCTGTCCCGTGACAACCAGCCTAGATGGCTTTAGGGGAGCTCTCAATAGCTGCCAGCCGCCATGTCTGTGCTTTGCCTACACGGTTGATGCCTCTGAACGCTGGTTTTCGGAAACCACAGCTGTGGGAAAGTGCTGCGCCTTTGCTCAGCGTCGTGGACTGACTGAGTGCGGGGGGGGGGCACCAGCTGGGGAACCCCCAGCATAGCTGTCAACTTTCAGATTTGGAAATAAGGGATCAGCAGCCCCACCTGTCCCGGGGACAGTCTACCGGATATCTAACAATCTGGGATAGCAGCGGGAAACGGTGCTGGAATAAGGGAATTTCCCACCAAAAAAAGGGAATGTTGACAGCTATGACCCCCAGGGGAAGAAGGCTAAGAGCCTAGGGAGGGGTGGTGGGACAATTGCGAGTGGTCAGCTGGACTGGTGCTTGGGAGCGGTCGCCGAAACCACATAACACCGGTCCTGAAAGACCTACATTGGCTCCCGGTATGTTTCCGAGTTGGTGCTGACCTTGAAAGCCCTAAATGGCCTCGGCCCAGTATACCTGAAGGAGCGTCTCCACCCCCATCGTCCAGCCTGAGGACACAGGTCCAGCTCCGAGGGCCTTCTAGTGGTTCCCTCACTGCGAGAAGTGAGCTTACAGGGAACCAGGCAGAGGGCCTTCTTGGTGGTGGCGCCCGCCCTGTGGAATGCCCTCGCAACAGGTGTCAAGGAAATAAACAACTATCTGACTTTGAGAAGACATCTCAAGGCAGCCCTGTTTAGGGAAGTTTTTAATGTTTGGTGTTTTATCGTGTTTTTAATATATTCTGTTGGAAGCCGCCCAGAGTGGCTGGGGAGGCCCAGACAGATGGGCGGGGTATAAATAATAAATTATTATCATCATCAGAGGGAGCAAACTGGAAGGAGGATGTTTCTGAAGCTGAAGAACAGGGGGGAGGCTGTGACGGAGAGCAGTCCAGAATCCGGAGGGTGGAGAAGACAAGGGCCCAGAGATGAGTCAGGCTACTGAAGAGTCCAGGGAGTCTTCCCCTCCTGCGGAAACCATCTCCCGTCTCCCAGAACCAGAAGAGGTATGAAAAGGGCAGAGCAAAGAGAGACAAGATGAAGGAGCCTTGGGTTGCTTGGGAAGGATCCAATAGAGGAGGAGATTTCAGGAGCAGTGGGAAGGCAGAGAACTTCAGCCCCCACAACGGCCTCATTGGGGCCAGACCTACGGGGAAAGAGTTGCTGTAATCACAAGGCCTGAGCTGCTTTGGTTTCTTTGAATAAAGAGTTAACTTCATGGGAGTTATTAACATTTTGGGAGTTATTGCTGCTCCCGACTGTCGTCACGACACTTGGGTCTCGCTTGAGGGTTTACCCATCACATAGCCCCTGTAAGAACAGGATGCTACTATTGTTGTTTATTATTTATTGAATGTACAGTGGTACCTCAGGTTACAGAGCTTCAGGTTACAGACGCTTCAGGTTACAGACTCCGTTAACCCAGAAATAGTACCTCGGGTTAAGAACTTTGCTTCAGGATGAGAACAGAAATCGTGCGGCGGCAGCGGGAGGCCCCATTCAGGTTAAGAACAGTTTCAGGTTAAGAACAGACTTCCAGAACTAATTAAGTTCTTAACCTGAGGTACCACTGTATATACCACCCTATACCTGGGAGTCTCAAGGCAGTTCACAGAATAAAATCAAGACATAAAACCACAAAATACATAATTAAAATAAAACCAACAACTCAATAGCCCCCCCCCAAAAGCCCCACACATTTTAAAAGGGCATACGATGTAAATCAGATCAACCAAAGGAACGTTTTAGCCTGGCGCCTAAAGGTGTATAAGTTCGCCAGGCAAACTTCTCTGAGGAGAGCGTTCCACAGATGGGGAGCCACTGCCAAGAAGGCCCCGTTCTCGTGTTGCCACCCTCTGGACCCCTCGAGGAGGAGGCGCACAAAGGAGGGCCTCAGAAGATGATCTCGGGGTCCGGGTGGGTTCATATGGAAAGAGGCGGTCCTTGAGGTATTGTGGTCCTGAGGCGTTTAAGGCTTTATTGGTCGAAACCAGCACTTTGAACAGATGGGCTGTTGGCAAGTAATCATTTTCCTTCTTTGTCCCGCTGTTGCTTCACTCGCCTTCCGCGGAAACTGTGACCCAGATGATGAGCGCATCATGCAACAGTTTGCCACATCTTCTGCACGAGGGTGTTTGCTAAGAGGCCTGTTTGTTGCATCTCAGGGGCACGTCATGGAGCAGCTTATTTTTCTGCAACAGCCGTGGGCTTCCCCTCCTCCCACAAGTTCTTAGGAAAGCCTCGCTTTCTTTTTTATTTTCAGTTTCTTCTCAATTGCATAATTGGCAGGACATGACCTGCCACAAGGTACGTGCTGGGAGGAAAACAAAGTTTCCACTCTCAGCTCTGACGCTTAAAATGAATTCCCCCCCCCCACGCCCCCGCTGCTGATTAATCAATTATTTGAGTTGATTAATCTGCCCATTTAAGGTCATCCTCACAGCATACGTTCAAAGCACTATGATGGCACTTTAAGCAGTCCTGGTTTCCCCCAAAGGATTCTGGGAGCTGTAGTTTGTTAAGGAGACCTCCAGTCCTCTTAGAACCATGGAGTTGGAAGAAACTACCAGGAATCTTTTGCCCAATGTGGGAATCGAACCCGCAACCCTGAGATTAAGAGCTTCAGTTCCCAGAGTGGTGTAGACAATACTGAGCCAGTCGGACCAAGGGTCTGATTCAGTAAGGCATGTTCCTATGTTCAAGCGTCCCTTATTGCTTCCTTGGAAAAAGTCAGAGAGCGTCGTTCCCAGTGCCGGATTTACGTACAGTGGTACCTCGGGTTAAGTACTTAATTCGTTCCGGAGGTCCGTTCTTAACCTGAAACTGTTCTTAACCTGAAGCACCACTTTAGCTAATGGGGGCCTCCTGCTGCCGCAGGAGCACTATTTCTGTTCTCATCCTGAAGCAAAGTTCTTAACCCGAGGTACTATTTCTGGGTTAGCGGAGTCTGTAACCTGAAGCGTATGTAACCCGAGGTACCACTGTATAAGCTAAACAAGCTATAGCTTAGGGCCCTGCTCTCTTGGGGACCCCCCAAAAAAATTACATTTCCAAAATATAAGAGAAAAAAAACAAATAAAATAAAACCTACATACAGCAACAGTGTTTTGTGTTGTGTAGGCTCCTATGATGTAAGTCATGGGACCCGCATGCTCGCCTGCTCCCTAAGATATCACTGGTTTGCTCATTTCTATATATAGGGTGCCTACATTCTGTGCGGACTGGTTGCATGGCAACATGGGCAAATGGCTTGAGATACCTATGAGGTCCATCAATTAC